GTGGCTTCATTCTTTTGAATTTTTAAAGCTCTGTTTAAATGTTTAAACCCTTCTTCGAATTCTTCCATCTCGCATAATACATGTCCAAAAAAATAGTTTGTAGTCCACGAATCACCATCTATAGTTAAAGTATGACGAAACACCTTAGCGGCGGCGTCAAATCTACCACAATTGAAATATGCTTCACCTAGACCACTCCAACAATCAACGTCTGCTGGCGATATCCTTAAAGCTGCTTGAAACCACTCAATTGCTTTGCCATCATCCTGGATATTCAAAGAGGAACAGCCAAGCACTCTATACGGCCAGCAGCTATCGCTATATTCGTGCTGTTTATTGTACATTACTCTTCGTGATCTCTCCGAGTTAGCTATTCTTTTGCAAAGAATTTCAGCTATGTTCCATTCATTTCGAGATGTAAAGTCATCCACCAAGTACTTTGCTGCTAATAGCTCCGATTCATCCAACTCAAAAGCTTTGTAGAAACATTTATGAGCTCTCTGCTTATCACCATAATAGTCATGATAGAGAACCCCAAGAAGCGTATAAGATGGCGCATAATTATTGGCATCTTTCAAAGACCTGATAAGATAGTGATATGCCTTATTAATGATTTCGATTCCTTTATCTTTATCGTTATCAGGTAGAAGGAAGCTTTTAGCTATACGCCATTGAATCACTGCCCTGAGTTCTCGACTGTATAAGTCCGTACCTTGAACTAAAGTTAGAGCTTTTATGAGACCTAACCGACCAGGAGAATAATCACCTAATTTGACTTGACACCAACAATAATCGGTTAACGCTTGGGGGTCATCTGGATTTTCTTCAACTACGGTGGATAATAACCCCATGGCCCCATGAAGGTCATTCTTTTCAACTAAGATTAATGCTTTACCTATTCTCGCTTTTATGTTTTTTTCATTTCGTGTTAAGACACGTTCATATAGTTGTAATGCTCTAGCAAAATTCTTTGGCGCCTCATAGAAGGTATATGTTATTGCTAAAGAACAAAGGATATCTTCTCTTGTGTTCACTAAATCTATCCCGCATGTTCTCTGAACATCAGCAAGAAGTTTTATTGCACCACGACATCTTTCAAGTGCTTCAGTATATTCATGCAAATGGACGTAATAGCCACATATTATCCTGTTAGCCATTATCGATTGTTCACATTTCGAAAAACCCTTCAACATTAAACTTAATACTTGCGCAGGGGGTAAAGGTTGGTCTGAAGGGGTTTGCTCTTCGGGTTCTATAAGTTCAGAATCTTCTTTAAAAGATACCGCATCTTCAGTTTGAAGTGGATTTTCATACTCGTTTTGGTTCTTCTCTGATCCTATTCCTCTTAAAATTCGGGCTTTGTCAAAAGGACTAATATCACTCATCAAAAATGAGTACAATACCATACCTAGTCCTTCATTTTCGAAGTTCTTTAAGAAAAATATAATGTTTTCAAAATCAATTCTCGCCAAGTCAGTGACATCTGACCAGTCGAAATAAAGGGTCCAACAAAATAAACTTTTAGTTTTCAACAAAATCATCCCTTCAACCATTTCTTTGATTTCTTGAAACAATTGCTCTTTTTCGGGGCATACTTTTACTACCTCATACTTGTATTTCAAAAGATCTTCCTTGAACTGCTCTCTGAGAGAATCATCGTTAGAGATATTCAAAAACTCCTCATAAAGCTGAGATAGATCAGATTCCTTATAAAAAGCCCATGTTATATTCGATAAGTGGAGTTTCTGCTCAGGCGTAAGGACCCGTGGTAGCTTCATCTTTTCAGATGATAAAGCTTTCGACACTTTTTCAGCCTCGTCTCTTTTGACTAGTTCTATCAATGCCTTTAAATTGTCCTCAGGTCTTCCAAGATCTGATCCCACAAGGTTCCCCAAATCGGATCCTGGTAAAACACTTCGAAGAAATGCTTCATTCAAATCCTTATTTGATTTGAAATTATTCTGGCTCAAGTAATTTCTGATGTCTTTGATAGTATCTGCTATGCCAATTCCTTGGTCTATTTGCTTCCTTATCAATTCTGTAGCGACTTTGAAGAATTCATTATAGTCCGATTGTGACCTAAGTACCTGGAAGTATCCCTTCCAACCCAATAAATTATCAGGTTCCAAAGAAGTCGCTTTAATGAAAGATTTACTAGCTTTAGCTGGCTCATTCAACAACTGATATGCCTTTCCTTGGAAGATTATAGCGAAATAATTAGAGTTATCCTCCTCAAGGGCCTCCTCTACAAATTCCAAAGCTGATTGAGGATCATTTTCTTCTATGCTCTTTTTGGCTGCCTTCAATGACTTCTTGATCCCAGACATAACAACCTTTGGGGCAATATGATGTCTCACTTCTTTGTTGAAGTGGCTTGTCTTCGCTATGTCAATATTGAGTATCTCACGTGACTGGGAAGATTTTTCAGATGGGTTACCTTAGCTAAGGCATTTACTTGAATATTTTTCTGTTAGACTGGCGAGTTAGTCCAAAAGCTCAGGGGATATGACTAATGACATAGTAGATGCAGCGGTGAGTCAATCACCTCTGTCTTATTTGTTAACAAATATCGCAAGAATTCATTTTGGGGAAGTTGCATCGCAGATTATATCTATATTGATTTCATGTGGTAGACTTAGTGCTAAAGAAATAAGCTTTAAGTTGAAGACCCCGTTAAGAGATATAAAGAAAGGTTTAGTTTCACTAATACAGTTCAACTGCATTACATATTGGGAAGAAAAGAATATATTTTACTACCTAAATGAATCAGGATTAGTAGTACTCTCGAGATGTGGGATTATAGTAGAACAAATAAAACATGAATACGGAGAGAATGAGGCTAACATAGTTTTGCATGTCTTACAGAATGGACACATTAAAGCTGGTGACCTTCAAGAAAAGTCACAACAAATCATATTGAGTAAGTTGTATGAGGATGGATGGTTGAAAAGGTTGCAGAAATTTAACTACTTTCCACTCGGTGATCTTTGGCATAAAATTTACGAAGGTGTGCTAAAGGACATGCCTAGAAGTTCTACTGTTTCTGAAATTAAGAGGGTTACGGAGGCTAAGGAAAGGGCTAAAGTTCAATTGACAGAACTCTTGGAGGCAGGAACTAAAGATACTGATATCTTTACTGTGGAAAATGGATATAGGCAGTTAAAGCCGACAATTACCATAGCCTTTAATTTGTCCAGATTCGAGAAACACATAAGATCAAGGGAGTTGGTCAATTTATGTAGATCACGAATCGGGACGTTGACGTCTTTAATTTACGAGAATGCATTAAAACTAATAGAAAAGAACTCGCCAGATTCAAGACATCCATTTAAAGATCTTGATGGATTAATAAATGACCCTGAACAAGAAAGAGTTTTCCTGAACTCGATAGAAAACCAGTTAGTGGATGATGGGAAGACTGTGTTCACTATAAAACAACTTACCAAGCACATACCAGACGGTCTCGATTTAACAAATTCTATTTTGACTAATACCTTCTCAAAGCCGTTTCCAAAAAAGAGACCGATTAATACAGAAGAAGGGCCATCAGCCAAAAAAGTGAAATTAGAAGGGGAGATTCCTGAAATTGACTTTGGGCACCATACAGCAAATAGTGTCAATATCAATGGCAATGGCATTGAGTCTGCTAAACAGCGCTTAGTCGAAGAGCACCTCAAGCTCTTGACGTCGGCTTCAGAATTAAAGTTCTTGATCGAAATATCTCCTGGAAGATATACTGTACCTTATAAGGTATTGAGCGAAAAGCTCAAAAAATTCAATTATGAGACCCTTATCAAAAGGACTTTAGGTGCCGATGCCTTCAGGATCTTACGTTGTTTAAAGTCAATGAAATTGGTTGATGAGAGGACGCTTGCAAACGGAACCCTCCTCAGAGAGAAGAATGTTCGATCAGAGCTCTATAAACTACTTGTACTAGACGTCGTTGAAATTCAAGAAGTACCAAGAAGTGCTGATCGTGCAGCTTCCAAAGCATTCTATTTATATAGACACAAAGAAGCTCCTTCTTATAAATTCCTCCGTGAATCACTCTTGTTTTCCATGGCCGAGATATTGACTAACATCCGAAACTTGAAAGAAGACCACAAAATTCTCCTTCAAAAATGTGAGAGAGAGGATGTTAAGGGTAATGAAGAAGAACTCTTGATAGAGTCTGAATTAAAAACTTTAAAGCAGTTGAGACAAAGAGAAGTTAACGATATTGGAAAGTTCAACAGAATTGATATATTATATTCTTTATTCAATCTTCCCTAAATTTGCAAAATACGAATACATCATAATGTTATATTTTTGAACATTAAGAAGCTTCACTTGTAGATCGTCATTACGACCATCTCTATAGCTTACTCGAAACTGTAGCTCCTATGATAGTTTCTATCGGTGATGAAGCTGTGAATCTTCATTAGAGTCGTGTATAGCACAGATATAGATTTGACTTTTGTGCATGCCATTTACAAAAGCAAATATAGTCTACTATATATATATATCAATGGATAAACAGTCAATTGAATCCTAAGTCCTTTATATTGAATTGAGTGATGGGATCTGATACATTTCCATCAATTTTCCGAACCAAAAGGATTATAAAAAAAGACGACTCAAAGTCTCGAAGTATCCATGAAGATACATCTAGTATCGATGAGCAAAACACGAGCATAAACTCTACCCAACGTCAGCTTGAAAAGAGAGAAGTGAAATCTGATGAGTTGATAGATTGGATAAGTGGACTCGATCTAAGACTCAAAAGGACTTTAAGTGAGCAATATGCTGAAACTTTGAATCTTGATAAAGATAAGAGGTTGGATGAACTTAAAACAAAATATGAGAATATGATATTTGATGATTCAATTGAGAAATTAGGGAAACTAATAGACAGCGAACGAAATAAAGAGAATATCGATGCCTCTTTGGAAGAAAGAACACCACGTTTGGGTGATAATCTAGGAAAAGAACGTTTGCATGAAGAGCCTCATGAAGATCATGAAGATCATGAAGAATCTCTTTCTGAACATCTGTATGGACAAGCCCTGGAAATTTCTGAGAAAGAGCAAACAGAAGAACAACTGCATGAAGAAGACTTTGAAGAGTCCGATTCCCCAATTGAAATTGCCTCTGAATCAGAGCCTGAGCAAGAAATAGCATCAATTAAACCACCGAATAGACTAAAGCTTGCAGATAATATGTTCAATGGCCAATATGGGAATCCAAAAGTGTCAGAAAGTGATGCTGAACTGGAAGAAAATGATGGTCTGAGATCTGAAAGCGAAAATTTTGAAGACGAGGAAAATGATGCAGTTGAAGACCAAGAGCAAGATGACGAGCCCCAAGATGAGTCTGATGAAGAAGATGAAACTAACTATGAACACAATAACGAAGAAAATGATGAGGATCTTGATGTCCAGAAGAATGTTAATTATGAATCAGGTATAGAAAACGCATTGGGATCTTCAAGAAGCAAAATTGGTCGAAAAGTTCCTCGTTCGTTTCCCGTGAAAGAAGACAACGACGCGATAATAGTGTTGGATAGTGAAGAAGAGGAAGAACTCCAAGATAATCAAGAAAGTGACCAAGATGAAGAAGATGAAGATGAAGAAGAAGAAGATGAAGAAGAAGAAGAAGAAGATGATGATGAAGAAGGGGAAGAAGAGGAAGAAGAGGAAGAAGGGGAAGAGGAAGTCATAGCTGAAGACGTAGAGGAAGAGGAAGTCATAGCTGAAGACGTAGAGGAAGAGGAGTACGATGAAGAAGAAAATGAAGAAGAGAATGAACTTGAAGTGGAAGCAGAGGAAGGGGATGGGAATGAAAGGTATGGTTTTAATGAAGAAGAGCTGAAAATTTTGGGCGACACTCAAAATATTGATTTCTCATCCCGCTTGCCCGCCAGTGAATTCAGCGGTGTGAATCAAGATCAACTCAAAACGAAAAGTTTTCACGTACCCTCATATGACGAACCTCAGAACTTGCTGTATCTAGTAGATGATCCAGGAAAAACTTTTGGGTTCGAGAGCTCAGGTCAAAATTTAGGCGATGACAGCAAGAGAGAAATGGAAGAATTCATTAATGAGCCTATATTGATGAACCTCGCCGAAGCTGCGCTACTTCTGTCTGGGGACCATATTTCAAAAGAAACTAGTACTACAAAATATAATAGCAACAACGAAGATATCACTGGAATTGGTCAAACCTACAATAATAATCTTCATAATAATAATAATAATGACTCTGAAGCTCATAATGAGGAGCAGAAAGATGAGTCTAATAACATTAATAAAGCAGATGTGAGCCAAAACAGGAACGATAAGAAGGATATCGACAATGAACAATATGCAATGAAAACCCACAATAACAAGTCAGATAACGAAAGCGAAGAAGACCTTGAACAACATAATCCAATCGTTCCGATCTTCAAGACAGTTGAAGCCGAAGATCCAATAACCACGCTCAAAAAATTGAAAGAAACCGAAGAAAAATACAATATCAAACTCGATTCTGTTGCTGACTTGGAAGAAGAGATAAAACTCTTTCTGTCGACTATATCATCATCAATAGAGCCTTCGGTGTCTCCTATGAAAGGAGCTCGATCGGCATTTTATTCCGAATATCCAGGTGAAGACAATACTACATTTTATGATGCAGAAGGAGATGATATAGAAAATGCAGATCGTAGCGTTTTTTACGATGCTGAGAACATTTCAGTCAACATTGTGAAGGAATCCGAAATACAAGAACTGCCAGCCTTTGATCTTTCGAAGAATCTCAACAGGGTTAGCAATGATACTAGAAATGACATTGTAAATGAAACTGTAGACTTATTAAAAGAGCCTGGTGAAGTAGCTTTTGAAGAAGAAGTTGAACAAGAAGCTGAAGAAGTAGCCAAAGAAGTATCCAAAGAAATAACTGAAGAAATAGCTGATGATATAGCTGATGAGATTGCTGAAGAAGTGGCTGAACAAGAAGCTGAACAAGAAGCTGAACAAGAAGCTGAACAAGAAGCTGAAGAGCAAGCTGAAGAGCAAGCTGAAGAGGTAGTCAAGGAATTAACTGAAGAATTAACTGACGCGATTGCTGAAGAAGTGTTTGCACACGAAGCTCAACAAGAAAATGAAGAGGAAGCTGAACAAGAAGTTGAAGAAGCTTTTGAGGAAGCTGTTGAGTATATCGCTGAAAAGCTTATGGAAGGGGAAGACGAAAAAGAAGAAGAAAGAGAAGAAGTCAAACATTTAGCTAAAGAAATAGCTGAAGAAAAGGAAGAAGCTGAAGAAGAGGAAGAAGAGGAAGAAGAGGCTGAGGAGGCTGAAGAAGCTGAACAAGAAGCCGAAGAACCTTTTGAGGAAGCTGTTGAGTATATCGCTGTAGAAATAGCTGGAGAAGAAGAAGAAGCTGAAAAAGAAGCTGAACAAGAAGCTGAAGAAGCTGTTGAGTATATCGTTGAAGACCTTCTGAAAGAAGATGATGATGATGAAGAAGAAAGAGAAGAAGTTGAAAATTTCGCTGAAGAAATAGCTCAAGAAGTCGCTAATGAGAGTGCTGAAGAACAAGCTTATGAAGTGGCAGAAAAATTAAATGAAGAAGTAGCCGAAGAAGTAGCCGAAGAAGTAGCCGAAGAAATAGCAGAAGAAAAGGGTAAAGAAGTGGCTGACGACGTTGCTGACGAGATTGATGAAGAGCAAGCAAAAAAACAAGCAGAAGAAGTGGCAGAAGAAGAAATAGTCGAAGAAATAGCTGAAGAAATTGCCGGAGAAATTGCCGAAAAAGAAGCTGAAGAACAAACCGCAAAACAAGCTGCAAAGCAAGATGGAGAAGAAGTTGCCACTGAAAATGTGTCCGAAGCTCTTGAAAATAAGACATCTCATAATTTACCAAGTCAAACTGAATCTGAAGGGGGAGACCAAGAATTGAACAATTACTTAAACAAAGTAAAGGAGAGTATAAAAACAGGAGATAGATATGTTCTCCAAACGCCATCTGGTACCACTGAAGGGATAAACGGTGCCGACTACAATTCTGGACAAGTTGACGGTTTCGATAATAGTGATTTCCAACCTATTGCAGTGCCCAAACTTGAATTTGATATAGAAGATTCACCGGATGAGGACTTCGTAGATGAATCTTCCATTGCTTTTATTGATATTAGTGACTCCTTACAGCCATCCGCAGAAGGTTTGCAAGGTAATGAATTACAAGATTCGAATTACAAAAGAAATAAAGAACATCCTGGTTTCTTGAATTATTTTAAAGACAGTATAGGCTTGAAAAGTCTTTTTAATTATTCTTCAAAAGATGATACTGAGCAAGCATTTAAAGAAAGCGAGGAAACAGTGATGCTGGGTAACTTGACGGTCATTGAGCAAGATGAGCCCATAGAGAATTTTGCAATGCAATACGAAGACAACACTACTGTAGAATTGTTGGAAGGAACTTTTCTTAAACCTTCTAGTATAGAAGAAGTTGAGGAACATACGACGACTGTTGAAAATTCTCTGAGGTTTCCGCTTCCTGATCTCCTCGAAGAAGATATTGCAGATGAAATCAACGAGGACACAATTCGTCCATCAAGTGTTGTTGAACCTGAGGATAAGGAAGGAGAAGCATTGATATTAGATTTTGAAAATTTTGAGCCTTCTTTAGATGTGATACAACCATCCTCAATTGATATTCCTCAGACGCCAAAGCCCGAAGGGCATGATGAAGAGTACTTCGACACTGAAGGCTTGAATTTGGAAGTCGTTGAGCCACCAATGTCTCGTAAGAGACAGTTCATGGATGATTTCAACGATGAAGCTCCCAAAAAATCACCCTTCAAACGCATGAAACTTGCGTTGTCCAATTTGAATCCTTTTAAAGGATCAAAGAGCCTGGTCGATATTAGGCCACCGATTTTAAAGTCGATTGACCATGAGCTTGACGATTCTACTAATACTTTGCAATTAAATGAGCGTGAGAAGACAGAGCTGGAGCCTGAGGCGTCTTTGAAAGAAGCCAGTTTGTCAGAAGCGGAAGATGAGAAGGGAACTTCTGAGCCTTCAGCTACGTCAGAAAAATTTATGCTGGAGTCGGAGACAGAAAAACAGCCAGAGCCTTTACGTGTTCCGAAGAGAAAGCGCAAAAGTGACTATCTGGATCCTAAGAAATCTAAGCAAAGGAAGCTGCGAAGGCTATTAGGCTTAGATTTATCGGAGGTTTCACTTGAACCGAGTAGATCTTTACGCAATGGACACACCTTCGGTAGAGATAAAATCGATCTGTCACCGACTTCTCCAAAAAAGGCTGTGAAAGAAAAGGAAAAACCTGGCGATGCTGATCAATCGACGGGAAAACTCTCAGGGAAGTTTGTCAGGTTGCCATCTTCTGATGAGGTTAAAGAACCTCGTGACGGTGCAAATGTTGCTGAACCGCCGTCTTCCAGAACAAGGTCAAAATCTCCTATTAAGATAGGCACAGAAGAGTCTGATTCTAGCACTAAAGACGAAGTAGGTACCACAGTGAGAAGAAGTCGTCGGATTCTTAATAAATCCTCCAAGAACGATGAACATGAGACTGAAGTAGATGAGGAAGATAGAAGAGGAAGATTGAGAAAACGCTAATATTAATTAAGTGAATAACTTTAAATCATTGGTTTATATATACACGATATGACTAACTTTACGTCAAACTAATAAATAATTATATCAAATGTGCCATAGCAAACTCGTAGACACCAAAGAAAACCATATTAACAATAAAAGATCTTGTCACTGAAATACCGAGGCCCCTATATAATCTTTTCTCAAATATAATCTTTCTATGCTTCATTGGAAAAGGTTCAAGGCCTCGTTCATGTCTCAATATGTTAGTGACAGCATCTTTCTGAATAAGTGACTTTGTTGTATCAATTGGAAAAATTGCTGCCCAGCAAAAAATACCTGACAAACCACCCGCTAAGAGGATTGAGAATTGTGAGGCTTTCTCATTAGATGGGTGTAAAATTGAATTCACTGACCATTTGATGGACTCGTAGATAGAATAATAAATACCCGAAGAAAGTGAATCCCTCAACAAATGGTACTTATAACCAGAATATAAACCAGGCACTCCCTCGTATCGTATGATTTTTTTGAAGGTGTTATAGGTTGAAGAGTTATTGATCTGGTTTCTTGCTTGCATCTTTTGTGGTATCTGAGTCATAGAGTTGTTTTGGATTAGATTAGATATCTGAGAATAAATTTTTGTAAATTCAAATGGACAAGCAAATAATGAAACTCCTGCTCCAGCAATAGCTCCTGATACAAAGCAAACAGGTATATTTCTATAAAAAGGGTCTAGACTGTTTTCTTTCTTGGTATTCAGATACAATAGCTCGTAGCATACCGGCTTTGATGATGTGAAAAGAGACACGTTTAAGGACTTGGACAAGGACGTAGATAGAAGTGGAGCCCATATTCCCCTGAAAAAACCCATAGTACCTTCCTTCCTAAAAGTTTTCTTAACACAATCAAAATAACTCGTGAAATTCTTATGTGTTTGCATCCTTGTTTTCACTGTATCCATCGGAAAACCTATAGTTGTAGCAACAAACGAAGCACCATATGCTAACACCGTAGACCTCAATGGCTTCAAGGGCCCTGGAAACACATGAATTGCTTTAGAATAATCAATCTGGCCTGTAATTGCTGGAATGCTTCCCGAGGATTGGGAATTCTCTTGCTGTATTACCATCTCTATAAAATTCTTGATAAGGAATTAGTTTCCAGCCTAAAATACAAGGAACTGTCTCTATTTCTTTTCTTACTGCAATACCACTTAAAGGATTGCTTTTGCACAGAGAGTGCTTCACAATATATACAATTAATTGTCAACCTAGAGCACTTCTCAGTAGTAAGACAAGCTTTTGAAGATTTCAATGGCGATATGCTCTGATACTAACGTTCGGTGTTACATACAGGAACAGTCAAAAGAAGGTTAAAAACGTAATATAAACGTGGCATATATATATACAAGGAGAGCAGCTGTAAACGTTAGATAATGCTGAATATGATTTAAGTGATGGTAGAAATAAGATTGTCAAAAAAAAAACGGTCGAAATCCCATAAATATGGCCTAATAACCTCTTCTTTTTGCATCTCTGACTTGTGACATAAGCTCTTTGAACCCGTGAGAAAACGTCTTTCTCCACCATTCTCTTCTTCTTTGCTTTTGGTACTTAGCTGGACGTATATATCTAGTTTGTACTTTCTTGAAGTATCTAATTCTGTTGGATCTTATAACAGTCAGTACCCCACTTATGGCCCTTCCCAAATTACCATATTGTACATCTATTGTCCTTCCAGCAATTGGACCTTGAAGACGAATCCCACTAGCTACATCTCTTGGGTGAGGAACTGAATTACCAAACATATATTCGCTCCCATTATTAGAGCTGTTTCCACTTCCGCTACCGCTACCGAACCCATCACCCGCTCCCTCTTTCAACAAACTATCTATGGTGCTTATGGCACTGAACTTTTGGTCCTCATTTTCCTTTGTTCCACCTTGTTTGACCACTTTCTTCAACTCATCCAAGCTTGAGTTAAAACGAACCTGCGTGCTTGCCACTTTAAAACCAAAGAGACTACCACGAGGCAAAAGCAGTATATGCGGTTTCACTATGCTTCTCAACATCCTGAAAACACAACTAGAAGAAAACCTTCGCTATTCCCTTTGATCAATGGGTTAATCTCTACTACTGAGACCTCTTGCTTGACACAAATTTTTTCAACAGCATCCAAATGAGACATTTTATTATGTCGTAACTGTTAAAATGTCGCATCATTGAAATATTTAGGCGAGATCTGATACTACTGAATGTTTGAGGTCTGAGCCAAAGAGTAAGCATAACAGATAGAGATGAATGAAAGTGAAGGTGATGAACCTCATGTTCTCTCTACAATGCTATTTGAGTCGTCCGGGGTTTCTGTTTTCAAAATTCCTCCTGGGAAGATATCCTTGACTAATTGGAACCTAGATCTGGCAAATATTATATGGAAGGGAGATTTGAGGTTAATCGAACAAGAGGTTCTAAGCAACGAAATGGATTTGTTTAGCTTGTATAATACCAAAGGAGGCGATGACGATACCTCACCCACAATGCCATTCAAAGGGTTACGTTTAAAGCTAGAACTTTTTCAAGTTCTAAATTTAGCAGATAATAGAACTGCGGATGAGGTATGGGCTGAAGTATGGTATAATCCGATGATCTCGTCCTCTTCCGCATCGCTATCAGCAGCTCTGTATCTGACACCGATGCCGACAATACCTTGTGGCAATTTGCCATACTCTATAGCGAACAATGGCCAAGAAACCATTCAAATTACGCCAGAATCTTCAAAATATTACAAAATTATAGCTCAGTTGCCAGGTTCAGGCTATCATCCTTTTGAAGGCAATTTGACTAAGGAAAACCAAGAAGGAGCCTTACTCCAAATTGCGTTGGGCTTGAGATTCGACCACACTGACGAGGCAATGTCGTTTTCAGAGAGTCTCAATATCTATCGAAGGAGGTTCAAGAACTTTGAAGAACAGTACGACTATGAATTGAAGCTTTTGCAATTAGAGAGGAAGCTGCAAAATTTGTCGATTAAGTACGATGACGACACCGACGACGGTGGCAGTACAGGCTCTCAAGACGGAAACAGCAATCTAATGTACCCAATTGGTTCTATTGTTCCTCGATACGACGATATAAAAGATGGTAGAGGTGACGAGAGAGATTCAAATGTGGACAACAGTATAGAGTATTCTAGCGACTACGAGGAAAATGATAACGACGATAATGATGATGATGACGATGGCTTTGGGGACTTTGTGACCAACGATAGTGTATAAATAATCCAAAGTAATTCAATAAGTTGGACTTTTGGATGGAAACAGAAAACAACTGTTGCATTTTAGATTTATTCTTAACAGTCATTATAAATAATGTATTTATTAGATATAGATGTGGTTATTTTTGTCATAATTGAAATGTAATCGAGGCACTATTTTTTTCCAGACTTATTATGATAATACATCTTCTGAATAAGAGGATGGTGTTCCCTTATTTCCTTATTTTTATTCTTGCTGTATTCGATATACGCCATATCTTCACCACCTGCCAAACCCGCTAAAGAACCGGCACTCCTGGTAGCATTGGATTGCTCCAACTTGTTCCTTCTTTCTTGTGAGATGAAGTTAGTGTCCGCATCATCACCAACCTCTAAACCGGCAGCATCTTCGTTTTTCAATAACACCTCCTGTAATAGTTCCCTTCTCTCTCTTGGTGATGAGTACGCCAAATCTGGTAATTGCTCCATACCATTAAGGTGTGTAATTACTTTGAAAGCATATCCCTGGTCAACCAAGAACGCTTGTCTTTTAGTAGAGTAGTACATTTCTTGAGTATCTTTCGAAACTAAGGAGTAGAAAAAAGCATTAAAACCTTCATCATTACGTCTCTTTGCTCTCAAGATTCTACCTAATCTCTGTGCCTCTTGTCTTCTTGACCCGTAATGTGACGATATCTGAATTAGACAAGTTGCTTCAGGTAAATCAATTGACGTATCACCTACCTTGGATAAGAAAATTGTATTGATTTGATCATTATGCTGAAAATTCTGTAAAATTTTCATTCTCTCCTGCTGAGGAGTTGATCCATAAATGAAAGGTTTACCCAACTTCAATGCATATTCTTGTAAAGCATAGACATTATCGCTGAAAACAATGATTTTGTCGCCTCTTTTTTCATGATAATGTATCAAAAACTGACAAGCCTGAAACTTCGTAGGATTCATGATGTACAAAAGCATCTTCTTTCTCGAAGTTTCCCTTAAATACTCTTGATAGAATTCTGAAGTCATCGGGCACCATACCTCTGCACACTGCACGTTAGCAATATGGCCCTTTTGAGCTAAGTCCATCCAATTGGCTTCATACAACTTTGGCCCAATTAAAAAGTTTAAATCATCAATCTTGTCATCTTCACGGACCAAAGTCGCAGTGAGACCAAGCTTAGCATGTGCAGCGATAGTAGTGACCACTCTACGGAACATAGCTGCGGGAACCACATGAACCTCGTCCAAAATGATGAAACCCCATTCCCTAGATGTTAAAAAATCCATGACTTTTTGTGAATCGTGAGATCTGTTACGAGTGTTAGCAACCATGGAGTAAGTTGATACCACCAATCCGGCATCACTCGTGAACATTTCTTTATTCTCAGAAGTGAAAACTGCTACATTTTCAGGTTGAATGGTACACCACTGCAAAAACTGTTGACGCCATTGCATGACAGATACCGACGAAGTACATAATACAATCACAGATTTCTTAATAGTGCACGCTGCCGTTATTCCAACTAAAGTTTTGCCAGCTCCACAAGGTAAGACAATAATTCCGGACCTAGCACGTCCATTACCAAACATCTTGGATAAGGATTTTTCTTGATAGGGTCTAATTTGAGTAGAAGGTTTGAGATCAATATCGAGATCAGCATTCCGTTCATCGTTACGGAAATCGTATTCTTCTAGCACTGGATAATCTATTTCTGAGCATCTCTTTTTAACAATCTCAACGGACTCATTAGCAATTTCAAAAGAATGAACAGTATCAAAATCTTCATCTTCTTCTTCACCGCTTCTGGATTGAATAACAGACGAGAATATATCTTCTACTTTCTCATCGGTACCATTCTTATTGTCTGCTTTCTTCGTACCTGCTATCACTAAGTCTCCTTGTGAAGGAGCAGAAGATTGTACTAATCCATTGCTATTGGTTGTATTTTCAGATGATTGTATACGCAAAGGTCCAATAACTGGATCCTTCAAAAGCATTTGTAATACGTCAGCCTGCGTACTTTCGACAAAGTATCGATTATGCTTTAAGACCAACTTCACTTTTCCAAATGATATGGTGGCACCTCTGATGAAATTGACTATCGATTCAGCCACTGGTACCTTAGATAGCCTGTTCAAAACCAGGATGATATCGTCTGTTTCTAACCCTACAGAAACAGCAGCGTATAAGGAGTAAGGAGTTATCTTGTATTCATGAATGTGTGAGGGCCTAGATACCGGTTCTGCAACAGTAACAAGGAAATCCTGAGCTTGTTCTGCTAGTGGCGAAAATGATTCCAATATAATTTTACCCCCGGCTGGCGATATCCAAATGGGCCGAGAGAAATGATCAGGTTTCAACTTCAAATAAGAAAAATCTGATCTTCCAAAGTTCTTTGATACGGCATCAGGAACATAGTCGGCAGGAATGTCAGGAGTCATATCCACAAGTTCGTCTTCGCTGAAATCTGTATCATCTACCCGAGACTTGATTTTATCTATTGATTCTTCTACTTGTCTTTTCTTATTGCTGTTTGAAGGTTTATCACCACTTGTCTTCTTCTTTCTCTTGGGTGCTCCATAAGTGAAATCGTCATCTTTACGTTTCGATTTCTGATCTCTTTCATCATCCTCAAAAGAATCATCAGAATAGTTGCCTTGATCTAGCTCAGCGTAATTAATAGATCCTGGCCGACGGGACATTCTTAACGGAGATTTCTCTTTAAACTAGTTTTTTGTCTTCCCACTAGCCTTTTGAGTAGATCCTAATAGATTTGCCGTTGAAATGGTTATATTAATGAAATTTAGTTCATTATGTAATTCTTATATTATATTTGATATCGGTGTGTATATAACACTACAATTAAGATATACGGATGCTAAAAGAATTAAACCTATATAGAAAGACAATTAAATCCTCAAAGTATAGAATTATAATACATAGAAAAGACACTATGAGCCAAGGTGGAAGTACTGCTTCTTAGAAAGTTTGCTTTTTTTTTCTGTCTTCTTCAATCAAATTTCCCCGTTGTAACTCCAATATCTAGTCAGTAAACTTGTAAGAACCAGAAGATAACGTAATTGAGCCACCCTTGTACGACCCCTTTTTCATCTTATTCTTATTTTTGGTGAAATCTTTGCCTCTTACTTGTTGTAGTCTTTCGTTAGCTATGGTTCCCCAAGTGCCAGCAGCTCCCTTATAAGTATTGTCCTTCAATTCAGCATCGTGGAAAACAATCAGAGATTTATCAATTCTTGAAAAGTGTTTTCTTTCGCCTGGCTTAAGTTCGGTATCTTGTTGAGTGGGTACCGGAGATGAGGATGAGGAAAACGATTCAGTTTGAGAAGAACATGGTTCCTTCTTCTGCTTTTTAACCGGGAGTTCACTTTGTTCTAATTTTCTCTTCGATTTGTTTTCAGATTCACTACCAGAAGATTCAGAAGTAGCGTTTCCTGAGTCTGAATCACTTTCAGAATCTGATTCTGACAGACTGGATTCGGATGAGTTAGAATCAGAGGAGCTTGAATCAGATTTCGAAGCTGATTCTGAATCCGAGTCTGATGATTCATCTGAACCAGAGTCGGAGCTCGAACTACCCGCTTGGGTTGTGTCCACAGGTACATTCTTTTCAGAGTCAGAGTCTGAATCTGAATCTGAATCTGAATCTGAATCGGAGTCCGAACTGGAGCTCGAACTAGAGTCTGAGTCTGAACTTGAACTAGAGTCTGAGTCTGAACTTGAGCTTGAACTTGAACTTGAACTTGAACTACCTGAATCTGAATCTGAACCCGATGATTCAGATGATTCGGAGTCGGAACTTGAACTTTTGTCCTCAACTACCTTTGATTCTGAGTCTGAATCTGAGTCTGAGTCTGAGTCTGAGTCTGAATCTGAATCTGATCCCGATGATTCAGATGAATCAGAGTCGGAGCTTGAACTTTTGTCCTCAACTACCTTTGATTTTGAGTCTGAATCTGAATTTGAGTCCGAGTCTGAGTCTGAATCTGAACCTGAGCTGGAATCTGAACCTGAGCTGGAATCTGAACTTGAACCAGACTCTGAGTCTGAACTAGAACTAGAACTAGAATCTGAGTCTGAACTAGAACTGGACTCTGAGTCTGAACTAGAGCTCGACTTTTCTGAAATCCTTGATTCTTCTGCTGATGCGGAATTGGAACGGGATTTTGCTGACATATAATCCAGAGAATTTGGACTTGTGCTGCCATCTAAGCTTGAATCTGATACATCTGCTGCTCGAGACTTCAACGAGACCTCAGTAAGTGCTATGCCACCCTTATCATCTGATGCTCTTTGAACATTCTCGCTTTGTATTATGTCTTCTAACCTACCTTTGACTTTGCCTAGTTTTATATCTTTCGAGTTTGCCTCTTTCTTCAACACTGCTGAAAGCTTTTGAAGGTCCTTTTCTCTCGAAAAAAACTCCGCGATATAAGACAAAACTGTTTCCTTCGACGCCATTGAAATCTATCCTTATATGACACCTGCCTCTAACTCCTATATACTAATTTAATTATTAAATCCAAAAATAAGAAAAAAAAAAATCCGAATGAAAACTGATAAAGAGATGAGTTTCAGATTGTGTCACGTGCATTCACAAGTTTGTATTCATCGTGTACAACAACTTAAGCAAGAACTCGCAGATACTTGTGAAGATAGCGACAAAAGGATAATCCAAAGTATCCTTTCTTGTGGGACCATTTCAGTTTCACTTGGAGTGTAATTTTCTTCTTCATAACTAAACCTTATTTTATAAGGGTAGTTGCGAAATTATGAAAATATTTCAAAATTACAACGATCAGACTTAAGCTATAGGTTACAGATGTTCTTCATTAACTCTACTGGGGTGTTCAATTGATGCTCAATGAATAGAATAGAGATGTGAAATTCCAGTGACTCTTCGTAGCTGAATATGCCTACATACTAATAAACATACCTACTTTCAAAGCTTTGGCCCAAATGTTATCGATTCAACGACATTACCTTTAAGGAGTATCTCCCATTGATTGTCGTAAATCCTTTGCTTATCACTCTTTAACTTTAGTTCAGGTACGTAAGGTAAAGACTCTTCAGCGATTTTCTTTCTTTGGAGAATGAATTCATGAATTGGCTCGATAACTATGTCAGGCTCTTCGGCATGAAAAAGATGTGTACCAACTTTAATATCCGCAACAGAAAGTAACTTCTTGGGAATAGCACCTCTAATAAAACCTACACTCTCTGGAGGATTCCATTTTCCTTTGTTTGCTATCACATGCAAAACAGGAACCTTCAAAAGTGGCAAGCACTTCATAGCCGGTGGCACACTTACTCCAGCCATGAGATAAGTTGCCATTTGGTTGCGCGTAGCAGACTTGATCTTGAAAACTTTTTCATTTGTTTCAGGATCGATTTCGCTATAAACCTCTTCTTTCATGAAATCATCTAATATTTCCTTCCTGAAGGTCTTGTAAAAGGAGAATTTTTTAAAGTATTCGTTAACATCGTCTTCTGAATCAAATTTTTCAATCAAGAGAGAAGCGATCTTATCAAAAACCAATGTAAATTTTTCAGTCATATCATCTGTGACATACATTACTGGATCAAGTGCTACAACTGAATCAATCAAGGCGGGCTCATAAAATCCGGCCATAATAGCCCCAAAACCACCTAACGAATGTCCTATCACAATATTCTTGCTATAGTAATCATTCTGAAAATCCCCTGTGGTCAAATTTTCATATTTCATAACTTGTATCAAGTCTTTACTTCCTTCTTCCCATCTGTAAGACCAACCAAGCTTTCCCTGATTCTGAATAGCTGAATCACCATGCCCGACAGCGTCCACAGCCAAAACAGAGTCTATATACCAACCCTCTTTTTCTGCAAATTCATAAAACCTGTTAATGTGATACTTCCATATGCTTTTGTTCATTCCGGTACCATGGGCAAAGACTAAATTGATCTTAATAACTCCATCTGGTATCTTTCTGGTTGTCTTGTACTTGTTATAGACCAACTTCAATTTGTCGTGAATCAAAATTGTAGCACCTGCTGACCGTGGAAATGAGGCATCCGTAACCTTTTCCTCGACCGTGTATAACATGTCGTCTACAAAGCTTATGTTGTTTTCTAAGGTTCAAGATATTCCAGTAGTAATGTCTCTGATGTTGTCGCCGTTTTCTGAGTACGTAGAACGCCGATACTTTCTGCTATCGCCCCAATGGTACGTTCTTTCCTTGATACAGCTTCAAAGAAAGGGTCCGTCCTTCCAAAGCGTATTCTTAATAGCCTTTAAGCTAATGTGGCCCTCTCTTTATATATTTGTTTTGTGGGGTCACATCGGGTACCTGTGTTCACCGAAGCCGAGGAAGTGAAAACTCCGGAGAGCGTGAAAAAAATGAGATGCCGTGAAGAGTCAGAATATTTCAGACAGACAGACAGACAGACATTTAACATAAAAGGTGGAAGACATAGAGCAGCTAAAGGGCGTATTTGAAGTAAATAAGTTCGTTACTTAGACTGAAGAGGTAAATTTTCATTTGAAAGGTGTCTCATAGCATTATAACGGGTATACGAACAACTATAAATAACCTTGGAGCAAGAGGTGGCTGCGAATAAAAGTATTTTAAACATAAAAATCCATTCACAAAGGTTCAAAATAGCCTATAAGAAAAGTAGTTATCGTTGTTATTGTAATGACAAACTCAATAAAAGTATTTCGTACAGTACAGCAGGTGAGAAATTGGCGACTTGGATGTCTTTTGAATAGAGAAACGATGGGATTTGTACCTACAATGGGGGCTTTACACGAGGGTCACTGTCTGCTTGTATCACAATCATTACAGGAGAACGATAAAACTATTGTTTCGATATTTGTCAACCCATCACAGTTTGCACCTCATGAGGATTTGGAAGATTATCCGAGGACTTTAGACTCAGATTTGGAGATCCTATGTAAAAAATTCGTGCAAAAGAAGGTTGACGCAGTTTTTGTCCCCAAGGTATCAGAAATGTACCCAGCTGGCATTACTCAAGATGTTTCTAAACAAAAGGGGGCATTCGTTAATGTATTAGGATGTTCTGAGCAACTAGAGGGCGAGACCAGGCCTCATTTTTTCAGAGGTGTAGCCACCGTTGTCACAAAGCTCTTGAACATTGTTGGTCCTACTCGTGTATACTTCGGTCAGAAAGATGCTCAACAGTGCGTTGTAATTAGGAGCTTGGTCAGAGATTTGTTGATCGATACTGAAGTCAGGGTGCTACCGACCGTGAGAGAGAAGAGCATGCTAGCTCTATCTTCAAGAAATGCATACTTGTCTGAAGATGTCAGACAGGAGAGTTCACTCATCTATCAATCCTTAAGGAAGGGCGAACTTTTTTACTTAAACCATCGTCAAAATGGAAAAGTTTCTACTAAGGAGATCCTTGAGCAGGTAAAATCGACACTTGTAAGACCAGATTTTGAAATCGATTACGTATCTGTTAATCATCCTGATAATCTTGATGAATTAGAGTACGTAGAGCCTGGTGTTGGTGCTATATTATCTACTGCTGTACGGGTTCCGAAGAGACAGGATGGCCAGGCAAGATTAATTGACAACATTATACTTCATTAATAATGTGCTATATAGTGTTTGTTCTGTGTATATAAAGTATTAAAAATAAAATAGAGTGGTTTTCGGTCTATAATCCGTTTTAAAATGCTCTTTTCCTCCTTATTTTAAATTTCTGAGGGTTGGATACTACTTTTTTTCTTCCAACATGGAGTCTCTTTTGTTTTTCATTCATATACCTAGTTTTATCTTCCTCAAGGAGCCCTTTGAAATTGTTTCTATCTAGGTCTAGATTTAAATGCTTTAACTTGTGCTTGTAATTATCAGCGACTTCGTAAAAGACAAATCCAAACTCGAGGAGCCACAAAGGATCTACTGCAGTGACATAATTCATATATTCCTTTGACGTTAGAATAAGTTCATGGTATATGACATATTTGGAAGTCAATCCACCTTCATTTAATGCGCTAGTCGGGTGAAGATACATCTTCATGTAGTTATGTCTAAGGTTTATAAATTCAGAAGAGCCATTGATATTCATCTTCACTAGCTTCGCCAGTTGTTGGTAAAACGAAGCGCAAAGACACTTCTTTATATCCTCATCTGACCGAGATCCTAATATAGGCAATTTGTTCTTCTTCATGATTAACAACAATTGATTTTTAATATCTTTGGCTCTTAGCAAAGACTTTGCTTGTAGAAAATTTTTAGAACACCATCGGTTCACCTTGGTAAGATTTTTAGAACTTTTTTTGAAGTTTAGCTCCCATTGTCTGAAAATATTAAGTAATGTTAAATGGTCTGAGTCTGCTATTAAAAATTTTTCTCTTGCTAAATCAGCTTCTCTAGCTCTCTCCTTCGGTCTATAATAAACAGAAGGCACAGACAAGACTGAAACTATGGAGATGATTTCTTCAGAACAATGAAATTCTTCCTTGCATGAAAGGATAATGAGCTTAGATAAAGTGGGCTCCATTGGAAAGCGTGTCATTGATTTACCAAGATCCGTTAAATCTCCGAGATTGTTCAACGCTCCAATACTCCATAAATCATAAAGCGCACAACTTAGCAAATCCGGTGGTGGTGGATCTAAGAAAGGAAACAACGAAGCGTCGCTGACTTTCAAAGATTTTAGCATCAACATAACATTACTCAAATTAGTTCTTTGAATCTCAGGTATTGGCTGAACATACATTTCCTGTGGGAGACTTGCCCGTTCGGTGTACAATCTATAAGCGACACCAGGACCCGTTCTTCCAGCTCTACCACTACGTTGCTGAGCATTAGCTAAAGATATTGGAACAACTTGGAGGGTGTCCATCCCTAGCTTTGGGTTATAAACCTTAAGTTTCACTAACCCCGTATCGACAACGTATTTGATTCCATCGACTGTTAAAGAGGTTTCGGCAATATTGGTGGCCACAACAACTTTCCTTCTCCTGGAATTCTTTTTATTAAATATTCGTTTCTGAAGGTCCGCTGGTAAAGTCGAGTATATAGGCAAAACATCTAGAGGTGGTGGATCATCTAGTAATTCTAATTTTTCTTTTATTAATTCACAAGTGATTTCAATATCTTCCTGACCTGTCATGAAGACAAGAATATCACCATCATTACCCTTTTGAGTATTTTGTAAGTGAATTGTCAAGACTTGTTTCACAGCTGCCTCGACGTAATCCAGACAGCTGCTTTTGCTGAAAAGGGTGTCCACAGGAAATGTTCTTCCAGGAATAATAAACTGTGGTGCATTACCATAGAATTGAGAAAATCTTTCAGCATTCATTGTTGCACTAGTAACTATTAGCTTGAGATCCTTTCTTCTATTCAAGAGTTGCTTAAACAATCCAAGAAGCACGTCAGTATTTAGTGACCTTTCATGCGCTTCGTCCATTATGATACACGAGTAGTTTTCTAAGTTAGGGTCCACCAATATTTCTCGTAGTAAGACACCATCTGTCATATATTTTATAACGGTACTGCTAAAATCAGTCCTATCTTCAAACCTTATAGCAAAACCTACTTCCTTACCCAATTTGCAATCCATTTCTTGACTGACTCTAGTTGCGACCGACATCGCTGCAACTCTCCGAGGCTGGGTACAACCAATCATTTTCCTGATACCATCGTGTGATAAGCTTTTTCCAAATTTTTCCTCATAGAGGTATTGAGTGAGTTGTGTCGTTTTCCCTGAACCAGTCTCACCAATGACAATAGTCACTTGATTTTCATCAATGGTTTTCAATAAATCATCTCTCACTGCAAACGCAGGTAAAGATAGCCTCTGTCGAAGAATTCTCTGCCTATCAGACTCTGTTACGGCATCGTTCTGCTCATCCACCATATTATCCGAGTTATCGTTTTCAGGTTTGTCATTAACACCCAATACATTGCCCATGGCCGTTCCACTAAGTGTTGATCTATCCTTTGCCTGATTTCCTCTCTCAATTTTAGATCTTTTTTCCTTAACAACAAAGCTTCCATTCTTTGCCAGAATAGCTAGTTCAGAATTAGGATCTTTAACGGGATTGATAGTAGGACCTATTCTGGTCATCCCAGAGTTATTAGTAAGTTGCAAGGAAATACTCTCTTCCTGGCTCTCCAAAAACGGAGGAATATGAAGATGAGAAACAACCGGAATCCTTGAAAAGTCATCATAGTTAGAATCATGATCAAAATCAATATACTCGCCCGTGACATCATCAAATTTACCACCAGAATTTCCATCATATTGCATCTTTTTCCTACTTGAATTGTTTTGCTTTGGGGTAACATAGTTCAGACTATCAAACATGGTATCATCTACAGCATTACCAAAGTCTTCGGACATGTACCATTCTCTATCGTTTTCTATATTAAGCTCATCATCTATTTTCAAATCACCTTTATCTTCTTCTTCCTTTTTAATTGAGTTTCTTTCAATGTCTGCAAGATCTGACAACGTAACAGGTACACTTTCTCTTTTGATTGATTTCTCCGACTTCTTGTTTGGTTCTGAAGCCGGAACAACAGTATCGTTTGTCTCTTGTTTGATCCGATGAGCGTCTTCTTTCTTTATTCTCTTAAATTTGATCTTATCTCGCTTGGGCAGTTCTTCATCGAGCTCTAGTTTGATTAGTGGCTCCTCATGCGCAGTAGATCCCTGTCTTTCTTCTATGCGCTGCCCATCATCTTCCTCATCCTCGTACGTATTTAAGTTTATCTTAGGTCGCTTCTTTTGCCCTGATTTCGAACGCTGTTGAATCGTTATATCAGAACCTCCAGTTAGCTTCTTTTCGAGAATATTTATGTTATCATTTATACGTGAATAGACTTCTTTGACCTTCTCTTCATCTTTTAACCCTAAAACATTCAAATGATTTCTGAATGATGCAAATGAGTTATCTTGTTTATAAAATTTAATTAATGCTAAAGTTAAATTGTCATTTACATCTCTATTCAAGTACAATGATAGGAGATCTGTAATCTGTGATACTATATCTTTATTCTTTGCCATCCTTTCATTATCGACTCTTTGATTGTTTATAAAAAAGAATTAAAAAATAAAGGTTTTGATCTCATCGAGATATGATTTCAGGAATATGATATATATATATATATTCGTATAATTTGAAATACTTCAAGAAATGAAGATAATATGAAACCATATCAGCTAAATCTGAAATTAGCTGGTTATTTTCAACATCATGTGTCTGCTAAGATCAATTTAAGTCCAGTACCAACTACTTCTAAAGAGGTAGATCATATTTACAGAAATCTCAAAAGATTGGGAAATATTGAATATTTTGTAATGCAACGAGATAAGACTAGATTTAACTTATATGGGTCAAAACTACATGTGGTGTTCAATCCGTGTAATACTCAATCATTAATTGCATCTCAATTTAAAAGTTTCAGCTCAGTGGAAACCTCAATGGATACTCCAGCATCGAGAGAACGGTGGAAAGAAATACTACAAAATAAGAATGATTTAATCACCAATTTGAATAGAATAATTGCTCTACCGAGGTTCTCCTATGTCGCTGGTGACAAAGATTATTGGAAAGGGAAAGTAAAAGTCAGTTTTAATTACAAATTATCAAAGGAAGGGTTGAAATACGATAAGAAATTTACATTATGTCCTTCAATAGTCCCTGACGAGTTCATAAGTGTCAGCGACACTGAAATAGATACAGAGGAATTGAAAGATTTCAGAAGAAAGATTAGGCACAATTTTCAGAAATTTCATAAGTTTGAAAGCTTGGAAATCAAGGAAGGATTGGATCCAATTAATGAGATTATTGGGTACAGAAAGTTGATAGACCCATCTGATGAAGAGGGAATAAGTCAAGAAAATAGACCTAACGATACAATGAATTTGAAGTTGAATGTAATAACTAAAGGATTTAATGGGTTTCTAAATTAAGTGGAGACTTTCTCCACAGTTTCAAGATCTTTCTCCAATATATCATTTATATAATTTAATCCAATTTGTTGCTTTAATAAAAGATTAGATAGCTTTTTGACTATTTCATCCGTGCTTTCTCCGTTTTTTTCTAATGCTGTATTATCCAAGATCTCCTTCGAATTTAAGCCATTCATGGAATTGATCGAATTATCGAATTGAGAATTCAAGTCTTCAGCTCTTTCTTTCAAGGTAGTTAATCTTGCAAATATATCGTTGAGTTTGCCAATTGAACTGTTAGGGTCACTGAGCTTAGAATTTAATAATTCAAATTGCTTCGAGATCTCTTCCTCTTCTGGAAGTAAGGGATATCCCTTTAGCTTTATAATGGCCAAAACGGTAGCGAGTCTAAGTAATCTTCTTGAAAGTTTAGTATGTTTTGCTTTAGCCTTCAATATTCTAGTTGTGTTATCCAAATCATGCTTTGAAGATAAAGAAGATTGTTTATCGTTGATTGAATTTAAAATGACTCTTGATTTAGCTACATGATCCAACTGCAATTCTATTCGCTTTGCAACATCAGAAAATGACGTAACCTTAACAGGATAATGAAGTGAGCTGGGCCTCTTGTTCATTGCTTCATCCCAATCTTCTGGGGTCTCATTATTTGGGCGAGGTTGATTCAATAACATATTAGCTTCTTGATCGTTTAACTTGTTATAAAAATGTGTTTTTAAAGTACATTTGGGAGAGTTTGGGTCCCATTGTTCTCCTATTTTTATTAGTTGATCATTAATGGCAGGCGTGTAAGTACTATTCACAGAACTTCTGTTCGTTGAATTGGTATTTTTGTTATTGTTAGATATCGAAAAATTTACTGAAGGTTGTTGTTGTTGCTGCTGCTGCTGTTGTTGTTGTTGTTGTTGCTGTTGTTGTTGCTGTTGCTGTTGCTGTTGCTGCGCTGTCTGCTGAGAAGAACTCCACAGAAAAGATGGTTGCGATGTATTGGATACGTTACCACCAAATAGCAGGCCAGATGGTTGATTGAAATTACTTTTGGGAGCAGTATTCAGTTGTGATCCCGCTTGACTGTTTCCAAAAAGACCACCACCCCCCAAGCCAGTGGCAGAGGTTTGATTGTTACTTCCGAAAAGACCACCGGTGCCAGTATTACTATTCTGATTGTTTCCAAATACGTTTCCAGTGCCAGTGGTATTATTTTGTGTGCTGCCAAAGAGGCCTCCGGAACTATTTGCAGTAGAACCAAATCCAGAAGGCTTATTGCCGAACAACCCTCCACTGGCATTACTATTATTTGTGTTATTATTGCTTGTAGGATTATTTCCAAATAATCCACTAGTGGTATTATTTGCATTAGTTGTAGTATTCGAAGTAGCACCAAAGAGCCCTCCGGCTGTATTCGTAGGATTCGCAGTATTATTGGATGCACCGAATAACCCAGAGCCTCCTCCAACTGTAGTAGTTGGCTTAGATTGTCCAAATAGACCTCCAGAATTTGAATTGTTATTGTTGCCAGTGTTGGGTGAACCGAAAGAGAAGCCTCCGCTGGTCCCAATTCCTCCAGACGATGGTTTATTTCCAAACAAGCCTCCTCCAGAGGCATTGTTGGTGTTACCGCCAAACCCACCTCCTGTATTACTACCAAACATCAGGCTAGCTCAATCGAAGACGTTAAAACGGAATGAAGTGCTAATAGTCTGATGTTTATGTGCGCTTTAATGGAAAAAAAAAAAGACCTACAAATCATTATTACATAATCAAATATATGGTTAACCTCTTCAGAGTCAAAAGAATGAAACATTTCAAGACAATAAGGGACCAAAAGGCGACCTTAATTTGGTCTAATATAGTTACTCTCTTAACAGAAGTAATTTAAGGTCTTACTCATATACAATTCAAAAGGAAAAGAAAGGAAATTTTTTTTTTTTCGCTTTTCCTTCAGAATCAAGTCCTACAGTTGATTTCAATCTAGTTGTATATGGTGAATTATATGTATTGATACCGACTAGATATCCTTAAGCGTAATTTTCTGAACTTAATGCATCGTCCTAGCTGAAGTAAACTAAGATTTGGTTTCCTTGCTCTTCAAAAATTCCTGAACGTTAGCTTTATCTTTCGACGAGCCCTGATATATCGGATTTTCTACTAAATGGATTTGCTTCTCCACTCCTGGAATCTTCTTTTCTAATTTTAAGTTATCAAATATACATTTGTTTAATAATTTTTCGGAATTTCTGCAATGGCCCAATGAATGATTTTCTTGCTCTAAACATTCGTAATGTAACTTGAACTCATCAAAACAGTATTGGTTTATATCCTTCAACACAGATATAGCACACCGCGTCACTCTCCTTCCCTCTTTCAAGCATTCCACTGTTCCTCCGTTATTCTCATCTTTACATAACATGAAATCATCATTAAAAGGTTTACACTTAGATCCAATGAAGTATGATGCCGATAACAAAGGTGCTGACGTTGCACCGACTTCATCTACCTCTGGAATTTCAGTAGGTAATTTATTCTTATCGATATTCTCCCACTCATGTCTACCGATGAAAAACTCTCCAAGGACCATTTTATAAGAAATTGATTATGCCAAATGACAGAAAATGGATCTATGATATTTAGAAGCCAAAAGCACGATGATGATACCTAACTTATTAAGTTCTATTTTGAACGTAAAAATGTCTTGTATTAGAGATATCATTTTTTAAATCAAAAGGTAATAATTCGTACTATGGTTGGTGCTGTAATGTACTTAAGCGCGACAAAATTACTTGGATACAAGCGTAAATATGATACTGACACTGATCGACAGGCTGCAAGGACAGAAAACTGCTACCAACTCAAATTGTAATGATGCCAACGGCAAGAAGATGTGTATTATTAAGAGAAGATACTTTTCGTATACGACTAATGCACTACATTTTTGACAATTGATCTTATCTGAACGACTGATGAAGATTCGAAAGCGCATCAGATTGTCAATTCGCAAGTAGTAATGAGCACTCCATACAAAAGATGAAGAGTATGACTGATATGGACCAAAGTATTGATGAAATACTGTGGCAATTTTAACTCAAAGATCGTTACGTAAATTTATATTTCTTTCTTTAGATTTTGCATACCATTTCCCATTCCATTATATTTTTTTATCTTTTAAAATAGACAAAAATTCAGACCTAGCACCAAGGACATCGTAAATAGTTTGCAATTGAAATATTTCTACCTTCTTTTCATTTCTGTTTTGATTTAGTGTCATCAAACGATCATCGAGGAATGACCTTAGCTCTAGTTTGATCGAAGAAACTCTAGTGTTCAAATGTTTAATAAAGGTGTTGTCCGGCAACTCTTCTTTTATAAATTCAAACTGCTTTAAAATTGATAAGTATAACGAAACCATTGACTTCAAACTGGAACAATTGAATTGTAATAAACTTTCGAAACTTGTTATTTGGTCGTTTACCAGAATTGATAAGTTTAGCAAAAGCTTAAATTTCGTTAAATATCTCCGTTTTTGTAGTCCAGTATCAACCGCATCTACCGAATGTTTGAGAGTTTCATTCGCTGAGACTAAATCATTACGGAAATTATTCAAGTCAACCTTAATCGAGTTGATAAGTTCCAAACCACCGTTAATAGACTTCCCCAATTCAATAAATCCCGAGTACTCATTATTTACAAGATCCAAGAGCTCTTTATTTAGCCCATGAGATAGCTCTTCTAGTTCTCGTATTAAAGAGTCTATTGATGAAAAGCGATGATGCTCATATAGAAAGTCATCAATATTATGGTCGTTAAATTCTTGAAATTCTGACCTCGAAATTGTTGTGGGATAAGGAAAAGACTCATCGCCATCAATAAGAGACATACTTCAAGAATTTTGCAATTCGACTCACTGTAAATACGTTGTGTTAGCGCTTCAAGTGTGTAAGTGGTGATTTGAGATCACTTAGACAGTGCGACATTCGCACGACTCTGTCAGTCGGTATTAAATCCGACATAGATGGGGGACTTGAAATGCGGTGGCGGGCAAGTAGGCTTTGCAAACATTTACTGAGTATTTCAATAAGCGCAAAAGCATGCAATCAATTGTAGCGCATCGCTAAACAAACGGGCATAAATACTCTAAACGAAGGAAGATGTAGCTCTGGGGCCCAGTATTTCAAAAGAAAACTAGAAATGTTGCTAGTAGACTACTTCTCTCGATTCAGACGACACCTTCATCACTCTCCTAATATATTTGTTCAAAAGTTTTGTTACCAAAGAGGCCGTTTCAGATACAGCGCTGGCCGAAGTGGGGTTGCAGTCAATACTTACAAATACCACCAGCATTGTTGACTGCTATCTTCTTTCGCTATTCAAACAATATAGAACGCAGAGTTTATGACGAATCGCTTACCTTGTCACGATAAGGATACTCCGATCCTAATATTCCTTAAGTTCTGTAAATTCCTCCATCTTTATCAACTCACATACTTGAGCTCCTTGTTAGTGCGAAATCATTGCTAGCTCTAAGTCCCTCGCTATCAAGGCTCCCGCCGATCCATCATAAAATGCTACCTCGATGCCGGTCTACAATAAGGCTCCGCCTGCAAACGCAGGATCACAATAGCATGTAAAACGTGAATTACTTTAAAGCGCCAGTCGGAGTCCGAGCGCAGGGGATGATGACTTCGTCGCTAAGTCGAGGTAAACTTCAGCAAAAAGAGGATGCGTTCTACTATCCTGGCTCCGGCAGTGCAAAATTTCATGAGCTCAGAGTAATTATGCCCACTTGCGTCTGCCGAAAACGGTACCCCACAGCCACCCTTCCCTTATAAAAACCGGTTTCGCAGATTTGCAATAACCCGTTCCTTGCATGTACGTATGTGTCTCACAGAACGAAAGTTTTCCTCTTTTGCCTTAGATTACCAGATGTGCCGTCGTCAACTTAATAGCTCCGAGCCGCAATCACCTTGTCCCCCTTTGGTACCTAACCTTTGCGTCAATTCTAAACGTAAGACTCCACAATCATCCTTTTTGTGACATTATATCATCGTTCCTGCTCTGCATACCTCCCCTGTCTGCCTTTAAGGACTTTGAGCACTGCATCTTTGCCGAAGAAACGTCCTAACGATGCAATAGGTAGAAACTGTGACTTCACTTCTTCCGGTCATCGTTACCACCGAGCTGTCCGAGTTTGGAAGTTGCCTTATAAACTCCGGTAAATTGAATGTACTATGTAGGTACTATGTACGTGTAACTGTGTACAGACGCCTAACCCCCAGATGTTGAATAGCTGTCTCTATAGATTCGGCAATTGACGTATTTACCATCGATTGTGCGCATCTTGTATACCCTGTTCTATAAATCTTCAGTTGCGTTGATATATAAAAAGGCTAATACTCCTTAATTTATTTTTTAACATGCTGAACTCTATTCAGTACCGGTATACCAACCTTTGAGAATTTAGATAAATTTTCATCTTGACACTCATAAATGGTAAAAAATACATCAACCTAATATTACAAATATATACATACAGTACCTTATAGGCTTAGTTTTTTAAAGTGCAGACTTTAAATTTATTCATCAGGTTGTCACAGAAGGTATTTCTCGTCAATTTTTAGACGCTTGTTATTTGGTTTCAAATCAGAAAAAATATATAATTGTCGAATGTCTACCGCAGTTAGTCATTTTCACCATAGCATGGAAGATGTTCATTCGAAAAACTTGCCTTCTTTGGCACAGATAATGCCAATGAATTCAATCGGCAATTCTGCGAATAATACTACAAATAACGGTTCTATCTCTGGTGTTACTGGAAGTAACAGTGTCAATACAAACAATGCACCATTGTCACCGACACTTCTTCTCATGGCTCCTACTTTTGATCAAAAAATGTACCAACCAGTATCATCTCCAGAAATCTTTTCCAATAATTCTTCAGCAAGTACAACTCCTGCGTCGTCTTTCAGCAGCCAGGGATCTGGCACCTCGATCATTGAAGAGAAGTGTACTTGTAAATCAAGCCCCAACAAAATTCCAAGACCAAGAAATGCATTTATTTTGTTTAGACAAAAATATCACCAGGCAGTATTGGATGAAGGTGGAGTTATTAGAACCAACCCAGAAGTTAGCAGAGAATTAGGAAGAAGATGGAGGGCTTTACCACCTGATGAGAAAGATCATTGGAACAATTTGGCAGAGGAAGAAAAGAAAAATCATGCAAGGAAGTATCCTGGTTATAGGTATGCCCCAAGAAGAAACGGAAAAAATAAAGGATGCCCAGCTTGTCGTCAAAAGGCATTAAGGCAGCAACAACTTCAATTACATAACCAACAGATGTTGCAAATGCAACAAGATCAGTACCAGCAATACTTTCAACAAACACAGCCGCAGGCTGCTCAACCACAACAGATCCAAGCGCATCAGCAAGTTCCACAACCACAACAACAGCAGCAAAACCCACAAGCACAACAAGCTAATTCTCAACCCTTTACACAATTTGTTCTTTCTAATCCGTATCAACAATTCACAACGTCTCAATATAACACAGACTTGGCTCAGCACGAGAAACTCAGTCCGTTGTCTGTGATGCCTGGCCAATTGAACCAAGATTACATGGGGAATCAACAATTCATAGTGAACTACGACGTTGGACATATACAAGGTGCTGCACCACCGATTTCAGCTCCTATGCCTGGCCCAGCTCAACTGGCTCAAATGCAAAGGTATGGATCGTTACCAACTCCGGTTTCCGCAACGAACTACGGCTTTGATGTATTCAATATGCCATCTCAGCAGTGAATGAATAAGAATGATACAGTGATTTTGATAGTCTAGTTTTCAGTTCTTGATAAAATGATTAATACAAGTTGTACTTGGTTTTATATAAATCTAAACATGTAATGAACGATATTAATTTCAAAGGTTGCCAAGAGTTATGTAATGTAAGGTCTAAGTGAAGCCGTTAATTTGCGTATTTCGGAAAAAGTCTTAGGGGAAAAGTTCATGAAGAAGAACATCACATCGACGGTATGTCTCTCTAGATATTACGACATCCGGGGAGATATCTCTCCCTAAGATTTGAATAGCGGTGAGCCAATTTGGTGGCTTTTTAGTAAACCCTCGGCCTACACAGTGCGGTGGGGGAAGGAGCCTTCATTTGCGGGGGGCTTCGATATAGCCACAATAGATGATTTTTGAAACGATTATGTCCGGGATCGGGAATGTATGTTGCTGTATTCGTCTGCATTAGTTTGAGTTGTGCTTGAATCATATTCGGGAGCTGCATGTTTGTATAGTTACGCGCGCATGAGGCGTCAATCTGAACGTTCGGAACAATAGGCCGAATACAGCTCCTCCTTAATTATTGGCTCACAAGATCGATGCTACTATGCTAAAAACGGAGGGCTCAATTCCTTCGAACAGTTATGGTCGAACCTTGAATTCACGAAATAACAGTAACAACAATAAAGCAGGCGAGAAGATTATTATTGTAGTTATAATTTTATGATTGTTGCTAGCAAGTGGCTCTGTTGTTAACTGCTTCGATATCACAAGCTCACTATCCAACGCTTCTCCAACATCGCATGATCCTGCGTTCTCGTATGCTCAAAGACTGCCGATCTATTCTTTTTTCTCCTGTCTAATACATCTTGCCAAGAAGTTTGAAGCTCTGCAACCAAAAATCTGACCGAAAGTGCGTGCGCATCTCTGTGTTTTGAGCATCGGGAAATTATTCCGATCTACACTATGTTTTTTGAACTAGCTCAGTGCTCCATAGCTGCGCAAACGACGCTTTTGAGATCGACCTCGGACAAAGGGAGTCAAAATTGAACTTACGACAAACACACTGAGTTGACCATGGTGCGACGCTGTAGCGAATAATAGAGTGCGTTACCAAGGGTCATTATGAATAAAAGCTTAAATATATAATGAGATTGAATAGATATGAAGAACCAAATAAAGAGAAGAACATAGAATATGGCCCTTTCGACACATTCAACGCTATTACTCTATTGCAATAGAAACGTTTAAATCCCCTTATCTTGCTACTCAATGCTGGCTACTTTGGGGGAAATCTTTATGATTTTGCGCTCGCTCTGTATTAGGAAGTGGTCCCATCGTAATAGATGAATAATACATCTTTCTATTTGTTTCTTGACATGCGTATTTCATTGGGTGCAACTGATAATAAAAGACACACAATTTCAGTTGGGACAATAACTCACTTACTTATAGACGACCATATAAGTCATTGTTCGTTCGATCAATAAGGCTCGTTAGTATTGCAATCAAATATGTCAGACCGTAGCCTTGATAGGTAAGTTTGTGTGCATATCGAGGTTGACGTATTGAACTAAATAAGGCAGAGCGCAAGATCAGTAGCGTTCTGACTAACGCAATCTTGGGTTAAGATTATGTTCGATTGTTGCTATTGTAGGAGCCACCTAAAAAATATATGGCGTTGTTCTCTGCAGCCTCAAAAAAGATACTTGATAAGCTCAAAAAGCTTGACGCTGATTTGGAACTAATATACACTTTTCAACTATCTCAGTTCTGGTATTGCCAGGTCTAAGTTATTCTAAATCATCGGTCTTTCATTTATACCTATTACTCCTATGATGGTATTATGGCATAACTTAGACAGTCAGCATTTTAGAGATATCTTCCAAATAGTATATTTTCCTTTTTCCTAGGGTGCAAAAAGAAGACGAATACGCTTTTTTAAATTGCAACAACTTCAATTCGTTTCTTATTCTATGATGAAGTTCAATTGTAGTCTCTGGTTTATGGTAGTTGTCTTCAATGTTAATATGAAAACCTCGAGTGCTCGCATCTGAAAGTTCATTTGAAGTTTACGTCAGATGTGATATAGATGCATAAGATGATTCAAATCAAGTCACTAGACTACATTGTTTTGACAGTTGCACCTATAGTCAGATTTTGTAAAGTTTATTCTGAAGTTCTAGGGATGGAAGTTCAAAAATTTAATCCACCGTCTAATCCGTCACAAGTTAGGTATGCCTTGAAATTTGGTAATTCCAAAATTAATTTGCACGAAAAGGGTAAAGAACTTGAACCATATGCCCAGAATCCAATCCCTGGTTCAGCAGATATTTGCTTTATTTTAGAATCAGAGGAACTGCCAGTCAAGTCATTAGAAGAAGTTATTATGTTTTTGAAAGAAAAGGGACCAGTTCCAATGACAGGAGCAAACGGAAGAATGAGCGGTGTTTATATACGGGATCCAGATTCAAATTTGTTAGAAATTGCCAAATATCTTTGAATATGAGATAGAAGGTCTCTTTTCTCTCACTTCCTCTAATTCATTCAGATACGTAGTATGTCTTCATATTAATTATATTCCATAACCATTTATTAAAATGATATACGTTGTGCTAACAGAGAAATACCATAGGCAACATCAACAAGTATCATGGCCATTGAATTCAGCCTCAACAGTCGGATCCAAGAAGAAGTGTATTTTCAATGACATTGCTCTGCAATTTCAAATCGTGTCGTAACATATTGCGAAAATAGGCTATAATAATGTCTTTACTATCCTCCTTGGTAACCGAATTACAAAACGCAAGATCTGTTTTTTTGTGGCTAATAACTCATTAGAAATGATACCATTAGAGGAAAACGATGCTCAACGATGAAGCCATCTAACTTGCCAAAAATTGCCAATATTCTTCCTTCATTGAGAATGTTGAACACCAGAATCCTTCAGCCTAGTTGCGATAGGAAATTAAATTACATTAATTAAACTCGAATATAAGCCTTGAAAAAGGGTCGTTCTTTTTAGATTGAATAAATAATTTCTCTGGCATTCTTCATATTTCTTCTGATAGTCTCCGACGAATCTCATATTTACTGGAAAGAGAAAACACTTATTTGAATGGTTACAGCCGGAGCCACTGATTAATAATCTTATGACCAGAAGAAAGAAAATGAATAATGAAGCGAGCCTTTTATTAGTACAGATATTACCCAGCGTACCACTTATTTCATTAGTACGGGTAAGCATGTCATTAAGCAGCTAGATTTGAATCATACTACTAAACGGATATTATATATCCTCCCCAAAGTCGTCAATCCTGACAACTTCACCAGGCTTGAATGGTGGTAAACCTAAATAAGGGCAGCCATCACACCTGAAAGCGTCACCCAATGCACAAGAACCACAGCCACCAGTTTTACCTTGTACGGTAAAATCGATCTCTGTAACATCATCATGACTCAATCTGACCTGTTGCTTCAATTTCTCCTCAATCTTGATAGCCTCCTGAGTAGCACTCTGTGCCATTTTACCTAAGATTGAATCCTGTAATGATCTCTGAGATTCTTCTTCTTGCTGCTCTAATTCTTTCATTCCACACGTACAGTCTTTGCATGCTCTCCTCCTTCTCTTTCCATTCGGTAATTGACATTTTTGAGGAATAATTAAATCATTACTTAGCGAGTCCTTAATTAATTCGTTTTCGTTTATCAAATCATTATCAGACTCCTCATCAGAGTCACTAAAATATGCTAGTTTGGTCTCCTCTAATTTTTTCTTCATCACATTGTCCTCATCAGAGTTGGAAGCAGAAGAGTCAGTCAAGCCAGAAACCAGAGACGCGCCAGCTTTCTTGATAAGTGAGGAACTTACTTTATTACCTGCCTTTTTCCTTTTTAAAGTAACCGCTTCCATCTGCTTAGGCTTCACCCATTCCCTATTCGCGTCGATGACAAATCCAGTCATCATGACATCCAAATCTTGGTCCTGCGGTAAGTCTCCACTAAATACGCCATCTGACTTCAAGCTGTCGTATATAATCTTCATGGTCAGAGCTGGAAGACTCCTTTCTTTATTGGGGTTGAAATATATTACCTTATCATAATGATCCTTGTCCAAACTGACTTTCCCCGTTGCTACTCGATCTATTACTTGTTGGTTCACCTCTGCATTCGGTGGTAGCTTAGATTTGCTTTCCAAGACTTGATCTTGGTCTGTAACTACTGTAGGGTGCAATAAAAACAAGATCTTCATCTTACTCTAATTACTAATCCTAATGTTACCACTCTGTAAATAAAACAATCGCAAACCTTCAAAATATGCTCTTTAAATTTAATACTTTTTAACAATAAATGGCGTTTTTTCTAAATTTATTTAAAATACAACTGTAAAGAGTTTTCTATCTCTCTTAAATGGTTCTTCGTTACTAATGACTGATATAAGGATTGGTAATCAAGAAGGTTTTTTTTTTTTTTCTTTCCTTTGCGCTTTTTCTTGCCTGTATCGGAGACATTAAACGAGATGACCTTCAACAATGTCGCTATTGGAAGAATTACATTTTGGCACGATAAGAAGTCATTAATTATGAAGTACATTAGTTAGAGAGATAATTGAATTCGATCTTGTGGTCTGGTGTAACGTTATTAACTTTAACACTGTAGCTATCACCAGGAAATAAATCAATTGAGTTATCCTGCACGATACCCGGTTCCTCGACCAATATTTCTACTCCTTTAAGCGGTTTATTTGTCAGTAAAACCAAATTGGAGCCATCCAAACGATACAGAATGGACGTCTTATCAGACCAGATAAGGTATTTGAGAGGCTGAGGCCAGTCACTGGCTCTATATATCACTTCCTGATTCTCATTGAACAACTGGACGAAAACTATGTCATCCAGTGAAAGAGGTTCACTCATCAATTCAGTGACTTGATTGGCATTTAAAGTTATTTTCTTTAGAGGAAATTCCTTGATAAGTTTTTCGGTGCTAAATATTTGCATCTTAACGTAGCCTTCAAAGGTTTTCAAAGTAGAGTTAGTTCCCCAGAGATCGACCTGATAGACCTTTCTAGCGTAATCGTGGTATGGAGTTTGCTTCGAAAGATCTTCAGGTTCATCAGGATCTGCAATTCGTTTGCTAAACCTTTTTAATCCCACCGTTATCTCCTCACATTCTCTCTTGATGGCGTAGTAAGCCAATTTAGGCACCTTATAGTAATCTATGATCGACCAGCTTGTAACTGGCCAGCAGTCATTAGTTTGCCAGACAATTGCTCCTCCACATTTTCTCTTATTCTGCTGACCCCATTCTCTTTTCCAGAGCCTGTATGCATATGCTAGGCATTCCAGTTGCATAATTTGGGTGAGGTATATCCATTCTTTGAGAGCCATACTCTTTACTCTAAAGTTTTCCATAACATACAAAGCAAGTCTTCTTTCAAATCCATCAGACTTGTTATGGTGATCCATTAATCTCAGTTGAGGATATAGTTGAGATTCAACAGTGATACATTTAGTTAAACTTTTAGCATTTGGAAAGGCAAGCATACCAAATTCAGACACAAATCTACCCACCAATTTGTCCCAATCTTGATATTTTTCTTGTGTCCCATGCCAGACATTCCACTGATGTATGTCCCCGATTTTAGGATCATCAGTACGTATATGGGGACTTGAATATGGACATCCAAATCTGTAAGCCACATTAGTAAACTGTTTCACCAATGTTGGAAACACATCTTCGTACAAGAGTCTTGCAGGAAATTCGGTTTGCTTTATGCTCTCAGCAACCTGATAGTCTTCGTTGTTCCCAGCGTAAACTATAATGGAGCAATAGTTTCTAAGCCTTTTTAATTGATCACACAACTCTTTTTTAACATTTTCAACAAATGAAGGATACGCTGGGTATATACCACATGCAAACATAAAATCATGCCATATAAGAATTCCTCTTCTATCACATTCCTCATATAGAGAATCATGTTCATATATACCTCCGCCCCAGATTCGAAGCATATTTTGATTACCATCATCAACCAATTGGACCCATTTTCGGTAATCGTCACTCGTTAGAGAGCTCGAGAAGGAATGTGAAGGTATCCAGTTAGAACCTTGGCAAAAAATTGGCACATCATTGATACGAAAGTAAAACGAACTACCAGAATCTTCTTCGATACTTTCCTCTATCAATTCAACTTTTCTTAACCCCACAGACTTCTTCACTACGTGTAGGATGTTATCTTTATGAGACAAAGTCGCTATAAATTGATAGAGTGACTGCTCACCGTATGATTTGGGATACCAAAGACTTGGTGTTTGCAAGTTGAAATGGATAGTACTCTTAGGCCGAGCCATGCTTTTAACGACTTCGATAAGTTTCCCTTGTGGGGATATTATCTTAACTTCTAATTCCATATCAGTTGAATTTTGTTCTATACTTAATTCAAAACGTATGTTGACATTTGAGAGACTTTTAACATCATAATTGATATAGAAATCTTCAATTTTTCCCAAGTCATATTCTACCAATTCGACTGGCCTCCAAGGACCACAAGTCATCAAGAGGGGGCCCCAATCCCAGCCATAATGATACTGGGCTTTTCTTGCATGTAAACGCGATGTCTCACCGTTAGAGCAGTAAAGAGAGCCGTTGATCTTTTCTATCTTCCTCGACTCATTCAACCCGCTCTTGAATTTTATCAATAATTGATTCTGTTCTTCCAATTTAACGTCTACCTTAAATATTCTAAACATATTATCACTTTGTAAGATTTCCTTGCCATTGAGATAAACAGTAGCAAAAGTGTCTAGTCCATTGAAGACCAATTCATGTCTTTTGTTGACGTCTGATGCCTCAAAATTGGTTTTATAGTCCCAATCGACTTTTCCCACCCATTGTACATCTATTTCGTTATCGTCTACGAAAGGGTCTCTAATCTGTTTATTGAACAATAAATCCGTGTGAATTTGGTTTCCATAGGTATCAGAGTTTGCTGGATACCATTTCTTTGTATTTGATTGTTTATAGTACCAATCTTTTAGTACTTTCAGAGACATATTAAAAATGATGAAATGAATATATATCCCCACAAATCTCGAAATTACAAAACGAAATATACAAGTGAAACTTTAAGGAAGAATCCCAAAATGTTTGTTAATTTTGTACGATTAAGAAAAAATAATACAATCAGTGAATTATATAACCAAAACTAATTCAAAAGTTAAAGAGTAAATTAGTTATTGTCCAAATCTTCGTCAGTGACGTCGTCATCGATATCCGTAGCATCATTATCGGCTTCGTTACCATAGTTTTTATTGATTAAGCCACTTATAGGAGGCAACTGAGACCCAGTGGGGCTGGGACCTAGAGCGGTAGCAGATTTACTTGGAGATCCCAAGTTTAGACTTTGGTTTCTGCTATGAGTTCTGCTATGAGTCCTGCTATGACTAAAGCTAACGGATTGAGGAGATGAAAGAGACATTAGAGACAAGACAGCATCTTTTTCGTTATTTTCATCTTTTCCCTCATTATTAGCATTATCGTCATGTGCAATCAGGTCAGTATTGGAGCCGAGGGCCATGTTTAAAGGTGGGAGTTTCATTTTTTCATTAGCGTTGCGTGAGTTGTTATTGTTATTGAATTCGTGATTGGTAGCATTAATTAGTCGCGGTCGGGTTGGACTTGACATAGATGATCGAGATTTCCTTCTCTGCCTGGATAGTGCAGCCATAAGCGCATTATGGGCACTCGAATCATCGTTATCATTTGGTGATGGAACATTTATCAAACTTTCATTTTCATTTAAGAATCTAGCTGGTGATTGGGATTCCGAATCACCAAAAGTTGGATGGTGATTAACAGTTGGTGAGCTTGAGCTTCCCTTGGGGATTGGAGATTGTTGCAATGTTTGCAAGTTTAGGTTCGTTCTCTTGCTAGGAGACAAATCAGAACTATCATTTTTTAACTTTTTCTTCGGAGATACATCAGAGTCAAAGGTAAGTTCAGTAAACTTGAATTTGCCTCTTTGTTCATTCTTCCGTTGCAATTTTCCCAAAGCTGAACTCAAATTATTCTTCAACTGCGTGCTAATTTCTCCTAAATCTCCAGCCTCTTTAGACTCTTCATTAAATAACTTCTTTCCAGGCGAAAAATACTGGGGAGTTTTTTGTAACTTCAACTTGTACCCTTCGTTTTCATCTGATTCATACCCCAAGTGTCTCGGTGTCTTTAACAAACTTGACGTCGTATAGGGAGATTGAATATTGTGCGAGTTTAACTTGTAGTCGGGAGACTTGTACGTTCCCGAGCTCGTCCTTTTCAAAGACGGTGAAAACGGGAGATGTTCTTCGTCTTGTTCCGGTGTTTTCAATAAACTAGTTGATAATCGCTTATGTTTGTTTTTTGATGACGATGGTGGAGTTGATGGTGGATTTACTTTCACCGTCTTTGGAATCTTCGGAGACGTTACCGGTGTGCTTGGCTTACCGCTCATCTCTGGTTGTCAATCTTCCGCTCTATTATGCTGTCTTTCTATTAGTTTCTATTAATTTTTAAACCCTCTTCACAACAATCAGAGTAGGATACGTTCCTATCAAATAAGATCCCTTTCCAAAATATGAGACTATATCGCTTTGTATTATTCAATATTTAGGCGGATCGATCAGTTCAAAAGTGACTCCTTCATCAATACTTAACACGATTTTATTGATCTATTGTATCATGAATGAATGGCTCCCGGTCATGAATGTGAAAGGGAGAAATTCTCGTGTTTACAGTTTATCTCATTTTACAGTTTATTTTACCAATGTCATTTGTGGTCGAAAACACAACAGAACAATACCGGCCAAAGCGGATTGACGATACAAGATAACAAAGGCCCTCCTAGATTACGAATGAATTTAGGTCTTTGTTAAATTTCAAGTTGGTCCTCAGATTTTGTTTTTGGTTTTTTCATATCTCGCTTCAACTTGTCGAGGAAACCTGTCAATGGTGCATTATAATCTGCAATTTGTCTTTGTTGCTAAATGGGCTAAAAAGACGTGGAAACTGCAAGTATAGTGTAGGGCCCACGAGATGTTTGTAAACAGTGCTCTTTGGCGTCTGACCGAACCTGTAAAATGTTATCTAAACTAATTTGTGCAGTTTAAAGTACTTAAAAATGCAAAAGATGATGCTTTACTTGATGAGCACTGATAGAGCGCAATGGCTTACATCGAAGAATAAATATCTTACCTTGATAGCTCTATAGTAGAACCATTGTTGATTAGTACATAGTAAATGGGAGATCCACTGTCCCTAAGTGCGGAATATCGAGGCTAACAAGCTGTGTGGTATTCAGAATAATGCCTTTCTGCAAATCCAATGATGTCTCTACCTCTGCTTGATCAATGTGAAGCTCTAGGCTTATAAGCATATTACTTTCATTTCATCTCACGCTAAAGAGCAAGTGATAGTGGTCATCGTCGTTGGAATCACTTACAAAATTCGCGTCGTGCAGTTACCACGATATTTGATTTTAGCCGCCATACAAGACTTATATAAACAAACAAAGCTTTCAGTTTGTAAGTTGTTATACTCTATAGCAAATGAACCACACGAGCATCTCACAGCCCTCTAGTCTCTTGAGGAAGAGTACGGGGAAGCGACTCCTGATGGCGTCAGCTACGAGGACCTCTCTTTTGGGACCCCGAAATTTGATGGATTCGTTATCGAGCTCAGCGAAAAGGAGATCATTACTTCTGACACCAGCATCAACTGGCAGAAGGAGACAAAGTTTAGTTCCACCTTCTTCGCAACATCTGCTGCAGCAATTACACCAGAGTTTATCGCAACAAACGCAGAGCAATAACAATCCTTCCGCAACTCCCATTCAGCAACCAACCCCGTCATTGACAGATCAGAGGCCCTTAAGAGACAAAAACTATCAGTCCTTGATTCAACAAGAAATATATGATTTTCTCGTGGCTAATAAATTCGAATTAGAAATGAATCACTCTTTAACGAGTAAGACCTTAAAGCAACCTACCCAGAAGGACTTTATTTTAATATTTAGGTTCTTGTATAATAAGATTGATCCATATTATGAATTTACCAAGTCAACTGAAGTCGAAGTTTTTTCTTTACTAAGGACTTTAAACTATCCTTATCTTGATGGCATCAACAGATCTCAAATAAGTGCTGTAGGAGGTCAAAATTGGCCATCATTTTTGGGTATGTTATATTGGTTAATTAAATTGAATTTGTCATTGTTAGATATAAACATTGACGATGAATCACTCATAAGTCCTGAAGATGATTTTGATAGAATCTTTATACAATATATCAGGGATTCCTATAACGCATTCATAAATGAAAGAGATGATTACACTGAATTTTATAATGAGATGAAGTTGAAATTTGACGAACTAAATAATCAACTAAATGATGAAATGCACAACCTTCAAGAAGAAAACAAAAACTTAATTGATGAATTAAGTGAATTACAAAGGCAGCTAGATACTTTGGAGCAAAGCGAAAGAAAGTCAAGAGCCTTGGAGAATGATCTAATAAAATTCAAAGCGTATATCGAAACAATGGAGTCAAGGAAGCAGAAATGGTCAGAAATTTTGGATAAAATTCAGCAAGAGATCGAGAAGTGTGATGAGGAATTACAAAAGTATACTAATGAAAAGAAAGACATCGAATTCAAATTGAATGAGCAAGGAGTCACTGTAAGTCTGATTAATGAATTAAACATCGAACGAGATAAATTGTCAAAAACAATTGATCTGATAAATAATAATTTAGATGAAATCAAATCTAGGTTAAGTTCAAAGGAAATTGAATTGAATAAGAATTATCAGAGCTTAGAAAATTTTATAAAGCAGTATAATAACTTAATATTTAAAATGAAATCAAAAGATTACAATTTTGAGTTGGAAATTAATAAAGAGATCATGATGAACTTTGACGAAGGTTTCAAACCGAGTGCCATATTGAATAAGATTCTCAAAGATGAAAAAATCGAATTATTGAGATTCAGAAATCTGGTCAATACGAGGACTCATAAGTACGAGGACGACCACATCAAGTATCAGGAGCAAAGTGATTTAATAAATGAAAAGATTCTTGAGCAAAGAGAAAAATTGGATTCTTTGGAATCAAAGTTAACTGCCAACAAACTAAATTACGATGAGATTTATGAAACGATGATTAACGATTCAACCACGTATTCCACTCAAATTGAGCGATTAGAAAGAGAGTTAAGATCAATTAAGATAAATACAAATCAAGGTTTCATTGAGTTGGAGAACAGATATCAGAACGTTATAATAGAGCACGATGAAGTAGATCATGATTTGACAAAAGAAAGGAATAAAATAATAGACCGTGTTTACAAGATCGCGGACTTTATCATGAATTTCAAATTGAATATTCAAACAAATCTTCTTGATCTTGATGACTTAACGATAGTTGAATACGAAAACCAACAAAAGGAGTATTAGTTTATATGTACATTACATTTATATTTGTATATCGGAATGCAGATTATAAACATCTATTTACATGCAAGATGATCTGATATTATTCTCATCATCAATATTCATTTCTCAACCACATACTTACTCTTTTCTTTCTATCCTCTCTAGAGTTCAACTTAGAAGTCGGCCATGTCTTCTTGAATGCATCCAATTCTTCTCCTATTTGCTCCACTCTTTGTTTGTTTAGTCCCGTTATAACATTCACCTTCATTTGATCAATACCAAATTTCTTTGCCAACTTAGAGATAGTCCACTCTGCCGGATTTTGATTTCTTAATTCTACTATTTGCTTAACCATTTGGGGAGTTATATTATAACTTTTCTCCTTTGAGTATCCGTAAATTATCGGATAGTCTTCCAATTCCTCGCTAGTATAAGTCTTAAACTTCCCTTCAAGTTTTAATCTTGGATCATTCTTTGGCAAAAAGGCCTTTGGTGTCTTGATTGCGGGAGAGATTATAGCTGCCGGAGGATTATATACTAATCCCTTAGTTGGCAGTGCTTTGAAATTAAATGTAGATCTCTTGTCGTTGAATTTATTCTTAGCCACAGGCTGGAATGGAAGGGCTTTCAACGAGTATTTGCCTCCTTTTAACATGTTAGATACAAGTATGCCCTATTTGGTGTTGTTCTTTAAGTGAAAAACTTGAAAATTTTTTGGTAATTCAATTTGTACAATCTAATATCACGTGAGAGAATCATCTTTTGCAATCAAACAAGTTGTTACTTAGTAGCGAATCGCTCGCGTGCGACCCATGTGTATTCTGTGCTGTGAAGTGCAAGAGCATTCTTCAATTCACTTCTTCACTTATGCTGTCTTCTCTTGCTCTAAAGTCAGTCAATTGTCATTTGTCATTTGTTATTTGGTATTTAAGAATCAAAAAAGTGGGAAGTCAAGGATAACAAGTTTGACCGAGCTGGATAAATGACATTCACTTGAACTCCTTTCGGCAGCCTGTAATCAGTGGCTCATAGTCACTGAGATATTTGAAACATTGCGTGAACCTGAGTAGCCTTCGTTGGAAGTTGCCAATTGGCAAAGGGGTCCATCGGTTACTATAACTTGCTTGATGCAATTCTACACGAGAAGCGAAAACCTTTGATAATCATCACATTGGATCTTTGGCTGTTGCTTACTCGATAGACTCATGTTGATATTTACAATCGTTTTGAGCAACAACTAATGAATTACATTTGTTGCGAAATAGAAGTTAGTTGAATAAAAAATCGTGTAATCAAGATTTGTCACTTTTCTTCAGAAATCAGTAAAATTTCAAGAGAGTGACATCTTATTTCTAATCATTTAAATTTCCTGTTCAAATAGTGAGAAACTAACAGAGGTGTGATTGGAGGATGCTGAGGGATTAGTTCTCGTATATAAAATAAACCGTGCTTTCGATTCTCCCTATGACAGTTTTCGCAACTAATTGTCTTGATAGGGACGACCGACCATTTAAAAACCCACAGTTCTCCGTTGATTATCTTAGAATGTAGGCACGGAATTACTTTTGTGATTATTGACCTCCACGGCAGCTCTTACGATTGAAATATTAATCTTTGATCAAATGAGGAGCTGATTAGTGTGTGGTTCTCAAACTGGAATATCCAAAAAAAAAAAATTGAACAAATCTATGTTTGGGCTACATGTTGTGCCGTTAAACATGCCAACTAGCTACCCCTATCATTTGGTATGCATCTTTATTGAAGAGATTAGAGCTCAATTTTACGGTACATACGTAAACAATTAAGGTAATTGAGCGAAAGATAACCCTTAGAACACGATAAAGCTTATTATGCCCAAGACGCAAGGCAAACGTTGGCGGTTCGTATCGGTCTGTTCCAATTGTAAGCTCCGAAAGACAAAATGTGATAGAGGAAATCCATGTTTGGCATGCAAAAAAAAAAGTATACAAGAAACATGTAAATATACAGATGACATTCCAGTATCTAAACCTTACGTCATAAGCGCAAATAAGCCGATGAATATGTTAATTAAGGGCAAGGAGAAGATCAATGATGTAGTTCCTCACTACAGGGATGCAGAAGAGCATGTAAATGGTAGCAGGAAATCCTCTTCCAATAGCAAAGAAATGGAAAATCCAAATGTTCGACAGGTTGATCTCCCTCCCAAAGATCTAGCTTTAAAAAGGTTTGACGCGATGGCTGAAAATGAAGCTAGCAAAAATCGTTGCAATACTGATAATATTGTTGATACAAGAGCTGGAACTGAAGTGATGAGTGAAAATACAGTAGGGCGCAGGACTTCTAAAGCGTACTTATTGAAACGAGATCTGAGGAGTGTTAACAAATTTCGTAGGACTCGAGGAAGGTCAGACTATGAATCATTTGTGGGGTTGAATCCATTTTCCCTGGAAAAAGATCTTATAATATTTTATCCTGATACCAGAAGAAAGCTCAAGGGTGTAAACTCCGATTCATCTGGTCCCTTGTCGTGGACATCAACCATACGAAAAGACTTTGCTTTAAGTATTTTATGGAATGAGTATGTTCACCGCTTAGAGCCGAATCATGATAGAGAGACGGTCGTTGAAGAGGATACTTCTGCTTATTGTAAATACAAGTCGTCCATGGCCATATTATCGCATCAAAAGAGTGATTTTGAATACAATCTAGACAAATTAAAGATTTTCAAAAGAGAGCTTAATGATGACCTTTTGGATATCATTCCTCCTCGAGACGTGATGTTGATTTTAATAGAAAGATTCTTCACGTGGGTTTATCCGTATGTTCCCTTTCTTGATGAATACGTATTTAAGTCTCAAATAAACAGGATCTTAAGTGATGCCTCCATAGAACTGATCAACATATTCGCCTGGAGCGACTACGCATACCTCGGAATTTTACTTATTGTGCTTAGGTTTTCAAGCTTGTCTTATTTGTCTAACTCGCAGCCTGATTCAAATGTGTTCAATGAAGATGATGACTCAACAATCTATTCCCCCAAAGTAGATCGATTCGATTTGGGTCCAAGATTGTTTGATGTTTCGTTGAAGTGTATGGTAATAGCCAATTATAACAAAGGCGACGATTTTCCTGTATTTCTTCTCTCCTTGTTCATAAAGCTCTATTTCAAGTATTCTCCTGAGGGTGTCGGTTTAAATTTAGGAGAGGAGAGAGATGTCAAGGAGATAAATAAGATTCTCATACAAAGAGCGCGTGCAGTAGGATTGGACAAAATTGGCCCTATACCATCATCTTTTGAAGTCAATTATGACTACTTGAAAAGAAAAATTTGGTGTTTTTTGATTATGGCTGATCTTTCACAGAGTTACTCGTTTGGTTATCTGACGCAAATTCCATTCTCATGCTTCGATACAGTGCCGAGCTTCACAATCGACGAATCCAATTTAATCAATAAAGACCTTGATCAAGAGGTGTCTAATTTTTTCTTTCTTAGTTGCAACTTATCCCCATCTCTTCGTCCACTACTCCGAGCGATTTCAATGAGAGATGGCTGCAAAGTGGGCGCATTATGTGGCATGATCAGCAACTTTGAGAAGCAATTTAATAAGGAATTTGGATCTTTGGAGATTTGCTTAAAGGCGGAGGATGCAGACATAAGATTGGAAACATTTAAAAGGCAATTCTCAGTTAAATCTTACTTGGCATTCAGTACTTTTTTGGTGTCCATCTTTTTTCATTTATTTCTACATTTTGAGATAAGCGAGTACAATTTGGCCTTTTTATACCTTAAAAAAGCCTTACTATTGATATCTGAACTCCAAGGGTCATTGCCTACTCTTTTTCATGAAAGTAATTATTCTTGCGACTTTATTATTAACACTACTATTGAGAAGTTTACTCATAGGGCCAATCAAATACTTTTAGCAGTGCTATTCAGGATTTCCATCATCAAATACAAATTTGAAGCTTCGCGGACTGAAGAGGACGAGGAATCGGCTGAGTATGTATCATTGTTAACTGATATTAAAGAAGTCCTTTTAAAGTGTATAAATAATTCAATTTCGATCCTTTCATGTTTATCAAAAAATTACGCCGATACGAGGTGCTTAATTAAAGTGAGCAGAGTGTTTTTGGACTCACTTTTGGATCTGGAAGTAATTAAAAGAATCAGTATTTACGTTTTTGACGAGAAGCCGATACACATGCAGCCCACTTATTTTCAATTGGCTGATATTCGTAGCATTATGGAGTGTTCTAATGCGGAAAGTCAAGAGCTGGTAAAACATCCAGAAATCGAAAACTTTGAGCTAAACTTTTCAGATCTCGATTTTGAGCTAAACTTTACAGATCTTGATTTTGATTTTCGAGATAACATCTTGGATTTCAGTGATTACTTCGCTGAACGTCTTGATTGCGAGAATATACAAATATGAAATTAAGATTTATATTTCTTGATTTGTCGTACCTCAAGGATGGTGGTAATGAAGCTTCAACTCAAAGACTTATCCTGAGTGAAAGTGAAGCTTGAACTAGAAATAATAGATGATCGTGGCCAAAGCATCAGATATTCGAGGCAAACCTTGATCTAGCTCTTAATTTTGGTCCGTTGAGGTAAAATAAAACAGGAATGGAAATCATTAATAGTGCAATTAAACCTAAGATCGTGGAGCCCCATCCAACAGGAAAACTTGGGGTTGCTAGATTATTATATAATGGTTCAGCAAACAATGGGGCAACACCTGCTATAACAGATCTCCACAAGCAGTTACTTGCGAAAACTGAAGCTACGTATTTTGGAAAAGACATACCCAAATAATTTAGCAATGTTTGGAAGATGACAAAGTTAGAATAGCCTGCAATGACAGCGCCAATAAGCGAGCCGATCCAATGAACTTGCCTCGTTGAAGACCATGCAAAAATAAATAATCCGCAGGGTAAAAGACTTCCTCCAACAATACCCATTGGCGTAAATACTTCTGGATAAACAGTCTCATGTCTCAAAAGCTTGAGGGTAAATTTAAAATAAATGAAGGTAACATAGCAGATGGAACCAAGTATCACACCAATCAATAAACTTGAGAAACAAGCACCTTCTTCCACTATAGAGAAATCGAAAATGTCAAGATAAACAATAGGGAAGGCCTCGAACCACAAATAGAGAACAGAGTACACTAACGCCAGGTAAATGTTAATTAAGAGTACGACAGGCTCTATGATGGATATTTCAATAGGTCTCCAAAGATACTTCACTAGAATCTTATTTTTGGCCAAAATTTTCTCTTGAAGCTCATCAATGCTTCTGATCGCATCGTTTCCTGTGAATTTCCTCAATTTCTTGGCTCTTTTATACATCAAGGTAGGTGCATAGGTCTCTGGCAAGCAGAATCCTAAGACACCAAAAGAAATTCCTGAAATAATTAAAATAAACCAAAAGGTCCAGCGCCATCCACCCTTATCGATCAAAACTGCTCCAATCAATGGACCCAATGAAGGACCACATAAAGAACAAATGGCCCAAATGCCAATAACAACGGGCATATAAGGCACCAGTATAACGTCGCAGACAGATGCTCCGCCTGTTGCTAGAACTGGCGACGCAAAAAAACCGCTAATAAATCTTAGTATGCATAATGAAGCTATGTCTGTGCACATCGCCGTTGGAATTTGAAGGACTGCAAAGATAAATAGTGTGACGATGTAAACAGGATTTCGACCAATTGGATAGTATTCGGTTATAGGTGAAAGTATCATGGGTCCTATGCCGTAAGCAACAACAAACATCGTCAACGGTAATGTTGCAACTTCCTGGCTTACATCGAGCTCTTTCATGATCTGAGGCACACCGGGTGTGTATATTGCCAGTGCAATGTATACAGAGAGACTAAGGAAGCCAATTTCTAGACTGAAGAACATCTTGTAATATATTGACCAATTTTTCGGATTGCTTTTATTGCTTTTATCGTTCCATTCATTCAAGATAATATTGGCATAAGTCAGAGGGTCTTTACTCTCAAACTCCTCTTGTTCGTTCCACGCATACACTTCGGTGTCATTTGAAGTAAAGAGGTGCTCTTTGATCAATGTGATCCAAAAGCTGTTTTTGACAAATCTTTCCATGACAGCACTGGTTATACACTTGGAAACTACAGCGAACTATAGAGACGACGTCTTACATGTAATTTTATCATGTCATTAGTGTTTTCAAGGTTCCCTATCAGATTCCCTATAGGGAAAAAGACCGAGGTTATATGCAACATAATTCCAAAGAGGCTAAACACCATAGCGAAGTTGAGAATGAGTAAGATATCTTTACGTATTTAAGAACGAGATTATATCCCATTGATAATTCTATTTGGCCACAAAGAGTGAGTTCCAGAGCGTGAGATTTGTGTAGTTTGAATCTGATGAGAATGAATGAAATAAAGAACCAGAACTACTACAAGCAAGGCTTTGAGAAAAGCGTTTCAGATACGCATGCCTGGCGCACTGTTGATAACTCAGCGAAATTTCTTATTCCCTATCTTAAACCAACCTTTAGAGTTCTTGATGTGGGTTCTGGACCCGGCACCATAACGATAGATTTGGGGCGCTATATACCAAAAGGATCAATCATTGGGGTGGAGCCTACTGAGGAGCTAATAAAGGAGGCCAAAGACAATAGAGCTAAAAGTGGCATTCCCAACGTCGACTTTCGATTGGGATCAGCATACGAGCTTCCTTTTGAAGATGACACTTTTGACCTAGTATTTTGCCATCAAGTCCTACTTCATTTGCAAGACCCTCTTGCGGGACTTAAAGAGATGAAAAGAGTCACCAAGCCTGGTGGATTTGTATGCGCAAGGGAGAGCGACCTTATGGCATCAGTGGTATATCCTCCACGATACGAAACAATTAAAACTCATTTTTTACAAAAAGCTGAAAAAGAAGGCAGTAACGTGAGATTAGGTAGATCTTTGAAAGAATTGGCTTTAGATGCTAATTTCCAACTGTCACAAATTTTTTCTACAAGCTCAAATTGGTGTATCTCGGATGATGATAAGAAACTTTCTTGGGGAAAGGCACACATAAAACGCATAGCAGGCTCCTCCGAGAGGACTCACGAGAATGATGAGATAGACAAACAAAGAAAACTTGAGGTGATATCCGCATGGAAGACTTTCATTAAGGACAATAAAGCATGGCTCCTACTAGTTAGTGCAGAAGTTGTATGCGTTAAATAACTCACCCAGCTAGTTGATATTGATTGAGTTAGCTTCTGTTCTTTACACAGCAGGTGATCTTGAACCATGCTAAGTGATGATAGCTGCTCTGTTCTGATAAATAAATAAATAACTAACAAGCTGTGAAAGCTATAATATAATTCTATTGTAGCAATGAACGTCTCCCATATTGCCGAGATGAGTATTTATTACCATGAATAGATTCCATCGAATTAAAAATGAAAGCTAAGCTTGAATCGATGCTTATCATGTCGGCTAAGAATATAATTAAAAAGTCTTTTGGAGTCGTCCGGTAGTAGGCTTGTAAAACCTAAAACTTGAATGTGGTTAGTACGCCTCCTGTGTTGAATCATTGTGGAGACTTTGCCTGATATCCCTGATGCCCTACACAATCGTCAGTTGTGATTTGATAACTCAACGGTTGGAAACTTCGTCGCCTTGTTTCAATGCGGTTGCAAACTTGGTTCCAAAGATTCTAAATTTTTGTTAGCTACCTTCTTGAAATTAATCACCTATTTATCAACAACTAAAGAGATCATTCAAAGAAAACAGCACAATAGCCGTATTCTATAGCAGATAAAAATATCACTAATTGTAAAGCATTATTGAACTGTGCTTAGAGGATGGTGCCAAGGGTTCTTCCTAATTCAGCCAAAATTGGCATCTTTGGATTCCAAATGATCGGACATTTACGTGCTTTATAAACCACCTCTCTCACATATACCCTGAATGTCTTTTCTACCAAACCCTGTTAGCCTACAGATGATCCTCTGTAGGTAGCTACTAACAAAGTGGTCTGAAGAATAATCTAAATCAGGAATAAGACCGATAAGATTATATACAGTCCAGACATGAAGTAGAACTAAAATAGCTAATCGCAATTCCTCAGCAGTTCGAGTCAAAGCCGTATAGAAACTGTGTCCTTTAAAGAAGAATACGCTAACAGATTCAGCGATCAAAAACGGATTTCAAAATGGAAAAAATTAAAGAGCAAAATTACTATAAGCATGGGTTCGAGAAAAGCGTTTCAGATACTCATAATTGGCGGAATGTCGATAATTCAGTAAAGTTTATTGTTCCATATTTAAAGCAAGATTTTAAGGTACTTGATGTAGGGTCAGGACCTGGCACAATAACAATAGACATGGGAAAATACATATCAAAGGGATCAGTTATTGGCGTGGAGCCCATAGAGGAATTAATAAAGGAGGCCAAAGATAATCAAACTAAAAGTGGAGTATCAAATGTTGCATTTCAAGCAGGATCGATCTATCACCTTCCATTTGAAGACAATACCTTCGACCTAGTATTTTGCCATCAAGTTTTGATTCATTTGCAAGACCCTCTTGCGGGGCTTAAAGAGATGAAAAGAGTGGCTAAGCCTGGAGGATTCGTATGCGCCAGGGAAGGTGATCTCCTAGCATCAGTGGTATATCCTCCACATTACGAGGATACACTCAAGCAATATTTTATGCAAAGTGTAAGGCTCTTGGGCAGTAATGCGACTCAAGGCAGGGCTCTCAAATCGTTGGCCATAGATGCTGGTTTTCATCTGTCAAGTATTTCTAGTGGCAGCTCCAATTGGTGTATCGCGGATGATAGCAGTCGCTTGTTATGGGGTACATCATTTATCAATCGCATTCAAAAATCCTCTCAGAGGGTTGATGAGGACGATCAAAAGGACGAGAAAATGAAGAAGGAGATCATACTGGATTGGAAAAATTTCATCGAAGATGAGAGAGCTTGGCTTATGTTCCCTAGTGGCGAAATCGTATGTAAAAAGTAGTATCTCGTATGCTTCTTTATTTAACCTCTTAACTATCTAATTTAATCAAAAATTTTCCCATACTCTTATGTCCTGACCTAAGACTCGCTAATCAATGAGAAGCTATAGGTCACAAGAGCAACATGACTAGGATTATTGACGTGTTGTGAGATTCTATAGAAATATTTACCTTGATGGTCCAGTCCTTCTTTTATGGTCCGCCACAAAGTGCAAGAGTTCCAATAATTTTATATATCATAGTCTCTGACCTTTCAAGTCATTCAAGTATCTTTCCTTTTCCAAAATATAGTATTCAGCTGCTGTCAAGCCCTTCGGTATTTTGGGAGGAACGTTTGGTTTGGGCCTTTGATTCTCATCGTTGTGTCCAAGCTTATCAAAAATTGTAGGCGAAAATTTTCCATCACCTAAATAACCAGTCTCGCGAGTTCTTAAGTCGATTGACAAGTCATTTCTATTTGCGTTTCCATTTTGTAATCTCAAAGTCCTTGTTAAATGTTCATCAGGTGTTGGTGCGTAATATTTCGGATCTATTTCATCAGGATTGAGCTTGTATGCTCCGTTATTATCAATATTTCGTAACGGGTGTTTTAATCTAGATACTGGCTCATCCATCAAGAAGACCTGACTTGGAATGCCATCATCATTAGTCTCCAATCCTATTGTATCCGCTGAAAACGGGATTGATCTGCTATTTTTAAATGTATTCAGCGAACTCAGCTGACTCTTTCTTTTTGTTGGAGATGAAAAAGGACTGACTTGCTGTGCAGCTTGCAGTAACTCTGAGTATTCCTTTGATGGAGTCGCATAATGTGGGGGAGGAGGAGGTGGCGGTGGTAAAGGCAGTTCATCTATTACATTATCATCATGATTTATAAACGAATTCTTGTTTATATCTTCCCGCCATTCGTCAAGGATGGTGTCAAGGATGACTTCAAATGAAAAACTTGAAAATTTTTGATAATCCGTTTTGTACAGTTATGATCACGTGAAACAAAAAACACTTTGCAATCAAACCTTGATCTTATGAGACAAGGGTTTGTCACCTCCCTTAAAAGACCTCTAATGAACTAGGGAATGTGAAAAAACTTTTAGAATAGTTGTACCAAGCATGATTTAAAATAAACAGAAAGACTTTTAAAGTCATTTTGGAGCTGGTATCTAGTAAGTTTACCGAATCTGCAACTTGCTTATGGTATAAGTACGTTTTCTGTTCGCAATCTACTTGGCGATTCAATACCTCTAATATATCATCCCGTTACACAATTAATTTTCTGAGATAATACAACCCAGGATTTACAATTTCGTTTTGCTATTTATGGTATTCTTCATAATCACGACATGTGAGATTTGATAACTCAGCGCTTTGTACTTTAATCTTGAATAGCCTGAAAGAATATGCTTTCGGGAGCTTATAAGATAGAAATAGTTTGCTCGGTATGGTTTGCTGATTTGAAAGGGATTGTGAATTAAGAGACCATCTTGTAGAAAAATGAAGTTGACGGAACATACTAATCTTGCGCTCGGTAAGTTCCATTAAAATTAGCAAAGAGATGTTAAAGCACACTTATATTAATCGTCCATCTATCTGAATACAATATGGCTACCTTTCACATTTTCAAAACCTACAATTTATTACAAGAACGAATATTTCAATATAACAGCGATTGCGAATACTAAGGCTCAGAAATAATAAAAGAATTCGCTTGATGCTGCCATACACTTGAGCTTGAACTTCTAGAAAAAAAAACCTCTTGAGATATTCCTTCTCTCCTTCGAAATTAAGGATCATATCGTTGTACAATTTCTATAAGCAGTCACAGCGATTGTAGCATCTATTCAAAAGTGATCACAAGATACTATGCGGTTGCAAATTTCCAAAGATACTGAATTTTACTGTAAGCTTTGGTATTGGAAAGAACCATGTATGTATATACTGTCAATGATGAGCTCAGTCGAGCAAGAGGAGAGTTACACTTGGTCCTATCCATGAACAAAAATAAATATCGTCGACGGTAATGTTGCACTTGACATTGAATCCTCGTTTTAGTTGGTCTATTTCAGATTTGTACTTTGTCAGTAAAATATAAAGTAAGAGACCGAGAAGCCCAATCTCCAGACTAAAGAGAGTTACACAACATGTTGACTGGCTTTTAGATTCTTTTGTTGTTTTGTCACTTCGCTCCTACATCAGAATTTCAAATTGTGTAATTCTGGTTTTTCCAAAATTTTGCATCTTTAAATTCCTTTAACACATGATCTGATATAAATGTGCCAGAAACTGTCTCTCACAAATTCATTCACGAAGATTTCGGTTCTCCGTACACCTTCAGACCACAAATGAAGCTTCTTGAGATAGTTAACTCTAAATAGGTGGACTTAGGCAGTATCTAAGTAAGAAGAAAGAACGGTGCCAGTATATACAGTCCAGATACCTAAAAAGGCTAATCTCCAGGGCTCCGCTCCTCACTAGTTCGAATCAATCTATATAAGCAAAGTGAATGCCCACTTGATAAAAACAAATTCATGGAATCAGGGTTCAATACGACTTTAAAAATGGAAAACAGTAATCAAACCTACTATAAGCGTGGGTTCGAGAAAAGTGTTTCAGATACCCATAGTAGGCGGAATGTGGAAAACTCAGTAAAATTTATTGTTCCATATCTAAAGCCAGATTTTAAGGTACTTGATGTAGGCTCAGGACCTGGTACAATAACAATAGACATGGGAAAATATATACCAAAGGGATCAATTGTTGGCGTGGAACCTACAGAAGAACTCTTAGATGAAGCAAAAGCAAACCTTGAAAAAAGTGGAGTATCAAATGTTGCATTCCAAATGGGGTCGGCTTATCAACTTCCTTTCGAGGACAATACGTTCGACCTTGTATTCTGCCACCAAGTTTTGCTTCATTTGCAAGATTCTCTTGCGGGTCTTAAAGAAATGAAAAGAGTAGCCAAGCCAGGTGGATTTGTATGCGCCAGGGAAGGTGACACCTTGGCAGCAGTGGTATATCCTCCTCGGTACGAAAATACAATCAGACAGTATTTTTTGCAGACTGCAAAGTTCTTAGGTAGCAATGTGGCTCAAGGCAGAGCTCTTAAATCATTGGCCATAGATGCTGGTTTTCATCTGTCAAGTATTTTTAACAGCAGCTCCAATTTCTGCATCGCAGACGATAGCGAACGCTTGCTATGGGGTCTGTTATTTATCAATCGCATTCAAAAATCTTCTCAAAGAGTTAATCAGGATGATGAAGAAGACAAGAAGATGAAAAATGAGATCATACTGGATTGGAAAAACTTCATTGAGGATGAGAGAGCTTGGTTCGCGTTACCTAACGGCGAAATTGTATGTAAAAATTAGTATTTCGTATGCATCTTGAGATAATTTCTTTTCTATGTAATTTAACCTAAATTTTCATATTCTTATGTTCTTACTAAGACTCACTAAGTAAGGAGAGATTATAAGATCACAAAAGCAACAGAGAAAGAGCTTCAAAAATATCTACTCTTTTTAAATGCAAAAAACATAGTTGAAGTAAACCTTCAAAATGATCATAGTCTTTGCCCCTTCAAGTCATTCAAGTATCTCTCCTTTTCCAATATATAATATTCCGCTGCAGTTAAACCCTTCGGTATTTTAGGAGGAACGTTTGGCTTAGGCTTTTGATTCTCGTCGTTATGTCCAAGCTTATCAAATATCGTAGGGGAAAATTTCCCATCACCAAGATAGCCAGTTTCGCGAGTTCTCAAATCAATTGACAAGTCACGACTATTAGCATTTCCATTTTGCAACCTCAAAGTCCTTGTTAAATGTTCATCTGGTGTTGGTGCGTAATATTTCGGATCTATTTCATCAGGATTAAGTTTGTAAGCTCCATTGTTATCAATGTTTCGCAAAGGGTGTTTTAATCTAGATACTGGCTCATCCATCAAGAAAACTTGACTTGGAATGCCATCATCATTAGTCTCCATCCCTATTGTGTCAGCCGAAAATGGGATTGATCTGCTATTTTTAAATGTGTTCAGGGAACTCAGCTGACTCTTCCTTTTAGTTGGAGATGAAAAAGGACTGACCTGCAGTGCAGCTTGCAGTAACTCTGAGTATTCCTTTGATGGAGTCGCATAATGTGGGGGAGGAGGAGGTGGCGGTGGTAAAGGCAGTTCATCTATTACATTATCATCATGATTTATAAACGAATTCTTGTTTATATCTTCCCGCCATTCGTCATTACCTGCTACGCTATCATTATCAAGTCCGTACTCACTTATAGGTGAGACGGAACGCTGTCTATCTTCTTTCGAAATCTTAAAAGGTCCTTTATTTTGGGTCCAAAAGCTGGTTATGGGTTCTTTAGACTGAAACTTCGCTTTGAATTTGTTGAACTTATGTGCTAATTTACCCGTACCGCCCAGGTTTTCTTGAGGTTCAGGGCCACTTTCAACTTGTACAGCTCCTGCTTCACGGTCATTGGAATCAGCTGAGCTGTTAAATGGGGTTGTATCAACTGAGCCTTGACTATATTTGAAAAGAGAAAGCCTCTTCAGAGCCTTAGATGATCCCTGAGAAGTGACAAAAACTTCATCACTAACGTTTGGAGTTCGGGCTCTGGATGGATGTTTTGGTGGTGGCGGAGGCAAGTCTTTAACGAGTGTATTCCTAGAATTGTGAAACGATCCTATGTCCTGCTCCAAACTATATGGCATGGCTACCTTTGGCGGTAGCACCGGTGAGGTCGGATAAAATGTCATTTCTAAATATATCATTCCAGCCCTTCTCCCATTCAAAGTCAAATCATACCACTTATCGTATATATATTTGCCATTCTGATGGTTGTCGGGGTTAGAGAAGACCATAGAGCAATCAATTTCTGTGGCTCCAATAGGCGTAGGATCGTTCTTAGTTTCATCTAAAACGTCTAACCTTACTATCGGCTTTCTATCCCTGCTCAAATCAAATCTTATCTCTTGAGTCCATTCGGGGGTTTGTCCTGCTCTAAAGTGGGCTTCGGTCTTTCTAGCTGTTGTGCCTAATCTCAAAGTGACATAGGGTGACTGTTTATCTAGCTTCCTTCTATTAGGCAAGTGCTTCGCCCGGCAAACTATAATCACTAATGTTCCGTCTGCAGATTCTGGCCTACCATCACCAGATAAATCGGGTACAAAATTGTCCTCTAAGCCATTCATTATAAGCAATTTTTAATTGATAAAATTAAATGTCCTTTAGCTTGGTTCAGAAACCCAGACTAGTGCCAATAGGTCATAGTTATTTTAGGATCCATATTGAGGCTTTGTTTACATTTTGCGTGATGAGCCAGCATATAATAATGTCGCAATCACTTACGACGACATCGAAACGTATACGACATTGCTTGATGATTTTTTTTTAGCAGATATGATGAGGTGAGACTTGACAGCAGAAAAGTCTCCTGGAAACACTTAAAGATTTTAAAACAGCCAAGTCTATATTTTAAAACGGTAGTTTAAGGCTACCTGAAACTATTTATAGTCAAGAAAATGGCGGTCCGCTCTAGAAATAGGGGCCGAGCGTTACTTCCTTTTGGTTTGGAATACAAGGACATTTTAACCTCTAGTACAGGTGACGAACAGCCTCAGATAGAGTTGCCGCTTAATGGACCATTAAGCGAGAGAGAAGCATATGCAGCGCAAAAGCTGATTACATTTCTGAAAGAGATATCAGAAGGACCGTTCCACGTGTGGACAGGTCGAGACTTGGAAGACAGTGTGACAGCATCAGATCACGTACAGAGATACTCCGATAGATACAATAAAGTTAAAAAGTCTGGAGGTAAAATGGAAGATAGAAAATTTGAATTGGAATATTTTCCCGATGAGTTGCATTCGGTTATGGGTACCACGAAAAAAAGACGGAAAGATACAAAAAGGGAAAAAGATACAACCAAACTATCATCTAATGATAAAGTCACTATGTTGGATGGCTCAGTCACTATTAATGGTAAGGACACTCTAGAGAAATTAAGTGATATAGCTGGCGAGCTAGATGCTGATGTAGATCATAGTAAAGAAGATGAGGACGATGGCGACGAAGAGGAGGTCGATGAGGAACAGGATGATGAGTTTGACGAGGACGACGATGATGACTACAACGCTGAAAAGTACTTTGATGATGGGGATGATGATGTCGGCGATGACGGGGACGACGAAGCTGCATTTTGATTTTTACAGACATAGAATACATGAACTATTTTTATATAGTTGAATTTACATTATAATATTTAAAATGTATAATATCTTAACTGTACACTTTAGGTGTCGAATGCAAAACTTATCAAGGCGTTCCTAGCACCATCTATCTTATTTAGCCATCTACCAAATTTGTGCTCCTTACTAGTCAAGACGTATATGACCAATTTTTTGCTTTCTGGAATTTCCACGCTTTCGATGCCCACAACACATCCTTTAACATCATTTATTTCTCCGATAAGACTAAAGGACCTTAAACCTTCTTTGTCAATTTTCCAAAGTTTGACGGATCCGTTATAGGAACCCGTCACAAATATATCACTAAAAGGTATCGCATGAGTAGCAGTAATCCAGTATGGTTGTGGTTCAGGTATTTGAAGTTCTGCTATTTTCGGAGCCGATTCTGCACTTGCTTTCTTAGGAAGCAATCTGTCTTTTAAACCATGTGAAATTCTATGAGTGAATAAGGGTTTCTTTTTCGACAATGACCAAAGAGAAAGATTTCCATTATCTGAACCTGTTACAAAATGTGTCTCGTCATTCATCGAAACGACATCTATTGATCCCTCGAAAAAAAATGGTTCATTATCTGTGTCACCCTGAGCATCATCATTCTTTCTTGACTTCCTTTTACCTTCACTGGAGTCACCCCCACGAAATGTTAAACGAGATTCTTCAGCAATCTTCCAAAACATCGCAGTCTTATCTCTAGAACCAACAGAAACACATGTTTCTCTAGACAATGACGTTATATCAGAAATATTATCCTGATGTCCATATAAGACCTCAAGCTGACAAAACTGGTTAATCGAAAATGTTTTGACTTTAAGGTCAGCACATGCAGCAAACAACTGATCGGTGTTTCGTCTAAATGCTATCGAGTTCACGGGCGCTCTAGTTTCTAATACTTTTAAACATGCAAGGTTTTCAGATGACCAAATAATTAACCTAGAGTCATTTCCTCCTGTTACTATATATTGACCATCAGGGGAAGCAGCAACACAATTAATCTGATCACAATGATGATTCAAGCTCGGATTACTCTTCAACTCGAAGTGCTTGAAACCACCTTTAGTATGTCTTAGACGTTGTGGGGCCCTCTTATCGACGCTAATATTCCACTTAATTAATTCGATATCCTTCGAAGTTGTGTAGAGATAAGGGTATCTAACTGCTATCGCAGTAAGATTTTTCAGACCGATTCTAGTTGTTTTAACAGCAACATCGTCGATCTGTGAAGAAATTCTATCACCAATAAACTTGTAGATATATCCCTTTTCTTCAGCTACATCTGTTTGCAATCTTCTTGCTATTATATCATTATCAATGTCCTGTGCATCAAAGAACTCATCGTTACTTTCACCAAGTTCTTCGTTTTTTATGTTTTCCAAGTATTGCTTAGCTAACCTTCTTCTTCTGTCAGCTGCACTTTCGTCAGCAAACTCTTCATCAGATGACAATGCCTTTTCTTCTGAATCAGAGACTAATTCGGCTTCTGAATCACTATCATGACTAGATATCTCATCATCATATTCCTGCTCACGGTTGTTCCTGGGAGTCTCATGGAAGGCAGATCTGCTCGACTTTTTTGCGGTGCTGGTGACCTTATCAGATTTCCTCCTTTTTCTAGAAGGATCTGACAAAAACGGATCACTTGCCATCTTTATGTCGCTAGCAATATCTATGCTACAATATGTCTCCAAAATAGCCTTAAAATGGTAAGCTTCGTTAGCTTTTCACTTCAATGAAAAAAATCATATCCAAAATGACTTAGCGATGGGACTTCATCTCATTAGTCACGTGATTGATTATATATTTTTATTTAGAGGAACCAACGGCAAATAGCCAACAAAGATATATTTAGGACGCTAACAGAGATTTCAGAGCCAAGGGGACTTAGAGCTTCGACGAGCTATCAAAATAATAACAATAAAGTGAAAGTATTTACATAAAAAACAGACATGACCTGTCCAAGTATATAAGGAAAACAATACCCAATTAATAGAATCGAATTCTTTTCATGGTACTAATCCTCCAACAAATCTTCTATGTCATGGTCTTCAGCTGCATCATACGAAGATTGTTGCCTTTGCCTTAATTCATTCAATTCTTCCTCCAATATACTTTGTTGGAGCTTAACATTTTTTCTAGTCTTTTTACCCCAACCGAACGAAGAAGCTTGCTCCTTAATCGATTCTTCCTTCGCTTGTTCTTCCTCATCCTTTCCGGCAGCTTCTTCCTTTTCCCTTTTATCATTCTCGAGATCCCTCTTAATTTGTTTCGTTTTTGCCCATGTAGAGTAGTGATGGCGAAATATCAAATAGAACCCAACGATAGCGAGCAAACGAATGTACTTGAGTATCGTATCCTTATCGACATATTCGAAAAGAAATTCAAACATATCTGGCCCAATCAGAAAACCTTATGGATATGTTATGATTATAGAATGGAAATCAAAAAATTTAGCTTACTTACACAGATGGACCGTCTCGATCAGAAATGAACAGCCGGGCACGACTGCTAATAGCACCGTTACAATATACGTAAAGAGGTAAATTCTATTAATACCAACCAACGATACGATAGACAATGACAATGGGACCATTATAACGTGTGTATGTCATATATGCTCACATATTGCTCTTTAAGTTTGTTCAAAGACGTCATTTTAATTGTATTGAAAAGTGCAGTCACCTCCAATATATAATCATAATTCATCGTCATCACTAAATGGGTCTAGTTCAGGAAAGTCACCAACTTCAACCTGCTTAGGCTTAACGAAGCTACCATGTTTCTGCTTACACTGGAATAGACGATGACCATTGATCAGACCGTCATTACGGCCAAGTGGTTCGTCAAATTCAATTCCCACCCAAATACTTTCTCCTTCGTCCAACATCTCAATTTTACCAAGATATCTTATCGTACCTCTTCTTTCTCCTTGTATATTTATTATTCTGCACCTATCGCCTGTATTCATTTCAGATGATATCTTTATGTCTCTCTCTAAAGCGTTTGCCCTCTCTTGATTGTAAGCAGGATCAAACCTACCAAGTTGATTCTTTTGTTTCCAATTTAATACAGAATCTCCTCTCTTGGCATACTCCTCCTCTGAAATTGTGAATTCTGGTATCTCTTCATTACTATTATCCAAATCTTTTAAATCAGAATCAGGATCAGTATCAATAATGTGAAGACGACCATAAGGAGAGAGTCCTAGCTCAGAAACCCTTGTTGATTGATCCAAGACTTCATTAAAATCTTTAGCGTCTATGAGTAATCTACAGTCATTTGAAGCCGCTGGATAGTATTGGATAGTTTGAAATTGAGGTTGAATCCCAGTCACAAGTTCGATTTTTTGTTTCAAATAATGCAAGTCCCACTGAGGGGATATCCTTCTCTCAGAAGACGTCAATGAAGACGTCACGTACACTTGTATATCGCTCATACCTTGAATGAGTGTGAAAGCTTTGATTGTGATGATTAAACGTCAAAACTTAGTTGATTTGTTTATTTATTTGAATAGACTGCACAAACGCAGCAGTTCAAGAGTCCACTATCTTTTATACAAGAATCTCTTTGGAACAGAATAATAATAATGCCCCATCAATAGTATAGGTGAGGCATTGGGCTGCTATTTTACTTGATACACGGTATGGCAAACAGCGAAGAATACAAAATCAAACGTTACGTAGACTTATTCTCTCTTGAGACTTAAACCTTCAAACTGGAATAGGATCTAAGAACTCAAAGCTGATATCACCCTTAGAATTGCTTATTTCATTGGAGGGCGACTATTCTATACCCTTCCATAGTCGTAGCTCATATATCGGATTAAAGCCTCGTTTCTTCAAATCTCTATATGACCATATTCAATTCGGTAGACTTTGTGAGACTTATGTATTGAATCTCGAAGAAATGGTTCTCAAGTAAGAAAATATCTTTAAAATCATTAAACTCTCTTTAAAGTGAAGCTTTGTATAAATAATGACTGAAAACGTAAGTATCGTGGAAACATGTTGTTGAGGTGTGATAATGGGCTTAAGGAAAAGCTGAACTCTGGGATTAAATAGAGACTAACGGCAGCAGAGACAAGGTAATAGAAGGAGACATAATAATAATTCATCTCTTCCAAAACAGGAGGGACCAAAGAGAGAAGCTATTCTAGATCTAAACAAATACAAAAACCAAGAGATTAGAGTAAAGTTTATCGGAGGAAGACAGGTCACTGGTGTTTTAAAAGGATTTGATCAGTTAATGAACATGGTTTTGGGAAATGTACAAGAGACATTAAGAGGTAAGTAGACAATAAGAGCATGCAACCGAATGCTGCTTTTTGATTCGATTTCATGAATACTAACTGAATATAGACCCAGAAGATGATAATGTGCTTACAAAAGAGACCAGAGACTTGGGATTAGTGGTAGTGAGGTGCACATCTTTGTTAACTATATCTCCTGTTAATGGCAGCGAGATCATAGACAACCCATTCATTCCACCTCAGTAGACCTTCAATTCTACATATACTTTGTAATATAGAACGAGAAGGAAGATGAGAGGGATGAGATCAGAAAGGCAGAAAATTACTAATTGCATATGGTTATTCTTAGCGCCGTAATTGACAGGAAAACAATTAGCTTCCATTCTTTAGTTATGTAATGCTACACGGTATAAAGTATAATTTGTAGAGAGTAAATGCTGAAAAATAGTGTTAAAGCTTTAGGTGTTAGGGATTTAAAAAATAAAAAAAAAATTTCGAGCTTGATTATCTCCATCAGCAAAGCTTTTTAAAGGAACGTATATCTATACTGAAGACATGTCTGTTTCACATGAAGTGAGCAAGAACGTGATATTACTACCACAAACAAACCAGATCATAGGATTGTATTCTATAATTCGAGATAAGAATACTAAAAGAGGAGATTTTGTCTTTTATGCTGATAGAATTATTAGGCTTCTCGTTGAAGAGGGACTCAACCAATTGCCAGTCGAGGAAGCTGTGATAGAGTGCCATGGAGGGAATAAATACAATGGTGTCAAATTTCTTGGAAAGATTTGCGGAGTTTCTATCGTAAGGGCTGGAGAATCAATGGAGATGGGTCTCAGAGATTGTTGTAGATCTGTAAGAATTGGAAAAATTCTTATTCAGAGAGATGAAGAAACTGCAATGCCTAAGTTATTCTACGAGAAGTTGCCCGAAGACATTAGTGACCGTTATGTGTTCTTATTGGACCCAATGTTAGCAACTGGAGGTAGTGCCATGATGGCCGTGGAGGTGTTATTATCAAGAGGCGTAAAAATGGAAAGAATCTTATTTTTAAATTTGTTGGCAGCTCCTGAAGGCATCAAGGCATTTCAAGATAAATATCCGGATGTAAAAGTCATTACAGGGGGAATTGATGAAAAATTGGATGAAAATAAATATATTGTTCCGGGGTTGGGTGATTTTGGCGATAGATATTATTGCATTTAATGAAGTTCGTTAAATTAATTAGTCAATTGTGTATAGTGGGTATTACATACATTTTTTGTGTACTATATCAGGATTTTCCGTGTATTCTTCACTAGTAACCCACATCTTTTTAAATGTTGATAAACCAGCCAAAATTGAGCCACCAATCCAAGTAGAATACTTTCTTTCCGGAGGAGCATAAATTTTGACCTTCATATTCATATTGTACGATGCACTGTTTATTTTGGACCATATCGAATTGCTCAGCTGTTGCTGTTGTTGTAATGCCCTTAACTCATTAAGCATTCGATCTCCGAAATTTTTTAATAGCGTATTACCTCCCGAGAGTATTATATTCTGATACAAGGTGGATCTTAGATCCAAATCTGTCTTAGATATTGATATGGAGGCCAATTCATGCAAACCCGGAGATTCATCTCCAATTATTTGTGGATCGAACAAGATTTCAGTTGACCGAAATCTTTCTGCTCCCATATTTATCTCATGACCATCTGGTAATCTATAAGTGGCATTCAAATCAGATTCTTGTGACCCCATATAAAAATGGGAAGAATATAACTTTTCATCTTTAATTGGATCTTTGGAAATAAAGCACACCTTTTCTTTGATCATCCTAACGATCTCAAACTCTGAACTACTCAGTAGATTTACTCCTGTCATTTTTCTTAAGTTGAATGCTAAATTTTCCGTTATATCTCTACCAGCGACATCCATTCTTCTGATCGAAGTAGGCAACGAAAAACCTTCATAGACGGGAACCACATGACTGACACCATCACCACTATCTATTACGACTCCAGTTGTACGACCCGAAGCATAGAGTGACAATACAGCTTGGATCGACACATATACGCAAGGTATATTAAACAGCTCAAACAAAATCTGACACATTTTCTCTCTATTCAGTCTGGGATTTAATGGTGCTTCAGTAATGAGCAAAGGATGCTCCTCAGGATTGATATTCAACTCTTGGGTATATAGATGGTACCATAGCCTTTCCATATCATCCCAATCCTTTACTATTCCATGCTCAATTGGATAATTGAGCTTTAATAAACCTCTATTCTGCTGTGCATAATTACCCATAAATATACCATCTTTCGCTCTCTCTGAATTTTCACCTTTCATTAAGCCTGCCATGATCTTTTGATATTTAGGTCTTCCGACTATAGAAGAACCATATGTTTTAGGCTTTTCTTCACCTGCAAATCCTGCTTTCAAATTACCTGATCCATTATCTATCACCACGGGCTGGTTATAAAGATTCCCCGACTCCATTCAAAAAAAACAGCAGTCCAATGCAATATATATAGTTTAGACCACTTAATTGATGTGATCCTGACTTCTAATGAAGATATTTAACCCTATACTTTTTAGGTATCGCTCGTCGTATCCAGTGTTTACTATATTTTATTATATTGATCTAAAGTATTTTCGCGTTATGATTACACTTGTTTTACTTTATTTTAGACTTAATTGATCTAAGTTTGTCTTCCATAACAAAAGGATTCAAGGAACCCTCACGTAAAGAACTTACTGAATGCTGGCTCTTAATTCGCTTTCAGATAATCAGAAATCTCAGTTGCGGAATGCTTTTACACTCATCGATGGAGACTCTAGAGACTCCACCATAACAAAGTCAGATTTGACTCGATTGTATAAGAATTTGGACATGAAGGTTCCCAGTAATGCAGATATAAGTAAGATGCTTAGAGACGCAGGAGCAGATGGGAAAGAAGGAATCAACTTTACTCAGTTTCTGAATACTATGGCAAAAGAGCTTCTGAAATTTAATGACCGGTTTACGATCTATAACTCGCTTAAGGCATTTGCTGACGAAGGCGAACATAATGATTCACAAGATTTGCTTATAGATGTTGAGAAGTTGAAAGAAGCATGTTGTTCTGTTCAGCTTGGTGAGATAGGCTCTGGTGATCACAGGTTATCAAGAACTGCATTTGAGAATCTCGTCAAAGGATTTGTTAAAGAGCAGTCAGATGGTAAGAAAGTATTGAATGCTAACCAGTGGCTTGCTGCCTACATAGACTAAAGTTCGAACTCGATGTCGTATATTTGATGCAATTAAAGTACAATGTATGGTGTTAATTATCCATGATCTAGAATTAAGAATTCTTTTCTGTAGCTGAACGAGACGCGAGACGCTATAAATAAAAGTATTCATTTCAAAAAGGAAGTAGGAAGATAAAGGGAACAAAAGAAAAGCTGAGGAGTTAGTGATCGATAATCAATTCATCACATCCCCAATCTTCGTAGGAACCATCAGGCAAATATCTACGAATGACCAAAGGTATCTTTCTCTGAGCTAGCTCTTTCATAGCGATTTGTAATGGATCAGTTTCACCTTCAATGTCCACTAATACGGGCGCATTCAAGGAAATCTGTAATGCCCTTGTTCCTAAAATTCTTGCTCTTTCATATTTGGTCATGTATGGAGTAGTAGTTCTTCTCTCTTTTGGAATGGATAACTCTTTCGCAGTTCTTTGTCTGGGTTTACCTTGATCAGGCCCATAGCCTCCATTGATTATAGTCTTACCATCTTCTGTTTTCATTTCTACATCGCCATTCCCATTAACATCTTGTTCGGGCTCGTTGAACTCTTCGTCAGAAAATTGGTCCGGCCCATCAAAGTCATCATAGTGCTCAACATCTTCATTAAAGGCATTATCTTCCACGTCCGACATGTTTCAGGTTGCGATTCCAGTTTCTAGCGTCCCACACCTTAAGTAGTAATATAGTTGATAGGTGGGCATCGTAACTGAAAAATCGATGAAAAATAAAGAAATCGCCAAATCGCACTACTCTATCAACGACTGCCAAAGAACCATATTTGGAGTATAAAAGCCAGAACTACAACCGAGTAAATTGGTTAAACTCGTTTAACTTGACGAAACAAATTCTATATGAATTAATTCAAATATAAAAGGCGGGTTTTTAGAATCATTTTTTTAGTTTATATCCTCGAAGCTCATCCCGAAACTACAAATTGAGAAATTTAGTATTAGCGTTGATGATGTAAGATTGACATGCACAGTTGTGATATCTCAGTAATTATATACAAAGATACGTTCTATCTTTTCTCGTTATTTAATGTCTTAGAATCGATTATAATTCATCAGCATATGGCAATACATCAACGTTACCAATGGCAACATAGTTGAAAGAATCGAACTTGACAGGAGATGATGAGCCAATTTGAACATCGGCAATAGAATCGTAAGTACTTTGTAAGGCAACAGCCAACTTTGCAGCTTTGGTGGCATCCGATAAGGAACTTGAAGAGACACTTTGAAGTACCTTCTTAGCTGCTTTGATGCCACTTGTCACATCTGAAGCAGAACCGGTAACAGACACAACAAATAACCCAGCATCTTGATACTTGTATAATTGTGAAGTAGCACCAGGAATTTTTGAAAGAGGTGTTTCGGCACCTGGTAAGAACGCGGAACCAACTGCAGCAGACAAAATTTCGTACTTACCGAAATCTGCTGGCTTGACTGGAACACCAATTAAAGCAGCAGATTTACCGGTAGCTCTAATTCTGGATTCTTTACCAACATGGAATGAAACTGAAGGGGATGCCGTTGAACCTGTAGGTAAGCTGGAGAGGGCAGATTCACCGACGAACAGGGACAAATCGTCTTGATCAACACCTAACGCATGGAGGGAAACGTTCTCTGAAGTGTAAACCTTTGCTGCAAACTCCTGAAGATCATCAGCAGTAACATTCGAGGACCCATCGTAGTACAATGGGTGACCCAAGCCTTTTCTGAATGACAATTCATGTAAAGACTCCAAGGCTGTAAAGGCATTGTCTGCGTGTGCAGCATCATATTCTTCCTTGGCAGCCGGTAAAACAATTTCTGGCAATTCGTAAGGTCTGAATGAGGTCTTTGTTAAAACATTGCCCAAGGCTTCCACAAAGTATGGCAAGTCTTCCTTCAAGAATTGAGTTTTCAATACAATCGCATCTCTGGTAACATTACTCGAAAACAGAGCACCCAACAATTCTGCTTCTCTTGTAAACCTCAATGCAGATTTAGGCTCCGTGTTCAAGAAACTGTGCTTGGCTAATAAGTGGGCAACTCCTGATTTACCTTCCTTAGACCCTGCATTATTAACCCTAAGTGTCAATGATGATAACTCAGTACTACCTCCTTTAGCGTTAATTTTGATGCCGTGGGCTGCTCCGCTGTAAGCACGGGTTGAAATACGAGACAACATCTTTAATTATGTTCTTACTATATAGATCTTATGTTCGATGAACTCCTGTTGTTAAACAACCGCTCTTAGATTAAATTGGTATATAAGATTCTTTTTTCAAAGAAAAATTCTCGTTTGTTTGATTGGCAGAAAAACGAGCACGTGATCACGTATCTAAGGTGTTGATAGAACCAACGACAAAACAGCACCGGAATCTAGATTTGGGTCAATCTAAGGGTTGGTATCTTGTCGTCGGAGATATTATTATCAAGAATGTAGTCGTAAGTCACACGAGCCCAAATCTGGTCGATCATAGTCAAGGCATGAACAGCTCCCCATATCAAATTAAGACTGTAAAAGAAGTTTGAGTTTCCATTGCCCAAGACAATCCAAGAGTAGTAAAAAATTGGAGTGAGCAAGAGACACACGAGAAGGGTGAGTCCTGTAATGTAGATGAAGCGACAATATTGTAAAAAGGTACTTTTGAAAATAGGTATGAGCGAAAGTGCAAAAGCAAGATCACCAACGGTGGAATATGACTTTGTGAAGGATAACCAAAGGTATGAAAGCACGACAGCTAGAAAAGAGTCACCTAATACCAGCGTATGATCTTTGTTTTGGAATTCGAATAACCTAACGGTAAAAGGTGCGATAAAGATGACTGAAAAGATATTGAATACCCCAAGATAAAATGGCGTAAAGAAGTCAAACATTTCCGTGAACATGTACCACCAAAGACCCAAATTTGGTGAAATCTTGTCGAATTTGATAACCGTTCCGTAGCACAGGTTTAAAAATGACCATGAGGATGTGGCAAAATATGAGGACCAAAGTAGTATAGAAGTTGTGATAAGGTACGAAGCGATTCCCGTAACACATACCAGTTTCCAACTTTTGCGGGTGTTTGCAACGTACAACCCGAGGATCGGTAGTATCAAGAAGTTGAGGTTCAATGAAAGATACCCTGAGATAGACAAAGCCATCATAGATCTAACCAAGTTGGAATATTTCGTAGCCTGAACCAAAGATACACTTAGTAAGAACAACCCAAACACTAAAGTTGAATGTGACAAATTGATAAGAATGACGAGTGGGTTGAACAAGTAGAAACTTGCGATCAAGCTGTCATCATATCCTTTCAATGACTTTCCAGTTCTTTCACTATTATGTTGACAATACCACTTGTTCAATGCTATAAAATTGTATGCAATGTTTATATCAACTAACGTGTATATCAAATTAAACGTCATTCCAGCCAAAGGCTCTGGCAAATCGTTAAATATATTCAAAAACATGACTAGCAATGGAGGATGTGCAATATTTCCCCCATCATATAAGTTTATACCATGATTTAGGTAGTAAAACGCTTCTTGCAACGTTTTAAATGAATTTATTGGTGTGCAAACTTCAACTGTCGTTGATAAATTAAAAGGTATATTAGGCAAAACTGTAGGTAGGAGCCATCTCAAAGCCACACTGATGGCTATAATTGGGCCCATTCGACCCATTTTGCTCTAATTAGTTTTTTTCTTTTTAATAGTATTTGATATATTGTGTATTCTAGCCAAAGCGACGCATTTTTTCAATTCTTGAGTTGTTATTATCTATAAAAAGGGCACAACAAGAGACAAAAAGCATAAAGGATGTCAACCGTAAGTAGCTACACATTCATTAACGAAGATACATTAAAGAGAGTCAATACTAACTAAACTAGTTCCAACCCATTAATCCAAAACCATTTTTGAAAACTTTGATCGACAAGCCCATAATAGTCAGATTAAAATGGAATAAGACAGAGTACAAAGGAAATCTCGTATCAATAGATAATTATATGAATTTACAATTAGACGAAACGTATGAAGTGATATATAATAATGGAGAAAGAAAGGAGGAGCTCATCGGTGAAATCTTTATAAGGTGCAATAACGTATTGTTTATACGAGAGGATGTGTCTAAGGATGTTGAGGCAGCTGATGAGGCAACTACAGGGGTCAAAAAGGAGGATGAAGAGATGTCTCAGAAGTGAGAAAAGTTGACCTATTGAAACCATCGTTGGTCAATTGCATTATAAGGAGTGGTGATGTAAATTACAATTTTGATAATCATAGATGCAAAGTATTATTCAGAGCAACAGTTCTATAATTAGTAGAGAATAAGCTCACCCGAGCGATATTAAGTCTTTTAGAGTAGCTAATATACTAAGATTCCTTTGAAATGACTATATTTCAAACATTTGTAGATTTACTCGCGAGATGAAATTTATCAAAACTTCCCATTAAGATAAACTATTCTCTTTCTCATTAATTACAATAAAGAAAACATGGATGAGCCTGCTCCATATGGTGGGCTAATGACCAAGACATTAGACGATGAGAAAGAAAGAGAGGCAAGATTAATAGAGCAAGCGATTGAAGTTACGGTTAATAACCAAACAGAAGTATTAAGACCAGAAGCTTTGCATTTACGTGGAGTCGATAGTTTATCGACTGAAGACATTAAGGCATTCATCGATTATTATACCAATTATGTTGTTGAGGAGAAAGAAGAGATATTGGAAGGCGAAGGTGAAGTAATAAAGAAATTTGTCTATGAGCAGTTACCTCTAGACGAACAAATTACTTTTAAAGTGCAATGGATCAACGATTCTTCCGTCAATATTGCGTTTCAATCTCACGAAGACAGCTATAAAGCATTGAAAATGATTTCAATAACATCCTCGAACCCTAATACTGCTGCTCCAGAGCCAAAATTCAATGACCAAGCCTATATTGCCGATATTGTTCAAGAAAGAGAAACCAAGCCATTTAATCCAGTCATAGAATTTCGTAAACAGCAAAATTTGCTCAACAGGCTTGGAGGAGATATTGAAACAAATAGGGCCACAGAAAAAGGAGCAAATGACGAAAGTGCTGGTATGGACGAGGACGAATCCAGTGTTGTTCTATTTGTTAGACAGTCGTTCCAGTCAGATCGTAAGGTAAAGAATGCTAGCGCATATTCCCGCTACTATCTTTTACATGGAGAACCTGAGAGGAAACCTTACCGAAAGCATAAATACAGACAGAGAGACTCGATCAATTCTCGTGGAAGGGAAAGGGATTCGGAAGACTTGTTTGCAGACAAACTAAAGAAACGTAAGAATGGCAAGTATGAAAATCACGAAGAAGAAGAAGATTTATTTGCCGATAAGTTACGTCAAAGAGACAGATCTCCTTCCAGAGCTTGATAAAGAGCTGGTTTTACTATTCTTATCTTATTATCTGTATTGTTGCTATTGTTATTATTAATAATGTAATATATAAAATGTAGAATTGAATTCGTTCTTTCCATCAATTTCCTTCCTGGCCAAAATCTTCTGTGAACTTGATGTGATTTTCAATATCAGCACTGTTAACTGTAGGTCTATTACTTTTAATCGATTTAATAAAATCTTTAACTGTCAAATTTGGCTCCATCAATTCATCTGTGCCAACATCTTGCCAGTTTAACTCTTTTGCATCAGGATCGCCAGGAGAGCAAGGCGTCAACTTCTCTGATCCGTCTTCATCTATGACAGGCTTGAAGTGCGTGGCTTGTTGGATTTTACGAATTGGTTGCATCAAAGCATCTCTCACAACTACGGCAATGTCATGCCCAGAATAGCCATCAGTCATTTCGGCTAAAACCTTGAGATCATGAGAATTACATTCACACGGTACTGTACCAACATTTAGCTCGAACATCCTGGTTCTTGCTTCTACATCAGGCAATGGTATGTATATTCTCCTTTCGAACCTTCTCCTTACTGCAGCATCTAATTGCCAAGGGATATTAGTCGCACCCAAGACTAACACGCCATTTGAATCATTACCTACGCCATTCATTTGAACCAATAACTCCGTTTTAATTCTCCTTGAAGCTTCACTCTCCCCCTCGCCTCTTGGTCCACAAAGAGCATCAACTTCATCAATAAAGATAATTGAAGGTTTATTCTCACGAGCCATTGTAAACAACTGTTTAACCAATCTCTCAGATTCTCCCATCCATTTCGAAACCAAATCTGATGATGACACAGAGAAAAAAGTTGAGTTGGCCTCTGTTGCAACTGCCTTAGCCAAATATGACTTACCAGTACCAGGTGGACCATATAATAAGATTCCTGAAGTAGGTTTACGATTACCCGTAAATAATTGTGGGAACTTCACCGGTAAGATAACTGCTTCCTTCAATGCTTCCTTAGCACTATCAAGACCCGCTATATCATCCCATTTAACGTTTGGCTTTTCAGAAAGAATTGCCCCTGCAAGAGCACCCCTTAATTTTTTGGTATCTGCATCATCTTCGTCACCGCCCTCATTTTTGGCCTTTGTTGAGCCACCAGAAGCAGAATTTTCAGCTGAGCTTGATTTCTTTTCTTGTTTTTCAAGATGATCCTTTAGCTGTTCTGCTCTTGTCAAATATTCAGTAAACTTTGACTTAATCAATTCTTTAGATTTTGGATTTTTTTCATACTTTATAGCCAACATCAAGTAGTCCAATCCATTGTAGTATAATTTATATGCTTCTTCATATCTAGTTGCAGTGTCTGCATCTATTGCCTTCTGGACGAGGTCAATACCTTTAGACAAAAAATCTGAAGAACCAGACATCGAAATATTACACTAGTAGGAGAGAAAGCTCAAACAACCAAAAAAAAAAACAGCCGAATTCTCTAATACAGATATTATTATATCAGCCTTGATTGGAACGATATCTGGTTATAAGTGTATCACAATAAAAGAAAGATGTTGATGACTATTTAAGAATTTACTTAGGAGTTTGAGATCGGAGATTATCGTTAATTGAGCAAAACACGTAAAATTGAATATCTTACTATGAAATGAAGGTTACGAAGATTAAGACAATATAAAAGGTTCATGAGACAAAAAGAGATATATTTGCACTAAAAGTCTGTTTCCAAAAGCATGTCAGCCTGAATACCGGCCTTTTTGTTTTTTTCCAGTGTCTTTAGCTGTTACAATTTCATTAAATCATAGAACTAAAAAACAATAGGATAAAAAGTGTATGTTTGATCCACAACAACTTAAGACCCATCATTTCTCTCTCCTTCTTATAACTTATAAATCTATTAGCAGTATAAAAAGTATATCTTACATATGTTCTTGCAATACATAACAGTATTATAGAGTAATTCTTCTTCGAGATATGGCTGCGAATTTGACTTTTCAAACGGGCAGATCTCAGCTCCAAGAAGTTAACGAATTAGACAATAGCGTAAAAGTCCAGCTTTCCAATGCCAGAAAATATGCTGTAGGTACCATTTTTATGATAAAATACTAAATCAAGAAGCAAATACATAGCAAGAGTAGATGTTTGATTGGGACTTCGAAACTCTCACGAGTTTGTGATCTGATTGATGCTTCCTCACACTTTTCAATGTCAGCTGCTAAATATTAGCTACCCTTGAAGCGATAAGAAGTTGCAACATTCAATTTATGGGTCTAGCCCCCACGAAGAACATGTTTGCTGAAAAGAATTGAAGCTCTTCAAAGGATAGTAGTCTGCATAACAGCACGCTCAAGGTACAATCAATGCTGTCCCAGATATCATTGTATAAACACTTATATTTCAAAGGCTTCTCTTTATTTTCCATATACATTCCATTCACATTTATGTTCTTCGGACTTTTGGGTGCTGTTCCGACGGTCAAAAATCATTGCGAAAGCTGGAAGAAGATTAGTCATATCATGATGTCCTAGATGAGTGATAACAAAAAAGTTATCGGGAATATCTACAGATGATAAATCAGGTCACTTATGATAATCAACAATAAAATGTTGGTGAATCATTTTCTATATTTAGTTTCCATTTGAATACTACTAACTAAACCTTAAATACCACCTTATTCTAGACCTAAAACTAAAACTAATACTAAAACTAATACTAAACTCCAATCAAAGATATTTTAAATCAATCTTTTGTTAAATATGATGGTAAGTGTTTGTTTTTACGAAATGCTTCACATTCTATCTGATATTTAAATGAATTACCTTAGTTTTCTTCGAGATATACATTATGCTGCTCAGATTTCACCAGCAATTCTCCCAGATCTTACTTCATTTCTCACTTCGCATAGTGCTGTCTTACAGTTGACACTAAGCTCTGTACCATTAAACCTCTTAGTGTTTCTTTGCAGTGATAAATGATATCGAAGTGTGTACAAGCCGTACATATGTCGGGATCTTATACCAAATTAGTCATCCTATTATGTGACTAGATATAAAAGCACTCGTGCGGAGCTGACAACAGATGCCTTCGATAGAACTTTATGTCAGGTAAAGAATTTTGTGGGAGCATACTGCTGGACCGATATGAATCTGATAAATATGATAACGTAGATACTATAGATATCGATGGCTCGGTAGAGCCGCAATTATTACTAGATGATGAAAAAATCAGCAGAACTAGAACAAACTTGTCGGAAATATCCCGAATTGTCAGTGGCATAAGGGATGACCACAGACAGGATGCTGAAGATTATGATTCTTACAAGAAACGTGGAGAGCGTGGCATAGTATCAGAACTGGATATAGAGTTAAGAAGTAACTGTGGTGAGGATTCTGACGTAGCTGAAGATATTGAAAAAAATTCCGATAATTCTAATGGTGGAGGAGAATCTGAAGAAAAAGATGTGGTCACTGTTCGATCTTGGCTTATGGCAATCTGCGGTATGCTAGCAGCATTTTCTACATGGGGAGCTAATGCCTCATACGGTGTTTTTTTGAACTTCTACCTTTCCAATAACGTCTTTGAAGGTGCGAACCAGTATGACTATGCATTAATAGGAGGAATTGTTGTTTTTTTTGCACAGTCATTGGCGCCATTGAATACCGTATGCTTCGAAGTGTTTGGTCCTAGAGCTGTAGGATACTTTGCGATAGTGCTTCAGGTTGCAGGATATATGTTAGCATCCTTTGCAACTAAATTATGGCAAATCTATTTGACTCAAGGAGTATTGGTTGGTCTTTCATTCGGTTTTATTTTCATACCGGCCACTTTATCATTGCCATCTTGGTTTGGGGAAAAGAAGGCGACAGCAATGGGTATTATGGTTTCTGGAGCAGGTTTTGGAGGTATGGTATTCTCTTTGTCTCTTAATAAAATAATCGAAATAACCGGAGATCAAAGATGGGCCCTAAGGGCGTGTGGATTTATAACTTTGGCTACAGCATTAACTTCTGTTACATTTTTAGTACCTAGAAATTATACAAGGGAACCATTATCGAAGACCTTTACATCTCGTTTTATAAAAGAAAAATTTAGTATTATTTTTGATCCTAAAATATTTAAGGATAGTTATCCCTTATGTATTTTAGGTGCATGGTTTCTGTTGGGATTGTTGGGATATGTGTTAATGTTATTTTCATATTCTCCTTATGCCACTCTGTGTGGATTGACAGCTAATCAAGGGTCTCATTTGGTAGCAATTTTTAATGCAAGTCAAACAATTGGGAGACCCGTCCTTGGGTCGATTGCCGATGCTGTTGGGAGGAACAATCTATCACTTGGAATATGCCTTTCCATATCAATTTTATTATGGGCATTTTGGATCAATGCATCAACATTCGGTTCTTTAGCTGCTCTTGCAGTAATCTTAGGATTCATAATTGGTATTTCTAGCTTGATGTGTCAACCTATGGCGCTGGATATCGTTGATTCTCCTAAAAAATTACCGGCAGCTTGGTCCGGGCTTAATATTACGGGCGGTTTGTTCTGTTTGGTAGCAGAAGTGATTGCTTTAGGCATACGAGGGAAGCACACTAGTAAGCCATTCTTAAACACCCAAATATTCTCCGGGTGTTGTTTTTTTGCATGTAGTCTTTTGTTATTAGTCAATAGAGAGTGGCTAATACGAAAGACTTTCCAAAGAAGATTTCTAACTGCAAAATCGAGATTGAAAGAACTTGAACAACAGCATACTTATCTAAAGACAGATGGTGTTTCTATTCATGAATTAGACGATGAAGTAGCTACATTGCAGGAGCGAGTTGGGCGATATCAAGTGCTCTTGAATAACTCAGCACTAAACGTTCTTGTTAGGGCGTTCTATCCAATTAGAGTTTGAAATCAAGATTAATTCATACAAATAAATTTAAATTTCTTTAAACGTTTATATTATAAACAATGATTTTAGAAATAAGAAGGCAAATATACATGTAGCTATGACCTTAACGGTTAGACTTAGCAACTCTTTCTAATTCATCCTTCTTCTTGATGGCGTAAGAAGTAGATGAGCCCTTTGCAGCATTAATTAATTCTTCAGCCAAACATTCAGCGATGGTCTTCACGTTTCTGAAAGATGCTTCTCTAGCACCAATGGTCAACAAAGCAATAGCTTGGTTAACTCTTCTTAATGGGGAGACATCAACTGCTTGTCTTCTAACGGTACCAGAAGAACCGACTCTGGTTGAGTCTTCTCTTGGTCCAGAGTTAACAATAGCATCAACAACAACTTGGATTGGGTTTTGTTCAGTCAAAACATTGATTATTTCCAAAGCATGCTTGACAATTCTAACAGCCTTCAATTTCTTACCGTTATTTCTACCGTTCATCATCAAGGAGTTAGTCAATCTTTCAACAATTGGACATTGAGCCTTTCTGAATCTCTTTGAGGCGTATCTACCAGCAGTGTGAGAGACAAAAATTGGTTGTCTGATTTGAACGTAGTCAACCAAGGAAACATCTTTAACTTCGACGTCTTCAAAAGACCATTTGTTAAACAACTTGATCTCTTGCTGAGCAGCTTGAATTTCAAGTGGGATGGCAGTAGCCAACTCAACAACTTGTAATTCTTCTTGGACAACTGGCTGTTGTTCCTCGTATTGTTCTTCAACGTCAGACATTATTGCTATTTCTGTCCTTTTCTAAGATTTAAACCAAAGAGAGTTGGGTCTTGGTAAAAGAATTAATGTGTTATTAAGTGGGTTCGTTAAAATTGAGTGAGAGCATCAATGAAAAAATGAAAAATTTTGGCTCGGATGTGATATCGATTCCCGAGAGTATGACGAGGGCAAAAGGTCCGAAATGCTGATATTTTCTACGGTGAGTGTCTCAAAGTGAGAAAATATGAGCACAAAGGTAATACATTTGGTTGAGAGTGTGAGAAGCCCTCATCACGTGGATCAGACGTGCAACTTAAAAGTGCTCAAAAATATCTATCAGTTGTTGTCTTTTTCTTTAAAAAAAAAGATATGGAGTAACATTTAGCCTACATAGATCTTGTGATTAGCAGGAGCATAAAGGAAAGCTCTTATTATTTCTTGTGCTATTCTTCTAAATTGAATAATTAAAGAAAGCCACCGAAAAGGAGACCCGACCTCTGACAAATTACACGACCTAGAGGAGCAGTTGTATCTCTACATTTACTTCATTCGCCCAATTAGGAAGGTTAAATACCATACCGAGAAAAATGTCAGCACGGAAAATGTCACGGGATCTAAAAAGATGAAAGCCGGTAAAGGGAGGTTCGTCGCGAGGAGAGACTACACTGTTCTCCGACAGGCATGATCCCCACATTTCGTTCGGTACCGAATTTTGCATTTAAATGTCGATCTTCTTACTTGGAGCAGTCTGAAAAAAACATCATTCTTTAAAGAATTGATTTCTCTGATACCCAAGGTACTACTATTGTATCAGGTTTATAGGCTTCTCTTAATGCTCTTCTAATTGCTGCTATTAATCTACTCAGTGTGCATATATTAGAATATGAAGCCGCACACACTTCAGCCGGCCCATCAGCCGGTGACGGCGTTAACTTCGGCAGATAGACAACCTTACTTAACAGTACTACAAGAATAAAAAATAAGTTACCCCGTAGTTAAAATTTTCACTTCATCATAGCGATTCACACAGTCTGATACATGCTCTTCTAGCGATTTGCATTTATCTGAACATCTTCCTCAAAACACTTGATCAGATTTGATTAAGTTTGTTCCTAGAAAACTTTGCAGTTTGTGAGTCATTTCAAATCAGGTTATATCTTAAAGACAGAAGTTAGTGGTTCAAAAAAAAAAAAAACCAGAAAATGAGTAGAGACAAAGAAACTACGATGTCCGAAAAAGAGGAAAGCGATAGTTATGCTGGGAGCCAGACCTCGAAAGTAGAAGCCGTTCCAGTAGATGAGCAGTTCGAACAACTTAAGGAAAGCTATGGAATAAACCATAAGAAATTGATGCTTAAAATAGACTTATGCGTCGTTCCTCCATTTTGTTTCCTTTACTTTTTGTCGTTCTTAGACAGAGTCAATATTTCTAACGCAAACCTTTACGGGTTGGCTGAAGATTTGAACTTGACAGGTACCCAGTACAATACTGCATTAACATTATTCTTCGTTCCATATGTCTTCTTCGAAGTCCTTACTAATTATACCATTAAGTTTGTACGTCCTCACATATGGTTGAGTGCGTGTATCTTTCTTTTTGGTGCCATTTCTATAGGTATGGGATTTGTTAAGGATTTTGGTGGGCTTGCTGCATGCAGATTTCTCATCGGTATGGCAGAGGCAAGTACTTTTCCAAGTTTGTTTTACTTGTTATCAACGTATTACACCAAGGCCGAAGCACAAAGAAGATTTTCAGCTTTTTTCTCTGTCACTTGCTTGGCTGGAGCTGCCTCAGGTGCTATGGCCTATAGAATTAACGATTTAGATGGAAAACATGGTATCGCATCTTGGTCTTGGATTTTCATTATCGAAGGTATCATCACATGTGGAGGTGCTATTATTTTGTTTTTCACTATTGCAGACTTTCCTGAAGAAAGTAGGTTCTTAAAAAGTAACGAGAAAGAATTTATTAAGAAAAAGTTGGAAATCCTCTCGGGCGCTACTTCTGGATACGAAATTGTTAATAAATTTTCCGATGTTTTAAAATGCTTCAAAGATTATATGATTTGGTTGCCTGCTTTAGGTTACTTTGGCTTGATCATTCCGTCTTATGGTTATGCGTACTTTTCTGCCACCATTATAAACCAAATGGGTTACACTGCCGTTCAGGCGCAGCAGCATTCGATCTACCCATGGTTAGCAGCATTCGGCTTGAATAATATTGTATCATTCATTTCCGATAAGACTAGAAGGAGGTTCCCCTTCTTCATTTTTTGTTGTTTGATAGCCATCGTAGGTTTAGCATTAATATTGGGCGAGACTCATAACCCTAACGCGAGGTATGGCGGATGTTTCTTGGCTGCTTCTGGCTTATATACTGCGATGCCCTTGTTGGTATGCTGGACCTCATTAAATTTCCATGGACACCTTAGAAAATCCGTGGGGACTGCTTTCCAAATCGGTTTTGGTAACATAGGAGGTATCATTGCAACCTATATCTTCTTGTCAAAAGATGCACCTGTCTATAGACCCGGATTAATTGTATCATTGGCAGCAGTCGCTTTTGCCATATTGATCCTGTTAATTTACCTTTTCACAGTTGTGAGAGGCAACAGGTTGAGAAAGACAACTTCGTATATAGAGAAATTTGAAGCCAAAACAGAAAGGGAACAGACTCTTGCAGGTGATAAAAACCCGAACTTTACATACTTATACTGATCTTCAGTAATCATAAAATATACATCTTATGGCTGACTTTCCACTAATACTTTCTTTATATCAGTATTGCCGTAGATTTCATTAGACGTCCCCCCTTATTCCAAAATTCTCTCATTATCTTAAAGCATCTCCTTTTCGTTTTCTTCCTGGTTTTACTCGCAAACTTCAAGTATTATATAAATAGGGATTTATATATAGTTATATATTTTCAAGCCACTATCCTTCAGTAGCCGATGCTATATTTACAACTTCCTTCGTTAACCGAGATTGCAGCATCAAATTCGATCCACTATATACAGGACCAACCCGAAGGGCTTATACAGTCATGCAGTTTATTGTCTTGGGCGATGTGATTTCTACTCGTATAAAGCTTTGCCAAGAAGACGAAATATTCATAATTGATTCTTAACTTGTTATAAGAAATCAATCGATCTGGCTCAACAGATCATCGTCTATATATAATTGAATACTAGGTAACAAATAGAAAAATAAAATGTCCAATAAAGCAGGTTACGGGGATAACTATGCTCCTCCAACTGGAGCTCCACCCAATTGGTCAAGTAGTAACAGTGGATCTAAAACACAATCGGGGTATGTTCCTCAGGCAGAGCCATCTTACGCTAATCATTCTGATCATGCGACTCATTCAGGTGATAATAGAGGATTTGGAGGAAGTAATCAAGGATACGGAGGTGGATACCAACAAGGTGGATATCAGCAAGGTGGATATCAACATGGTGGATATCAACAGGGAGGATATCCTCAACAAGGTGGTTATTATCAGCAAGGAGGATATCCTCAGCAGGGAGGATATCAACAAGGAGGATATCAGCAGCAGCCTATGTATGTTCAACAAAACAGAAGTTCTGGTACAGAGGGATGCTTAGCAGCATGTTTAGCTGCTATGTGCATTTGTTGTACTTTGGACATGTTATTCTAAACATTTTATGGGAAGATAAAACGTACTGCATGCTCGAAGAGAGGAACAGACTGGATACTAATTAAATTCATTTCATAGATAACAAAAATACTACTTGCTAATGGCGAGGATCTTCGAATGTAATTTAAGAATTACATTTGGCATCCAAGGATTTGTATCTTTATTACGTACGGCAAACCAACGAAACATTAATAGTGTAATTGTACTCAGAAAGATAAAATGAAAGTTTCTTAGGTATTATATAGTCTAAAACTAGTTGTAGGATCGCAATTACCATTACAGCTTTAGCCCCATGTCAACATACTACTTCCAGTCCAGTCTAATTGGAAATCATTGGAATTACTTCCAAATTTTCTTAACATTGGCAAAACTCGAAGTCTTTTCGATGCATCATTAACGAACTCAATTTTTGTTTCCTGCGGTGCAGATTCATCATCATGAGCATTAACATCAGCAAAGTTATTGGGAAGATAGTTCATAAAATAATCGTGAAGCACCGGAGCCGGAATATTATCAGGCAAATCATTGATCGACACATAGAGGCTGTCATCACCTAGGAGTCTATTTCTGCAGACATAACACGCGACGCTAATTAATAAATCTAGATCCTGGAAGTTAATTCCACCTAAGTCGTTAAGTCCAGTGAAAGAAGAACGTCTTCTACCGCCTCCTAACCCAAAACCGAGAGGATCAACTTTTAATTCACCCATTCCTATAATCACTGTTTTTTTAAGGGAGAGCCATAAGATGTAAAACGTCTTTTGTTGTAACTCATTGGTAATTATGGCACCTTTGATGTCAGAAAATTGAATTGCTTTTTCACGATTAATCTTGTTCCATTCTGCGATGTCGCTCTCACGAGCCATGTGGGTTGACAAAAGATTTAAATCTGGTTTTAAAGCTACCTTTGGAGTAGTAAGTTGCATGACCGATGACCTTCTTCTTTGTTGCGTACCTACTTCCTTATTTGCTGGTATGACTCCAGTATTCCCTAGAGAAGAAAGTTCAGTGATCGAACCCAAAGCATTAAATGACCCCATCTTGGACATGGATAACATGCTTTGCATATTTGTTAAAGATGATGATGACTTTTGTCCACTGCTTAACTCCAGGTGAAATACCTGCTGGTTTAATTCCATCAAAAGATCAAGTTCCTTGCCTTGCAAAATTGAACTTATAGTTCCTCTATCAAGGTCATTTGAGCCACTTAGTAATTTCAATTTCTTGCCAAATCCACTGGGATGGGAGGATTTGTTATCAATCATGTCTTCGATCATTTTTTGCAGCTCATCTGAGACTACCGAGTAGGGGATCTTGTAAAAATCTAATGGATACCCTTTGAATCCAAATCTTTCGTAGTAATTTTGAACACCTGAGTACAAGACCCAGAAATATTCCTTACCCAAGTAGTAGTTGCATAAACGACGATCTAATCTACCATCTGTCATGGCCATGCTTTTAAAGTTGTCTTTCTTAGTGTCATCACTGGTATTGAGTTTTTCTTGAATAATCTCTTCTTCGACGTACTCAATAGTCTTTTTCAAGAGGGATTCGGCCATTCCTTTAGCTCTGTAATCGGGATGTACGTATACAGCTTGTATAGTTAAAGCAGTAGCGTTATTTACACCAATTGATGACGGATTAGGGGTAGAAGATATCAAGCTTGTCGTGTTAATATCTTTGTAGAATGCTTCCATCCATCTTACAAATACAGTTGCAATTACTTCATTAGAACTTTTCTTCTTAAACAGAAAACCTTGCACTTTAATTCCGCTTTCAACGGCTTCCTTTTGATATCTGGTTACTATTTCGGCAAACTTAACAACTCCTGAAGCACCTCCCCATTCAGCCCCAGGCAATTTGAAAAGTTCAAAAAAGTCGTCTGGATTATCAGACACGCTGAAAACATAGTCCTCTGTCATTGCTACCAATATTATCTTAAGATTCCTCGGCTATAATCAACTTAAGCTGAATCATTAGTTCTTTTAGTACTCTTACTTAGCTATATAGTTTGTGCCGTAGCCGTTAGTGATCAAGTCGGATATCGGTTTCTCCACTATTACGAAACCGAGATCGCAACTTACCAACGCAATATAACGGTAGATCAGCAAGTATCGAGGGTCAGGCATCAGTGTAGGTGCTACAAATGAAAAATTATTCATAAAACTATCGTTGTTCATTGATCTCTAATGTATATATTCTAGGTGGAAGTCACTTTAGCTTTAATTTCGCTATCGTAATGTAAAAAATTCACAGCCAAAATTATGTCAGCAGCTAGTACTGAAGTAGAACTTAGCATAAACCCAATAGGCATCTTGTTTACTTGTGCCAATTTTCCTGTGAGCAAAGGACCAATACATCTTGCATAAGTCTTAGATATATTCACTAATCCCATAACCTTAGTGAGCTCATTCTTCGGGATCAATGAGGTCAACAAGAATTGCCGGGGCACAACGTCCATTGTAGTAGTACTATAATAAAGTATAAGAAGTGCAGAAGCCACATAGAAATTGTTTGATATTGCAACCGCTGCAAAGAAAAATGCAGATGGTGCCTGTGTAAACAAAATGGCCTTCACAGGACCCAACTTCTTAGCCAAATATGCTGACGGTAACGAAGAGAAGGCATCAATGGCATTCGTTAAGAAAAACAATCCTCCTAATGCTGTTGCCGAAACAACAAAGTAGGTCTTGAAGTAGTAAACAACCCAGGCCGTAGGCATGAACCCGTAACCTAATGAATCAAGCATGAAAACCACTAATAGCCTTGACAAAATATGCCTGGTTTTTCTTGAAAGATTGAAGAACCTTGGTTTTAACAATGACGGTTGCTCGCTTATTTCTTCGATAGGCCCATCAACTTCTGAAATTAATCTTTCATGCTCTTCGTCGCGTTCACTGAGTTCGCATTCACTGCTTAGAAAGATCATGATGAGGGTCTTGGTCAAAGCAAGCGCAGAATAAACCCAAAAGATCATCCTGTAACTGGAATTTAAATCCCAACCTCGCTGTAGAGATAAATAGTCCACTAGCATTCCACTTGTTAATGATCCAAATGCTGCACCTGCGGTAGCAAAGAGACCGTGAAAGGCAAAAATCTCAGGTTGATCTATTGATGGAGTCAAATGAGCAATGGAAGCTTCCTCTACTGACTTAAAAGGACCCGTTTCGTCACCAGATGGTGATATAACGCCCAATATAGCCGCGGCCAATAATACATAGAAATTTGAACATAATGCAAAAATAATACCTGATGCTATCATCATAATGCTTCCAATGATCATCACAAACCTTCTACCGAGCTTATCAGCATGCCATGTTAAATAATATGACAAAATTGTATCCCCTATCAACGTCAATGTCATAAAGAGACCTATTTTGGTTTCCTTTATTTGTAGATTTCTCAAATACAATGTTAAAACTTGGTTCGTCATACCGAAACTGCCCATTCTAATAAAAACAGAGCACCAGAGTAATCGAACATCCCTCGATGACCGTCTACATGACTCCAAGAGGTGCATTGATGATTTTTGGTTCCCTTGTACTGTAATAACGTTTTTATTTCATATATATATATCAGATGAGTCAGCTCATCAATAATGTATATAACTTGTCCATATTGACCTGCATTGAGTGGAGAAGACAAGAGTTAACATCATCACACTGATAGAAGAAAGTGAAGCCAGCACCTTGGATAGAGGTGATAACGAAGTATGAGTAATGGACATCGACAGAACTCATTAGACAATTTAGCCCATATAGCTAACATGTCTCACGAGTTGCAGATACTCAATCAACAAGTAAGAGATGAGACAGGAGGACAAAATAACAACTATTACAACAATATTATTAGTAACAGAAGAAAAGTGGACCAAACTCAGAATGGAGGATCTAAGGGCGGTAAGCCTAAAAGGATGGCATGTGTTGAATGTCGACAACAGAAATCTCGTTGTGATGCTTATGAAAAACAGCCCGCTCCTTGCACCAGATGCGCCAAGAAGGGCCTTAAGTGTGATTTAAAGTCTGACTATAAGAGAACGTACAAGAGAGCAAGAATAGCACAGATTGAAAAGGAGTTCTCAGAGTTGAAGAAGAATTTGACTGCAGCTCAGGTTCAGGAGTTACTAAATAGGGTTCCATCGTTATCAGACTCTCAGTCAGACTTTCTTGAAGATTCTAAGCCGCTGCCACAACCTACCTCATCTTCTAAGGGAAATCAACTTGTAAGCGATCCGAAGCATGGGTCGAATCCTCCAGTTGGTGATCTTACGGCAGATATATCGCTGAACTGGTCCTCTACTATTTCTTCTGCTCAAAATACTTTTGAACCGAAGAGTTCAATTTATTCGTCTGAGGCGAATATTTCTATACCAAATACCCCATCCATTTCCAGGCCACAGGATCAGCTTGATATTGGCTATCAAAATACCAACTCAAAAAACAAATTAATCGTTCCTGAATACTTGTTGATATGCGAACCAAAGAAAATTGATACCATAACTTTATCATCAGAAACAATAAAAACTCTTTTCACAGAATATGTTGATAACTACCATCCAATTCTACCAGTTGTTGATATTTTGAGGGGCCCCGAAAAGATTCATAAACTTTGTCCGGCATTATTCTGGGTGATTATGGTTGTATCACTAAGGAGATACAGGAATGACATGCAAAAAGATTTATTAATGCAACTTTCCCCAATAATAAAAGATATTTTAGCAGAAATAACGATATCTCCTATTACAAATTATAGCCCCACGGAGGATGATGACGCATTTTTAAATGCTTGCTCCGTATATTCTGTTCAAGCATTCTTGTTGTATACGTTTTGGCCACCGATAACATCATCTTTAAGTGCCGATTCTTCTTGGAACACCATAGGAGTTGCAATGTTTCATGCAGTTCGTATTGGTCTTCACCTTCCAATAGTTTCTCCTGGTCAAAAAGAGCAGGTTTCAGAACAAAAGTTGGAAATTGCTGAAGAGCAAGCCCGAACATGGGTAGTTTGTAATATCGTTTCTCAAACTATTGCAACTTCGTTCGGATTTCCTGCTTTTGTTCAATTCGACTCCTCTATGTGGAGCGTGAACAGACCTGATAGTATGTTAGGAATACCTAATTCAGTTAAATTTATGATGGAAATTGCACAGTTTGAAGATCTAGTGTCTAAGACTTTAAACTCAAATCCTTTAGATGCTTATGGGCTAATTGATCCAACTGAGAGGCTACCTTTACTCAAAATTTTATTGAGGAAGTTAAATGAATTGGAGTTAAGGTTGGCTAAAGAATTGCCCTCTGATGATGGTTACAGAAAATTTCAATTATGTTCAGCTAGAGTACATTTGCTAACATACTATTTTATGGACACTTCAAGAATTGCGGACTTTGAATTAAACTCTGGTTTAGTAAAGCTTTATAATTCCGCAATTTCGTTAATTGACCATGCTCAATTATGTCATGCAAAAGATAAAACTTTCGCTAAGTATCTTCCAGGTGTCAATGTTTTAAATATATGGCAAGCGGCATTTATCATCGGAAAATTGGCGCATTCTCCAATGAAAACTTTTCTAGATTTAGGATCTGGGAAGCAAAGTTACTTAGCTGCTGTCTCATTAGCAGCAAAAGCTAGCATATTGAAACATGATATAGCTTATCGTTCAAGTGGCATAATGAGGAGCATGTGGCAGCTCTTTAGAACACTCGATGAAAAGAAACTAACGAGTTTAGGAATTGCAGTGAGGACTAGAATGGCAGCTTCAGTTTTTTTTGACTGTTTGAACCTTTTAAAAACTCAAGTGGGCATGATTAAATTAAACAGCCGACATGAATCGAATCAAGATATAGCAGAGAATGAGATTGAAGAAGAAGAGGAAGAACTGTCGGATGAAAAAGAGGCACAAGAGGATGCAATTCTCTCGGATGACGAAGAAGGACTTGGAGGTGCAACAGAAGAATTCCATCAAAAATCTGGTAGCCAAAAATCTACTCCAGGAAGCACTTCAAGTAAAGGAAAAAAGCATAGATCTCTCTCAAGCACAATGGATGCCGAATCCAGAGCTAGAAAGATAATACGAACAATACCGCTAGACCCACAACCAATTCCTGCTAATAGCAGTAAAAACAGTACTTTTAAGAATTCAATTAAAAGTTCCAACGAATCGTCGCCAAGAGTGGTATCAGATAGAGGTACTCCTATTAGCCAGGGAGGTGGTAGTGGACCATCGTCCACTAACAGTGAAAAAATATCACCCGGACCATCCAAAGCACCACCTAAGCGCAGACCACCACAAATTATTCGAAAGCCAAGTAACTTGCCTCTGCCACTCGCAACGAACCTACAACAACTGCCTCATCAACTGCCTCAAGGACCATATCAACAAATATATCAACACCAACAACAACAAGTACCACAAGCTCGACATCTACAACAGCTGCAAATGGAATCCTCTCAGCCTCAAGAAACTCAAGTGAGAAATGCTACGGGAAGGACTGCAGCAAACATTTCCAGTATTGCACTAAATGATTCTATTCCGGGAGGTTTGGACAACCTTGAGCTCGATATGTTTGATGTAAATAGCGATTTGATCTGGAAAGATGTTGACAGTGTTATGAATGAGTTTGGGTTTCATACTCAATAACTAAGCGTCGTTTCATTTCCTTCTCTATACCAAATCTGTACTTTAAGAATGATTCAGCCTTATCATTGTTACCTCTCTGACTGTAGTTGCAAAATTTATCCCCACACGACGTTTCAAATTAAGTCGTGCACATAGTCAATTATATAATTCGTGTGAAAAATTTCTTTGGAAGAATCATCTATGGATTCAATAGTGGCGGACAACTGAAGTAGTCGACAACTTAAAAACTATAGTTGTTTAACATCGAATATGTCATACGACGATATTGAAAATGCTGTTCCAGATATTGTTATCGGAGGTAATACCGAAGAGACGGAATATGGACATGACATTGAGAGTGATAATGAACAATTAGAAGAACAACAAGAGGAGAACAGCAAAGAGAAGAAAAGCGTTGCTTTTGCAGGCTTGGAAGATGAATATGATGAGGAAGAAGCAAAAAGGGAATTCGAAGAGGGTGGCGGATTACCAGAGCAGCCTGATAACCCCGATTTTTCAAAATTGACACCCTTATCTGAAGAGATCATCAACAGACAGGCAACAATTAATATTGGTACAATCGGTCACGTTGCTCATGGTAAATCAACTGTCGTTAGAGCAATATCAGGGGTTCAAACTGTTCGTTTCAAGGATGAATTAGAAAGAAATATTACGATAAAACTTGGTTATGCAAATGCAAAGATTTATAAGTGTGATAATGAGGATTGTCCTGAACCTGATTGTTACAAATCTTTTAAGTCTGATAAGGAGATTAGACCAAAATGTCAAAGAGAAGGATGTACCGGACGTTACAGATTAGTGAGGCATGTCTCCTTTGTTGACTGTCCTGGTCACGATATTTTAATGAGTACAATGTTGTCAGGAGCAGCTGTAATGGATGCTGCTTTGTTGCTTATAGCAGGTAACGAAAGTTGCCCACAACCTCAAACTTCTGAGCATTTGGCTGCCATTGAAATCATGAAATTGAAGCATGTTATAATTTTGCAAAACAAAGTCGATTTAATGAGAGAAGAGTCTGCTTTAGAACACGAAAAATCAATCTTAAACTTCATAAGAGGAACAATTGCTGATGGCGCACCTATTGTCCCTATTTCTGCCCAGTTAAAGTATAATATAGATGCAGTCAACCAATTCATTGTTAATACCATCCCAGTTCCAATAAGAGACTTTTCTGCATCCCCTAGACTTATTGTCATCAGATCTTTTGATGTTAATAAACCAGGTGCTGAGATTGATGATTTGAAGGGAGGTGTTGCTGGTGGTTCCATATTGACAGGTGTCTTTAAAATCGGTGATGAGATTGAAATTAGACCAGGTATTGTCACCAAAGACGACAACGGTAAAATTCAATGTAAGCCCATATATTCCAATATAGTTTCATTATTTGCTGAACATAATGATTTGAAATTTGCTGTCCCTGGTGGTTTAATAGGTGTTGGTACAAAGGTGGATCCTACTTTATGTAGAGCCGATAGATTAGTTGGTCAAGTCGTAGGAGCAAAAGGTAATTTGCCCTCCATTTACACCGATATTGAAATTAACTATTTCCTTTTGAGAAGATTATTAGGAGTGAAGACTGATGGTCAAAAACAGGGTGCTAAGGTCCGTAAGTTAGAGGTTGGTGAAGTTTTAATGGTCAATATTGGTTCAACGGCTACAGGTGCAAGAGTCGTCGCAATGAAAGCTGATATGGCTCGTTTACAATTAACTTCTCCAGCTTGTACAGAAATCAATGAAAAGATTGCTTTATCTAGACGTATCGAAAAGCATTGGCGTTTGATCGGTTGGGCGACAATTAAGAAAGGTACAACATTAGAACCAACTGCATAAGGAAACAAGCAGGATAAGTTTCTCTTTGTTTCTTTTAGACATATATATGTATACCCATATATGTATATCTATGTATATTCTGAAGTTTCTCTGTATTTTATTTATAGCTAAGGGAATGCACAAATTTTGCTCTTAGATGCTTCACGATGAATTAAGTTGTGAATACAATAAATTAGGTAGTTTATCTTTTAGTCAATTCAATATTTGCATTAGCATTTTGATACAAACTGCCATCAAGAAATTTTGGGAAGGAATCGACTTCCATTAGCCTGTATATGTGTTTGATTATGTCTTGAAATATTGATGAGATCTGAAGCAAGGTATCCAAGTTATTTGTAATCTTAACTTCTGTGGGTGACATCGGACCTTCTTGATGTAAATTGTAAGTTGCATCCTGTCTTCTAACTTCGAGATCAGAAGATATAGAAACCGATGGTTCTGTAACTTCCTGTACGTCCTTCAATTTGAGCCCACGGGATGATAATAATGGGGGATCGGGTCTCAACATGATTTTTCTATTATGTTTGAGGGGTTCTAACGTATAATTTTGACAATCTGGAGAACTCGTATCTACTTCCAAGGGAATTGCTGAACTAGGGGATACATTGGAAAACATCATAATCGACGTTATTCTTTCTCTTAAGCTGTAATCAATATTAATAACAAAAGGTGAATCGTTACTAATGTAAGTGAAATATATGTGAAATGCTGAAGACAAGCAAATGGTTGTTAACTTTACAATCTGCTTATTCAACTTATTTTCTGATCCCTTGTGAAAGCCGTATTTCTTGGTTCTCAATAGTTTTCCCAAAAGAACCGTTTGGCGTTCATACTGCTTCAATTTCAAATAAGCTTCGAGATTTTCTGAACAAAACTCTTGCTTCAAATGTTGCTTGAACAAGTAACGCATTCCAGGGTCTCTCAATACTTCCTTGAGCAGTACCACAGAAGATGCCTTGTCGGAATATGGGGGTGGGTGATCAGGTGGATCTTCTGTGACATCAAAAGAATCTTCATTTAATGGTGTAAGCTTTTCGCAGTTAAATTCATCTAAAAACTTGTTAGATAAATCGTCCTCGCTGGAATTTAATCCAAACCTCTTCCAGTTTACTGAATTTTCACCCATGGTGCTTAAAGCATAGTAAGCGTTTCTGCTGTTTACTACTCTTTCCAAGTTGGAAATTGAAGGAGAAATCATCACGGGTACAAGTAGCTTGGATTTTAACAATAAAGACGCAATCTCAACCGCATGATTTGGACTAAAAATATCAGTACAATCAGACAACCATTGGCATATGGACTTTCCTGTTAGACAGTAGCTTAGGACGATCTCTTCTCCATCTCTTTTAAATGCAATATCTTTATGAAATCTCACACCTTTGGAAACGTAATATTGGATGTGAGAATCAGATTCGGGGTTTGTAAAGTACCTATGATAAAATGGACTAACAGTTTCTTTTTCTATTGGTTTTGAGTCGGCCAGGTTGTTAATAGAAGAATTTGTTGAGCTTTCCTGTCTCGCAATATCAAATCCTCTTAACGAAACGAATGTCTCAATTTCTCGAAAACCAATGTCAAAGCCGAATGATTCTTCTAGATCAGTCTTGACATCTAACGATGGTAATTCATCTGGCGCATTAGAAGAAGTCCAAATAACTCGTTCATCGCCCATCATCTTTATGAATAACAAATGAATGAAGTAATCGGAATACAAAATTTTATCAGTAATCACGTCCCTGTCAAACTTTATCAACTCCATGGAATTAAAACTAGATTTTAATATTAGGGGCAATTGGTCTCCTTTCATTCCAATATTATAGCAGAAATCTTGTAGCATGGCAACTCCCTTTGGGGTAGGCTGTAACGCTACATTCTTCTTTGGTTCAGATCTCGTCCTATCTGCGGGTGAATGTAGTAGCTTGGCATCATAAAACTTTCTCAACAATGCCAACCCCAAATCAGGCTTTATTTTGTAAAAAATAGTGGATGTTGTTCTCGGTAATCGAACTTCCAAGCGGAGAGTCTTCATAGTGTTTAAGGCTTGCTCTATAGTGAAAGAATACAGATACAATTTGCGACCCAATGGGTTAAATCGTCCTTTATTATCGTTATTATCGTTAAGATTCAAACCACATATCAATGCACAGTAGATATTCTTCAAATCTTCTTCATAGATTTTGCCTCCCGGTGTCTTGTTGAAATTCATCTGTACAGTTTCATGTAGCACTTTTGAATTAGTCATATCAGTACCTGGAGGCATCGTGATATCTATCATATCTATCATAAAACTCTCCACAGGAACCACATAGAAGCTCTTCCTTTTCTCTATACGACAGCCAATTACCATTATATATTCATATTTTGATGTAGATTTTAATACAGCTAAGAGTAGATACCATTTCTTTGTTTTACCCAATAAACTGCTACTATTTCATCGTTTACATTCAGATCTGTTTCAGATTTCTTGATACGTTTGAAAATGTGGTTATTTTTATATCCGGCTGCGAAAAAAAGTTACACTAAAACGAATCTTGGTATGGATCCTCACAGGGATACCTGAGAAACAATAAGAGAGGGGCATGATATAACACTGTAATAAAGTGAGTGTTAGAAGATCGTCACAGCTCAATACACGTAGATGGTCAGCCATTTTCCTAAATTAGACTAAATTAAATTATAACGGATAAAAAAGAAAGGCAGAATCTCGGAGCTACCGAAGCATTTAAGTGCCAAGTAAGTGTTTTTAAACAGCATGCTACAATCGTGTGAGTCTGTTTAAAACATTCAGATTTCCGAGGAATTGAGAGAGCTCTCTAAGCGAAATATCCAATTGAACCATCTTATTTTCCTCGATTATGCAACTTTTGTTTAGTGTTACGTTGGATATTATATGGCCCTCGCTATTTGTAGTAACGCCTGCAGAATCCAACAAAATTCCTAACTTGTAAAGCATCTCCCAGCTATTTTTAAGTACACGTGAGGGCCATATTTTTTGACTAACTTTAATATTGGACGAGACGCTGGAATCTATGGCCGACATATTTGATGACGATGTAGCAATAGTCGAAGTCACAGCATTGGAAGCTTTCATCATCTCTTCATACTCCTTGTAAGCTAGATTAAAATTGATTACTGGCAGATCGAACTTTTCTATCCATCTTGCTGCTGCTATCACCAAAAGAAGCTCTAAGGAGGAGAGGGTGTTGACGACTTCTTGAATGTGATTTGTGCTTTGATTCAGGGAGTACTCCTTGAAATCGATATCCCTTGGGAACGGCATGTCACCACTGATCTTCGACACCGGATAAATGCAGCACCTATTAAAGTCTTTGAAATTTCTTGTTGTATAAAAATTTTTAAAGGCTAATCTCTTCAAACTTGACGGTACGCCTTTCGATGGAGTTGAGAAGATTGCTTCTATATATTCATTCCAAAGCTTTCCATATGCAGCGGAATTCAACTTTGACATTGAGTTTTGGTTTAAGATCAATCCCAACTTAGCATTATCCCAAAACTCCTCGAATGTGCCAGGCTTATTTATGGTTATTATCCTCTGGGAAAACCTACTTCTTACTCTTTTCTCTAGCAACTCCCTAGCAGTTATTCTGGTAGAAATTCCTATTACACACACAGGAATCGAAGAGCTCTGAGACAAGTCAAATAAATTATATAGTAAGGATTGCTTATTAGTACTGGTGAATTTGTCAAATTCATCAATAACGAATACTATAGATACCTTATTCTGTTCACCAGAGGTCCCATTTGTATCTATGCTATTCTTATGTTGACCGTTGCCAGCATTGGTCTTGTTGTGATTATTGGAACTTGATTCCTCGAGGGTTGACAAAATGTTGGAAAGCGTATCATTTAGTGATCTTTGCTCGAAATTCGTCTCATTCTGTGATCCGTCTGTACTTTGTACTTTAGAATCTAATTGTCTCGCTATCTCTCTAAATGCAACATTGTCATCTGAATGAATTGTGGCATTTAGCTTGACTGTAATATATTGACCACTATACTTCTGCTCTAATTCAATCAAAGCACGATTGAATATCGATGACTTTCCACAAGCTCTGGGCCCTATGAGGAGTAGTGAATGCCCTTCGTTATCTCGCACTGTGTGCTCGAGTGTAGAATATATATCATTATACTTTTCCACTAAGTCCGAAAGTAGAATATTATGGAATCCATTTCTATCTCCCAATTGTGAAAGAACTTGGTTCTTTATTGTCTTGATATCTTCCAGTTCAGGCTTGAAATCAGCAAACTTTTTGAATGATTCATTAAAAGACTCTATAAGATTGTCTTGAAGTCCGTCCCCAGGCTGCTTTAAAACAGGTTCAACTTGATCGTTAGCATCATAAAACTCTAACTCAGTTTCCACATCCTCTTTCTCTTTCTCCTTTTCGCTATTCTCTAGTATTTCTGGATCTTGATAAGGGTCTTCTTCCAAAGAGTTGAAAAGTCTGATTTGCTTAAGCTTACCATATTTTGACATTCCTGACTCTTTTTTGCGTTCTTTCAGAGATTTTGGATCTCTCTTGGGTCTCTTGAGCTTATTTAAAGTTTTCACATTGGCCGTATTCAGTGCCTTGGAGCTGTCATCTCCATTATTCAACTCAAGGCTCCTTTCAAGTTTTAATCTTTTAAGTAGCTTGTCATCTTTCAAGTCTTGTGGACTCAACTTCCTTATAGGATTGAACTCTCCCTTAAAATCATCTTCGTATGATACATCTGAGGCCATTGTATTCAAACAAATAAACAAAAACACGTCTATTCAAGTAATAAAATTTATCGGTATATAATTTGCCCTAAACACATCTTCGAAATTAGTATGACCGCAATTAAACGTTAAAGCTACGTTAGAGTAACAAATTACTTTAAATAGCTTCCCGGTATAGTCACTATGCAAGAATTACCAGACTCAGTTACTAGCTTATTAAAGTCTACAAGATTTGTTCATTTGGCAACTTGCCAAAATAATATTCCTCATGTTACCTTAATGAATTACACGTATTATAATAAACCATCGGAGGGTCAAAGTTATATTATAATAACGACACCTAGAGATACTATCAAATATGAAAATATCTTAGCTAATCCAAATGTATCGCTTTTAGTTCATGATTGGATCTCAGCGAAAGCTTCTGATAATAATGGGGAAACTGAGAACAAAAGAAGAAATTCCCTTTACGAATTGTTGACCAATTTGAATAGAACTGAGATCAGCAGGGTGTCAGTAATGTTAACAGGAAAAGCGAAGATTATTGAAGATACAGATTCGGATGAATACAAATTTTACAAATCATTGCACTTGAATAACACTCTGATCGATGATAATCAAGCGAAGAACTATATTTCAAATGATAATAACGTGCTAGTTCTTGTTAAAATTGAGCGCTGTAAGGTTACCGACACGGATGATAATGTTCAAGAATTTTGAAAGGTGCTGCAATCAAGATTGAAGACGCTTGGGGTTTTTGTAAGGATGGATTCGACATCAATGAGGCAAATTGGAGCTCCATTCGGAGAGAAGTGAACTTGCCATTGACATTGCTGTGTCCAGCTCAGAGATTTTACGCATTCATATAGTTCCTATATCACAAAATCCATCTAAGTTGTAACATTGTAGAGGAATTCAGTGGCTCTTTGACTTCTTGGTATTAAAATGACCTAAAAAAAGTTGAAACCGTATGCTTTAGCTAGCAACATAAATATTCGACATCCTTACACGTACTTCAGATTATTGTTAGTTAGCCCTAATATTGGCTTGTGGCTTTCAAACCATTTACCTGTGTTTATCTGTATCTGTATTAATATATAACTTTTTATCATGTCGTATCGGCAATCTTCGCTATGTTTCCGATTTGTTTTAACTTCGGGAATGAAAAATCAGAGTGATTGGCTAGCTGCAGCTTTTGATGACGGGAGCAAGAATAATTGCCGGAAATATACAGGCACAGTCAAATCCCGACGCAAGTATGTAGCTGCGTATTTCTATCAACTGCACAAGCCATGCTAGCCAATCTCCACTTCTGGCTACGTAATCCCGGCGCAGTTCAGAATTTCTCGTGCATATTTTGAAAGCGGTCCGGACGCCTCCTACCAAAGCGGATTTAATGCGATATTAACGCTTCGTAATTCAACAACAAGCCATGGTGGAATTGTGATTTCTAGACATTCAAGCCGTAGGCGAAGCACCGCTGGATTAGTTTCGAGAAGTAGGGGTTGCATAGTTGAAATATATCAGTGTAGCTCTTGCGTATATCAGCCACATGGCTTATTCAAAATAAACACCGATAATTCGTATTGAGGCTATATCCGGGCTTATTCATTCGCCGAACATAGAAGAAGATGCACGGTGGATCGAACCACCGCTGATTCTTTTCACCGATAAAGGATTGCTTGCCGATTCACAGCCTGATACCATTTTGCGGGAAACGGCGCTGCACGGATCGCAGCCGGCTACATTACTAAAACTTAATATGAGGATAATATAAAGAGGACAAGGACCCATAGGGCTACTGAAGGAACGAATACAGATTAAGCTAAGGCAATACAGCGTATTGGGATTCAAAGTGTAAAATTAGAATCGTGAGTTGTACCTAGGGCCAATATTAAAGGCAGAGTGGTTAAGGAAGCGAAGACAATAAAAACCGGTCAGAAAGCCGAAAAAACGCATTAAAGTTAAGAAGGATGGCATACAATTTAGCACATATGGGTAACCCAATATACAATGGAAATGATCACAGTCATCATAAAGCTATTCTGTCGCATCTTGATAGACAATACTACATGGGTGGTACTGGAAGTAGCTCTGGAAGCTCAGGAATCAGGACTGAGTTTGGACAATTCTGGAGCCCAAGTGGAACAACTAGTGGAGAGTATTTCCCAGACGCGAGAAATAGCTCAACATTTGATTATTCTCCTCTAGCATCTAGCAGCATTTCCACTATGAGCCAAGATAATGGTCTTGGAGGTCCTAAAACTATGTCTGGTATGTCAAATTCTCCCTCCTATCGTTGTTATCCTGCTACATCGTCATCAATGAACTCAGTAATCTCGCATCCTTATTCTAACAGCATGGGTGGGTACTCTGGCAGTAATTCTTCTTTGCCAGTGCAACCACGTTTGGTTCCACAGAATTATCGAACATATATCACATCGCTTCAGGAACCGCACTACCAACCCCAGTTACAACAGCAACAGCAACAGCATCAGCATCAGCGACAAGAAGTTCAAGGCTTACAAACCTCCTCTTCTCTCTCTCACTATAACCAGCAGCCATCCCAAATCTACGCTCCGCAAAGTCATCAGTTACAGCACTTTCATCAAAATCAGAAACCTTTGGATAGAATTCTTCCTAAAGGATCGACGGCACTAGATTACACTTCGTTGGTAAACTTTACTGTTTCACCGAATTTAAAAAGGCGACGTAGGCTGAAGCTTCGAGGTAGTTCGCCTGAAAACGCCTATGCATGCAACAAATGCTCTAAAGTATTTCTGAAGCCGTATAACTTAAAGTCACATATGAAGACCCATTCTGACGAGCGTCCATTCAAGTGCTCTGTGTGTGCAAAAACATTTGCTAGAGGACATGATAAAAGACGCCACGAGTTACTTCACAAAGGCGAAAAGAATTTTCAATGTGAAGGTTATTTAAAAGACGGTGTAACGAGATGGGGATGCGGAAAAAAATTCGCTAGGTCTGACGCTCTTTCTAGACATTTTCGAACAGAAACAGGCTGGCTATGTATTAAGCCATTGATGGACGAGGCGAAAGATCTTGAGCTGCAGTCACATCCAAATGACGTTGACTCGGCAGATTTGTCGCCAACGTCGGACATATCACATAAAAACGCTTATTTAATTAACAAATTGGTTCATGGCAAATAGTTAGGTGTTTTTGATAATGATAAATATAAAGGTCTCTAGCATTTTAACAACTCAATTTATTGAAGTTTACCTTACTTCTTGATACGTAGTTTGTAGGACTTATATGTGAGACTATCTCTTCTTTTCGGCTTTTGATATGATCATACTGCATATGCCCTACTGGCTAATGTACCGGACAATATTGTGTTTTAATTCTCAATTAACAGACACCATGTTAAACAGAGCATCTAAATCAAACATACAATTTAAACCAGCGCAAACTGAGCAAAAAATGGATCAAGAAGATCTTACGGCTTCTCATTGGGATGATGTGATTTCTCCTGCCACTGGATCTTCTTTCACGAATTTACACAGTACATTTCTTCCACCAAGTAATGATTTTAATGAGCTCAAAATCAACAAGGATTCCTCTGAGGAAGAGGAAGATAATAGCGATAAAGATGGCTCTGGCTCTCGGAGTAGTGACCAGGGTGGCTCTGATGAAGGATTTAGTAATGATGGGGAATTTCGTGGCGATAGCAGCGCTTATGTAAGAGAATCTGAAATGAATCAGCTTAAAGAATTAAAAAAAGAAGAAAGGAAAGAGCACAAGCATCAATTGCTCTCGGAATTGGTTCAGGGGTCTGAAGATCATGTCTTAGAACTGTCAGTAGTATCACCTGAGAGGATCGATTCTTCGAAAGCCTTGTTCAACGACAAAGATAGCCCAGTAAAAGCTGTTGGAAACAATCATGACCTTGAAACCTATTCGTCGCCCAAAAGACCATTTAACTTGAAGAACAGTTTTAAAGCACCTAGACCTAGGAAATATAATCCAAGGACAATAATAAATCATCTAAATGAATCTGATAATGCAGATCAAGAAAGGCACTTGGGACCCTTAGGTGACGTCGATCTGGCGGATCAAGGTGACGCAAATTCGGTTACATCTAAAAAAATCAAGGCAGAACAGTTAGTTGAGGAATCCAATGCTCCCTTATATCAAATAAATACGAAGTCAGAGGAGGAAAGGGTGAAAGAACTTAATACACGAAATTGGCAAACTGCTGAAGTTAACGATGAGGGGCTAAAAGAACATGATCATTTTCTAAAGGCAGAAGCCAGTCCATTAGAGATAACAGTTGGTGATCCAATGAAGGTTGGTGATATTACTAATGCGCATATTGTTTACTCTATTAAGTCTAAGAGAAAAAATTCCAGTCTGACGGCATCAAACTTTCCTAAAACTGACGATTTTATTACGGTTTCAAGAAGATACAGAGACTTTAGGTGGGTATACCATCAACTTCAGAATAATCATCCAGGTGTGATTATCCCGCCGCCTCCAACAAAGCAAACATATATCGGCAGATTTAACGAGAACTTCATCGAAAACAGAAGGTTATCATTAGAAAAAATGTTGAGCAAAATCAGTTCTATTCCACCATTATGCAACGATGAAGATTTTATTATGTTTCTCACTAGTGAAGACTTCGCTAACGAATCAAAGGAACGTGAAAGATTAAGTGGCTCCGGTGCTTCAGTACAGAATAACGATGCACTTGATAATGAGCATAGTATAAGTGGTAATGATGATGTCAGCAACTCCGGAAGCATTGGTAGTGGATCCGGTTCTTTAATGCCAGGAGGAACTGTAGGGGGTGGGTTTATGAGCTCTCTCTTTTCGATATCTACAAAGATGACAGATCCAGATGATTTTTTCGTCAGAAAAAAGGATTATATTGAAGATCTAGAACAAAATCTTAGGAATCTTTACAAATCGATTGAGTTGATAGGAACTCAAAGGTTAGAAATGATATCTCTTTTGGATGAAATATCGCTAACGGTAGATGAGCTTGCTGACCTCGAGATCCTGAAGGTCACAAGTGACTTGTTGAATGCTTTCAGTGATGTTCAATTAAAATTAAAGGAAAATCTTGATAGGGTCAACTTACAAGATCAATTAACCTTAGGCTTCACGATCGAAGAATACTTGAGGATTATTGGTTCCGTCAAGTTCACGTTTGAAACAAGAATGAAGATATACCTGCAGTTTCATTCCTTCAATCAGGATTTGCAAAAGAAGCAAGCTCAATTAGACAAATTGAACAAAAAATACAAAGCCCAGGTCGACAAAATTAATATGCTAACTTTTGAAGTTGATAAGCTTAAGCAGAGAACAGCAGCATACGAGAAGAAATTTGTTTCTATAAGCGATACCATAAAATCAGAATTGGAGAAGTTCGAATTTCAAAAGATCGACGACTTTAGAAATAGTGTAGAGATCTTTATCGAAAGCTCAATAGAGTCTCAGAAAGAGGCAATTGAGCTCTGGGAAACTTTCTATGAACGTCAAAACTTGGCAAAAGTATAGCTTAATTTAAGACAGTTATAGTAGCCACTCCTTGAAGGAGTTTAATAACAATACCTATTTTGTTCCTCTTTGATCCCCTGTGACCTCTATTGATCCCGTCGTATTCTTGCCTATTGTAAGCTCTCTGCAATCTATTATTAATCTCAGGAGTCATATTCGACGGTCCTACCGGGAAGATATTATAGTATATCACGTGATTATATTCAATTTCGAGAAGAACCCAAACTACTTCCGGGAATGACTCTTTTTTTTTTTTTGTCTTGACAATTATTCATTATCAAGAGAGCGGCTTCCTTTGCAGTATATTAAAGGGAGGTAAGGTGTAATAATTGAAGTGGAACTTATTTTCATGAAACACGATAATATTCTAGTAGTAAACCAGGTTATACGATGGATACTCAAGTGCATTTAAACCGGACAAGACTATCTATATTGTCTCTTCCCAGAGACAAGCATTGGCTCTTTATAGGTCTGATTCTAAGACTTCTTCATCAGTCCACACAGGGGAAAACCAGCGAGTATAGTGGATATTCTGATTATGAAGATGCATACAGATATGAAAGGACTACCAATCATTATGAAAGTGAGTCTAGTTGGTCTCCAATATCTGCTAACACCAGGATTCTTCTGACACCTTCATCAGACGGTCTGGAAAGAATGGTTGACAATTTGACAAAAGTCGTTACATCTGACAGTCTGTCCGGGCTGTCCAGACTGTCAGATGATATCAATAGCCCTCAGTATGACAGTGATGATGATGATGAAGAGAGCTATTTTTTTCATGTTGCATATACTCCAAGTGAATGTACTGTCATTTGCTCTACCATACTCATGAATTCGTTATTTGAGGAGCCTTTGAAAATATGCAAAGAACTAAACTATAATGATGTAAAGTTATTAGAGGAGACATTCTTGAATCTTCAAGTTGATAGTGATGGAAGTCTTGATAAAAGTGCAAGAATAATAGAGTTAACCAAGCCCTTATCTGAAAACAAAATTTCATTATTCTTCATTTCCAGTCATTTCAGTGACATAGTCCTTATTCCATATTTGCTCAAGGACAAAGTGATCAACATCTTGACGAAGAAAAATTTTCAATTTTCTGATATTTCCAATAGCTACATTATGCATAAAAATTCTTCAGAGCCTGACACCCTGGATCATGAAGAGAACGATAAGGAAGAAGAATCTACCAAAAAACTCGATCAAGATGCATTCAAACTATTCAAGGATGCAGATATAGAGCCTAGAATAAGTAATTCTATAAAATTATTACTTACGGGCGCTAGGACTGGTGAAGTGAACAATACTATTGAAAAAACGACAAAAGTAATATCAGCAAACTTGATTCCACTCTACTTTGCAATTACTAGGACTGCATTAAATGAGGTATCGTTAGTTTTGCCCAAATCAACCAAAAAGAGATCTATTCTAGGCTTTGATAGTCGCAGCATTATAGGATCCACTCAAGACATAATTATACCAATTACTATAGACTTTTCGAAACTTCCTTTAAATGCTACTGGTATTGTTGCTGGCTTAGCAAGTCGTATAATAAATGGTATAAAACTGTTTCCAGATCTTATTAACTATCCATTTGAAATGAATTACTTTTCCATGGCTAGATCAGCTGTGATAATGATACCTGAGGAAAACATTGAGGTTGTGAGCAAAGTATTGGATAACTTGGATCACGATCCCTTAAAAAATGACGAAATTTGTATGAATAAATTAATTATATAAGTCATACTTACGAAGTATACGTTAAATACATTTAATTCTTTCATTTCCGAGTATGACAACTAATGCAAAATTTAGAAAAAAAAACTGCCTTATCAATTTCTGTTCTTCTTCTTCGGTTTCACACTGGTACTCCATCCATCTTCATCAACGGTTTGGAATTTACCTGCAGAGGATGTAATTGCTGAGCGCCAGCTAGTGTCATCGCTACCTCCTGATTGCTGCTCGACTCTTTGACGTCTCTTAATGAATTCTTGAGCAAATCTTCTTCCATCCATTGTTGCAGAGGAACTGTAAATGGTTTCTGCGATTAATTGGGAAGACTCTGGTCCACTGGACGGTAAAGTGACGAAAATTTCAAGTAAATCATCTTTAGAAACTGTTGGATATAAATTCATCATAGCATTTCTGGCCCAAATGAGGAATTCCTCCTTGACTGCAACAGCATTGTTCGAGGAATTCACAGGCTCGCTTGCTGAAACTGAACGCAACACTTGAGGATTAGCTTTCGAAGCCCAAGAAGAAGTATTGGTAATTGTTTGCACGGGTTTTTTCGTGCTTGTAACTTTCTTCGAAGTAACGGTTGTCCAAGCAGAATCAACCTTAGGCGTAGAATTTGCAACTGCAGTTGCGAAGGAAGCAGAATTTGGTTTGCTAGCTTTTGCTTTTGCAGCTGCCTCAGATTCTTCCTTTTGTATATCAGCTAAGGTCTTCTTAGATCCTGTTAATGATCCATTGTTATTGGAAGCCCAGCTCGCCGTTTTCGGAAACACTATATTTTCCGTATCATCTTCCGTCCACGACTGGTGAAGCTCCGTTTTCTTTTCAGTTTGCAACTTCTTGAGTTTTTCTAATTTCTCAGCTTCCATTCTTTGAATTTCTTTCAAAGATAACTTGGGCCCCTTTTCATCAACCTGATTATCGCAAGCCATAGAATTAGCCCAAGGTGCTAGCAGTGGGCTCAGACGAACAGGTGCAGAATCGGCAATTAAGGGTTTCTTTGATTGTTTTCCCTTTGCCTTTTCAATTTCTACGTTCTTCTCATCATTCAAAACACGATCATACGGCTGAGTTGTGTCCTGTGTTTCATTTTGAGCAGGGGGAGTAATCTGACTCTCATTCTTCGCCTCAGGTGCCAACAATGTCGGAGCAACTGTATCTGTAAAGTTCTCTTCCTCTCCATCGTTCAAGATATCCGAAACTACTGATGGAAGTTCACCAATATCCAGATCCACTTTCGCTGGCTTGTCATTGTCGATCATGCTACTTGCTTGTAAATTCGAGGATGGAACAAATGGCGAGGGGCCCCTTGAATGAGATGACCAAGGAGATATGGGTGGATTTTGAGGTATCATAGATGCTACAGCAGGGGCAATTGCTACTGGAGTTCCTGGAGCACTTCCCAAAAGACCATTTGACGAATCCAAGGCCCAGTTACTGTTGGTACGAGATAAAGACGGTGCCGTTTGCTGGATCTGTTGCTGCAAAAATGAAGGTATCGAATGAACATTATTCAACCCAATATTTGTGTTGATGGGTTCAATTCCAAATGTGGACTTTTGATTTGTTAACAGGGGAGCAAAAGGATCGTTATTGATGAATTCTCCACCAAACAAGTTAGATTGTGCACCAACAGACGGATTCATTCTTACGCTTGTTGCTGTAAGAGGTCCTTGCCCATTTGAAAATAACTGGCTAAACTGGGGATGCGATACGGATGGATCAGTAAAAGACGAGAGATTTTGATTCGTTTGGGGAACGCTCGTAGAATTTTGGTTCCCCGAGTTTGAAAGTGGTATCACGAAAGGACTAATGAAATTTTGAGCAGCCTCGCAAATATCTTGCAAAGTTTGATAGCTCTGATCTTCTTTCCTTCTTATTTGCAACTGAGGTGTCAAATAGCCATCAGCGAACCATTGTTGCATCATCTCGCCACTGAATGGTCCCTGCTCATTCCCACTAGGATCAATATAGCACCACTCATTTGTCATAGGTTCTATTTGATTCTTCAGTGCAATGGAATCTATCAAAACGTCATGCTTTGCCTGATTTTCAACCGTTTGATCAGCTGCTGAGTTCAAAAGATTTCGAAATGAATCTACTAAACCTGACGATTCAGGACTCTTGGATGCATGTGAATGAACATCCAAATGATAGATCTGCTGAAGTTCAGGATATTTGTATTTTTCTTTTTCAACACTTAACAGAGGTGGTTTCATTGTCAAGATCTTTGCCTCGTTTTCGAACCAAACTGCAAACACTTCTTCCATGCTGTATTGCTTACTTCCAATGTTAGGAGGAATGGGAGTGGTCAGATGCTGGGAGGAGCGAAAACTGGTTGTGTCGCTACTTGACCCATTATCATGAGAAGAACCATTAGCTCCATTATCTTGGCCACCGTTTTCATGATCAAACGAGTGAAATCTACGATTCTTTGAGCTTGACGGTCTCTTCGTCCAAGCTGCTTCTTTTTCTTGCCACGAAACCTGTGACATTTTACCTCTTGTATTTGTTCTTAAAACTTTTTCTTTCTCTATCTTTTTTTCAGCACTCGACTTCTTTGGACCTCATCAACCCTACGTCCAAAATGATTTTTAAGTTCGTTGCACAAATGTTTATATTACAAGTCGACTTAAGTTGCCTATAGTTTAAGAGATCTGATTTCGACTCTTATATTTGCAATTAATATGATATAGTTTGATTTGCACAGATTTGCACAGGTTTTTAATGGACCAAGGGAAAAAGTTAACGAGTTTTTTCTTCATGTTAAAGAACACAAAACGTTCAAAACCAAAATGTGCCAACGAAGGCAAAGATTTTGAGGCTACAAAGAGCTGAAATACTTACAATAGCGAATAGCATACTGCTAATATAATTTATTCTCTAGCAATACATGTTATATCATCGTGGCCATAAAAGACATAAGAGAAAGAAAATTTGGCACCGAAAATGTCAAAGAAACTAAGCTATATCTTATGTATTCAGATCCCTAGTTGCTTTTCCATTTCAGTATGGAAATCCTTGACGTTATTATGGGATTCGAACCCTCCCTTGTATATATCTTCCCAATCGATTGAGGTATCTTTGTTGAGAAGAATATCTTTATGCATCGAGTCAGGACCACCAAGCACAGATGGCTTGAAATCAGTGGCATCAACAATTTCCAACTCCATAGTCCTCTTTATTGGCTCGCCAGCACCAAATATCCTTCTGTAAGAGTCCAACTTCGTTTCATGTTGTGTCTTTTCCCAGTTTTCAATTCTAGACTCTAATGGATGACGGCCATTGATCTTTGAAGCCAAGTTCAAGGGTCCTTCCTGAGACTTCAAAATATCTTGTAACCCTGGGGCATGGCTTGCGGGCTCGCCAAAACTAGTGCTGCTGATAGAAGTAGCTTTGCTTTCCTCTGGTACTACTCGCATAGACTTATTAAGTTAGTAACTTGAGTTGTTTGATAGAAAGCTTTTTGCAAAAAGAAAGGGCAAAACAAGTTCTCCAATCAAATGCAAGCCTTCAGAAGTTCCTTTTAACTTACCATTTCTTTTCTATTTAACTCTCTAAATATAAGTTTCCTTCTTTCTGGATATCGTTAAAGTGGCGATTTCGATAAAATCAAATGTTTGCCTATATGCAGTACAATCACAAAAGAGTATAAAGCTAACAACGACGTGACAGTAAGAGGAATATACCAAGGTTGAAAGCGGTCTAGAAAAGCTGAAATTTTAGTGAGTACATTTTGTGTGAGCCCAAATGTTTGCTTTCATAGATTCAAATTTCTCCCTGTTTTCAACTAATGCGGCAATGCTTCATTAGTGGAAAATAGATATAATGGTACTAGTAAGTAATAGTAAGCAAATAAAAGTTAGGCATCGAGCTATTATTTGGCCAAATATAATAAATATAGAAATAATCTGATTTGGGCTTACTGATGAGGGTAATGACGTTTGACAATGCATAGATGTTTGGATTAAAGATTCATCAAAGTAGCACTGTTTCATGTTTTAGTAAGGAAAGCTGAATAAATCAAAATCATAAACCTCGTGAGCAAACAATTGTTTCATTTGTTCTTGGCCCTACAGTAATTTTTTGCTTTTCAAGAATATTTTCTTCATTGAGTTGAAAGTTTTTACTTTTTTGCATCAATTATATTTTGTCCCATAATTTAACTATACCCTATGGATTTGATTGAAATAGTTTTGAAGCCTACTAGAGGGATAACTGCACTATGTTTGATAATATGATTATATACTATGACAGGGTTGGTCTGGCTCAATTACCATTTTAATATGACGAAGACACTCTTGATAGCTTAGCTATTTACTCTAAACTCATTATCGCGAATTTCCAACCTGCAGCATAATCCGCAGCGTATAGATGCCAACAATTTAATCTATGTGCAGTATATGCTACAGATATACAAATCTGTTCTCTAACAATTGTGTTTTTAATAATGCTTCATGGAGACAATTCTTCAGTGTCTAAACTACCTGGATGAGTTGATATTGACATAAAATCTCTTTCTTTTAGAAATATAGGCACAAATTCCCAATCTTCTGGAGTTAGAGCCCCATTGAAGCATAAAGTTCCAAAGACTAGGAGAGCGAATCCAAAACATTGAAGGAAAGAAAACGACTCCCAGCCAAGAATGAGTGCCACCAACCAAACAACTAATGTTCTGCATGTATCAATTGTGGTTCGTGCTGTTGCTGACAACATATGGGTTATAGAAACTCCACAAAAGTTGAAAGTTGAAATAGAGATCATGATGAAGATAGATGATATAATGATTTCCTTTGACTTGAAAACTTGTGAAAAGGATTCCCGTAAATTGAATGGAGAGTTTTCAAATTGTTTTTCTGAATATATTGCTGCAAAGATGTAATTTAAAACAATCATGAAAAAGGTCAATATTATTGTACCGTAGAATCCTTCGTTATAGACTACCTTTAAAGGAACGATTGATCTATCTTTCAAAATATGCTCTTCAGCAACAAACTGTAAAGCTTGCAAAGAGACAGCAAGAATAACAAGGACTATCCCAAAGACTACCTTCGGAGCAGCATTATCGTCACTCGGGCCACTTGATGTTGTTCCACTGAAGCCAACTAATGCCACACCTAGAGTTACAAATGCTAATGCAACCCATTCAAGTTTCCGTACGTGTGTTTGGAGAAATAAGACCGACAATATTGCTACGAATAAAACTACCGCACCTCTAGTCATTTGGTAAATCGACACAGGAATATATAATAGTCCTATGTTCATTAAACTTGTTGCTGTCAAGTCTAAAATAGCAGGAATTGATAATTTTATGCTCTGACCAAATTTCAAATGTGATGGAGCCTCAGTTTCAGTTGACATTCCTGTCTGTCTCCTAGAAAACGGAGACTTGTAACAAAGATAATAGACGAAAAAAATCCCCAACTCGCCCAAAAACATTTGTAAAGTTTGGACAGCCGGCTGTTCAAAATATCGATGAGTTGATAAGTCAGGGTTTTCACAGTTCTTCACACATTGATTGTCTTGATATTTCGTGAAAAGGGAATTCAGAGCTCCCAGAACAAGTGTTCCTATCACAATAATAGGTATTTTAGACATTGTCACAAAAATTTTATAGCTATCTGAAATGACGAGAGTATGACTTTGCCAAAGAGCAGAGATATGCAGTTGAGATATCCAAGTTTACCCTAAATAATTTTTAGATTGATCACTTATTATAATGTTTGATGATTTCAAAGTTTACTTTTAGAGACCTCTGTAGTTTCGTGCTGCGTCCTTTAATGATCGAAACAGGTATCTAATAAAATCATTTCCTGCACATACTCGAAATGAGCCGCATGATGGGCATCGACTTGTCATAACTTTTCCGTGTTGAACATGAACTTAACAGATGCTTTTGTATGGAGAGAAGGTATAGAGTAGTAGAGTATGACATATAGCACTACGCATTTGATTTGGCCATCTTTTATAAGAACAATTGCTCTTTTTAGTATGTAAAATTAAGAACTAATTTATGTGCTCGTTACAATGTGAGCTTTTTTTTAGTCCTGAGGCTACATGGATTGAATTTAGCTAAGTTGTATCGTACCTTTGAGTATTAGTATCCAACGGGAGTATACTAGTTGACTTATATTATCCCTAATATAATAATTTTGCTATCAAAGAGCTACAGAATGGTTGACTATAGTATATTAGCTTAGTCATCAATATATACTTAAAGCTCAAAACTTATATAATATTCTGGTTACCCGATCATAAATTCTCTCTCATATTATTCCCCCATCGATGTAAAGAAAACTTTTCACTAAACCTTAACAGATAACGAACAGAGTAATTCTATCTTCTATATACATATAATCAGAGCAATATGGCATTTGGAGCTCCAAGAGGTAGAGGTGGTCCCCCTAGAGGTGGCCGTGGCGGTGCCAGAGGTGGTTCCCGTGGTGGTTTTAGAGGCGGTGCCCGTGGTGGTGCTAGAGGTGGTGGCCGCGGTGGTGCTAGAGGTGGTGGTCGCGGTGGTGCTAGAGGTGGCCGTGGTGGCGCTAGAGGTGGCCGTGGTGGTGCCAGAGGCGGTGCTAAAGTTGTCATCGAACCCCACAGACATGGAGGTGTTTTCATCGCTAGAGGTAAAGAAGATTTATTAGTCACTAGAAACATCGCACCTGGTGAATCTGTTTACGGTGAAAAGAGAATTTCGGTCGAAGAGCCATCGAAAGATGAGTCAGCTCCACCAACGAAAATTGAATATCGTGTTTGGAATCCTTTCAGATCAAAGTTAGCTGCAGGTATTATGGGAGGTATCGATGAGCTTGGATTTGGCCCTGGTAAGAAGGTCTTGTATTTGGGTGCTGCTTCAGGTACATCTGTTTCTCATGTTTCAGATGTTGTGGGACCAGAAGGTTTAGTTTATGCAGTTGAATTTTCCCACAGACCTGGAAGAGAATTGATATCAATGGCTAAGAAAAGACCCAATGTGATTCCCATCATTGATGATGCTCGTCATCCACAAAAATACCGTATGTTGATTGGTATGGTCGATGCAGTCTTCGCAGATGTTGCCCAACCAGATCAAGCTCGTATTATTGCCTTGAACTCGCATTTGTTTTTGAAAGACCAAGGAACTGTGGTTATTTCAATCAAAGCAAACTGTATTGATTCTACTGTTGATGCGGAAACCGTCTTCGCTAGAGAAGTTCAAAAATTGAGAGAAGAAAGAATAAAGCCATTGGAACAGTTGACATTAGAGCCTTATGAAAGAGATCATTGTGTTGTCGTGGGACGTTACGTCAGAAGTGGATTAAAGAAATAATAAGCCAAATTCTGTATTTTATTTCATTTATATGCATTTTTGTTTTCTTTAGGGATAAAAGAAAAGAACCAAGAATAAGATTTTAACTTATATCAAGGAAGAAACCGACTTTAAAAAATGTAGTCTCAATAGTTTGATCCTGTATAGTAGCTAATTACACAAAAATTCCTCATGTTATTATAATTTCTTTTATACATTTAATTATATTAACTTTTCTCTTCACTACATAGTTGTGGTGGCGGCTCTGAATAACTGATGAAATCTGCAAGTTTTTGTTTGGATTACTTTAAAACAGATATACTGCTTGAGACTTTGGTAGGAGACTAGAGCGAAATTTAGGGGCAATAGCAACATTTTGGAGGATTCCAATCAAAAATGCCGAGTGATACGATGGATGTTGTGGACCAGAGGCAGCGGCAACGGAGAGATAAAGACGTACAAGATAGACGTCTACCTCAAATAGGTGACGAAGTGATTGAAATAGCTTCCGAAGATGAAGGGGACAACACTGGGCCACTAGATAATCAAGGCGAGGAAATAGTAATTAGTGATGAGGACTACACCAATAATGATAACGACCATAATGACACTGACAATAACGAAGCTGGTGGTAATGAAGAAGAGGACGATGATGATATACAAATCACACAAATAAACCATATATCAGATGAGGCACTGATACGACGCAGAAGAAACTCTGATCTGAACCTTCAACGAAGACTAAGGAGAAGGATTGTTCCCGATGGCAATTACGAGGACGGAGACGACAGTGTTCAATTTGTTAATGAAACTCTTTCAAATTTGAATAGTGAAGAATTCTTGCAATCTTTAGATAATCATCGTCTCGACCTATTAAGACAGCTAAACGCACAATTGGATGGCGCCGCTAGGTCCAGTGGTGACACTCGAACAGGTTCAAACTACATTACTAATATTTTTGAAGAAATCAGAAGGCTATCACAACAGCGTTTGAATAACACTTATGAGCAGAACCAAGGATCTCCTAGACGCAGATTGAGATCGGGTCCAAGAACAGGACCTCCGCTCTATCAGGGTTTTGAAAATTTTGAACAGTTGGAAGGGCCTTTTCACTTGTTTGGTAACATCTTGTCTCATGATCACCTGCCTCCGCATTACAGTGAGAATGACGTTGAAAGGTCTATTATGGCGAGGATAGAAAGAGACAATGATAATGCAATAGACTCAAGGTTGGCGAGTGAAAATATCTTCAATAGGAAACTTTTGGTCGAAAAGAGGGATCTAGTGAAACATGAACATCCTGGATATTCTAATGATATAAGGAAAGATTCCGATTTATGTTGCGAACTCTGTGGTTCCACTTTGGGCTTGGGTATACCCGAAGACTTTGTCCCCGATAGAAGATATAATGATAATTTAGAATTCTATGCGAAAGAATATAGAGTCCAGGCACCCTGGTTCTGTAACCAACTTATGACGGCTACTGACAAGGCACTTTCTAAACGAGTTTTCGCTGCAAAATGCGGTCATGTATTTTGCGGTAGGTGTGTTAAAAACATCGGTAATAGATCAGGAAGGACGAAAAACCATGTCAAGACCTTAACCATTGATAATCCTGTTCTATACGCTCCTAGAAAATGTCCGGCGATAGAGTGCGGTAAGCATTTTACATCGAAGGGTTTCACAGAGTTGTATTTTTAGATTGAGGTATTTGGACATCACATGGCTCTGCAGAATATGGTTTATAGATTTGATCACTTAGAGTGCTTTCTCAATTTTCCAATCATAATATCATATATTTAAAACTGTAAATTGTACTACATTTGGCATAGTTATTGCTGTCAGTAAATACATCGTAATAAGAGAAGATAAACAATATAATATCACTCAAAATAGTCAAAGTCATTGAGCGTGTTCATTAGGAAGCATCTGACGCAGTCAAACTCAGCCGAATTATAATAAATAATTCATCAATCAATCCTAGCCTCAGACAAAGTAAGAGGCTTGATATTATTGGAAAAGACAGATGATCCTGTCTTGAATCTGCTTATCTTTTTCAATTTCTCTCTTACAACCATCACAGGAACACACAGCTTCGTAACTAAGTAATTCGATAACGAGCCTAACAATACCCCTTTAATTGCAGATTGGCCCTTTGAGCCAACTACAACCAACGTGGGTTGCAAATTGTCGATCAACTCAAGGATCAAGTGCCGTGGAATTGGATGATGTATAACCTCAATCACAACGTGAATCTGTAACTTGGTAAGCTTTAAGAGGTTTACGACCTGTTGCTTTGCTCTGTTTAACAAATCAAGTCTTTGATTCTCTCGAGTCGACTCATTAGAAAGATTAGCCTTCAAATTATGATTTGAATCATTCTCTTCGATAACGCATACGATGAATAATACAGAACCATCTACCAAGACTGTTCCAAGGCACCACTCTAATGCGAATATGGACTCAGGAGAAAAATCCATGCATACTAGGAACATTTTTGGTTTATTTTTATGATTGATCAACTGAAAGAAATTACCTCGAGTGATGGTTTGAATGGCCCTAGATTGAGTCTTGTTGGAATCGATTTTCCCCTCCTTGATTGTTTCATTCAATCTGGAGGCGAACTCCCTATCCAATTTGTCTTCAACAGCAGAGGTATAAGGCACAAGGAAATCCCGGCCATCTTCGCTTGCAGACTCAGAGTTTTTGGCCACATCGCTAGGCTTAATACTATCCTGATGATTTAGTATATCATTTTCTTGATCAATAATCTTTTTCCTGTACTCCGAATAGTTCTCTAAACGTTGTTTTCTGGAAGAGCCATCAAAGTCTGGCCTATTCAAATCTAGATGCTCTTGGTCCATCAACTTTTGTTTATCCGTGGCTATTTTATTCAATACCTCTTCATCAATTGGATTTCCAACGACTTTGGTATTCTCAAGTGCTCTTTCATTTGCAGTTAATTCTTCTAATTTACCTATCGTCGCCACATCATTGAGATTTGAGGTTTCCAAGATGTTAGAAATTTGGTGAATTTTATCATCATGACAGGCATAATTTGGAAGAATGTTACCTGTATCATCATATTGAAATTTCTCGTTGCTATCGTCATCGCTTATGTGCTCCTCCTCACTGACCTCATTGTCCCATAAATCATCGTCCTTTTTTAAGTCATCCTGAGGAATTATTCTCTCCAGAGGGTCATGGTTAATTACGGTCCACTTTAAATCTTTCTTGAATTCGTCATTCAGTATGGATGAAGATCTACTATTGCTAGCCGAGAGAGCTGGAGAGAGTGATCTACCTCGGTTACTTTTCCTAGACTGCAATATAATAGAATCTCTCTCTGCATCTAGTCTTGACTGTCTAGATGCCATTATAAATTGTCCTGTATTATAATAATAAGTCACTGATATCCAGAGTGTGACAGTTGCCTTATAGATACCTATCTATATATATATTTTGATTGCCAAGATTAAAAGGGAGCGATAAGTTTTACAGTTTATTAAATTGGCAATAAGTATTTACAGGTTACGTGACTTTATCAATTACTTATTTTCATACATCTACTTCATCATCCTCGTCTTCCTCATCTTCCGTGAGATACTCTACTAGTAAATTGGCTCCTGACTTAAGTTCAGTCGCATCATTTATCGATATTTCAGTAGGGGTTATGACCTTTTTGGGATACGGCTGGATTAGCTCGAATCTAAAGGGAAATTTCGATAAAAACTCGGCTCTCGATAAAACTGTTTGCAGGTTATCGGCAGAAGCTGAGACTGTGTCTTGTATATCCGGTTCATCTCCTGCGGATTCGAGAAGTTGAAGTTCGATGTACAAATACAAGTCGTTTATCTGGGCAGCTTTCGATATGGTCTCAATAATTCTTCTCCCATCAGGCATTTTGAATGAAATTCTGGTACTTGGCTCCTTTCTTAATTCTTCAAGCCAATTACTCAGCGCGAGAGAGGCAAGATAATCTTCTCTTTGCTTCTTGGCTGATATGAGCTCTTGCTGGAATTTGAGATTTCTCTCTTTCTCAAGTTTTTTCAATCTGTCCTTTTCTAAAGATTGGACATAAGCATCATCTTGCTGCTGTTTGACAAGCCTTGCAAATTCAATCTCTTGTAGATCAATTCTCTGTGTGATAAGCTGTGGATTGAAAGACTCTAAAAGTTTATTGAGATTTCGAACAATCTTTTTTATCGTGCTGTTTTTCTTCTCGGCTGTCAAGAATTGAGGTGATAAATTCGACTTATAAACCATCGACATGGACGACATAACCGAAGGGTTGTTGGACACATTTCCTATTAGTGAAATAAATGGGAGAGTTTTCACCTGATAAGCTTTCCCGACTTCAAAGGCTTCCGGGGACCTTTCTACGTTTGACACATAAATATTGTTTTCCTTGAACAATCCACTTTCCTTGTTAAAACGCATATTAAAATTTGGATCATCCAAGATATTCGAAATAAAATCAGTCGTTTCGTCGTTGACTAAAATGATTAACAACCATGTATAACTCTTTTGCGTACTTGTATGAATTTCATTAAAGTTAGATTCTCTTAAATTATAATTATTATTGGCTGAAGATAACAGAGCAACCAAGGTCTCGTCATCAGAGACGCTGTCCTCTAATAATTTGTAGCGTGGGTCGTATTCATCATAGTTGAATGCTTTAGGGAACTTATTTTTACTCTTTTCTGGAGAAGTCCCCACCAAATATCTAAATATAGATACTAGCATTTGAAATAAAGACTTTGGAATGATCATAAGAATGAGCCAGATCGAATGAACTGGAAAGGGAAGTTGCTGCTGCAGAGTGCTGATATTTTTTCGCTTCTGTTCTTGTTCTTGTTCCTTCAATGATGAATGGAGACCTATCTCCAATTGCCAGTGATTTGAGATTCTGGGGGCCATAGGTAACTTTGGTAAAAAGTTGTCTAGAAACAACTGATTTTGCAAGTTAACTACAGAATCATGTCTTGACCCATTTCTTGAGACATTCCTCTGCCTTACTTCAGATGCCTCTTCATGCACTTCAACACCACTTGACTCTACAGATGTGAACCCATGTTCGAAGTATCCAGATACTGCATTGTTCAAATTGTTGTCATTAATCGTCAATAAACGTTTGATTTTGTCGTCATTTTCATCATCTAGTCCTGTTATTGTTTTGAACTCCGATAGTAACCGATCCGTTTCTTCAGACATATTAATAGGATAGAGCAGTCTATCTATAAAGAATAATACGTAACAATCCAGTGATGTGAACAAATATCTCTCGACGAGTTAATATGCAGAACTATAGTAAAGAATACCAGAACTATGGAGATAGTGATCATACATTTATAAGAGCAGAACACCAGAAGATAAATACGATCATCATATGGATGGTGTCTCTTCCTATTCTTGAGCCATCTCTTATTAGCCAGTGTTCTATATTCAATAAGAATCAAACATGAAAGGAGCCAGATATTCGAGCCTGGCGAATGAAGTCACATTGAAAATCTAGAGTGAAGGTCGTATTCTTTCATAAGGAGAGATTAATGAATATGTAGTATAGGCACCTAACGAGGTATAGAATTCTATTTCTTGCCAGACGAAATGTCAGAACCATCAATTGCAAAAGTAACCAATTTAGGTATCAAGTCTAATAGTGAAACTTAGAGCCAAAAACTTAACCTGCCTTATTTCTCATTATCTTATTCAAACCACTCCCTTGAATTTAACAGTTTACTATTGATCATTGTATAGCAGCACTGTACTCATATCGGATCCAGATGATATCTTCTTATATAAATTTAACACATGTTTTGGCCCAAGTGCTATATCTTCATACCAACAGCCAGGAGAGAAAAGCTTCAAGAAGAGGAAATCTCTTAATCCTGCCTTACTTCGGGTCTTTGTTAAAGACTTTTGCAGTCAGCAACAGTTCCATGCAATATTTACCTCTGGAGAAGGACTAAATGTCGCACAAACTTCTATGTCGCTAGTGCCTCACCAGCTTCAGTTCCTCTACTTGGAAACCCGCCTTTGAAAACTCATCTGTCCAGTTGAGAATAGTATCCGAGGTATGGCGCGGCTGGTACACAAGCTTCTGCTTGTCGGCTCAAAGGCATCATGGATTCCAGTTGTGATGAGCTTTAGAGATCTTGCGCTTTGTTTGAATAGGCGAAGTCTTGTTGGGACTTTGGCAATCTGCAAGTTGGTAGCACTGAGGCTATTAGTGGCTGATACTTGATTGCTGCGATGAACTGTCGATGGTGCTTTTATCCTGTGCATATAGATCTAGGTCTCGCTAAACTGTTGTGTTTTCTCGCTACAACGTCGTTATCGGTTGAGCGGAACCAAGTTAATATAGCGACAGCGCGCGTTGGCTGCTATGCGCAATGGATTCCCGCAGGGGTTGTTCTCTCACCGCACCGCAGCCCACCGCCAGCCCCACCACTCCGACTAAGCAGCCGAACTTCGATGCCAACGTTATATAAATCGCATTTTTCCTTTGTCGTTGCAACTAGCAAACTCTTCTCTTTTTACTTAAAGCTAATCGGACTTTAGCATCTTGTAATTTAGCTGATTACACCAGTGGTAATACACTAAGTGCTCTTACTGAATAAAGCTGGAGCATAAAAAAAGAAATAAACAGATATATTGTTGCCCCGTTGAAGTTGCGACAAATAAGAGATCTCCACGAATATCGTTGTGACTCTTGATTTAATACTCACTCATTCACGTTGAAGCCATATATTCATCTAATCTAATCCAAAATGTCAAAATTTTTCCGTTCAACCTTAGGAAAAGTTGCTTTGGGTTCGGCCGCTGGACTTGGTGGTACTGTTGTGTACCTAGATTTTATTAGGTCACCTAAGCCTTCTGCGCTCACTAACTCATATAAACCATTAAGAAAAGATTTACCGGAACCACCTTCCAGGGAGTCTCTTTTGAAGAACTTGGACACTACAGAAAAATTTGATGTTGTGGTCATCGGTGGTGGTGCGACAGGTACTGGTGTTGCCTTGGATGCTGCGACTAGAGGTATGAACGTATGTATGTTGGAAAAAACCGATTTTGCATCAGGTACATCTTCTAAGTCTACTAAAATGGCTCACGGTGGTGTTCGTTATTTGGAAAAGGCTATTTTCCAGTTATCGAAAGCCCAGTTGGATCTAGTGATTGAAGCTCTCAATGAAAGAGGTAACATGTTAAAGACTGCACCACACTTGTGTTCGGTTTTACCAATTATGATTCCTGTTTATAAATGGTGGCAAGCTCCTTACTTCTTTCTTGGTTGCAAAATGTACGATTGGTTTGCAGGACATCAAAATTTGAGAAGCTCTACTATCTTCTCCAGAGAGATGACTAGTGCTATTGCACCAATGATGGATGACTCAAATTTGAAGGCTGCTTGTATTTATCATGATGGTAGTTTCAATGACGCTAGGATGAATTCTTCTTTAGCTATCACTGCCATAAACAGTGGTGCAACTGTTTTGAATTACATGGAAGTTCAGCAATTAATTAAGGAAGATGGAAAATTAGTTGGTGTTAGAGCCCTTGATAGAGAAACCGGAAAAGAATACAAGATTAGGGCTACGGCAACCGTCAATGCAACAGGTCCATTGGCTGACAAGATTTTAGAAATGGACGAAGACCCATTAGGTTTGCCTTCTAAAATTCAAAAGCCTCCAAAAATGGTTGTTCCCTCAAGTGGTGTTCATGTTGTCTTGCCAGAGTATTATTGTCCAAGAGATATTGGATTATTGGATCCATCCACGTCTGATGGTAGAGTTATGTTCTTCTTGCCATGGCAAGGAAAGGTTTTGGCTGGAACAACTGATACTCCCTTAAAGTATGTACCGCCTAACCCAACTCCAACTGAAGAGGAAATTCGTGATATTTTGAAAGAATTACAAAAGTATATTGTATTCCCTGTTAATAGAGAGGATGTTTTATCAGCCTGGTCTGGTATTAGACCTTTGGTACGTGATCCTGCTTCAATTCCAAAGGGTGAAAATTCTAGTGGTAGTACGCAAGGATTGGTTCGTTCTCACTTGATTACTGAATCTCCTACTGGCTTATTGACTATCTCCGGTGGTAAATGGACCACTTATAGAGAGATGGCTCAAGAAACTGTTGATACTTTAGTTAAAGATTATGATTTCGACGGAAGGAATAAGAACTTCAAGCCTTGCCAAACGAATGACATTTTGTTGATTGGAGGTGAAGATTACTCCAAGAACTACTCAGCTAGACTTATTCATGAGTATCATATTCCGTTGAAGTTAGCTAAACATTTGTCGCACAATTACGGTTCAAGAGCCTCTTTGATTCTTGAAATCTATCATCAATCTGACTATAACAAATTACCTGTCACTCTTGCTGCAACAAAGAGCTTCACGCCATCTGAAACGTCTGCATCTCCAGGTAATACTTTAAGTTATCAGTCTTTTGATGAACCATTTACAATTGCAGAATTGAAGTACTCTTTGAAATACGAATACACCAGAACTCCTATCGACTTCTTAGCAAGAAGAACTAGATTAGCTTTCTTAAATGCAAGAGAAGCATTAGGTGCAGTTGATGGTGTTGTTGAGATCATGAAAAATGAATTGGGCTGGGATGAACAAACTACTGCTAAATTAACCAGCGAAGCTAAGGACTACATTGGCCAATTTGGTATTTCGCCGGAAAAATTCGATGTAACAGATTTTGTGGTCCAATAGGTAGATTGTTATTTTATTGATTTCATCATGTAACTATACGATTCTCAAAATTATTTATTTCAACTATAAATTTTATAGACGTATTCCTCATACATAAGCTTATAATTGATGTTTTAATGCTTTAACTTCCTATCTTGTTCTGCCATACTTCAATCTGAATTGAAGCATAAGATCATATGATATAAAATACATAAAGCAGTGGTAAAATAAATTGATTAATTTCGAATGTTTAAATCCTCGACCTCCTCTGCAAGCTTATTTACTCTAGCTTTTCTTATTTTCTCAGTTCTTCTCTTGTCACTACTGGCATGTTTTTCACCTCCACGGCCCGGGCTAAGGTTATCGTCGATATCAATAGAATCAGTATCAGGAGTATAACCATACTTAATTTGATAATCCGTAGGTGGTTCTCTCAAAATATCTCTAATTGTTTCATTTCCAACCAATTGATTATGCAATCCGAAACTGAAACACCATTTTAAATGAATCAATCTGATATAAAGAAACCAACTGTTAATATGAATCAATCTCGTTTTTGACAATTTTACGTAAGTATAATCCATTAAAGACTTTTGAATTGAGATTCCCTCTGGAGACTTCTTATATATCTCAGCTCTCTTGCTGTTATCAGTATAGCATTTCAAAGTGTTAAGTATATCTCCAAATATTGAATGAGATGATTTCCTGTCCTTTTTAGATATTTTTTTGTCTGACAAATTTGCCAAACGATCCACTATAGAAAATAAAGCACCCTGCTCATAATAAGGGGCGTTGGAATTGAAATCCTCATCTTCAAATTCATCGTCAATATCTTCCAGGTCATCATACTTAAAGAGTTCATAGCAAAGAGCAATCACCCTTCCAGCTGCCTTCGAGATTTCCAAGTTCTCGTCATTATCCATCAAATCAACCAAATTTGGAATTATTTCTGTTATTCTTTCGTTGAGGTATTCACCCCTTTTCAACAAGGTTAAAAGACAACCCGTAGCATGTAATCCAGAGATTGCAACAGATGCCTCAGCATCCGCTTTCGCGAACGATTCAGTCAATAGCTTTTGATCACTATCCTTTTCGAAAATAGTGGAATAATCTCTATCACCTGCATCGATCTGCTGGTGCAAAGCAATGGAACTCAAACTAAGACCCTCGCTCAATTCAAGAAGCCATGTTATTTTTTCATCAATCCCAAAGCTTGAAGTCCCGTTGTAGAGAACAAGGAGAAGCCCTGTATATCCAGTAATAAGATTCGATTTGTTTTCATTAGTTATAACCCCATTGGGAGGATCTTGAATCAATTTTTGTATATGACTTAAGAGTTCAGAAGATATAAAGGAACTGAATTCCTCTATATTCCCTGCTATGATAGCAACGATGGATCTGAATAACAATAGAAATTCAGTTTCGGATCTGTAATCGCCACTAGTGAACACATTGACTAAATCTTGAACTTTGTCTTCCGTTACATACTTATTAGTTCCTATGACAGTCTCATTGTAGATTGACAATGGCTTTGAGACTACCAATTTGTAAAGCTGAGCCAAAAGAAGCTCTCTCGATTGTGATGACACTTCAGTCCTTGACCTAGACAAAGAAAATATAATATCGTTTATACCTGTCGAGCTAGATTTAATGACTGATGTATTCAATTGCTCTGTAGATTTCTGTTTCTGATCTCCATGTTCCACCCCTTGATACCCAGTACGTCCAGATGAGTCCTGTTGCTCCACAAATGACTGTAAAGACTCAAGTTTCTTTGAAAGCAACTCTTCAATGCTTTGAAAGTTGAAGTCAAGTTGCCCATTTTCCTCGCCATCTGCTGTTGGAGTCCTTGCTCTGGATGCTGAACGAGACGAAGAATTTGAAAGGGTTTCACCCTTTAACATATTTCTTGTCTTCTGTAGCTTTGGTGACATTCCAGACATCTTGTATCAGTATAGTTTTACTTTATTTTGTGAGTCAGCGTAGCAAAATTAATTATATAGGAATTAAAATTGCACCCTTGAACGAATTTATGATATCGACTCGTGACTCATGTATTACTAACACATCGATAACGGCAAATCTTATAAGAATATATGAAGATATAAGAATAATCAGAGATTGATAATCTAGAGTAGTTGGTTTTATCTATTATATTATACAGTTATTGAATTAAAGTATGCTCATATGGATAATATGCAAATTTAGTTGACATGAAAAGAATTATCACCAACTCTATGACAAAAGTTGCTTTGTATAAATTAAAAGTTCAAGGACGTGAACAATAAAGGCTATAATCCTCTGGGAGACTTTTCGAAGCTAAATACCTGTTGTGGTGTCTTTACGAATCCTCAAATGACAAAAAACTAAAATACAACCTCTTGCGGAAGAACACACACTTTTTCGCCATTCTTCCTCACTGTATCGTTATTCACGTCCCTTGGTAACAGCTTCCGCATATCAAAAGCATCAATTTCGTCGTCTATCTTCAGCCGATCTTCAGGTATCGTCCGACCATAATAGCCTACTACCCTTCGGTACACACTGTAACCTAGCTTTTCGTACAATTGGCGACCTAAAGTGTTCGTTACCTTGACGAATAAGTCGACAAATAATGTCTCGTAAGGTTTTCCCTTGGTAAGCTCTTCTAATTGTAGGCACAAATCGGATGCTAGACCTATCCTTCTGTATTGATTACTGATCGTGACAGCAGTAATATGCGTATGCCATTCCTTCCGACTAAGCTGACCCTCTACTTTACCCATCATGTATCCGCTAATCTCGTTGTGCTGTCCGAAATCATCATATGGTTCTACAGATTTAAAGAATAACGTTGGCCATTCTGTCAAATAATGAAAATAAAAGGATGGATTGAAATTCTCCGTCAAAGGATCAATATTAATTGGATTAATCTCAAACAAATCCTCCATCTGAAATGGTTTAATTGAAGTCATGATCGACACGGAATTGTGTTGTATTTTGATTTAAATTGATGACTTCATCAAATGACTTGATTTGCTCTTTTGTTTGTCGTGTGAATATATAAAAAGTCGTACAAAAATTTGTCGAAATTTCATTCTTTTATAGCTTTTCTTAAGATTACATTACTATAACTTTATTTAACGACATTTAAGATGTACGGTGGTCCAGGAGCTCAACAAAGCGAAGAACAAAGGAAGTTACAAGAAAAAGCTGCTTATGATACTTTAAAAATGGCAGGATACATAGCAGGAGCGTTATGGATCACACCTATAATTATCCATTTTGTCAAGAGACACATTTAATGTTATGAAAGAATTAAAAAAACATTCTACAAAGTCTTTCATTTGTACATACTTAGGATTTGTATTATATGATGTTTATAAACTAATCTGACTTTATTATAATCATGAGAAAAATGTAGTCTATTCGTCATTATCAATGTCAATCAATGCTTCTCTTAGTTTGCTGACTTTGTTAGCTAAGTTTGAAAACTCCATTCTCTCGGATATCTTACTTGCAGCTGATAGTCCTCTGTCAGTTTTGATAAGCTTCGCGATACTGAGGGCCCTTTTCAATTTATAGTCTTTGCAGGCGTCACCAAACAACTTCAAGAGAGATTTGTCCAAAACAATACTATACTGCTGCAATCTATCCATAATTTCCTCACTCTCTTCTTCCTGAAATTCGTCATTTAATGAATCGCTGACTATCTTGCCCATAGTTAAACATCTCAAAACCATTTCTTCGGGATCATCTTCATTTGAATTTACGAGTGTTGCATCATCATCAGCTTCATCCAAAATATCATTTCCTTTCTCGCGAATTGGCTTTTGATATATTGATACTGGCAACTTAATGCTGAGCTCAACGGGGAGTGGAAGTGGGAAATCTGGATATTGACTATTGTTTTTCAAAATCAAACAATTCAACTGCTCTCTATAGAGACCTAATGGCCAACACTTCCAATGTCTTTTATTCTTGTTTGTTCCATGTTCGGTTAACGTGTTGTTGCAATTTAAAAGAGGAATCCACTTAGAGTTATTTGCTTCTCGCCAGGATTGAAGTATAAGCAAAGTATCGTCGATACCGGGAACAATACAAGGATCATTGTACTCATTGAAAAAGACACCTTTGATTAAAGGTATTTCGGGGTTTGGTGACTGCTTGAGTGGCAAGAGTACATCTTGCTGGATGAACTTGAAGTCTGAATTAACATCAAGGATTGAGTAGCAATAAACCTTTGATGATATCTGATTAATTGAGAAAATAGTATTGTTCTGAGATGAAATTAATGTCACAACAGGCGTAGTCTTGATAAGATTGAGACATACTCCATGAACATTGAAAAACCTCACATAACCAAAGTTTGTTCCAACAACAATCACTGCATCATTTTCCGACTTGAGTTTGTAATTATTAGTTATTGCAACTGATGTAATATATTCATTTTTCAACAACGGGATTCTCTTTTCCCATGCATCTTGAGTTCCTTCGTGGTTTCTATAATATATAGTTCCAACTGATGAACCATCTTTATATCCAGAAGCACCCAAGAGCAAGCCGTTAAAGTTGATAGAGCATAAATCGTAATTTTCTGAGTCCATGAAATGATAATCCTTGTTAATAGACCGGTCAAAAAATGATACAGTTATGGTTTGCTGACTGGCAGCGTCTTCATAGGAAAGATTCTTTACCGACCAAACATATCCAACCGAATTCATAAAAAGATACCTTCTATCAGCATTCGATGCATTTTTCTTTTCGTTCTTCCAAGGCGTAGATCCAGGAGAATATGGCTTTAAGTTCGGTTCTTGAGGTAAGATGAACAGAGGGTGACGAGCATTTCCATTACTTTTATGGCGCTTTCTTTGTCCCTCATCTAAAAACTTATCTCTGTTATAATAAGAATTACTCTTCGCAAAGCTCTCTATCTCATCATCTTGATCAATTACCATCGAATCTTCCTCATGTAGCCTGAGCTCATCGTCTGACACTTTGTCTATGTTATCAGCATTGCGTTCCTCTTCGGCTTCTGAATCATTCAATAACGTGTCTGTATTATTCTCACCCTCCAGTTCTTCTGCTTCGTTTAAAAATAGACTATTCAAGTCATTCTCTGGCAGCTTGTCTATAATATTGATAAATTGTACAATTTCACCATTCGAGGTTCCAACGTAGAGATCCCTATGTTGCCAGTCTAAATTGATAGGCACATGAGAACCTAACAGAACATTTATATCCTTAATTTTCTTATTCAGATTGTTAAACTCAAAGATTGTTATCGACGAATCAAGATACAATATTGCACAATATTTGTCGTTTGGAGAAATTGCAAAGTCAATTATTTTAGAATTAGTACCCTTGAATTCTCTTTTGTAATCATTCCAGTCTGATCTCTCATATACCCTGATCGCATTTGAGCTCGTTGGAACTAATAAGAATTCTCCATTGTTGGACCAAGTAGTCTTGGTAGTGACTAATTCATCTTTATGCTCATCGATGAAGTCTATGGTATGCATAGAAGTATGGATCTTATTTGGTAAGATGCTCGGAATAGTCTCAAGCAAAGATGGAACTTCATTGACTACAGAATAAAGTTGAATATTCCCGTCAGTCAAGCTTAATGCCATTATTTCTCCAGAATAATTGTACGACATATTCAATACTTGATGCGGGACATTTATATGGGTAACATTGTTGTCATTCTGCAAATCGATAAGGGCTACTTTGTTATCATCTCCTCCGCAAAGTATTCGTTTCCCATCGTTAATGAAAACAGAATCTCTAAGTGGAAGCTCAGACCTGAAAATAGATCCTTTAGACTCATTCAACGTTAAATCAACTAACTCAAGATTCCCATCAGTATTAGTAATCAATAATTGGTTTCCATGGTGTGCAATAGAGGTTAAGTTGTCTAATATATCAATGGACGTTGGTTCCAAGTCCGGTTCATTTACATTAAACACCTTCACCAATCCTTCACTATTTCCAATTATTAATTTGTTTATTGAAGAGTTATACTTCACGAAAGAATTTCCGTCTGGAAATGCCGTAATTCTATCCTCGGTCATATTTGAAGCTTCTATAAAATGGTCTAAAGCAAATGTGTATTAACTTATTTATATTTTAATGATGAGGAAGACCGCGTTTCCTTTTTTGGGTTCGCGTCTTAATTTTTCAACTCTATTTGGCTGCAAGCTTCTACTCAACGTGGATATTCATATCATTGAAAACATAAAAGAAAAGCTCATGTATTTAATCTATAGAAGCTTCCATATTTGTTTTCTTTTTAAGTAGGTAGAGGTATTTTTTGGCTGTCTTTTCGTTCTTTTTGCAAATTGAAAGTATTCCTATCTCATTCGCAGCCAATGCAATTGGATTGCGTGAACAATTTGAATCAAAATACAAATGCTCAAGAGTATACGGTATACTAGAACGCAAGAAGGTCTTCTTCTTTGTTGGGGGAATCATCAAATGTTTCAAGCCTGGGGGAAAGGAAATCAACTTGAGATTGATATTCTCACATCTGCAAAAATACATTGCAGTGAGACTTTTTGGTAAGCATAATAAGGAAGATGGTATTTTGTAGCCAAGTAACATAAAGCTTCTAAGGTTTGTAAGGCGTGATATTAGTTCCACGCTAAGGGGAATCTTGGATATCTTTAGGTCTTCTATCGATTCTAAAATTTGTATATTGAAAAACTGCTTGGTTTTGCTGTAAGCGTTGTTTATGGTTATACTCTTGAGCCTAGGCATTGGACGACCACAATTGCTTAGTACTATCTTCTGTCCAATTTGAATCTCCTCTAATGTTTCCGGAAAAGAGCTGGGATCAATTATGACATGTGTCTTATGATTCAGTGATGATGTACAAATGAATTTTTTTAGATTTTTGGGAAATGAGCTAAGAATTCTTATCGACTTGCAGTCAACCAACTCAAGTAGTTCTATACAAGGTGATGCGAATACCTTAGAGTCAAATTTACCCCACCTCAAGAGCCTCAAGCTCCTTACATTTTTCGGAAATTTGAAATAATGAACAAAGTGGTCTCCACCAGAATTCGCTCTAGTGACATGGAAATGGAATTCAATGTCATCAAAGCGGAAGTGTTTGTGAATGAGCTTTAGAAACTCGGTCATTATGTGATGATCTCTTAAACTTACTATTTTTAAGTACACAATTATCTTTGATGGTGAACAACAGTATCCTAGATGCTTTCGGATAGTTAGCATATCATTAAACAAGAGAACACTATCAAATTCTTGAAGAATGATACTGTTTTCATCAATATGAGGATCTTTTATCTTTATTTTGCAGTTTGAAAACCCAAAGTTCCTGCTGAAGTAACTTCTTGTCGCTATATAGTCCAATTCTTTGTTGTCACTTGAAATTGAACCATCAGGTAACCTTCTGTAGCTCAAAAATAATCTGTTGACTATATTGAAAGGTACTTCGTTGAAAATACGAATAATTATTTCGGTAGGAAGCGAAAATAATGGAAATTTGGAACATTCTTCGTGACCTTGAAGAAACCTTTTGAAGCTTTCAACATTGTTGAAGAGCTTCATTGTCAAGAAGATACATCAAGGAAAAGGGAAATGAGAGTACTTTAGCTGAAGCTATTTTGATTATTCTGATATTGCAATCAAACTACGCTTCCTACATAAAACTATGATTAAATTGTTAGCAAGCATAGTAAGCTGAATAATATTATTGGAAAGTGTAGGAAATTGACAAAAAAAAAATATTCTTGTCAAAAAAGGCAAGAACTAGATTTTATAGTGAAAAAAGGAAACAGTATTCAACGGCAAGAATGTGAAAGACAATTGTAATAGCAGAAAAGCATCTCTTTTTCCCCTTGAGTTAGCTTCTCTGGAAGCAAAACATGTTGCATTTACATATTTCCTAAAGCCGCACCATTTTGCACCAAAAAAGTAACTGAAACTAGAGCCCTATAAACACTCCTTTTAAAAGTACGAAACTGATCTTCAATAATATTTTTTATGTGTTGGTTTGTCAGTAGACTAATTTGAAAAGAGTCATTCATAATAAAGCGGAGATACCTTACTTTTTACAGAATTTTACAAATCATACTAAAAGAGTGTAGTATCTTAAGTTTATTTTAAATACTATGCTGGTCTTCATGCCCATTCTGGCTTCGGCTCCTTGTATTCACTCTTTCCTCTTCCCCTGCCTCTCCAGTTGCCTCTACCTCTTGAGTTTCCTCTGCCACCTCTCCCTCTTCCTCTTCCTCTACCTCTTCTGTGACCGACTGAAGCCTCTCCAAACGTGTCTAAATTCAAATCTTTTTCTTCAGACCATCTCATGTTACTTCTTTCTTCAGCAGACGACGAAATCGTGTCAAAAAAAGACGAGCTTTTATTATAACCTTGACGATCTTTGCTCTCTAAATCTGTATCTCTTTGAAATTTAGCATTAGCGGACTCAAAATCAAAAGCCTCCGGAAATATTGCTGTAGCCTTACCGTTCTTATTACTATCCTGTGGACGAGCTTCTGGTGTAGATTCCGCAGGAGGCTGTTTCTTAGTATTGAAGTTCGAGCTTGTTTGCGGAGCATTTGAAGGCTGAGAATCCTGCTGGCTTTGGGTAGATGTAGGCAAATTTTGATCTGGAATAGGAGCCAGCGTAGTTGGCATCCTGGGAGCTCCAGTTGGAGCCTGAGTGGGAGCCGGACCCTTTCCTGATGCTGCTTGAGGGGCCAGTGTTTGAGTAGCAATACCAGTTGTATGGCCAGGAGGCGAAGGTCCTACTGTTGCAGTTGGAGCAGGGTTCTGGGGTTGCTGCTGTGCATAATATCCCGCTGGAGGAGGAGGTGGATAGTAAGGCTCAGGCTTGACCTGGTCAATTGGGAGATCCAAAACTGTCAAGTCCTTTACATCAGACCCCCTGAACACAACATACCCATATATGTCCTTTCCTGGCATAACCTCCATCATTGGATTGCCTGCTTGAGCCATCCTTCCCTCAGTTCCAAAAGATCTCACAGACTTTAACGCAACAGTAGCATCATCAGCATTGATATTATCTAACAATCCAACGTAACGAAGTCCCTTGTTTGAAATTAAGGAAATAGTCTTACCAATATATTGAGACATTATGGAGCAACGATCGATACTTCCTTCCCTTTTTAAAGCTCTAAGCTAATATCTTTATCTAACTGACACACTGAAAATTCGATGCTCAGATCTGATCATTTTCTCGAAGGTCGATACACGACATTAGTAAAGCACTATAGAAAGTTGCAACTCAAGTCTCGCAAGCTACGAAAGGGCAACACAAGAGTCATATTAGATAATGTTGAAAGGTACATGTAGAAGAGCTAGAAGCCATCTTTCAGTTTTTTGTGTAAACGTGGCCAACATAGATGTGTTCGTAGATACATCGTCGTAAAATAAGATCACATATCAACAAGGAAAAGAACAACAGACAAGAGAAAGATTGTTGAAATGATGGCAGCTACAATAAGAGTCAATAAGTATCTTGACCGTTTTATATGATTCTGCAAATTTAATGTTAAAGTAAACTTTGGTTCACTTTCAGCTTGCAACTTGTCCACGACATAATGATTGCACTATGTCGGATTAACACGACTTTTACTGTAGTATTACATGATGGCGGAAATGAGAAATATAATGATTATAATAAGGCACATCTATTACTTATCATAAAACATGGCTGACGTTGAAGCTAATAATTCAATAGAACCAGAAGAGGTGAACACGGGTGACGCTTCGGATGAAAATCAAGCTATTGAGACTCCCGATAAAACAAAGGATGTGATCCAACAAGAAGGGGAGTTGGGTGGTGGTGAAGAGGAGCCAGAGACTAATGCTCTAGTAGATGAAAACGTGAATTCTGAAACAGGAGAGGAAAAAATTGCAGACAATATCGAAAACGACACGAATCTGAATACTGAAGAACCACAAGAGGGTGCCGAGAGTGACGAAGAACAGAATAATATTTACTCAATCCAACGTCATAAAGTTCTGTCAGAAGAAAGGGAGTCCACACAAAAGAAAAATGTTAGAAAGCTCAAAAAACTGGAAGTGGATGATTCTATCAATGAAGGATTTGTCCCTATGGAGGTTGAAAATGGGGAGCAGATATTAAATGAGACCCCAGATGAAAGAAGAAGAAGACTCTTGGAAGAAAGAATGGAATTAGCAATGAAGTCTAAAACGACAAGACGCAGAAGAGCAGATGAAGATGATCTAGAAAGAATGCAGGATGATAAGATTGACGACTTAAAGGACAAGATGATCAAAGCTGCTAATTTGGATGTCGAAAAGAACTCACAAGGTCAAATTGCAACTGAGAAGTTGAAATTACTTAAGGAAGTCACTGATGTGTTATCTAAAGCTGATCTAGCTATATCTATTTTGGATAATAATTTATTGGAAGCAGTAAGATTGTGGCTTGAGCCTTTACCTGATGCGTCTATGCCCGCATATCAAGTACAGAAAGAGTTAATTTACTCTTTAACAAGCTTGCCCATAAAAACTGATCATTTGGTAGCATCAGGTATAGGAAAGGTGCTAGTGTTTTATCAAAGATCAAAGAGAACTGAACCAAACTTGAAAAAGATAGTTGATAGATTAATCGGTGACTGGACTAGGCCAATACTAAACAAATCAGACTCTTACAAAGATCGTACTATCCAATTCCATGAATATAACAAACGTAGGTTTACAAACAAATTATCTTCAGCTCGTCGCCATAAGCCAAAGGAGGCAAAGACATTATATGAAGAAAGTGCTGAAAGAAGAAATAGAGCAGCTATCCCAAGTGCGAGAACAACAGCATATAAGATTGCACCGAAGGTTGATCCTAGTATTTTAAGAAGGCAACAAAACATGGGTGGAAGTGATGAGAGATTCAAGAGACTTAATCAAAAACTATCGTCTATGAATATTAAAAAGAAATCTAGCAAGAAGTCTGGTCCCTCTATTGAAGGTAGAAATTTAGCTATTTAACTTAGTATTTTTTAGTACAATAAATTTACTTCTAACGAATTACATGAAATGTGTTTATTAACCTAAGTAAGAAAAAGAGAAATCATGAATGCTCTCAATATAAATGTAAAATTCTTATGATCTTGGCTTTTCCTTCTTTTCCTTCCATAAAGCTAACAAGGAAACACCTGAGACCTTGACGACTTTAAATCTGACACCTGGAATATCACCCTTGGCTTTACCTCTTCTACCGAAACCGGCCAACAAAACTTCGTCGTTTTCATCAACAAAGTTCAAACAACCATCATTAGGGACGAAAGCAGTGACTCTTCTACCGTTCTTGATTAATTGAACTCTGACACACTTTCTGATAGCTGAGTTTGGTTGCTTTGACTCAACACCGATCTTTTCTAAGACGATTCCCTTAGCGTGGGAGGATCCACCAAATGGTGATGACTTGAAAGCTGTACCTAACAATCTTGACTTGTAAGCTTGATCAGCCCATCTGTTGTTACGACGGTGAACTCTTAACTTTCTAGCAGAGTTAAGTCCTCTTGGTTTACCTTTACCCATCTTCTATGATCTGTTTTTAACTAGAACTTATTGCTTAAAAAAAAGACTAGGAACAAGTAATCTTAAGATTGTAAATGAATTCGCGAGAGTGACATGAAGGAGTGAATTTTGAAAAATTTTGCGGGAAATGTTGTCACGAGCAAGAATTACACAAAACCAACATATGCACGTGATAGGGCGCCAGACCCTACTTAGAGATGAGAATGATGAGAATGATAATGATGAAATAGATGATAAGATAAAGAAGTTTAACAGCTCATTCGATATTTCAAGCAACTGGACAAAAGCATATTTTTTGATAAGAACAAAAGGACTTGAGGCTTCACCTATTGAAAATTACGAAAATGCTCCAAATCAAAGAGTGAATGTAATGAAACAGCATGGCTACATTCCCATCGGACTAAGTATTACAAGAAGAAGCAGTTGAAACAGAAATATTGTTAATAAATAGACATACATCTTTACAATTATGCACAAAATGAGATTTCGCTTTACCAACGCTTCAAAGATCTTCTATTCTTGATCAATCTTAACAAAAAGATGAAGAGCATATCAATCTGATCCTTGAATGCAAACAACAAACCTTGAACAAAGACACCTTTTAATAACTGCGGTGCAACTCCTTTGTAGAGACCCTTAATTTGTTCCGTTTTCCATAAATATGTCAAAGCCTCCGTGAAATGATGAAACTTAACGTCGTGGCCATCTTCTCCTTCCTCTTCATCTTCAGCCTCTCCTTTTTCATTCTTGTGATGCTTTTTTTGAAGCATGGCCTTAGAGACAATCAAAGGTTGAGTTGCAAGGGTTGCCATTGATTTAGCTAATACACCAAGCGAAAAATTTTCTAGTGGACCCAAATACTCTTTAGAACCATATAAGATATACTTGAGCCTTTCGTAAGAACCATAAGTGATCGAAGGATTGACACACAAAATAAGAGAGACCCTTAAGCCTCTCCACAAGCCTCTGATTCCATCTTGCTCGAGCACCTCCTTCGTCAATTCGATCCAGTTTTTGTGATGTTTATCAGTTTGCTGTTGTGTTGTTATCACACCAATTGGCATAGTAAACATCTGGGAAATGGCAGCAGCCAATGCGCCAAGAAACAATTCTTGTAAAGTAGTTGGCTTGTGATTCGGAACATTCTTGTATAAGTTTGCGTAAACTCTTTTCACTATAGTATACCAATAAAAATATGAGAAGTTCTGCGCTGCTGTACCAAAGATCGAAGAGAAGACGCCATGATACCATCCCAAAACTCCTTTTCTAGCGTATATTTTCTTCAAAACGTCTAATGCATTTTTATATTTTAGTTCTCCCTTACTCGATGGCTGCGGCAGGTAAATGCTGTTATCTGGATTTGATTTCTCTTCCTCGCTCACTTCATGCCTTTTTACTTGAGTTTGAATCAAAGTTTTGCTCAAATCCAAAGGGTAAACTAAAGTGTTAGCTATTGCAGAGGCTAAAGCTCCACTAGCTGCCTTTTCCAATGGTGTAAGTGACATGCTTAAAAACTATAGTCTAGACACTATGTGACTCTTTATGTTGGATATTCAAATTGGATAATAACCTCTTGAAATTAAATGACAATAGATTCCAGGCTCAATACTTCAACCCGTTTCTTTCAATTTCTATCTTCACAAGGAACGCTTTCTGGGGTTCGGTTCTAAGATTCTTTCCTTCTAACTGTTTCTCGATTTCTTATCTCTATCGTTCAACTCAAAAGGAGCCTTCAGTAGGTCTAATGCTATGATACCTTCAACCAAAGTCGCAACGATCTGGTGAAATTCTTGTGATTATATTGTGTTATGATAGTGGCTACCTTAAATCGTAAACATAGATTACCGAGGCTCATTATCGTTGTCTGAGGGGACGACTATTCCGAGGTCCGCAAGAGTAAGGGGACGGTTAAAAAAGTGCCGAAATAGAGTGAATTGAGATGCAGTGTCTCCTTAGTCTACCCCGTGGAAAATACTTTATAACCGATGCCACAGAGAAGTACTACATAGATGGATTCGGCAGCGCTTTGGAGTAAAATGGTGAAGTCACCATCTTATTGTGAAGAACACACGTAAAAAAATGAAAAATATTGAGGATAACCAGAGCAAAATTTGTGGACTAGAGGTAGAGCCCTATGGAATAAGTAAGGGCTGGGATAGGAGAAATACCACTGTAGTCTTTTTTAATTTCTCCAAGAATGTGATAGGCTTGAGTCTTGCCATAGACCCCCAGATCAATTACTGCGAAACGGTTCGATGACACAAAAAGAAAAGTGTGAGATTAGAAAGAGGATAAGATGTGTGGGCGAAGAAGTGTTCTCAAGATGGTTGATACTACAGTGGTTACAAACATTATTGAAGATACGGTCTCTATTTTCGAACTAATCCTCTTTCTTAGGTTGTTTGCAATGTCAAGCATTTAAATTGGGCTCGTAGTACAGAAGGAAGTTAGCTCCATATAGTGACATCACGATCAACTCCACACGAAACCAAAGCCTCTGCATTATCTAGTAAAAATGGTTGAAAGCATTTGATTTTACCTTCATGAGCAACCAATTCTACGATGACCTTATCTTCTTTTAAGTCTATACCTCTTACTCTTCCATCTTCGCCAGCAATCCAGATACCACTACCGTCGTACCTCCATGAGATGTTTGCTAATGAGTACTTATCTTGCGGCGAAAGTGTATTTAAATTCTTTAAAATCTGGTTTCTTTTGACAGGAGCAGGCGAAACATTACCAATATGTGCTAGCTCCTTCAAAGTAACCAAAATTAGTCTCATGTAAGGTTCATGGGAAGTTGCAACAGCAATCACTGGCACTTCACCGGGACTTTGACTCCTTAAACATATGCATCTTGGGGTGAAGGATGTGAGAGTAAATTCAGCATCATTCAATGATATCTTGTACGTGAGTTTCAACTTATTGTCATCAAGTGTCAAAACACTCAAATTAGTGGTGTCTGTTATTCCTAATATGATAACGATCAGTCCATTATAGTAAGCTGGTTCGACACAGGTCCCCTGCTGAGAAAGCTTGAACTCATCCAAGAAATGAAGTTCCTGATTTTCAATTTTAAAGACTCTGACTAGAAAATCCCACCCCAAAGACACTAGATAGACACCATGCTCACACTGGAGTAGTTTCAGATCAGTTATCAACCTCAAATGCGCAGTATATGATGAAAGTAATTGAAACTTCAAAAGATCAAAGTCAATTCTATAATAATATATCTTGCCATTCATGCCGACGAATATCAATTCGTTGTCTACAACATGTAATATTTTCTTCACCACAACTTTGTCAGGGACCACCTTATCCTTAAAAATAACCTTGTGAGTCTTTATATCTACTATATATATATTCATGTCAGCAGTGCTCAACAATAAGTATGACTCCACAACTGACGTTGACACCACTAATCCGTGTATATCCTCTTCAATGGGTGATGGTTGCTCAGGGTATGGAGTAGTCCATGGTGTAAGAGTGTCCAAGATATTCTTCAATTCATCATCCAAAAGTTCATCAGCTTTATTATTTTCCTGAAGCTCTTTGAAGTGTATACGATCATTAACTATCTCCTCTAACGTCTCTCCCGTCGGTAATTCTCCCGAAATAGGTTTACCATGTTCTCTTGTAAAGACCTTTAATGTATCATTATAGTTATTTTGCTTGAGAAAATCAGCCACCAAATCATGAACGGACATTACTTCTATAGTTTAGATAATGACAGCAAATAGTTCCCTATGGCAAGATAGAGGGTTTCATACGAATAGAATGTAGAAGACAAAAAAAAAAGGTCACACCCGGATTCGAACCGGGGTTGTTCGGATCAGAACCGAAAGTGATAACCACTACACTATGCAACCGAATCGTGTTTAATTATATTTGTTTGTGTCAAATGAAGTTCTCACTTAAAGTAACAAACCCAATGCTGAATTTAAAGGTAAGCATATGAATCACTCCTTCATTTATAAGATACAAATAATGTCAAGTTGGACTGAGCTGGTTTGTCATATTGGACAAGAAGCTCTAAATTCTACAGCTTTTTTAATCAAATAATTAATATATTGTTATTTCCCATCTCCTTTATATGTAGCTAAGCTAGGGGAGGTTGTTTTATAAAATACTAAGAAGATATAAAACACGATATTGCTCTCAGTAAACGGATTATGAAAAGATGACATTTGCAAGTGCTTTAAATGTAGCCAATTCTGTTAGCAACATCTAAAGCATCGTGGTCAGCAGTTAATCTGATGTAGGCCTTCTTGGTACCATTTGGTCTAACCAAGGTGTTAACATACAAAACATCAACGTCATATAATTCCTTAACGGCGGACTTGATTTGGTGCTTGTTAGCCTTCAAGTCAACTTGGAAAACCAAAATGTTACCGTCTTCAACCTTCTTCATTGCGGTTTCAGAAGCAATTGGAGATACAATAATCTTATAAGCATCGGCTCTGTTGTAGTGTGGAACAGCTTTTCTAGCGTATTTTGGAGATCTTGATAATTTCAAGGTCTTTGGTAATCTGAAAGTGGCAGAAGTTCTAACCTTCAAGGCCTTCTTCGAGTTATCACCTTTCAACACAGTCTTTTTTGCTGAAGTAGCCTTACTAGATTCTATAATTATAGTTAGTAACTAAATTCAAGTAAATTGAAACAGACAAACTCAATATCATTAATAGGTTACTCTAATTTTGTCCTAATTAACACCTCAATACTATTAGTCTTTTGGGATCCTTCGTTTCATAAACTTCATTACGCTTCTTATAAGAGCTCAAAATAAAAATGTATCTTCTCAACTCTTGCACCTATTTGTATGTCTTTCTCTTCACCATTAATGATTCTCATTATAAGACCCTATTAACGATTTCATTCGAGTTGTGTACCGCCTTCACATAGTTCAAGTAAACTTACTAGTTGGAGCCATCGTTAACTATTCTGTATCAATCTTTGCAAGGAGTTTGCTTCGATCTAACAATTATAATTTTCAGTTCTCAAAGACTACGGTTTTTTCAAGTAAATTTTTAAGACTGAATGGAGTCGAGCGGAAATTTTTTTATCGAGATGACACAAAACATGATGGGACACAAAAATATCATGATCCGCATGTGATGTAATATCGGGTGACAGCCCTAATATAGGCTATTCAAAAGAAAAGGTACTATACAGATTGAAACCATTTTACGTGTGTCTTATTGATTGGGTTTTTGTTTAAGTATTCTATGTACAAGCAATGTATAAATGCGTAAGGACGTAGGATAATGTAGGATTATAAACGACGCAATTTCTTAGGACGAGATCCACCAAACTGAAGCTTAGTGTCATCGCTAATTCTGACTACGCTTGGCTTAATACTAGAACCCTCCTTGCCCTGCAAGGCCGACAAAAATGCTTCTCTTCCCTTACCAAAGTCCTTTAAAACGAGCTCTAGTTTATCGTTTGGCCCAATGAGGTTTTTTTCCTCAATGGTTTTAAACATTTTAGTTGTGACTTGATAGCCAGCTTCGTATTCCGCCCTTTGGGCCTTTCTAAAACCTAACTGACCAGCGGATATATGAATTTTAGGATGATGCGGTAACTGTAAATAGTATAAAACCTTTTCATTATACGTGAGATGCTGGCTCTTTTCCATAAAGTCAAGGTCCTCCACAACGGCCACTAAAGTCAACAAAGTATTGTGCCTGTGAAATGAACCATACAACTTCCACAATACCACTTTTTCGTTTTTTCTTCCTTTCAACATCTTTTGCTGTTGGGTAGGCTCGACTACATTGTTATTAACAGCTGACGACGATACAAAACGACAGTTTCCATGTCTGCCAATGAGCCCTTGTATTCCACTCTTGCCACTCAAAGGATTGATGAGAGCATTACTTAAAGCTGTTTTGCTAAGAATGCCTCCTTGACCTCTTATAAGACGTGATAGCATGGCCCTCTTGGAATTTGTTGGTAAGAAATAATTAGTTCTCTTTATGATCGAAAATTTTAAAACGAGCTTATGTAATTATGTCAAACTAAAGTTAACTGAAAAACGGACTTGGGTAGTTTTCTCCACTGATGTTCTTCAACATGAGCTTCACACCAAATGCAGAGCACTCGTACTAGCAAATACCATATATTTGTGTAGATTAATGTCTGTAATTTAATATAACCAGCTCTCGAATAGTATTCCAACTGTACAGTTGGACCAATTCTAGTCATCTACGATACGCAAGGTGCATTAAAATTTGTAAGCAGGTATAGAAGCCTTGTTATTCTGAATATAGTACCAATAGCCAGAGAACATCATAGATCATCTGGCCCCTAACTAGACTTGTTTGGCAATATAGCTTTGAAAAGACATCTGCTGAAGCAAGAATAGAGCCTGTATATAAGTATACACGTAAGTGTTATTTCCCGATTGAACTGGTAATTAAAAGCTAAGCTAAGGACAGGTACTCAAGTCCAGTGGCAATACAACCCAGATCAGGCGATCACACTGCATTAGATCAAGAGAATAGATATTTAAACCAGATAATTGAGTCTGAAGTGGAAAAATCAGGTCTATATAATCAAATTGAGGGTACTAATTTTGTAAGGTTAAGGCGTCAAGAGATATCAGATAGTGTCATTTTAGCCGTGTTGTCATTTACTTAATTAGAGTAGATATTTGTTAAAAACTAGAGGTACCTGACCAGAGATAACGGCAGGCGATAACAGATAATAGAAGATCATCGTCTTAGCTGTAAACGTTTGGGGGGTCGAATAGCTTGTTGTATTGAAGTGACTTTATCAAAGACGAAAAACGTATCATTATACTCGTATTAAATTAAACTGCAAACGATGTCTCATAGTCATCACCATCATCTCCACCATAGTCTTAGTCCTCTAAATGAGTATGTATTAGATCGAGTAGTTGATAACTCTACATCTATAGGACATCGAATGATGGTTAAAGAGGTCAAGAAAATTGGTGAGGGTGCTTTTGGAACGGTAGTAGAAGCTATGCTTAAAGATACTGATCCTGAGGGTTCTCAGGAGTGGCTTGGGCCTTTCGCTATTAAGAGAGTACCGGCGCAAACTGAATATAAATCTAGAGAACTAGAGATTTTGAGAGTTGTGAACCACCCAAATATTGTCAGCTTGAGATTTTTCTTTGATAAGCCAAGTTCACTGGATGGTAAAATATATCAAAACTTAGTGATGGAATGTTTGCCGTCGAACTTGCAAAGCGAAATCAAATACTACCGTCAATCGAAGTTTACGATACCGTATCCGCACATGAAAGCCTATACATTTCAGATTGCTAGAGCAATGCTTTATTTGCATGGATTTGGTATATCTCATAGAGATATCAAGCCCTCAAATATACTCGTTGATCCCTCCAATGTTACGTTGAAAATTTGTGATTTCGGTAGCGCTAAAAAGTTGGAACCCAACCAGCCCTCTGTGAGTTATATTTGCTCCAGGTATTATCGAGCTCCAGAACTAATAGTTGGATGCACTGTTTATACCACAAAAATTGATATTTGGGGGTTGGGATGCGTAATTGCAGAAATGTTTTTGGGTAAGCCGATATTTCAGGGACAATCACCTGAATTGCAATTAAAAGAGATTTCCAAGTTGTTAGGACCGCCTCCTAACAGTTTTTTCTTCAAGAGCAATCCAAATTATAGAGGAAATATGTACACAACCAAATTATTTAGCGGAACGGTGGAAGAGAGATTCCAACAGGTCTTTAGCAACTCACCCTCGGATGCAATTGATTTACTCTTGAAAATACTTGTTTACGATCCTGATGTTAGAGCAAGCCCAAGAAGGGTGTTGGTACATCCATTTTTCCACGAATTGAAGAAAAAGCTGTTCAAAGTTTATCCCAGAGGATCTTCAGAGCCAATTGCATTAAATTTGTTCAATTTCAGCGAGTATGAATTAGAACTATTAGGGCCGTTGAAAGATGAATTGTTGAATATATCATATTAAGATGAAAGATCGAGACTTCATGAGGTGTTTCTGCCTTTGGGTCATTTTTTATTTTTTAATTTTCTTTATCTTGTTTAACCTTAGCGACAAAATTTGTCTATGTTCCTTCGAATTCTATGATTGGAATAACTTGCGCTATACTTTATTGGATGTAATTTTACGAAGGCAAGGTGGGGAGTTTTTGTTATTCATCAGAGCTTCAACCCAAGTGCTATAATTTGTCTTATTTATGTATTTAAGTAATACTAATTCTATACCGAAGTAAGAAATTGCATAAGCTGATGACAATATCTAAAGAGCTAAACTGTAACTATACTCATCTTCAATGTTTTGGGATAACCATAATACAATGCAACTGAACATTATACATACATTGCACACAATGTTCGAAACTCCCATTCCCAACGTTGGGAACTGATAATGTTTTAAAAGGAATTTAAGTATAAATACCATGAACGATCCAGCAAGGCCACCAGCCAATAAAGAGAACCCAAAGAATAGAATAACTCTCGCAGCCCAAGCATTACTATTGCCATTGCTTAAAAATGAATTACTTGTGTCATTAAATAGATTTGCTTTTTCAATTGAATTGACAATAAGCATACCCAAAGTGGAGCATATAAATGGAATCCAATCAACAAACGTAATATGTACTATTGACGCATTCACAGTTTTCGAGTATATAGAGGCATCTATGATAGACCAAAAGCCAATAGCATAGAGCGCTCCCGCCAAATATACTCCAAATGATCTCAATTTTGCCGACTTCGGCAATCTCAACAGGGCAATATTGAATCTGAATAAGTTGTTGGACTGATCCATCACTGATTAATATTCAACAGTAAGTAAAATACTACTCATACTCCCACTTTGAAACGGTGATAATTGATTAAATTGGCACATCACAATATACAGGACATAATGATAATAGGAAAGATCTCTAACTAAAAGAACTACTTATCTAAGGTTGTGGTGAGGTAGACATTGATGATACAGAGTTCTGCTCGTCCTTATAAACGGAATTCAAGTTTAGTACATTGACAATACCGTCCGTACTACATGAAACTAGGATACCGCCTTGATCGAAGATGTCAACTTGCAAAACTGGTGATTTGGCTTTAAACTGAAAAACAATCTCTTTCGACTGAACGTCCCATACCAATATGCCAGACAGTTCACTTCCAGATACAATTTTAGGTTCCTTTGTTTTCGTAATAAACTTCGCTCCGCAAATAAACTTGGTACTTATGGGTGTATCTTTTTCACCATAATATGTCTTAATAACCTTATTTTCCATGTAATCCCAAAGTCGTATAACACCGTCCAAGCTTGAACTTAAGATATATTTTCCATTTGGCGACACTTCAGTGTTTGACACAGGAAAATTAACAGCCTCATTTGTAGACGCCGTTGCTGTACCATGACTTGCACTATTATATATAAGGGTCTTTAGACATTGCCCAGTCTCTAGATCAAAAAGTCGCATGAGCCCATCGTAAGAGGAGCTGATTATAATTGAATTGTCTGGCGTCAAACTGATCGAAGATACAGGGTCTGAATGCGCCGCCAAAGTTCGTAAAGATTTACCCGAGGATAGATCCCATATTGTAATGGTTTCATCAGCAGAGCCACTAATCAAGACGTTACCTTTAGAACTGAACTTTATTGCTGTGATATGATATGTATGCTTTTTCAAGATTTTTATGCATTTAGATCTCTTTATTGACCATAGTCTTATAGTTAAATCATCTGAACACGATGCTATAATGTCAGGATTAATGGGCGAATACTCGAGATCAGATATACCTCTTGTATGTCCATTTAACTCGGTTACAAGCTCCCCATCAGAGAGTCTAAAGACCTTAATTGTGCAATCAGATGAGCAAGTAGCAAATGTGCTTCCATCTGGCGAAATCTTTATAGAGTTGATTGAAAGTTTATGAATATCTTTTAATGTATACTGGACTTTGAATAATTCGCCTTCCATCTGTACCTGCTCGGTAGTAGAGCTTTTCCATTTAACTGGACTAGTTGGTTCCACCATATGACTGGTCTCTGTTATAGGCGTGTGTTTTTATTTCATTATATATCATTCATATATACAGTATAAAAATACATATTCGAATTGATGCAAATGGAAGATAATAAAGTAAAAATGGTAAAGCTGCGCTGGTATAAAGGAAGTTCATTATAATGTATGCTCAAGGCCTATCCCATTTTTCTTTCATTTTGTCTATCCATGATTCAAATAGACTATGTTCAATTTCATCAATGCCTGACTGATATCTCGTTCGTAATGTATTTAATGCAGTTTCGTCTTTAGTTTTGTTCACGGAGTAACACGATGGAACAATCAATTTTGCAAGACTTATTCTTGACTTGGAGACGTTAGGCTTAGATAATTCCTTTAAAAAGTATTTAAAGTACTGACAAACTAGCAACTTAACTTGCGGAGTTGAACCTTGTTGTTCCGTTTGAAGATTAGAAACCAAGCTAAGAACAATGTCGTTCATTGTAACGAGGAGATCATATTGCTCAGTACTGAGATTGTTCTTGCTCTCAATTTTGTTGAAGACTTTATTCAAAATTCGGCGTAGATCCGTTTTGACATATTGTTTGAAATCATCTCCTTTTGAGGAATGGTTCAGAATTGAATTGTATCTAAGGGGAGGTCTTTGGTCGGGAAGAGCTAGTGGAGATTCCGAAGTGTCTCTGTTTGAAGATGTCTTGGAGGACGTTGGGCTCAATGGATACTTAGAAGGTGCTGGAGACTCAAGCAGACTGATATCGAAGTGAATGGTCTTCTCAGAATCTACGTCTTCATTTTGCCAATATTTTTGGTTTTGAAATGCTTCTGTAGGGATGTACCAATTATGGGGCTTCAGTACGTGGTGATCTTGATCCCATAGCTTCTTTCTAGTTATGAGTTTTTTCAAGCTCTTTGCAATATGACTATTCGCTGACTTATTATTGCTTTTAGTGATGAATGCTTGCTTCAATAATTTAGTTGCAGAATATCTCTCAGATGGATCCACAATAAAACATTTCCTCAAAAACTGAGAAAAGTTAGACGAAAGGCCGAGATGCTCTAAATCAATGATATCAATGAATGTGTTATCAGTATAGCACTTTGATATCTGCCTCAAAGCCTGCATCGGCGAATATTGGTTCTGAAGTGGCGGTTTTCCTGTGAATAACTCATAGGCAAGACAGCCTAGCGACCAGATGTCGGCTTTGTAGCTGTGGCCACCATTATTATTAAGAATGACTTCGGGTGCCATCCAATAGGGAGTTCCTACTGTAGTATTTCTTCTCGAAAAATTCGATGCTAGTTGAGTTGAAACACCAAAATCGGTCAATTTGATTTCACCTAGAGAGCTCACCAAGACATTCTGAGACTTTAAATCTCTGTGGATCTTCCCCTGAGTATGTAAATACTCTAATGCTACTAAAACTTCCCTTATTATTCCCAGAATGGTCCTCTCGTCATTTATAGCCCCTGATTTTAAGAGATCAAAGAGCGAACCTCCGTTCACATATTCCATTATTACCCATAACTTGTAATGCCTAACAAAACATCCATAATATTTTGTGATCTGAGATAACCTGCAATCCGAAATTATCTGAATTTCTTTATTTATTTCAAGAAGATCTGTTTGATCGTTCTCCAAGTCTATTTGTTTAATTGCAACTTCTGTCTCATTGCTTTTAACGATCCCTCGATAGACTACGCCAAATCCGCCTCTTCCCACCTCTTCATATACTTCTAGTTCTTCCGCAGAGTTTATTCGTTCGTTCATGCTTCCTTAAGTCGTTGGAAACTTAAGAACATAAAAGTAAACAAAAGAAGTTAATTTTCAAATTTGATAATTCGCATTTATGAAGATAACAGTCAAAATTCTTAACCTGAACTGACCTGAAGTAAAGTATCTGTATTAGTATTAAATATATTTAGCAGAACATGTTTCGCCTATGGAGGCTGAATATGCTATCTTCATTTTATCGAGTTCCATCTCATCTGATGTTTGGAATAGCAGGAAATTTACGAAGTTCTAGAAGATGGTATGAGTCTGATGCTTTTAGAGATGTGTTACTAGCTAAGACTCTCAGATCACCAAAAGTACCAGATAGTGGGTATCTTAAGTGTACGATATTTGATAAAGATGGAAATATTATCTGTCACGGTAAAGAGTTCAAAAGGCTGGAATTTATGAAGCAGCATAATCTTGTTTCCAGAGATTTTAGAAAAATTTCAAGACATCATAGTCCCACGAGCCGTATCAACGTTGATATCGTCCCCTCAATTATGACAAGGACAGGAGGGATTCTTTTGACATTTTTAAACATAAGAGCATTAATAAAGCATGATATGGTTGTAATATTCGACAGCTTCACAGGCCCAAGAGATAGGAACGTTTCACAATCACAAGGTTTGTTCCTTGAAGATTTAAATCGAAGATTGAAGACTGTGAGTGATCTGGAGTTGCCATATGAGTTTCGAGCGTTGGAAGCCATATTAGTAGATGTGACTGCCAATCTCAGTACGGAGTCTAAAGTTCATTCTACAGTTTTGCATAACATTTTAAGTAGCCTTGATAGTTCCATCGATAGAGTGAAGTTACGTTACTTACTTATCCAGTCTAAAAAAATAACCCAATTTCATCAGAAAGCCAGATTAGTTCGTGATTTACTAGATGACGTTCTCGAGCAAGATGATTTATTAAATGAATTGTATTTGACTGATGCCTATAATGGTAAACCGAGAACAGGAACGAATCATGCAGAAGTAGAGATGCTTTTGGAATCATACTATAAAACTAGCGATGAGATAGTACAAAGAGTAGAAAACTTAATTTCACAGATCAAGACAAGTGAAGAAATCATTAATATTGTGTTGGACTCAAATAGAAACGAACTTATGCTTTTGGGTTTAAAATTTACCACTGGATTACTTTCGATGGCGCTTGCATTATATGTGGCATCTGTTTACGGCATGAATTTGGAGAACTTTATCGAAGAAGAGAATGGTAGCTTTTCAATTGTTGTTGTGGGCAGTTGCATAGTATTTTTGATGCTATTAGCGGTGGCATTGAAGAAGTTAAACAAGGTGCAAAAAATCACAATGACAGGAGTAGACAGAAAGCATATTAGAGAACCAGGAAGTTGAAATAGCATTATTTAATTACATCACATACACTATATTTACGTCACTATTATGCACATGTATATTACTTTGTCATGAAGAAATATTTTAACGTTTGTCTTCAAACTCCACGTCGATATTTTTTTTTAAAATCGAGGCACTATTGTTTCGGGACCTTGTATTATTATTGCCACCTCCACTCAGTGGATCTACTTCCATTGAATGCTTGGGAGTATGGCGGGGAGAACTTATTGGGGAAACTGCAGGAGAGATTCCAGTCCTAAACGGTCGTAAAGTAAAGCTATCACTCGTACCAGGTGGACTAGTGTAAGGACTCGAGCTTAGTGGTTTTGGTGTAGCCGATATTATCTTTGTATGCTCTTTTTGCTTTTGTAATTTTGGAAGCTGAATGTTCTTTTCCTTTTCTAATTTCGACTTATAGGACTTTTCCTTCGAAAGGAGAGCCTTGAATAGTTTAGAGCGCAATTGTACATCAAGAAGGTCACTGAGAACATTGTTATATAATTCTAAGGGGGGTCTAAAACCGTTAGAATTTTTCACCAGCGAAGGTCTTAAAATCAAATGGAGAAACGGAACAGCACCAATCTGGTCCATTGCATTCAAAATACTAGATGTTCTCCTTAGTGACTCGATATCATTTGGCTCCAATAAGTCTTCAATAAGTTCATCAGAATACCCATATGCTGGTAATTCTGAAAGGTCATCAAAAATACGACAAATATGTTCTAATATCATTATGAGGGAACAAAGATTGCTTCGAGGAATAGTATTCAATACCTTGACAAGTTCCACTTTCTTGTCTTCATCGTTTTCGATACTAGAATAAGAGCGAACAATGGTATCAAAAACGGCACAGGGAATAACAGAGTCACCGATCTCTAATAACCAATTCTTCAAAAAATTAATCAAGGACTGCGTCAGTTCTTTAGAGATAAGTTCCAAGATCTCATTTAATATATCCATATGTAACTCGTATTCGTTGCTCACATTGATAGAGTCAGTTGGTCGATAATCCTTTGTTAAATTGATAATAGACTGTTTAAGAATCCAGTTCTTTTGATGATCTAAAGGCATTAGCCAGAACTTCGAGGTATCCGTCTCAGGATCTGTAGTTTCATTTATCAATTGAAGGACAGAATAGAGAAATTCAGGAGCCGAATACAAGCTTAAAAGCTGATTTGAATTTTTTTCATGATGAAGCGGTTGTAGTGTGATGTCCTTGTACAAATTAAATTGAAACTTCAAGTTTTGGTACGAATTATTAGTCTGATTGGTACTTAAACGCTTTCGAGTTAAGTTATAGGGTGAAACAGTCGACGGAAAATAAATACCAGTGGAAAAGTTTTCAACGAGGTCATCAAAGTCCCTCAGAAAAATTTTGGGGTCCAAATCCTTGAAACTCACAGCAACTGAATGAAGATGAGTAGACACTTTCAATGAGAAATTATAAATCACCTCCAGAACCTTTGCCAAGCTTTGATAAAATAGATCTATCTTCAATTTTTCAAAGCGTTCAAACATCTGAGTTTTATTAGATATTTCTAAATCCAATAAACGCTTCAAATTGTTCATTTTAATATAAGCTTTAGTGTATTTGTCTTCAAGTTCGTCTAATGTTATGGAATTTTTTTTTAATGATAATTTCATACTACTAAATAAGCCATTAAACTTTTTAGAAGCATTTTGAGCGAAATCGTTCACGCCTTGCTGATCTATATGTGATTTTTGCTCTGAAAAGGATCTGTTAGACTGTGAGTTCTCTAGCTCAGGAATGGTCTCAGTTTTCGAGTAGTTTGATACAAAAAGCGACAAGTCAGACCATTCGAAAAACATTGATTCACTTTTAAATTTCCTGGAGCCCAAGATACCAGTACCAATCATTAGGTTTAAATCAATCAAGCCTTGACCGAACTTCTCAAGGTTTGCTCTCGCAGGAACTAAGCCGTTGGGCCTCTCTCTCTTTAAATATTCACAAATTTGTTCACTGCTAAATATTTCGTTACGATAACCAGGGATTGGAAGCTTTCTTTTAACTGTCGTTATATTTGATATCATTTTGTTCAAAAACCTAGAAAACTGGTCCTCGTTAGAAAACGTTACAGGGCCTAGATGGAGCGGAAAGTCAAGTTCTGGGCGACTGACTTCATGGCCAAAAGACTTCTCACTATCAGCATACGAATCATTGTAATCGTCGTCCAGTTCATTGCCAGAAGTTGTTGATCTATTGCTACTCTGAGGTTCAAGTTGGTCAGAGTTTCGATGACTTTTCTCGAACTCTTTCCTTTGTAAAGCGTCAGCATATTTTACTCTGAGATCTTCTATTTCTGCATAAGAATCATTGTAGTCGTCAAGAAGCTCTTCAAAACGATCCAAGCTAGTCCTAACCTGTGGTTCATAAACTTTGATAAAGGTAGATATTCGTTCTAAAACTTCCACATCAATAGCCATCGCCAATCTTTCCATGACTGCTGATTCCTCGGATACTCTTTGAAGAAAAGAATCGAAAGCAGTGGCCATTGAGTCGAACTTGTGGTCGTGTTTATCTTTCAGCATGTTCTCTTGGTCGACACGAACCAGACCAGAGACTGACCTTCCATTCTTCACAGGGTTATTTCTCACTTTTTCAGAGGCGTATGGCTTTAAGGAGCTCTCAGATGTTAATGTATCAGCGACTACCTTATTTAACAACGCACTGTTTGTATGATAGTAATTCATATATTTGAAAATTAGACTCCGCAATTCATGAACCTGCTGAATTGATCTTAAAGATTGTCTAGTCAAAGCATCGATACCAGATCTGTAATCAGGAGAATAATACAAGTTGGAAAACTTGTCATTCATTGTACTGTGTCGATCGGCTATATTGAATACTTATAGGTTTATTTAGACGTGATGATTCAATCTAAAAAATCCTCAAAATACAAATAAAATTTACTCAAAAGGTAAACAAAGAGAGATATATATCATTTCTCATTAAGTAATATGAATAATGGCCATATAGATCAAGAAACTCAAGACATTGAAGGAGATATCATTGCCCTACGTTCAGAAATAGAGGAACTTAAGAAAACACAGGAGAATTTGCTAAACGAAGTGAGACTGCTTGATGTTGAAGGAGCACATGAAAGTACAGAGCATCAGAAAGAACAAGAATATAACGTTGATGAAATAGAGGCTATCCCAAGTGTTTCACAGCATGATCGTTTCGATGAATCCATAAGTAAATTTTTTGAAACACTGAATGAAGGAAAGAAGAAACCAGTGAATAAACTGAAGCTAGAAGCCTTGGAAAGAGCCAAGAAGTTAGTGGATTTGAAAGAGAGCATACTATATGAAAATATATTCCGTTTTGCCGGAATAACTGCCTTTCCTTTGAATGAATATATGTTTGGGGATGATGATCGAATAATGGGTCTTAGATTTGACATCTTGTCTCACTTCCACAAGAAGTATGTCACTCCGCATTATATTATTATAAAAAAGATACCATATATGCTGAAAGACGAGCAAATCATTACGAAATGGAGAGTATATAAACACACATTGCCTGTTTACGTTCCATTAGCACAATTCGAAAGTTCGCTATTACAAGATGATCAGGACAATGGCGTTTACGATCTCGCAAAGAACGTCAGAACCTTTTTGACAAAACTACAATATAAGCACGATGTACTCAACTTGATAGGTGTTTCATTCAAAGAAGTTCAGAAAATAGAAAAGGATCTACAATGTCAGAGCGTTACTATTTTGCTTCATGCCCGAAGGTCTGGATTGTTAGGTTACCTTAAGATAAGTTTAAACTGCTCTATAGACTTTATCGAAGAAGCTGATATTAGAATCGAGACAGGCTATGAACACCTTAAAGAACAGATACTTACGGGAGAAGCAATGCTTCTGAATTGCACATTTAATGACTTAATTGATAATCTTCACAAACTAATACAATATTTTTCGGAGCAGAGTATCTTGTAACAGCATTTTATTAACTTTAAAAGAAACATATTTTAATCAAATTGGTAAAAAAAAATATAAAAATTATAGAAAAACAAACTTGAAGTTCTATTGAGAAGCAAGTGTAAAATTTCGATCGTTATTCTATTGCCTTCGTCCAAGAGTCTAGTATTTGCTTAAAAAGCGTTTCCAAACCCGGCTCCGGTTGGTTGATATCCAATTCCTGTCATATTTTGAGCAATTGAGCCATTGGTGATCATCAAAGGCTGACCAATTGGCGTCTCTTCCTCCTTCTTCTCGGCCTTTCTCCTCTTCTTCAAATCCTCATAAAGCTCATTCGTCTTTTTGTGAGTTTCATAAGCAACTGAAATTTCATACGGCTTGATGAAATTTCCTAAGTTGTGTAACCAAGAAGCCTCAAGAACATAGTCATACTCAACGTATTCATAGCAAGTATATAATAATGCGACAAAGCATTCGTGGTTACCAGTCTCAACAAAGTAATCCAAAAGATCATGGGCGATCTTTGTAGATTTCGAAAGGGCAGCAGTTTTAATCAAGTCTGACCACAACTTGTCATTTTTCAAAATAGAAATTGCCTTTGCAAACTTCTTCTCTTTAGAGAATAAAGTTGCAGAGATTTGTCTGAAGAAAATTAAATCATGATTCTCAAGCCTTTCAGCCAAATCTAATTTATTGAATCTATTATTTGATTCATTTTCAATTGATGACCTCAATGATTTATAGTCTTCCTCTTCTATTAATAAATCATGATAAGCAGAATTGACAACAGAGTTATTCTTCTCAAGTACAGATATTAAGAATGATTTGATCATGGGTAAATTGTCAGATTTCACGAACATTCTAACAACTCTCGGCAAATCCAATTTCGGAGTCAAAACTGACAACAAATCAACCAATAAGGAAGGGTGTTCATTCATATAAAAGTTGATAGCTTTGTAGTAGATTTCCAAGTTTGGGGCCTTTACAATGATCTCCTTGAAGGAAGAGTGGTCAAATGCAACTTCTGATTTTTCAATCATTGTTAATGCCGCATTATCCCATTCATCATAGTGACAATACAAGAAAATCAACTCCGGATATAAATGAGCTTCTTCACACGCTGTCAAGACCTTTGGAATGTTGATCCTAGACCAAAATAATTTCAAGTGCTCCATAACCTTTTCGGGACTATATTTACAGTACAAAATAGCCAATTCTGTGAACATTCCCATATGGGCTCTCTCTAAACCTAAGCCGCTTTCAAAAAGTGCAATTACTTCATTAAAGTAGCCGTTTTGCTCGTATGTATGTACCAATTCTGGCAACTCCTCTGCATCCACAATCAAATTCAAACCACAAATTTGAGCAAGTCTAAATTCTTTGTTTTCGATACAGGCGCTATTGACTTGTTTCCACACTTGTGTGTTTGATGCCTTTCTAGCGCAATCAACAGCACCTTGATAATCTCCAAGGTAAACTAAAGTAGTGGCAAGCTTTGAATATTTAGATACATTCGAATACAAAATCTTTGCAGCCTTATAGTTCTTTGCTTCAAATAATTTATCACCAATTTCTTCCAAATCAGCAACATTTGGACCATTAACAAATTTCTCGATTTCGTCTAACTTGCCCAAACTTGCATAAGCGTTAATTAAAGCACCATCAACAGAAGGCTCTCTCAAAGTTTCTCTTGCCATAGACAAGAAAGAAATTAACTCTTCTTCCTTACCTCCATGCTCGGCAATCTCAATTACTTGTTCATAGTTTTCAGGGTTCTTTGACTTAACATAGGAGTCAATTGCTTCAGGGATACGCAAACCATTCAACTGAGCAGTACCCAATTGATACCATAACTCTGATAAATCGTACTTCTCAGCATATTGTTCAGCTCTGTCTAAAGACATGATATCTTCAGACAATACCTTCATAGCTTCTGATCTCATTTCAAACCTGTCGTAAACTTCAAAAGCTTCCTCATACAATTGATTGTCAATACACAAAGGGGCGATTTCATTAGGATCATATTTGTCCAACTTCTCAATGTAGTTCATCACTCTTGAGCTATCGGCCTTGATAGCCGTCAAAATAAGCAACCCTTGCAAAGAAGTATTATCATTAAAAGGTGAAGGCTCCAAAATAATCTTTTCAAGTAATTCGATCAATTCTTGTGGGAGATCGTTTTCCATAAACGCCTTCACAGTGACAGAAATTGGTTCAGGGTCATCCAAATCAGGAATACCAGTAGAAATGACTTGATCGATCAACTGGCGTCTGTGAACGTTATCCAGGGACAACACCTTATTCCATAAACCGAAATCTGACTTCGCAAGCAAGTATCTTGCTTGATATTTATACATTTTATTTTCATTGGTTATATTTATAAGTTCATCATCATTGCCACCTTTGGAATATGCAATGTAAGCCAAGTACGGATCCCTCTTCTCACAGTATTTACCAACGACTAAGGTATCATAAATATCATTTTCTTGCAAAAATTTCTCAGGTGAATTGTTGGAATCAATGTAGATCTTAGCCAATGTATTATACACTTCCTGATCGTTTGATCCTCCTTCTAATGTTTTCTCTAAGAATGGGAGCAAGATTTTAAGTCTGTTTCTCTTCTCCACCTCTGAGACCAATTCCTTAATAGGAACTCTACCTAAAACTGTCATGAGTAAATTTTTGATTATATTTTCGTCACAATCAACGTCCAATAAGCCTGCAACGACCTGAGGAGTATTCGCCGGATTGACAGACTGAACATATACTTCAATGAATTTGAAGTATTGATTCTTATACAAGTACAAGATTAAATCATGAACGAAATTGAACCTATCACAAACAATAATCAATGGCAATTGGTCCTCCAATTTAAACTCTTTCAAAAAATTCTTTACTTTTTCACCATTGTAAACATTGTTATCCCTAACTACTCTTTCGATTTCTTTAGTTTGATTCATCTTGGCAGCAGCTTGAATATACTTCAATACAACATCCGGCTCCTGAGTCAAATTAACAATAGAAGACAAGTAATAATATTCACCTTCGACACATTTAAACTCTTCAAATAATTTAATTAAGTTTAAAGGACCAATTAAATCAGAATATTTAGTTGCTACTTGGATTACCACTTGTAAATTTTGCTGCATGTTACTACTCAACAACTCTTTTAAGCAAGCAACGGATTGCTGAACGTTCAATTGACCAAAATAAGAAACCAACCAATCGTTAGGTAATACATTGGTGTGAACGATAACTCTCTTTATATCTTTCATATCATCGTAATGTTCTAATGCTCTTTGGAATAATCCTGACTTTTCACAAAGCTTACCGATAGAAGGCTTGTCATAATGACTGAACATATTGTTGCCTAAAATGGCATCTGCAACTTGTGGAGCATGGATCAAATTGATCTCCAAAACTTTCGTCTGCAAATGACCTTCGGCAGGTGAATCACCTTTAAGAGCATCTAACAAAAATGCCGTTCCCTGCTGAATGTAGTTTTGTGAGAAGAATAAGTCTGCGATATTTTCAATATTTAAATTAATATCAGGGCTTGACAATAAAGAAGTAGCAAATTCGCTTGCTTTATCTGGGTTCACGCGAACCAAGTTTTGAATTAGGTTAGTGTAATCTGGACTATAGCCTACCTTTTGACAATATGGTAAGATCTTGTCAAATTGGCCCAATTCAGCAAGACAAGAAACGACTTTGATATTAACATTTGCTCTGATGTAAACTGCCAAGGCCAACGCAGTGTCATTGTATGATTTTACGATGTCACCCAATTCCTCAGAAGAAGTTAATTTATCTTCCTTTAACCATTTCTCAAACAATGGCTTACGATCTTGCTGCAATACAGGCTTTGCCAATTCAATTGACTCATACTTATTTAAGCTTCCTCTATCCAACAATGTAGAAAAATATTGCAAAATTGGGGAAATCTGACCCGGCTGAGGAGTGATATGCTTTAATTTGTTTATCGTATCCTGCGTACGAAGTTGTTCAGAAGACGCGGCAACCCTAGCTGCATTTCCGTAATCACCTTGGTTTAAGAAATTCTGAAACTGTTGAGTAAACAAGTTTTCAGCTCCAGGAAATCCCCCCCTAGATGACAACGACAATGCCAAAGAAACATTGGATAACTTTTCTAAAACGTAAGGGATAATCTTATCTTTAGCTATTTCGACGCTCAAAACTTGACCAGACTTGTTTATTGTGACGATACCTGTGCCATCATTATAAGGAGCAGCTGTGAAAACAGGATCGGCAGTGATTCTGTTTACAAACAAGTTTGCTCCTGTCTCCATGTCATATAAGTGAATGAACCCATACTTAGTTAAGATATAGATTATACCATATTTGTCAGATGCTTGTAAACTGATCGGAAAGTCATTGGCTGCATCTGGTGGAAAAAAAATATCAACCGATTTCTTGGAGAAGGGAGGATTACCATCGACATGATCAATTTCGATTATATGTAAATGGCCCTGTCCCTGAGCATTCTTGTTCCCTACACAAAAAACTTTTGTGGGTTGGATAGCTCCACTTAGTGTAATTGAAGCAAACTTTGAAACATGTCCTTCAATGGCCTGAGAGACATTACGGCTCTTGGAATACAACTGGACATGCCCAGCTATACGTGAATCTTCCTGGGCAATTCCTGTGACAGCAAACCAATTCAAACTTGGTTCAGCAACAAAGTTTATGATTTGGTTATTGTTGAGGGTGTGATGTCTATCCGTTAATTTGATGGGTCCATTGTTTGACCCGTCAAAAATATCCCAATAGTATATAGAGCTTCCAGTCACCAAACCCAAGTACTGATCATTTAACCACTTCCAATAAACAACTGGTTGGTCCATGGTAAATGACTTTAATCTCTGTTTAGAACCTAAATTAAAGATCTGAAGAGTAGTGCCATTCGCTCTTAACGAGATAACAAACTCATGTGGATGCATGATCGCACTATCAGCACTCATATTTTTACGAATAACTTCATTATTGTTTTTCAAGTTCACTATAGCAACAGTATTACCGTTACTTCCAGTTTCTCTAACACAGACATAGTTATCTGACTCTAATGTAGTAGATTTGAAATCCAAAGAAGAAGGCAGAATACCTAGCTGGGTTAACTGGGTCAACTCTGTGAAATCAATTGGAATATCATTCGACATTTTTTAATTCTCTAATCAAACTTCTATATGAACAGCAAATCGATTAAACGAATCTCAAAAATCTCTTAATTGTTCTTTTTTTTTTTTCCAAATCTCTTCTATATCTCAATAGCAAAACTGAAGAATGAACAAATGGTCGATTGATGAACCTGTGGTTATATAGAATTAATGACAATTGACGTAATCCCTAAGTGCCTCTCTAGTTAATCAACGATGTTGACTTTTCTGGATCCGCAATCCGGGCGAGGACGACGGCTTATGTAATCAAATTCGAAAATGGATATACCAATGATCAAACGTACAATCAAACTAGATCAAGTGAGAAGCAAGTTGCCAACGTAGTAGCCACGATATTCGCTTCAAAAATTTTATATAGATTATTACTGCAACATTATATAAGATTGCTATTTACAATGGTGGCTCTACCGTAGCGATTGCATCCTCTACAATCGTATTCGTAAGTCCAGTAGGAGTTGAAGGATCTGGCCGGCTCCTACTCTGTTTGAAATAAGCCTTGACATATTTCCAGTCACTTCCGATCCAGTCTCCTGTAAGCATGCTAATTTCCAATCTCTTTTCCTCATCAGTGTCTTTATTGAGCCCTGCAAATTTGGACAGTTCCCAAGTAACAAGCCAATAGCCAACCTTTTTCATTGCCAATTTTGCGTAAAGCGGAGTTACAAAGAGTTTTTCATTCCCACCATAGTTCTGAAAAGCAACTAGGACTCTACTGAGCAAAGTAACATCTTGGATGGCCCTTGTAGTTATCCTAGCACTCTTAGGGGCGACAGAACATAATCTGTGGCACCTTATGTGAACAATTAACGAATAGATGTACCTTTCAACATCTGGAGCAACGTATACATCGGGAAACTTCTTACGCAACTGCCCAATGCGCTGTACAAAGTCAGAACTGTCTATTTCTTTGTTTTCTTCTGAAGATTCAGAACGGTAATAGGTAGAAAACCAGAACCTTTCCTTCAAGTACTCATACATGAAAGTACAATTATCAGTTATGACAGGAACTATAACAAACAAGTCTGGCTTCTTGTAACGCCGTCCATCAAGTTCAACAGAAAAATCCTTGTCAACAGAGCTGTTAGTGTCATAACAATCAAGCTTGAGAAGAAATTCATATAATCTCCTTTGTTCTGACCTGTTTAGTTTCAGCATATTCCTCCATATTATCACTTTTTTGAATATGTTATCGACCACCATTGATCGTATAAAATCTCCTTCAGAAACACCTTTAAATTCTTTCATCAAGTCAAGTTCGCAAATATCATCTACGTTGAAATTGCATGGTTGTAAAACGAAACGACGGAAATGTTCTATCAAATGATCAGAGCTATTCGTCAATATCACGAATCTCCTTCTAGCTATCATCGCCAACGATAGCGCTGTGTACAAATTATCCATGCCATATCAATTATTCATCAATATTATCAATGAATCCCTCATAACACAGCAATAAAAGTGCTTTAGTGATATTGGTATGTCGTCCCATATTAGCGACATTCACTTTTTGGCGACATACGCGTTTTGATATTTTTTGCTTTTTGCAATTGCTCGAAAGAGAAACAATGCCCAGGTAGAATACAATTTTGGTTAGTACCCGACGAAATATATATTTACTACAGAGGACCAGTACACTAGACGATACAGTCAGAAGAAGGGCATTGTTTTGTTTATTATTGCGTTCAAGAAGGGAAACTTTATTAAGCTTTTAAAAGCAGCAATCAACCTAATAATCGGTAAAGCAGAAGATTGTTAATCAATATTTCAGCAATTCTTTTCAAAATCCTCAACTACGGCATAAACAATTTTTAATATACCAATTCATGGAAAGAATTTACACACCTTCTACTTTTCAAAGGTCGGATGCCAGTCCTAGGGTACCAGAATCTGCATTTCCACCACTTCGAACAGATCACAGATATAGAGGTGTCTATGAGAGAGCTGGCTTCGATGTTAACTTAAAGGGCTTGGATCAAGCTCAAGCAACAACCGGACCTCAGATTAGGCGATTTCAAGGTGACAATTACCCCACGCCACCCAAGTCTTCTTCATCAAATTCATCTGCTTCTTCCCACTCGCTGAACGGAAGTCGTAGCATAAGAGCAAATGATCCATACTCTCGCCCAAGGCAGACATCAAAATCAACAAACGAGTTTTCTAAATTTGGTAGCCTGCAATCTCTATTAAATGGGGCTAACAATGAGCTTATTTCTAAAGATAATGGAACTCGTCGTGGATTTTCATCTGGCTCTGATAGTGCCAAACTGTCGGCTTCAGATATTCAATCTGATATAGATCATACTGACAGACTTTTCTCTGGTTCTTCTGGAAATTACATTAGTAGTGGAGAAGGAAGTAGGGCCATATCTCCAGATTCTCTCAACTTCAGTCAAAAAGCTACCGCTCAGCAGCTCAATTCTTTTTCGCCATACAATGATCATAAGAACTATGAGAATGTTGAATGGGCTGCAGGGAAGAAGAACCCCAAAAATTTGCAATTGAATATGCAAAAAGTGCAGTACAACCAGTTTAAAAGCGGCTCAAGACAACAGGACAATAATCCACCAACAATACATTCGGCTCCTCTCGATTCTTATAATAGCCATCAACGTGGGCAAAAATGGCCCAAGAGTGCCACAAGTGACAAGCAAGGATTCAATAGAGGGTTACCTATGGCGCAATCAGAGCAAAACATTTCATCTCGTAATATCGAAAACCTGAATTCAATACCGTTTGACCCTCGAGTGCAAAAATCTAAGACCGAAAAATTTCCTCAAAGACAAAATCAGAGACTATCGTCTGCTCTCTTTGACTTTAAGAAAGATATCGAAGATCATAAGAATTACATTCCAAAGTCTCCAGCTTCTAATGGCGCATTCTCTCCGCCATTGCCTAATATGTCACCTTCGGAACTAGGATTGGGAAAGCCTCAGTTTGACAGTTTTGCCCTGCAAAATGACTATGGGCATATAGATTCAAGCGAACTTATAGATGGAAATTCTCACTTAAGAGTCAAAGCTTTTGATCGTCTGAGTCAATTTTCAACGGTAAGTTCTATCATCTCAAAGGAACTAAAAAGGTATAGCGATGATGAGGAAGCAGATGAGATCGAAGAGGATCTTCAGCGACAGCTTGATAACATAAAAGGAACGACAAACATATCCCCAACTAAAGCTACCAAAGAACTTCCGTTTCCTTCATCCCCAAAAATTTTGGACAGTCCAATTCCTACATTTAACATTGAAGATACAACCGAAGAGCAGACTTCCAAACCCCAATTACCATATCCTACATCACCTGACAAAGTTACGGATTATATGTTTGATCTGAATTCCCCAGAACCATCAAAGTCGGCTCAGGGTGCTAAGTATTTCAATAATCATGAAGAAAACGCTCTGGAATTAGAGCAGGAGAGATCCAAACTACAAACTACACCGTCGATGTCCAAGATTTCCGATTCACCAAAGTTTGTCGATGAAAGTATTCAGCCTTTAAGTCCAAAGAAACATGAAGTGGAAGAAGAGCTTAAGGGCCTTAATATTAGAATGCATAAAGCTGATGAAGGTGGTGAGGATGGTCAATTTATTGAAAAAGGTATGGCTGCCTCGATTAATGAACCTTTTATCTATCCACCTGGACAGGGCCCTTGTAGAAAGTGTCATGAAGAAGTTTCAGCTTTGGCAAAGGGCTCAGAGAAGTCAATATACTCAAAAACATCTAATCTTAATGGTCAATGGCATAGGAAATGTTTCTCCTGCTCTTTTGAAAACTGTGGAATAATATTCAGCAAGAAAGTACATTGTTACGTTATTGAAGATAGGCCTTATTGCCACCAACATTATCACTCGCTAAATAATACCCTTTGTTCGAAATGTCACCAAGGAATTGAAGGCGAGTGCATCGAAAATGAGTTGGAGCAGAAATGGCATTTACATTGTTTAGCTTGTTCTCGATGTCACAATAAAATCAACGAGGACTATTTCCTTATTAATGAAACCATCTTTTGTGAAGCTGACGCACAACGAATTATCAACGGCGAGCAAGTTTATAAAGCTGCTGATGGAAACTTGAGAACTGGTGGACTACTGTCACAGGACAAAGTTGAAAAGCGAAGGACAAAAATAATGTATGTTGATTAATCGACTGACAATCAATTCTTTCGATGTAAGTCTGCTAAATTCAGATATATTTGTATAAATAAAATAGATACAATATTTATGTACTGTCATGATGTTTATCGTAAGTTCTAAAATCATCTTACTTTCTCAATTTCCATGAGTCAGGCAAGACTAGAGTTCTTTTTGGAGCTGGGGTCAACGGGATCTGTGCTCATTTTGTCAGGACTGTGGGATGGAGGACTGCTTTCGTCGGGGTTCAATATATCACCATCGTCCTCAATTATAAAATTATCTACATCATAATCTGCAGAATTGAGCTCGACGTTGTTGCCGGACTCTAAATCATCGTCAAAGTTACCGAATATCATTTGTTCATACCTCTCTTGGTTAGGACCATTCGAGCTATGATAACTGCGTAATTTTCTCTTCATTTTGTTATAAATAAAATAAGTTGTCAAGGAAGCGGCAACACCAGCCATTATAATACTAAGCATGTCAATTATTTTCGTGGATTTTGATTTGGAGATATCTCCTAACTCTTTTAACTTATATCCAACGAAAATATGAATTAAAAATTTTGGTGATGTAATAACAGAAGCTAACAAATAAGTTAAAGTAGGTAATTCTGGTATGGCGGCCAAAGCTCCATTTGATAAGGAATATGGTAAGGGGCATAATCTTATCAATATGAGTAGGAAGAGAGATGAATCATCACGTAGAATTTCTGCAAAAGCTCGAAACATTTCATGATAATTCATAAACTTTCTAGCTTGCTCCTGAAGTATATACCTGAAAACGATAAAGGAACACAAGGAACCGGATATCGAGGCAGAAGCTAAAAGAAACCAGCCATTAGGGAACCCATACACCATTCCAGTTAGCATGGATAAAGGAGTGAACCCGATTAACGGAGGAAACCCAACTATGAATACAAGAGAAAATAATAAAAGCCTTCCATATCTTAGCTTCTCCAACTTGTCCGAAATTACCACTAGCTGTTTTATAAGACGATTATGGAATATCAACACGAGTATAAAGAAAACGAATCCTATCGTGATTAGAAAAATGATTATGATTTTTCTAATTTTGCTTTGTTGATGATACCATTCTAAGGTACTCCTTCCTAACTCGTTCACAGCATCGACTCGTGCCTTAATATTTGTATTCATCCTAGAATTCCAATTCGTCGCATGTTGATCTGGAGTATCTAAGTATACGTTGGATGATGATTGTAAGCGTGGCATAATGAAAAACCCATGGAGTCCCAATTATCACGTAATACTTATGTAATGATTTGAAGCTCAAAAAAAATTGAGAATGTGTATAAGAGTTACTAATACAAAGGGAAGTCCTACTTTAAATCTTACAACGTTGAGCCAATTCAAAAATACGAATATCTCTCTATTAAGTCCCACAGTTAACTAATTACTTCTATAAAAAGACATAAATAAAATGATGAGCAATATTCAATGGGTGCAATCCTCCAAAATGTGTGGGAGTTCTTGTACATCTAAGTTTTCGTAAATGACCCTGTATGTTGCATCAAACAATGGGAATTCATTCCTTAAGTTAAAGCTTTCTAATAACTCATGTACTTCCTTGGCAGTTATGATACCTTGAGATGATTGACCGTTCAAAAGGATCTTTTCTGCTTCCCATGCATCAACGTTATGTTCAACCATGTATTTCGCAACCTTCACATTTCTACCTCCAGAACAAGTGGTTATCAAATCGGCAACACCGGCACTTTCTTCTGTAAATGTTGTTGGATTCGGGGGTATTTTGGATTTGATTCCAAACTTCTCGTAGTACGATGCGAAGTGGATAATCTCCTTGATACCAATTCTCATGACAGCTGCTTTAGCGTTGTCACCCCAGCCAATACCATCAACAAGACCGGCTGCAATTGCCACAACATTTTTTAAAGCACCCGCATAAGAAGCACCAATGACATCATCAATGACCTTGACATGGAAGTATGGTCTGTGGAAAGCCTTCTTCAAAATATATTCATCGATATCTTTACCTTGGCCTCTGAAGTCATCTGGAAGTGTATAAGCAATTGAGGTTTCAGACCATCTTTGCTTAGCAACCTCAGTTGCAATATTGGCACCACTAAGGACACCACAATATACACCTAACGTATCCGTAATGGCCTGCGACAATAATTTGCACCCGTGAGGACCAACCTCTAATCCTTTAAGACAAGAGATAGCTCTGACGTTCTTATTAACATGACCAACCAATTGTTTACAAATAGAAGGTAAAAATTGATGTGGAATATTGAACACAAGGAGATCTGAGTCACGGACTGTGTCAACAATGTCAGGATTAGCAATCAAATTCTCTGGCAATTTGATACCAGGTAAATACTTCACATTCTCATGCTTAGAATTTATTATTTCAGTCAACTTTTCTCCATCTATATTCTCTTCATAAACCCACATTTGAACTTCTTTTTGGAACACATCAGACTTCTCTGCGGTGTTTTCAGCAACAAGCTTAGCAACGGCAGTTCCCCAATTACCAGATCCAATGATACTGATCTTAAATGGTTTCTCAATCTTGTATGCGCTCTGTGTAGTCATCTTTGTGTATGATATAATTGAATTGTTGTACGTATACCCTCAAAACTTCTGATGATAGGGTGGGCATTCTCGTCTTATATAGATATCGGTGGCCCCTAATTACTTCATACAAACTGTGAATCTCTGCAACATTACGGTCACGAGCGTTCAAATTTTGAGTTGGTCCGGCAGAACCCTCGGGTCCGGATCATCGCTTGCTCTGTTCGAAAGAATTCGACCCAGGGGTCGGCCCAACATTCAACAGGAATTTAGGACCATCCTCTTGCTCTAATTGGTTTTACCAATAGCCAAGATTGAGAAAAAGGAACGAGAGAAAAGAAGAACCTTGAACGGGCTTGCTCGGAAGTAACAAGAAACGGAATCTTCAACTTTCTTTTTGCTTCATTACGAGTTTTACAGGATGTCAACCGTAGCAACCGTCTACATTCAGAGTGTTTTATGTTTACATCGATAGCTCAATAGTTTCTTTTATTGTCATGACCTTGTTAGGTGGTCGTATCACCGGACGTCTCTCATCCTACGCGTAAATAGTAAGATTTAGTGGTGAAAATATTTTAAAAGCAATGCAGGAGTTTTAATGTCATCATGAGGAGAAGGATGTCATTACCTGTCTTAGATTAGTTTCAGCATAACGACGCTTTTATTGCGAAGCAATATAATGTGTCTATGGGTGCAAAGAGAAGCTATCAGTGTAAGTTCCAGTTAATCCGAGTAGAAACTCATTTTTAGCTATTTCGGTTAATCCGAGAAGATTCTCAGCTTACAAGCACAATTACGTAGTTATCTTTTATTACAAGGAAAGTCGTTTATATCAATAATTACCGCTAGTCGTCATCATGCCTATAATCATCATACATTTCTTGCCATTCATCTGCGAGTATGGAATTACGCTCATTTTGAAGTGGGCTACGCGAATCTCTCTTTTGGAACCAAGATTCATCTTCCATCCAATCTCTATTTTTCACCTGATCACCACTGATTATCTTAGCAGCTTGAAGTGGATTCGATATATGTGCAAGATCCCCATCTCTAATATGTGCAAGAGGATCTGGTAGATGGTTGATATTTTCTTCACGCCATTGTTGACGACCGGAGGCAGCCGTAGAATTTTGGTACGGCTGTTCTACTGTATTATGATGTGAATTCAAACTGTTTACTTTCATTGTTTGATTTTCTTGAGCAGACACCAGATGATCTAACAGTTCTTGCTGCAAATCGTGTGTCTGATCCCTAATATCTTCTCTACTTTGGGAGTCAACTAGCTTATCTCCTTCAAGTTCGACAGCTCTGTTACTTATTGAATTCATTAATTTTAAGAAGTTAGAATTTTGAAACTTATTACTTGTTTCTGCTGACGTGTTTGAGCTTAGCATTGAACTTTGGACTTTCTGTGCAGCTCTCGCAAATTCTTCCTTATCATTTTCTGTAGTAATTTCTTCGTGATGTTGTTGCTGCTCTTTTTCGGCTTCCAAGAGTTCTTTTTCTACCTGGTCAAAATGACTCTCGAAATTAGTAGACTCATAATCCAGTTTATGAATTTCTTGATGTTCTGTCATGGACAGCATTTGTGGTATTAATGGAGTAGACAAATTCGTCCTCATATTCAAAGGATAGGCACTAGAGAAGCTAGAATTCACATTTTGCATATGTCTATTTTGTAAGTCCTGCGGTTGACTAAGCAGTTGAGCTTGTCGATTTTGGCTTTGTTGATTTAAAAATTGTTGATGCCAGCCTTCTGACATTTGTTGCTGTTGATGGAAATTGCGGCTAGCATGTTGAGCCCCACTATCAAGCGACAAATCTGAAAAGTCTTGCACCCAGCCTCCATGACTAGGTGTCCCCACCATGGTAGGACGAGGTTGATTGAGGGCGGGCGGTCGATTAAACTGATTTACCATCTGGCTTGGAAATTCATGGTAACCACCATTATTAAAGCTCTGAAAATCGTTATTTAGTCGTCTGTCTATGCCTTCATTACTCTTGAACCCTTGTGTCTTGTGAAATGTTCCAGGATGGCTATTGACAAACTCCTTTTGAAGAGTCTGATCCCTGTCGGTATATTTCGACAAGTTGCTTAGTGCACTTGATGGTCCGCAACTAGCATCAGAATTCATAATAAACTTTTCTGAGCTTCACAGATGCCAAATGTTTCTTCTAGAAGGAAGTTAAAGCTGGAGCATATTGCTTGAATATATATTTCGAGTAATCACGTGATTTTCGCCTTCGACAGAACTTCATGATCTCCGCTCATACATGAATACATACATACATATATATATAAAAGAAAGTTTTATAGTTTCAAAAGCTTTACAAAATCACCGGTTTCATAAACGTCATTATATGATTCATTCAAGAATTCATGTAGATTGGAAGTTTGCATTGATCTTCCATACTTTTTAAAAGCCTTCAAACTTGACATCTTAACAATAGCCGAGGCTGCGAAACAGGCCAATAATGTAGATTCTTCAGGACTAAACTTTTTATCTTTAATTTCCCAAAGATCGGTGTCATAGTTGTTGGACCAATTTACCATGGCTGCTAAAGTACCAGTAAGGGTGTCACCTTGACCTCCAACTCGTTTCCATGAACCTGCCAAATCACTTACAAGATACTGGTCCAGTTTCACTATTAAATCTTGAGCTCCTTTTCTGACAATAACGACGTCGCCTAGCTTTTTGGAAAGCTCAGTAGTAGCTTTGAGTAGCTTTTCAAGGTCAGTCTCTGATATAGAGTTCTTAATGTTAAATGCTTTAGCTAATCTGTCAAACTCTACCACATTTGGAGTGATAATTGCATTTGAATAGTTCTGAATCAACAGAGGTTTGAGCGATAGCAAGAATAGAGAATCTGCATCAAGTATCATTGGTTTGTTTAGAACTCTTAATTCCTCAATTATTCTAATAAGCGATTTCATCATTAATGGATCTCTTCCAAAGCCAGGACCGATAATCACTAAATCTATACGATTCAATAACAGGGTTACTTTCGGCATCACCTTGTCATCTATTATTCCATTCAATTTAGGATTCTTTTGCTTCAACAAATCGTCTGGAGATAACTTAAGCATTTCGTCGATCTCTGCATCGGTCAAGATAGATGCAATCTCTGGATTTGTCAACTGATAAAGATAAGGATGAACCATCAAATCAGGGCTATACAGCTTAATAACCGGAGCTGCTAGTTTTTCGCAGACGATATGATTCATATCACTACCAATTAAAGCAGCAGAGTGACATGAAAAGAATGGAGCACCAGTATAATCCTCTGATCCCCCAATTACTGCAATTTTTCCGGCTTGCCCTTTATGAAATGTAGGCAACAAAGGTTGTACGATTTGCTTCGACAATTGAAGTAATTCTTTTTGCGTCTTTCCCTTTAACATATTTGAAGAGACTTCCTTCTAGCTCAAAGGCTTAACTTTCGTTCACTAAGATCTTTACTTATATCTCTTGTCCCGGCGCTCGAGTCTTTAATGACAGCAACCAATTACATTATTAGTAAATGTGCCTGCATGCAGAGTATCCACAGTTAAAACATATAAAGAGCAAGTCTCACCCGAAGTTGTCGCCGGCACAAGGTTTTCTTTCTCATATATTCATATTTATGAGTTTAGTGAACATGTCATTTATTCGCCACTTGTCACAACCGAAATATTTCGTTCCAATTATTGCCACAGCCTCTTCAATTGGATTGGCTTATCACTTTTCAACTTTGACCATTTCGAATGAAGTATCGAAAACTTTCAAAGGTAATGATGAATGGGTTGATTTGAAATTGATTAAGAAGATTGAGCTTAACCACAACACTGATCATTTCGTATTTGAATTGTTAAATAAAGACGATGTTTCGGGATTGGTCGTTGCCTCATGTTTGATGACCAAATTTGTGACTGCTAAAGGTAATAATGTCATCAGACCCTATACCCCGGTCTCTGATCCAGATCAAAAGGGAACCATTGACTTTGTTATTAAGAAATATGAAAACGGTAAGATGTCAACCCATTTACACGGTTTGAAAGAAAACGATACAGTATCTTTCAAAGGGCCAATTGTTAAGTGGAAGTGGGAACCTAATCAATACAAAGCTATCACATTGTTAGGTGGAGGAACTGGTATCACACCCTTGTATCAATTGATCCATGAAATCGCCAAAAATCCTGAAGATAAGACAAAAGTTAGTTTATACTACGCTAACTTGTCTGAAGATGATATTTTAATCAAGAAGGAGCTTGACGATCTTAGGGAAAAGCATAAAGACCAAGTAGATATCACTTACTTTGTCGATAAAGCAAAGTCCAGTGCGTGGAACGGCGAGGTTGGATATATTGGCAAGGAGTTTTTGGAGTCACACTTGCCTGGACCATCCAAAGACACTAAGATTTTTGTGTGCGGCCCTCCTCCATTTTATAAAGCTCTCTCGGGTGTCAAAAATTCCCCATCTGATCAGGGTGAAGTTACTGGTATTTTAGCTGAATTAGGATACACGAAGGAAAATGTATATAAATTTTAAGTGTTTTTGATGCTTCAGTTGCGAAATCAGCTCAAAATTTACTTTGCAGTATATATCTGTATGGAATATATAGACTTTATATAGGTTATATCAACTTGTTTTTTGAAAGTAAAGTTATAGTTGTACATGGATACATGAGCATTTGCAGAACTTGATGGGGGTGGAAACCCCAAAAAAAAATAAAATGAAAAATCATTTAATAGTTGATGAGAATATGCAATTAATAAAAATTGCCGTTGAAGGGTGCTGTCATGGCGAATTAGATGCTATTTATAGTACCTTGCCATTAGAAATAGAATTACTTTTAATTTGCGGTGATTTTCAAGCATTACGAAACGAGACTGACTTAAAAACCATAAACGTCCCTGCTAAATATAAGAGACTTGGAGATTTTCACAAATATTATAAGGGCGAAAAAAAGGCACCAATCTTAACCATTTTTATTGGTGGTAATCATGAATGTTCTTCCTATTTACAAGAATTAAAGTTTGGAGGCTGGATAGCGCCGAATATATATTATCTTGGGGAGTTTGGCTGCGTTTCATATAAAGGAATATTAATTGGAGGAATCAGTGGCATTTATAATAGGTATTCGTTCTTTCATAGTTCGTCTGAAAGGCTACCTTATAATGAAAAAACGATTCGGTCAGTTTATCATGTCAAGCCTAAAAGTTTTGTCAAGCTATATTTAATGAAGAACTTGGATATTGTGTTATCGCATGACTGGCCCAGTGGGATTGAGCATTCTGGAGACGTCAAATCTCTACTTAAGAAGAAAAAGCACTTCAGAGCAGACATTGAGAGTGGATCTTTAGGGAGCCCTTTGAATAGACTTCTACTCTATAAATTGCGGCCACGATATTGGTTTTCTGCTCATTTGCATGTCAAGTTTGAAGCGAACATATCTCATCGAGCAGAGAATGATGCTGATAATAAAGAAAGTGAGAGAGTAAAACTTTCTAGTACAGAAAGAGAAGTAGATAGTGATCACATTGAAATCGATATGGATATGGATATGGATATGAACATTACTCCTCTGTCTTCAAAACGGCCAATGAAAGACAATAATCATTGGTCCAAGCGATTGAGAACCAGATCAACTTATTTTTTGGCTTTAGATAAATGCTTGCCACGTCGTTCTTTTATACAAGTTATAGAGATCGAAACAAATTCAGACATAAATTCGACAGAATTGTATTATGATGAGAGAGCCGTGGCTGCAAACAAGATAATCGAAAAATACTCTCCAGTATTTGATAAGCTGGTTATTCAGGATCTATATGATCCCAAGAATCTGGAATTGGTTCAAGAGCTAGAGAAAGAAGTCAATTATGAATGTAAGAGATTAAGTGGTAGCTTACAAGTCCCTAAAAACTTTGAAGTGGTTGCCCCAACTTCAGTTGAAAAAAATATTCCCTTACAATATTGGGACAACAATCAGACAAAGGAATACTGCATGAGATTTGGTATTCAAGCCCCTGAAATTTAATAATAAACCATTTTTAAATTACAATGTTCTTCGAATAATTGAATTGAAAAGTAAAAAGTTGATCAATAAGCTCTGTTTATTTCTACAAAGTTTCAGTTCATTAAACAATCGGCTGCACGTACTAAAATTTTGGCTCATATATGTGCATTAATATCTCTATTTTTGTTTATCTAGTTTTAGTTCTATTATATAGCTTGATACTTCTATCTTTAATCTCTAGACATGGTGATCGTTACGCAAAAACAATTAAAAAAGAAAAGCACTTCCGGGACCGGTCGATAGAACCGTAATACGGAATAATAAACATCGACATACTTACTTTTCTTTTTACTTATTCCCATTCCCAGAGCTGGAAAAATTTTCAGCTAACCGGTAATCCAATACGCCAATTAGGTCGTCTGTTGCATAGGGGCTGGGCCAGAACAGGATCGACATTTTCTTAAATTACTTGATATCCGTCTTCTAAATTCTGGCATGTCGGGAAAACGTTTCAAATCTTAATTAAAAGAGCCAAGACAAGCGTCCAGGTACTCTTTGCTTGTTCATTCTCTACATTCTCTCCAAACCGGTTCTTTCTTCAAGGCATTGAAATTTTTAGGAACAAAGATGATTCTTCACATACTGAATGTTCGAAATTATCATACATTACTTATGTTTTAGCTAGGTAGCCTTTATCAGTAAGACCCTTTTCTGTTTAAAACTTCGCGATACGCAGCCTTATCGCTCGCTATACCATATCTGGCGTTCCACGAAAACCACTTCACCAGCTAGCGACACATTCCGATATCTACCGCTTAACCTCTGGTGGAGCACGACAGAGGGGCCACTAACGTTAACTGTCCTCCCTATCTTACCGGTCATTTCCTGTATGCATCAAAATTAAGGAGCGATTAATAATTGATATAATTGTCAGATCAAAACGTTAGCTGCAAACCGGTGCATTCCGGTCCGAAGTTATAACAAGAAACCAAAGATTATTTTCGACCAAATTCAGAATGATAACCAAGTCGCAATTGGCCAATCGACCAAAATTACTTACGTCCAACTAGTTTTGGCCTGCTTGTTCTGACGTGGTCACCAAGTCTTGCGGACCAATGGGATAGTAATACATGGTAAGGTCGGATCCTCGGTATGCGGTTTGAAGCAACATATCCGGTCAAATACATCACTATGATGTAATCATCTCGGCCCCTTTTGTATTCATGGTTAAGCGTAATTCATTTACACTTGGCGAGAGCGCTAGAAAAGAGTAAACCAGTGTCTAGGAACAATTACGAAACGTCCAGCTGTAAGCCATGATATACCCATGTAACTTTTTTATTTGAGCTGAACCTCAATGTTAATTTGTTTCGCAATCGTAGGATTATTTGGCTGCGATAAAGTATCGCACTCACGACAATGCTCTCATTAACTTTATCACAAATGGAAGTGCAGTCTTAAACTAGGAAAAACACGGGTCGTATCTGGAAAACAGAAATGGCTAGAAACGAAATGTGCATTCATACTGTATGCCTCCTTTTCGCTACCCGTTTACTGCAAACCATAATATTTGGTCGTTTCTTTTTTTTATCCGGTCGCATTTTTGTGACGTCTGTAAAAGATTATCACAACCACATTTCTTTTAACGTATGTGATAGAAGCAGTATAAATAGAGACAATTTCCTTTGTGCTTAAGTCCAAGTTTAGGATTATATTTCCATAGCATACAGCTGAATATATTCGAGGCAAGGCTGATAAGAAATCGACCTTACAAATTTGCATATTAAGACTTCAACACATACAAACTAAATAACTTTAAAGATGACAGTACACAAGAAACCCGCTGTATTTTACGTTCACGCTGCTTTATTCGATTGTGATGGTACCTTGGTTAACTCAACTGGTGCTATCTCTGAATTCTGGAGAGATTTTGGTAAAACCAGACCTCATGTTAACCCTGATGAAATTATCAGAACATCCCATGGATGCCGTACTTTTGATGTTATCGCAAAATGGTCTCCAGAAGATGCTGACGAGAAGCAAGTCACTGAATGGGAAGGTTCTATTCCTGACTCATTTGGACAGTACGCTAAACCGATTCCAGGTGCTGTTGAATTAGTCAAGTCTTTCGATAAATTCTCAAAGAACGAGACTCATGATGGACATCAAAGATGGGCTATCGTCACTTCTGGTACCTTACCATTAGCTTCAAAATGGTTGAAATTGTTGACCATTGACAAACCCGATACATTCATAACAGCAGAAGCTGTTAGCAAGGGTAAGCCACACCCACAAGGTTATCAGGCCGCAAGAGATAGAGTAGGTGCTGGTGCAGCTCACAAAAAGGTCGTTGTCTTCGAGGACGCTCCAGCTGGTATATCGGCTGGTAAGGGTGCCGGTGCAATGATTGTTGGTATTTGCTCAACTTACGACCCTGAGAAGGTTAGGAAAGCCGGTGCAGATATTGTCGTTGACGACTTATCCTCATTTAAGATTGAATCATTTAATAAGGAAACCGAGGAATTCAAGGTTGTGGTATCTGATTATCACTATGCAAACGATGAGTTTTTGCAAGCTGTTTAAGTAAGTCAGCACCGTCCGTCTTGAATTACTCTTTCTGCTATTAACAAGAAAATTTATCCCTTGAAATTAAGAAATATATTTATTAGAGTTTGCTTTTGATAGCGTTCCAACTTGATAGAATTTATATTTGAAATGTACATTAGAATAAATAAATAAATCTCACTATTATTTTTATCCAAACTTAGCCCAAATAAGCTTTATCCTTCATTAAAGACAAGTAAGGGGCAAGGGGGGGACAACACTCGCCGAAGATGAGACAAGAAATAGGAGGTAGCTCAGGAGAGCGATTAATGTATGCGAATTATTGTTCGGAACTCATATTTTATTGCCTAACAAGTAGTTCATATGTTGTCCTTCTCTCACTCTTGATGGAAATCATATATTTACTAGGTGAGCTTCAGCGAAGTCAAAAAAGCAGGGAGAATAAAGACAGTATCAATATGTCAAAAACTGATTATATAATTAACTTTTATGATTACGTAAGCTGTACCTCTTGAAAAATTTAGCGATGCCAATGAGCTTCAATCAAGTTCATCATGAAAAGTTTGATTGAACCAATCATGGCACCATCATTGACTGATCCGTATGCTTTATTGACAGTTCCTAGAGTTTCTGACTTGGAACTATCACAAAAGGTAGTCATCCTGCCCATATCTTCTCCTAATACGAGCCATTTAGAGATTGGAATTTCAAGGTCATCTATTTCATCATATATATTGAAGCCAAGTCCAAAACTAGTGTGGTCATTTTCACTACCTCCAACATGCTTAATACTATGCTTGAATACTCTTGAGCTCGACGATGGCTCCAAAATCTATGCCGCTGGAATCGCAGACCGTGGACGGAAGAGCGTTTTGATTGTCCATAAGTCAGACGAAAAGACCACTGAGCATAGAATCCAGGTTAAATATAACGTCATTGGTGTTAAGTTTCATGGGTCCGATTTAATTGTGCTATACGAAAATGGCTCTATTGACTTGTTTGACTACGAGAATGGAAGCTTTTTAAAAAATGCATTTATCAACAGGGAAGACACATTGTACTATAAATTCATTTCAAAACGAGAATTCAAAAGCGAAGAAGATTTATTGTTGATAATTACAAAGAGCAAAATACATATCACATTTAAATTAATTTCACTTGATGCTAAAGAATACATAGAAATCGATTCGGGTCACTTAGACCGTAAAGGAACTCCATTAAAAGCATATAAACCAGGAATGTTTGCTTACAACTCCAGATATGTGTATGTGCTTGATAGTGAAAAAAAGATTTTGTCTGCTGTGGCTTTTAATGGATTTCAAGTACAGAAGTCTATAAGTATTGAAAATTATTTGGACTCGCAGAATACCTATATATTTGCTCCGAGCGCTGATAGAGTACTATTATCAGCAGGTTCCTCTATTCATTTGATAAATTTCAAATTCGAATGCTGTTTGGGCTCTTTCTATGGTCAAGGAGATGCTTGTTTGAAAGACGCAGTTTCAGTAAATGGTAATTCCATGAATTCGAGCAGAACGATTGCAATTTACTTGGAACAACCTGACTTGGATGTTTCGTTGAATATTATCAATGTTGATGTTGGATTAAATAAATTGAGCGAATGTTTGGGTAAAAGCATTGAGAAGGATTCAACTCATGTGAAAGGGCTTCCTAACTTATTAGACGATAATTTCGAAGACGAAGCGATAAATTTGACGAAAGAAGTTAACGAAATCCTAGGTAATTTAGAAAATATTAGAAAAGTCAAGAATTTGAGTAAATGGGAAAGAATTGTCACACCATACTTAAAAGGTGAATCTTGGTCCAAAATCAATACTTCGTTAAATAAAAATAAATCAAAGAAGACTGTGGAATATAAGTTTCAAGTTTTTGACCTTGAAAACGATAGAGTTGTTGATCCTGCATTTATTTCAGAGATTCTTCTGTTGATATTTACTTCCAACGAGGGTAAGGTCAAACCCAAAGATGAAGACTTTTTACCAGAGCATTCTTTAATATATTTGTTGACATGTCCTCTATTTCCAACAATGTGGGTAAATGGCTTATTGGAAGTGTTCCATAGCTTAGATTGTCAAACATTACTCAGACAAGCGATTCTCACCTGTCCTGGAATTCCCTTGGAGGATTTATTATGCCAATTTGTCATGGCTCCTACGGACGACAAAATTTTTGAAGACCTTTTGGGTAGATTAGTAAATGACTTTTCAGTTAAAGAGATCACATTGGCGTTTAAAGATTTGATGCACAAGCGTGGAGAAGTTAACTTGGAAGCCATATTAAATAGTTTAGTGCTGGCTAATACTAGCAATAGCTGGTGCATAATTGAATCGGTGATTGACGCAGGAGGTTTATTTAATTGGTCGATTGATACTGTTAATAAATTAGAGGGTTTAATTGACTTGAAACTAAATACTTTGGCAACTAATAATTTCAATTTGACCCTCGCAAATCAAGCCTTGCTCATTAATGAGCCCATGAAAAAGAAACTGTCAAAATCTAAAAAGAAGAAGTCCGCTGACATTGTGTCAGCTAATGAGCATCAGTTGCAGCAACTTGATTCAATATTATTCTTAAATAACACCTCGTCGAAGAAGTTGATTGACCACCAGAGCACAAATGCGAGTGTTTACAAGCATACACCTACGTATTCTCTCGAAAAGTTAGTGTTATAGTTAGTTTATGGAGTAGTGTACAATATAGAGATGGGACTCGCGATATTGAAAAAAACAAAAATGTTTTTTTGTCAAATAGAAACAGCGTACAAAATAAAGCTTTTGGATCGATACAAGACGTAAAAGTCAAAAGATATTTATCATGTCAACTGCTTTGAATTCTTATAGGACTGCTTTGAGAGCTGCAAAGTTAGCATTTCACGGTGATGTGCCCGTCTTGTCGGCTGCCAAAATAAAGATTAGAGAAGGATTTGAACAAAATAGAAAACTTGAAGATGAAGCTGAAATCAAGGACGCTATAGACAAAATGAATGAAGTGAGCAAGTTCTTGGTACAGAATATTGTTCAGGGAGAGCAGCAGCAGGATGGTAAATATTTTTTGAACTTCCATGAGAAAACCGAGTTGGGTGATAATGAAAGTGTTAAAGAATCACACAGAGCCAAGATGGGCTCTTTAGCGGGCACAAAGGTCAAAAAATGTAGTGATGTTAGAAAGTGAGACCGCAGGTAGCCCAAAAGGTGAAGAAGACGTTGTAAATAGGATTAGTTAATAATATACAGCGGGCCCTGGATGGTCTCAACAACTAAAATAAAGCCTTATATCAAAATTTTAGAAACTTAATCATGCAACTATTGAATTTATGAGGTAAGCAATGAATCGTAACGGTCAGAGTCTGAACTTGACCACGTCGCTGGCGTACCTTAAGCGCATTGCGGGAACATAAAGTTTTTTAAAAAAATTTAGAATTTACATCTCGCTAATTTTTCTCCATTTTATACTCCATGTCTGCACCAGACCCATCTAAGAGAGATGTACAGATATCTAAAGCACTTTCATACTTACTCAGACATGGCGCCATTAAAGAAAAATTGAATATAGACGAAGAGGGATACATTAAGATTCAAGATATCTTGAGTCACAATCGCATTAAGACACATCGAGTCACTGTCGAAGATATTCACAGAATTGTCAGAGGAAACGATAAACAACGCTTTAGCATAGTCAACAGAAATGGTATAGAGTATATATGTGCTACTCAGGGACATTCGATTGAAAGTGTCAGCGAAGCGAATCTTCGTTCTCTCACCAGAGAAGAAATGCCACGTGAGGTTTTCCATGGAACTTACAAGGCTAAGCTTCCCTCTATCATGAATGAAGGACTCAGCAGAATGGGACGCAATCATATTCATTTTGCATCATGTGAGTCAAACGTTTCCGGAATACGGAAGAACTGTAATGTATTGATTTATTTGAACATTGATGATTGTTTTGATAAAGGTATTACATTCTACAAGAGTGCTAATGGAGTCGTTCTTACGCGTGGGTTGAACGGAATTTTACCTAGCACTCTATTTGATCGAGTCATAGATGTATCGACTGGTAATTCTATTGTAAATAAAGCGGCACTGGCTGAGCTTAGTGAGAAATAAAACTTTGCTGCGGACCAAAAGCCTACAAAAACATTCTTCCTTATACATTCCCCTTCCGCCCCTCATACCGTCTACAAGATCACTTATGAAATCAAGCCACCCGCGCCCTGCCTCAGCCCCTGCTTCCATCCTGCTTACGCTTATTAAAGACTCATAGCGCTTATTAACGCTCGTTTTATTACCGACAAAACCAACATACCTGGCCCCGCTTGAAGGCAAGCGAGAGTGCCGAGTCTAGATTCTGAGGTTTTCTTTAAGCAGCAGGCATGCGGCTAGATCGGTATATTGTTACGGATTTGTTTCGTTGTATGTCTTTCTGCTTGCAACCTTAAAGTGTCGCTACGGAATGATGAAGCACTGTCTGCCTCATGACATGCCTGCTCTACTTTCTACGTAATCTTCTTATAATAAAAATTGCTTAATGACCTAAGCTAGCAAAGTCATAATCGGTTGCACTGATAGGTATTGTCACACAAAGCATGTTGGCGCACTAGACTCTTTTATTTTGGTGGCGATTACTGCAGTCTCTGATGCGCTTACCTCATACGGCGAGGGACCGAGATGATTTAAGGGCGTCTTTTAGGTTTCCATACCTTATATAGCGGAGCGACGATCTAGATTCTGCCTTTAGTATCGTAGATACGTATGTGCACTAGGTGACTCTAGTTGCTAGAAAGCTGTATATATAGACCCCATAGTTAGCATTGAATATATTAATATTGGCGTCGATTTTTCTACAATCATATTTTCGTGGCTATTTCATTGCTTTGTTGTTATCCTTAGCAATTACTGTATTATTACGTATATCATAATTGTTTAACATATTGGAGGCCGTCACTTCAGACTCTGTGCGGCGGAATTGTCAGTTAGAGGTGCTCTGCTGAGCGTAGCTGAGATGGCAAGCTATGAAGAAAGTAGTCAAGCTGTAACTCCTGGCGACCAAGGCGCACAAGGTAACAAAATATGTCAGTGGTATTGCTGTTCTTGCGGAAAGAGTTACGGAACTATCATGTACAAACAGGTTGAGGACCTTGAACGGGAGGCATTAATGACCAATTTGAAGTACTATAGTCAGCTCACATATTCAAATGTAAATGAAGACAGAAGTGAATGGTGGAGTGAAGGAGACACTGGTTACAAATATGAAGCCGGTGATAGTGAGCGTAGATACAACGCTAGGCTGTCGATGATGTCTTCTCTCACGTCCCCACTGACGTCCATTTCGTCCTATGAAGCACCTGGAATCACAGATGGCCGATGCCAGACGAATCCTAATGGTCGCGAAGAAGAATATCACCAGCATCACCAGCATCATAATCATCATAATTATCACGATAATAATCAACATAATCATCACGATAATAGTTATAATAGCAAAGACACCGTAATTTTGGATGTACCGACAAGATTTACATGCAGCAGATGTAATCATATGATGTGTCCATACTGTCTCAAAACCCGTTATAAGGATTTACATTGAATGCAAATATAGACACCCAAGAGTAGCTTAGTGTGAAAAGCGATGGGAAAAGGATGATCACACAGTTTGGGCAGTACTGTAGAAAATTTTTTTTTAACTTCAAATGTAGTTAATAAAGCCAGCCCATGTTATGACAATATATTTTCTCCTCTTTAATTGATTGTATACATATTTTATAATGATTTTATGCTTTTACTGATTTCTATTCATGTAAATCACTTTTGGAAAGTATTATAACCCAACAAGCAGACACCTAGCGGTAATGATTGTAGAAGAGGAATATAACTTCTGTGAAATCAATCCCTACTAATCAGGCTAATTGTGTACATGCAGCTGTTTTATTGCTCATCAGCGAGCTGTCGCCAAAACATGTCGGTAGAGGCTACTTCCTGTATATGAGAGATCATTCTTTTACGTGGTTGATTATTTTACTATCTATACTAAAATTACGTTATCAATCCTTTCAGCGATCCATTTATTCCCTTAGTGTTGAAAACCTGATTCTGAAAAGGTAAATACTTATACCTTATACCTTTACGAATTTTGTTATAAGTCCGATTGCTTTATTGCACATTGAATACGTTCATAATGTTGCGAAGACCAGCAACAACAATCAAGTTGACCCCGGAAGACATTCTAGAATATGATGACAGCTTAGAGAAGCAAAAGGAAGAATCTAAAGAATCGCAAGAGAAAAGTAACCTGATATTGCAAGAGCAAGTGAATGATTCAAATCATGACTTTAAGGACACCAAAGGCATGCTTGGAACAATTTTACCTCAAGCAGTTGGTCAAACCAGAGATGATAGAATAGGTGTAAATCGGAATACTTCTAACTAATGTTATGCTTTTTCATTAATGATGGGAACATTTTGGAGTCCTAAACCGACATGACTGTATTATTTTACATATTATATATATATTCGTTCTAAAGATGTAGACTTTTTTTAAAGTTATATCAAATGTGCTCTTAATGCTAGAAGCCAGTCTAGAGCATATCAAATAAATGCTGATTTCGTTGCAGAAAAGCAAGTATTCTTACTTCTTATTCAATGCTTTCCTTTTGAGCCATTTGTTTTTCGAATTCGTGACCTTTGACTCGGCGGGAGGAACCTTAATTTTTCCGGATGTATTGAAGGAGTGTACTGCAACATTCACTGGGCCCTTTTTGATACTCTGCTTCTTTGAATTCCTTATTTTCCGTAATTTTTCCTCCTTAAGTTGCGAATTCAATAATTTTTGATCCAACTTTTCAAAATCACTCAAAGTTAAATGCATTTTTCTCTCCTGATCTGAAGCTATTGAATCATTCAATGTTTCGAAAACATCATCTGGCAAGAATTGTGGTAAGGCTTCTGATTTTTCTTGCTCTTTCTTTTTTTTCTCTTCCTGTTGCTGCCTGTATTGCTCATCCCTTTTCCTTCTCTTCTCTTTTTCTAATTGCTTCAATTCTGTCTGCCTCTGTGATTCCTCCTTCTGCTTTGCTATTACTTGTTCTCTCGTCGTAGTCGTTGATTCCTCTTCGGGAGCTTCATCTGAATCTTCGGAAATGACATCACTTTCAGGATCCTTGCTTACAGCTATCGTATTAATATGAGTTTCATTCTCTTCAAAGTCATCTTCAGAGAATTTTATTTTCTTTGGTGAACTCTGAGTATTCAAATTACTTCTTGTAACTACCATCGTCAATAATCCTCATGTGCTAAACAATCTGATACAAGATATAAGCTCATCGTTAATTGAAAAATAAAAAAATTGATAAAAATATTACGTGCAGGAGATGTTTTAAAAATCTGGCACTAAAGTATTGATACCATAACGTTTCCATTTTGTCATTAGCGGGTCGTTTTTGACTTGCTTTACGTAGCCTCGTTTGGAAAGCGTTTTAAGAGTATCCTTGTTGATATCCACGCCATCAAGGATTAACGTGTCGAGTTTAAAAAAGGAATGGTAGTTTAAGTTTTTGGATTGCGAAGCGTATGAATTGAAGAGATTCATTAGTCCAATACCATCTATCAGGCCGCAAAAGCTCAAGTCTAAAACCTTAAGCCTGCAATTATCTAGTCCGATATTATTCATTATATCGCTGTAAAATATTTTCATCGTGGAATTATCCAAATCAAGCTCATTTAAGTATAAGTGTGATAGCTCAGGTATAATAGACAAGATGTCGCATAAACTTATCTTCGCCATCCTATTGGAAAACTTGTCATTCTTGAAAAAGACATAATTCGACTTACCGATAAGCAAAGTTTTGAGATGGTGATTCTTGCTGCATATTTTAAGTAGCTTTGTTAATGCCAATATGGACAAGGAAGAAGAATACAAATCAAGGTACTGTAGATCATTGAATTGAGCTAGATCATTTAAATCGAATTGTGTTAAACTAGTAGCTCTATTGCCCGACACCTCTCGCAATGTGAGCTTTTTCAATTTAAAGTTAGGCTCAAAACTTCTAATCAAATTGCAAAATTTTGCAACTGACATGCCATCACAATTTTCGATATAAACACTTTTTAGATGACTTGAATTCTCCAAGAAATGCCCAAATGTTTGTTCAATGTCAAGAAAATCAAACGATACAACAGTCAAACTAACCAAGTTTGGAAAGTTTTTATTCAAAAAGGGTGGATACGGATTATATGTGTTCTCGTTTATACCGCTGGCAATTTTCTCTCTCACTAAATGTGGATGATTTATTATTGATAAAGTCTCCAAGGATTTGTTAGGCACAAATACATCTCTATTGACAGAGGCTACTTTATCTGTCTTTGGAACTAGGTCCTTGTTCGAAGATGACATTCTTTTGTCAATGATAATGATCTCTAAAGCTTGTAATTCAGGCATAATATTAAAAAATAAGTTATCATATCGAACCGAACTGTTGACACTAAGCCTCAAGTTCTTTATCTTCGACAAGCCGGAAAAGCTCCAGCCGCATTTATTAAGCTTATTCAAGAGCAATTCAATGCTGAAATCGATATTTATCACATCTAATGATCTAAACTTCAATTTTTTCTCCCTTAGAAGCAATTCTATGATTCGCTCTAGCTGGATTCTATTAGATGCTGTTCTTATTTTTAGCGACTTCGGTGTCTTTGAACTATTCCAAGTGGTAATTTTTTTGATGAATTGTATACCGTTGCTGAATTCTTGAGAAGTAACCTTTTGCTTGATATTGACATTATCATACAAAGAGGGTATGCTGAGCAATGCGAAATACCAGGACCTGCTCACAATTTGGCAGATCAAAATATTTGCCAAAGGAAGATGTTTAAAAATAGTTTCAATCAACTCTAAGGGAAGCTGCATCATAGGGTCTATAGATTTCTTTGGTTTCTTTATTTTTCCCTCTCTATCAGTGTGCAGCAATCTCTTCAATGGTAGCATCTCATTTAGAGCAAACTGAAGGCCACCGGAAAGCTTCTTATCAGGATAATTTTGAATTTCAGTTTTGCTTTTGTTTCTTCTTGATTTCAACAAACTATTTAATTCAGTATATCGACTCTTCAAGCTATCGTAAAGCTTTTCTGGTATTGAAACTTGATGCTTTCTTACAATCTTGTCAATAATGTATAGACCAGTTTGATAATTCTTATACGCCTCAACGTCTCTATTCAATTGTGTGAGGATTTTACCAACCCTGAGATATCCCTTACATCCTATCGGTTCCATTTTGACTAATTCCTTGCCATCACGAAGCGCTTCATCTAATTTACCTATCTTCTCCAAAGTAGCCGCTCTTTGATCTAGTACGGATCCTAATCTAGGGTGCACGCAAGGTCCTACAATAGGACTTTCGCTTAACTTATACAATTTAGTTCTAATTTGCTTGACATCTTTAATCGATATCTTCTTAATCTCCTGTATCAATTGATTATAAATATCAAGAGCTTGTTCATATTTTTTGGACTTGAAATGTTCTATTGCTCTTTTAAGCTTTTCGTCTATAAATTCATGCTCGAGCATGTTAGCTCATCATAACATTTCTAATGCCCAAGAAGAAGAATAAGATACTTTCTTAATGAATATCTAATGAAAATCTTTTTTTAGATTTCTTTCCAAGCTGGTTCACCAATGATCTAACAGTCAATTAGACATAAAAGGAAAAGGAGAAAATGAACGCTTAGTTTTGGTGTAATGGCTAAATAGAAAGGTGAACCCGTCTGTATTAAATTTTCCAATACAAAATAAATAAATTCGGTTTAAAAATAGAGACGCGATATAGCAAATACTTCTTTATTATATGATGGCTAAATTCAAGTGTTAGTCTTCCATGATAAAATAATCTTATATCATGTCAAATATCTTATCTTTGATATTATGTTCAGTGGTAATGGCATTTGGTACGTTTGGGGCTGGCATATTACCATTAAAGCTCAATCTTTCGTCCAACAAGAGGAAACTTGTATCAATGTTTAGTATGGGCATATTAGCAGGTACTGCTATGATGATGGTAATACCTGAAGGATTTGAAATTTCACTATCTAAAAACAAGGCACTGGAAACTTCGTCGTCTTATTTAGGTCTTCCATTATTAACAGGTTTTATGCTAATGTATATCATTGATCATGTGTCTGTTTTACTTTCCACCTCTAGTTGGAAATTAGCCTCCGATGAGAGAACAGCAGATGAAACAGATGCCGTCAAAGATGTGTTTTTATCTCTTTTACGGTCTCCTTTAACTTTCGGATTGAGTCTCCATGCTATTGTCGACGGAATTTCCTTAGGAACCTCTTTCTTGAAGAAAGAATCTACGTTTGGGCTAATCTTTTTCATGACAATAGTATTGCATAAGCTACCTACATCATTTAGTCTAGCTGCTATCTTATTGAAAGAAGGAATATCGAATAAGATCATCAAAATTCATGTGCTTTTGTTTTCATTAATGACTCCTATAAGTTCTATTTCGAGCTATATAATTCTTCAAATTTTTACATCAAATGACGACAGCACTGTGGGAGCTCTTTTCCTATTCAGTGGGGGTACTTTTCTCTACGCCGTAATTCATGTTATGATGGAAGTGTTGAATTCCGAGAATTCCATAGTACCTCTGTCAAGTGAGAGTGACGAGACATGGAACCCAGAAACAGGAGTGAATACGAAAGAGCTAATTAGCTCATTTTGTGGAATGCTAGTGCCCACATTACTAAGTCTTGTGAGTGAGCACGATAAATAGAAGATCTTAATAAATACGCATTTTATTCAATTAATGCATTCATGGAACATTATAATTATTGTTATAATAGGTTTTCGTATCTGATTCCTCTCTATTCCTTACTGCTGCTTCAGCTTAGTATCATTTTCATGCTCATTTCCTTTGGTGTTTGGATCCCCATTCGATTTCTTGTATGCAATCTTTTCAGCTGCTATGTTATCCTCGACTTCAGTGGCAGCTTCATCATCATCGTATGACACATTATGTTGGTTTGAAGTCTCACTGAGTGCATTTACTCCGCGGTCATTAGAGCTGTTAGTCTTACCGTATGGTTCATAATTAATAATTTCTGAATCTTCTTCAGGCTCAATTTTATCAATTGGGCTAAAACTCAAACTTCCGAAGCTTTCCCTGCGGTTATTTTTCAATGGTCTTCGAATATCAGGTGAATTAAGACTTTTGAAAAATTCTGCTTTAAATTCTTTCAAATTATAAGCTGAACCGTTTTGAGACTTGGATAGTGATCCGTCTTTCAATCTATTGAGCCCAACATGAGAGCTTCTGTTAGATTTCATCGAATTGCTACGGGAAATACTTGGAAAATTAGCATGGCTCTTCGCTTCTTGTTCATTGAATGTTTCTTTGGGAATCTGAGCTTTATCCTTACCGTCTGTTTCCAAGTATGGATTATTCTTGTAAAATGGTATACGTTCAGATTGGTATTTCAATCCAGACTTCACTCTATCAGGACTTTTTTCGTCGTTATTTTGAAAATTCCCTGAGCTCTTTGCTTTACGGATACCACTCGGCTGCAGCATCGATTGAAGCATCTGAGCAGATATTGTGTTCGAGCGGTTTACTGGCTTGTCTGTACTTTCATATCCCAGGTCATCCTCATCTCTCAATCTTGTTTCAGGGTAAAGTGCAAGTAGTTTCTGTATTGAGCTATCATTCATTGATGCTAAGGAAGTGGTCGACTTCCCGCGACCTCTCAAATGTACTTTTTTTCCTTGTCTAGTGGCAGGATTCAGACTACTCAACGAATTTCTCTTCTGTTTGTTGAATGAATTAATAGGCCCTGAATTCACACGCTGGAAGTTTGGAGCAAATAAGCTTGGATTTGTTGTCCGTTCCGGAGTTCTTGGTAGAGGAGCTTCCTGTTCAAGGTTTAACACAGGGGAATTTACTAACGTATAATGTGAATTTTTTGATAAATTCTGATTCTCGGCATTGAGATGATGTGGCGAAGACACTCTAGTCTCTTTAGACTTAGATGTAATCACTCTGCCTCTAAGCAAACTAATTGCCTTGTCAAGGGCAAATTCAACACCGCAATGGTTTCTTATGACAGTGATTTTTGGCCACGAAGCTCTCTCTCCACGAATTATGAAATCTACCAAGAACTCAGGAGTTGGGTTCTCTAGAATATTTTTAAAATCAGATATTTTGACATCTGGCAAGATTGTTATATTTCCAGAGTAACTCTGTGACAAAATTGAAATCATCTTGTTAGAGAAATTCTTGTAAATATCCATCTCATTTAAAATTTGCAAATAATGAATGACCTCACACGTCAAAAAGTCATACACGTTATTTAATAAGTACTTGAACTTACTACTCAATTCATTCTCCACTTCACCCCCTATATTACTAATAGAAGCTCTTAAGATCGGTACAACATGGGGATTAACTTGAACCGCAATAATGTTATCCACATTAAACATTTCCAGTAATCTCATAATCGGCAAATCATTATCAACTGACCCATCAACGTATTTGATTGAGGTATCATTGTTCCATTCGTGTATTTCGTTAGTTTTAGGATCCTTTTCATATATAGATGTCGAGGGAAAAACGCCAGGTAAAGAGCAACTAGCACATACGACAGACCATACGAGACAGTTGGGTGCAGTCAAGTAGTTTATTAGTCTAATCTGTTCATGAATAGATGCCGGTGAAACAGTAATATTTAAGATTTTGCCCGTCATATTGTATGCTTCCTTAAAAGTTAAATCCCCTACGAAATCAATCATAGTTTGCTTCAAACCATTCACGTCGAACAATGTCCCATATTTTAAGAAATGGCTCAAGTTTCCAAGAGCCCTCTTTAGTTTCCCCTTTTTTTCGTCTAGATTCTTGCTTTCATCTCCGAAAATATTGAACCGTCTCCCAGCAATGATTCCTAGCAATCCTGCAACTTCGTCATTAGTATGACAGCACATAATACTGGCGATGATAGATCCTGAAGAAGAACCGCTGATGATCCTAGGAAGTAAATTTGCTTCTAAAAGTGTAATTAATACACCAATATGAAAGACGCCAAACGTACTACCTCCCGATAACACTAATGCAGTTCTGCCGATATTTTTTCTTGTTTGAATTAACATTCCTAGTAAGTAATGGTCATCCAAAGTCACCTCTTTATCATAAATTAAATAATCTAACGATCTGATACATTCATCGATGTATTCTTCAATTAATTTTTTTGTGCCAAAATGTGAATGACGATATAAACTTATGTCTCCCATGTTTCCCAAATTTCTTATCCATTTGGTACGAATTAAATATAAAAGTAGTTTGAAATCCTTCGCTTCTCTGGCACTTTTCATCTCATTAAGATTTGTCTGGATTAAATTGGAGTCATATGCGTCTGAATGAGGGTCTTCCTTCCAAGAATTGTTATCTAGCAAGTCGTCTAATTTCATCGACACAGAATGCCACTGATTGTACGTCACGGCTGTTTTCTGCTCAAGAAGAAGCTGGTTTAGATACACGGTCTTCTCATCCATTCGAGGCAATAGTCTATTGATTAATGGTACCCTTCGAAATTTAGAAAACATGGACGTATAATTACTAGTGCTCACGTTATCATTCAAGTGAGAATAGCGTCGATATAATGCTTCAATAACATCTGAAGGCAGCTCTATACTCTTGGGACTTGCTGATTCAGGCAGCAAAGATTCACTCATAGCCTCTATTTCATATGAATGAAATATTATGAAAGCCCTGTCTCCGCAATTCGCTACCTCTTTATCAAATTGCTGGTTGAATGTCGTGAGTGGATATTTGATGATGATGCGACATTATTTTTTTCGTGAGACTTCGATTCTACCAGGTGCTTTGACGTTACTCATCTCATGTTTGTAGGATGAAATAATTTACTGTTTTACTACGAAAAATTAGATCATACTATTCATAGTGACTTTGAAAAATTATTTCTCAAAGAGACTCAGCTCCTGCTTTGAGAAATCTTTTCATGTTAGCAGTGTCGTGCAAGACAAGCAGTCAAGATCTTATAAAAGAAGGAGCAGTGAAGAAATAAAACAGAAACACAGTCATCCTACCGGTGCACATTTGGTTCCACCGATAAAATTTAGCTCATTGGAATCATATTTTTCCTATTTCAATAAGTATATTGACTTTTATGATCACACTACAAAAATGTTTACTGTCACTACAATTGCACATAAGACTAGTGATTCGAAACATCCATTGATAATGTTAACAAATAGAGAGGGTAATAGATATTTTTTCGGCAAGATATCTGAAGGTTCTCAGAGAATCTTGAATGAAAATAGATTCAAATTGGGGAAGCTCAGAAGCATTTTTTTAACGGGTACATTGTCGTCCTGGTCGGAGATTGGTGGTCTACCTGGCTTATTTTTAACTATCAGTGATGCTACCAAGAATAGTATCGATATATATACCAACTCCATAAAGGCTGCCTTGTATGTAGTTTCGACCTGGAGATATTTCGTGTTTAGAAAGGGTGTGGAACTTCAGTTAAAAAACGTCGAGGAAGACTCTTTCATTGCTGATAGTAACTTACTAATACGGCCCGTCAAGATTCCCAGTTCCGTTGCTTTAATTCCTATTGATGAAAAGAAATCATCAAAAATATTAACACGATTAAGAAAACTAGTTTCGTTAATGTTCCCGCTAGACACTAGCAAAGTAAATAACCCTGACCCTAAGTCATATAGATCGGATCCGAGTGAGACAGAAATTCAAACTCATGTTAAACTCCCTAAGACAGAAGAACTTGAACCTGTTTCGAATCAATTATCTTTGAACTACATAATAAGATTTATGCCAATGAGAGGTAAATTTGATCCACAAAAGGCAAAAAGTCTAGGGATAAAACCTGGTCTTGACTTTAGAAGCTTGACGCAGGGACATTCAGTTAAAAATGATAAAGATGAGATAATTCAGCCTCATCAAGTAATGGCCGAATCAAGAAACTTCTCTAAATTGTTAATCATAGATATTCCGAACGAGTCTTACTTGCATAACACTATTAACAGCAACAAATGGTTTTCCAAGTCTCAAGATTTCGGTGAAGAAGAAATAGGATTGGTCTATCACTTTTTAGGCGATGATATTGATTTTTATCTGGACGAATATTTGAAGTTTCTCAAAAGGTTTCCTCTGAAATGCAAGCATGTCATAAGTCATTCAAAAATCGCCGATGATACTTTAGTGTTCAAAACTTCAGCTTTGAATGTCCTCAAATTAAAATGTTTACAAAACGAAAACTATAATTTGCCCCATATGGAAAACTATTCGCCTTTGAATGAATCAGAGTCGCATTTCAAGTTGCAACTGCTACAAAAATTCTCGATTGAAAGCTTGAATGTTCACTGTGATGAAAGTCTCATCGCTAACGACACATGGTCAACTTTGTTTGATGAAAATATAGTTCCACTTGAAATCCCAAATGTAGATAAAGGTTCAGTATTGAACAGCAAGCCAATTTCACTAGAATTCAATGGATCTCTGATGAAGGATGAAATCCAGATTATTACTTTAGGAACTGGATCTGCTTTGCCGTCGATACATCGAAATGTGATATCTACCCTTGTTAGGATTCCATTTAATAAAGATGGCAAAATCGTCTTTCGCTCTATTATGTTAGATGGGGGCGAGAATACGTTTGGAACTATGCTAAGAAATTTCGGTCACGATGATAAGAGACAGCTACATCAAGTTTTTGAAGAGTTATGTTTGATTCATTTAAGTCATTTGCATGCTGATCATCATTTGGGTCTTATTTCTGTCATAAACAAATGGTTTGAGGTAAATAAAGCATCCAATAAGAAGCTTTATTTGATTATTCCTTGGCAGTATAATGAATTTGTAAATGAATGGTATAATCTTGAAGAACAAGAAAAGTCAATAATAGATTTGTCAAGAATCGTTTACATAAGTTGTGAAGATTTTTGTAAAGAAAGACAAGCACAGTTTAAGCAAATGGATTTAAGTGAATTTGAGGATAATTTCGATCATCATAGAAGTCAGATCATACCTAGAGATAAAATCTATTCGCAAAACAATGATGCGATTAATGATCTTTATCAGTCTTTGGGGATTAATAGTATTGAAACAGTTAGAGCAATTCATTGCTATTGGTCATATTCGATAAGTATTGATTTTACATTGGATGAGCATGACTCTTTCAAGGTCTCATACTCAGGAGATACGCGACCTAATCCTAAATTTGCTGAAATTGGGTATGGAAGTGATCTTTTGATTCATGAGTCATCATTAGATAATGACTTGATTGAAGAAGCAATTTCCAAGAAGCATTCAACTATGATCGAGGCATTGTATATGGCAAGCTTGATGAATTGCCGTAAGATCATGCTAACTCATTTTAGCACAAGGTATTCAAACCAGGCTAACATGATGATCGACCGTGGGGAGCTTGAATCAATTTCTGAATCATTGTCTAATTACTTGCAGAAATATGGCTCAACCCCAAATATTTTTCAGTATGATATGAAGAAACAGAAATTAGGCTTAGAAGATTTGGAAATCTCCATGGCATTTGATATGATGAATGTGAAATTTAATGATTTTGATGCTCAAAGTAAAAAGCGTAAAGCTTTGGTTGACATATTTCAGAATGAAGATGACTTAGACGGTGAATCAGCCAAAAAAGAGAAGGAATTGCAAAAGCAGAGAGAAAAGAAGGAAACTAAAAGAGCACAGCGATTGAAGAATACTCAAAAAAAGAAAAGGAGGGTTAGTAGTGACGAAGAAGTAGATGATAAATAGTTTTAATAGATATTGTAGATAACGGTTGAGTACCATTCTGTATCAGTACTTTCTTTTTCCTGTTTTGCACTGAGACCAACTTGCAATAATTAAATTGAAATAGTAATAACAGAAGTTACACTGTAAAGTCGGTACAATTGTTCTGATGCTTTCGTGAGTTTACAACGGTATAAGCGTTCTTTTGAACGAGCCCAATTAAATTATTTCATCGAATACTTTAAGCGCGACATTAGCTCTAAAGACTTTATGTCTTTGTCTTTGTCTCACTCACTCTCATTCTCAAAGATTACACATAATTATCATGAAAGTATAGATAAATGATTAATTGTGGAGAAGCAAAAAATGGATCTAAAGGTTTAACTTATCCAAAGTTAATCACTATAATCAAATTTGATACTTTAGGCAAGGCAAGGTAAGGTAAAGTATGAGCTCCTTTGCTATGAAATACAAATTGGATAGACCTTGTGACGCTTGTGCTATCAGAAAAGTCAAATGCGATCTCGCAAACCCCTGTTCTAGATGCATACAACATGATATTGAGTGTTCTAATAGTAGAGTTAGAAGAAAGTGTGGACCAAAGAAAATTCACGAGAAGACAAGGCGAGCTATACAGCAAACTAATAGGTTTGATAGTATTATAAAGGCTAAACCTGACGGCAATTATTGCTATATACCTCTAGAAAAAATTATACCTTTTCTTCAAGTTTATCAGGTGTGGTTCTATAGTATTTGGCCATTAACATCTGCCAATACTTTGATTTCAAAAATCTGCTCGGCAACAATTGATTCTACCATTAAGTTGGATGAAAACAATGCTAGTGAAATAGCTTTTGCGATCTCTTTATGTGCAGCAATTCGTCAGCAATTAAACTTGTTATCACGTAAACGACCAGAAATGGAATATCCAGAAGATATTTCTGCTGTGAGGTTTGCAGAAGAAGTTCTTCGTATTCGTCTGCTTTATGAATACCGCCTGAATCCTAATGTTAATACACTATTGACCCTGTTCTTTATGCACGCCTACTATGCCAACACTAAAGGACAGCATATTACTTCAGCTTTTTATTTAAGAGAAGCCGTAAGCTTGGTACAAATTCTTGGACTAAACAAAACTAGAAATTATTCAGGTCGTACCGTCGCTGAAGCTCACGTTTTACAAAAAGTGTATTACAATGTTTTAATTGCTGAAAGATATCATTGCATAGAAAATGGATCGTCAGCTCTTCTAGATAGTACTATTCCATTTCCATATCTCAGAAATGAAGAAAACCCTGAAAAAATTGCTGGGTTCTTAGAGTTAACCAAAATCTTTTCAATTCCTAGTAAATCATTTCTTGACGATCTTATTAGTGACTGGGACAACAGTGGGGATTTAGAGAGACCAAATTATGAATTGAGTGCATCAAAAAATGTGGTTCCTACAACTATGATCGGAATTCAAAAGCGGCTAGCCAATATTATACCTTTTCCTCTGACTACAGATACTGATAAATTGGATTTGATTCTTTCTAAGTCGTGGATGATGGCTTTGGCATGGCGTCTTTCATATGATTCTGGAATTTTAAGTTACTCTGCCCCACAGCAGCCTTGCTTCAAAATGGATTTTCCGTTCCAAATAATACAGTGGTTTTTAGCTGATACGAAAGATCTAGATACGATAGCTTTTGAGTGCAATAGAAAGGGCGCCCAATTTAAAATGTTACAAATCGCAAATACGGCATTAATTTCTCTTAAAAATTGTGGTCAAAGTGAAGGAAGACTAGATTCTCTACAACAGTTATTCGAATTAATCTTTAATCCTAAGGGACTTTTATATGCGGAAGAGGAATTTGAACATTTAGAAGGCATAAATACAATACTAAAAGATTATTGCAAATACTTTCAAACTGAAGGATCATTTGATATTGAAGTCCTTCTTCATATTGTTTTTGGATCAAATGTTAAAGAAATTCAAAGTGAACCAGAGAATGAAATGAAGAACCCTAAAATTTCCAATACAGATGATGAACATAACGAAAATAATCTAACGAGAGACACTTTTAAGGAGGCAAGCAATCATTTTGAGATACCACTGACAGACTATTGTAATTTAAATGATCTTACTATTGAACCATATTCATGTACAGGCGAGTTGAATGATATCAGAAAAAGTGAATTTGCTAGTGAAATGTGCACTAGTGATAGTCCAAACTTTGATTTAGAAAAAGTGTATCAAGCTTTCCACTTCAGTAATAAATCGCCAAGCTAGGGCATTTTCGTTAAGTACTACTATTATCGAGCATCATATTAAGTTTGATATACGATCAATTGCACTCAAAATATAATTTTTTCGGTAAAGTCTACGCCTAAGGATTCTAAATCATATAGAAAGTGTCTTCTCTGAAAAGGCAAGGGACTGAAAACTTATTTTTTTAACCACTAACAGATAAGGCATAATAGTAAATGCTGTATTGATCTGATTAGTCTAATCGTTGAAGCTGGCAGTTATTGTTGATAGATGCCATTTAGACATTAAGAATATTTTAGCTGAGGAATGAAATAAAGAATCCATTTAAGAACAAATTTCAGTAAGTCACTGTCTTCCTTTAATTATAATGTAATTGTTGAAATGCATGCTGGAAAAAAATGTCTTCTAATTAGCGCCTTCGATTAATATTAATAGTAATTTTTTTTATTGATTCATTAGGCAAATTTTATTCACAGAACTTTCCAATACTACTCATGAGTGGCAAGTTTACACTCGTTTAATAAATGAGGAATTTTTTCCTGTTTCTCATATAAATAGTTTTCTTTATTTTGAAACTTGGGTTGACAAAAAAATAAATGAGAACTCAAAACTAATAAAAAAGACAAGACGAATCTATTTGAATGAGTTATTTAGTTATCAAACGAAGAATTTTGTTAAGCATATTAGTTTGTCGTTTGATAACTTGTGACGTCAAAATGTCTCGGTATTTTTACATTGAATTATCTAATCTTTCTATTGGTCGTTATAGAAACGTTAAAGTGTAATAATATTCTGACTATTGTATATCTTTGATCACTCATAGAAACTAAGTGAACTATAATATGTTCATCCCAATTCTTTACTATTGGATATTAATTGGGCTCTAAGAAGATCCTATTTAAAAGATGGTATTAATTAATCGGCAGATTAATTGACTGGTTATAACTTCATTCTAATCTTTTTATAGCAATCACAAATTGAATATTTGGTCAGTAATGGTTCAAGCTAGAAAATTATGACATCATATTAACCCAAATAAGAGTCAATTGAAGGGATATTTAGTTTTTCCTTAATATGCTAAGATATCTCGGCTGTTTTTGATCTTTTCATTAATGACAGAGATTTCATTCACTTTTGGAAGTCCTCGTAACGATCAGGAGAAGAAAAAGCTGAGGTATAAAGATAACATACTATTTTACCAAGTATAGCCTTCCTTCATATGGACCCATGATATCATCATTTGCAATTTCCGAGTTAGAAAGTAACAATTCCAAAGTCCCCGGTATTGTCAGCTCAAACTTTTGCACATTTGAACTAAAATTCAAAATCCCATAAAGCAACTCTCCATTATTCCTCTTACTGAAGGTAAATAAATTCTCATTTTCAAGGTCAAGAATGTCTAACGACCCATGAACAAGCAAATTTTTGAACTTTTTCCTGAGTTTTAAACAACGCTTCCAAAAAGATAATAATGAAGAGGGGTCATTGACTTGTTTCTGAACATTTATTTGGTGGTAATTATCATTCACTTTAGTCCATGGGACACCATCACTGAATCCAGCATTAGGTGAATCATCCCATTGCACAGGAGTTCTGCCATGGTCACGAGCTAACAAAGCCAAATTATCCATCAATTTATCCATAGCCTTGGCATCATTACTGTGTTTCTCACTATAATTTTTGAAATAGTTTATGGAATTAATATCAAGATAATCTTCAATGGGCCATGAGCGTGGAAAGTTTGTCATCCCAATTTCTTGACCTTGATAAATGAAGAGGGTCCCAGACATGCCAATTTGCAATAAGGCAAGTAATTTACCCGACTTCTCCCAGTATTTTGTAGATGGATTACCAAACCTGCTAATGGATCTAGCTTGGTCGTGATTCTCCATAAAAAAAGTGGGCCAAGCATCAGACCCATCAGTCATACTGTATTGCTTCTTAATAGCCTTCTTTAAATCAACTAAATTAAATCCTTTAAAGTCAAACTTGTCACCATTCTTAGATCCGATATCAACTACATTAAAAAGGAACATCATATTCATTTCGTTTTCCTTTGCACTGACATATTTCAAAAATTCTTCTCGATCTGAAGCACCAACTTCCCCAACTGTCATTGCATCAAACTTAGATGTGACTTTAGAAAACATTTCTTTATGAAATTCATGAATTCTAGGACCATCTTGATAGAGTTGCGTACAGGGTTGCCATTCTGAATTTGGTATAACGATTGGAGCATCAGGAAAAGACCGATCTTTAGAGTACACGCCAGCAGCATCAATGCGGAAACCATCGATACCTTTTTCAAACCAAAACAAGAGTGCATTATCATAAATTGCTTGACGGGTCTCTTCATTTTCCCAGTTTAAATCTGGTTGACTCTTGGCAAAAACGTGTAAATAATATTCTTCAGTTTTTTCATCATATTCCCAAGCACTTCCACAAAAACAAGACATCCAGTTGTTGGGTGGATGTCTATTTCCATTCTCATCGTAGCGAGGAGGCTTCCATATATACCAGTCCCTTTTAGGATTAGTTTTTGAAGACCTTGACTCTTTGAACCACTGATGTTCATTAGATGTATGGTTGATTACCAAGTCCAAGATCAACTTCATTCCTCTTGAATGAGTTTCTTTAATTAACGTTTCCAAGTCTTCCAAAGTACCATATTTGGGGTAGACCTTTTGATAATCTGAAATATCGTATCCCATGTCATCTTGCGGAGAATCGTACATCGGCGAAAGCCAAATAACATCTACGCCGAGCCCTTGAATATGATCCAATTTTGATATTATTCCTGGAATATCACCTATACCATCGCTATTTGAATCTTTATATGAAGCAGGCCAAACTTGATAAACAGTAGCATCTTTCCACCAAATATTTTCTTTAGTCATAATGTGAGAGGTTTTCAATTAGTTTGTATCAGGGTAGTTAATTACTAATTAGATACATTATTATAATTTAGATTAGTATGGATTTAATACCCTTAAATAGTTTACTCCTCCGCAGAGTTAAATGTACTCCTCCTACAATTAAAACGTTTCCCATAATGCATAAAGTGATATAAGTATTCGGCAAAATTATTCTCAGCGAGTAATTTTACGAGCAAACCTGCGACCATTATATTTCATCAGAAAATAACGAGGGGAAGGCAATATTTTTCTCTCTATTACCATTAATCTTATTTTACATTCTCTTAGTAGAATCCTTAAATTTTGCCTTTGCTGTGATTACTCTGGTTAATCTTGAAACTCCGCGATCAGTATTCCAAAGCTAATGGCAAAAATTTAAAATCTCTTTAGCCCAGACCAAAATATTGGTATATATGTTACCATGAATACTACCGCTCTATGAGCCGTATACTGCTACCATATCTATGCAGCCTTTAGAGAAATAATTTACCATTCTGATCCAAACATATCTGAGACCTAATGACCATACTGAGTGTCACGAAGGAAAGGTATATGTTACATATACTTAAATGTCTTCTGCAGTGTGGGGGATTTTTTAATCATTAGTCACGTGCCTTACTGGAGATAATACGAGATCAACCTCTATGCAAATCTAAATTTTACTTTAACTTCTTGACATATCTAATAATGATATAAATATATATGAAAGAGTCCTAACTTAACGTATGCTTTTTTGAATACAAGAACTGTTATTTGGGTTCTTAAGTTTAGAGCTGAAATTATGATTCCAATCTCACCTCCCATTAATCAACCTGGAAAAAGAGATCAAATTCTTTTCCTGAAAAGGGGGTCAAAGATGGTAGTTAATGGTTTCGTTCATAAATGAAGTCAGACTTTTGATCCCTTGTCTTTGAAAGAAATGTTAATTTTTCATTATGCTTGTGTACGTCTAATCTAAGCAAGATTAGAAGCTGGCACTATGATATCCTTCTCTTATCCAGATCCTGCATAGATGGATCATTAAAAGTGCGGATGAAGAATGCTGCATTTCGTTATTTCGCTTCATTTCTCGCTCGCTCTGATGAATAACTTGGCCAATTTTTCCTAACGAGATTACTAAGCTTTATAAGTCAAGAATGCCCAAACCTTGATGAACTATAGCCGAGTCATGAGTTCTGTGGTAATTTTCCCGTTTAATAACATGCCTTCTTCAATTATTGATACTCACTACGATAATAGACCGTTAATCCACTTGACGCCAAACGTTGGATGGATGAATGATCCAAACGGCTTATTTTATGATAAGAAAACTCGTGTTTGGCATGCATACTACCAGTATAACCCAAATGATACAGTTTGGGGGACACCACTATACTGGGGCCACTCTACTTCTAAGGATTTGACACATTGGCAAGAGCACGAGGTTGCTCTTGGTCCTCAAAACGATGATGAAGCGATTTTCTCTGGAAGCATTGTTATTGATCACAACAACACATCAGAATTTTTTGACGAATCTGTTGACGAAGCTCAAAGAATTGTTGCTATTTATACTAATGCTGCTCCTGATTCCCAAACACAAGACATAGCTTACTCGTTAGATGGAGGAGAAACCTATATTAAATATAAAAATAATCCCGTCATAGATGTAAACTCTTCTCAATTCCGTGATCCAAAAGTTTTCTGGCATGAGGAATCTCATCAATGGGTAATGGTTGTCCTGAAGTCTCAAGAATATAAAGTGCAAATATTTGGTTCTCCTGATTTGAAAACCTGGAACTTGCATTCCAGCTTTACATCAGGATATTTAGGTAATCAGTATGAATGTCCAGGGTTAAGTAAAATTCCTATCGAAGGAACTGATGATTACAAATGGGTTATGTTTTTGGCAATTAACCCCGGGTCGCCAAATGGCGGATCTTGCAATCAATACTTTATTGGGGAATTTGATGGCTTTGAATTTAAACAAGATGATTCGATTACTAGGTTTATGGATTCTGGTAAAGATTTTTACGCTTTCCAGACATTTAGTGATAATGAAAAAGATGTCATTGGATTAGCATGGGCATCTAATTGGCAGTATGCTAATGTTGTTCCCACTAATCCTTGGAGAAGTTCAATGTCCTTGGCTAGAAAGTATACTTTGGACTATGTTAACCACAATACTGAAACTAAAGTATTGACTTTGAAACAAACACCCATTGTAAACAATCTTGATGTTACGAACAAAGTTGAGAGATATAATCATGAATTGACTGCTAAGAATAGGGTGATTACAAATTTCAAGTCTGCCTCGGGGTTGCTTGATTTCAATATCACATTTCAGATTGCTAGGGATGACTGTGGAGGAAAAGTTAATGCCAATTTAGAAATTTTGATCCATTCCCAGGCTTCGAACTCGGACACTGACTCTATAAAAGTGGGATTTGACAGGAATGTTTCCGCATTTTACTTTGACCGTGATATTCCGGATGTCGAATTTAACAAGAACCCATTTTTCACAAATAAATTATCAACTTACGTCGAACCAGCTGATTATGATGAAGATGGTAATCCAATCTATAAGATCTATGGAATCGTGGACAAGAACATTATAGAGCTATATTTTAATGATGGTACGCAAACCATGACAAACACGTTTTTCATGGGAGAAGGTAAAATTCCACAACAAATCGAAGTTTCGTGTAATGTAGATGGCATATTCAAATTGCAAAACTTGTTTATTCGAGAATTGAAATAAATAGAGCCTAGTGAAGAGAGTGATAGTAGATTGTAAAACGAGTGTTTAAAAGTGACCACTAGTAAATCTGTTTTATGAAAAAGCGTTCTTTGGATGATTGTGATTGCGTAAGTTATGCAGATGTAATTATGGCAAGGTCCTGAAAAGTACAATAAGTGCTAATCCAAAGAAAAACAAAAGTGGACATGAAAAACCATGCTTAGTGGCTAATCAGATAATTCTAAAAGCATGAAGATTACGGGCTTCTAGATAAGGATTCTTTTATCATAGACCGCGCGATTAATAATCTATCTCGAATGTTCAACAATACACTTTCATATACCTTAGCTTTATAAAAGAGAAAGGACAGAATGTGAAGAAATACCCATTGAGATAGAATATGCATATCATGACTAAACTTTCATTTCTTTTGAGGTACACAAATAGCATGATTATAATAAATTGAGGAGATAATTTTCAACAATATAGTGATTACAATCGATTTTATGCAATACATTGCCAAAATCAAAAAAAAATTGTATGGCTTAAATCTTAGACTATCCTTACGTGATTAATTTCATATACTAAGCTATACAAGCTCAGATCTTTCATTCTTCTTCACAAAATCCCTAATTCCATCTTCACCTATTCTCTCCATAAATTTCCCGGAATCAAACACGTCAACTTCTGTTGTCTTAAAGCGTCTTGTTGGAGTATTATTTTTAAATAAGATATCGAGCTCTGCAAAAGTTCTACCTTTTGTCTCAGGTAATTCAAAGAATGACCAAACTGCACCAATTATACAAAATCCAGCCCAAAGAAATCCCGACTTAGCCTTCCAATTCCACGCAGTAGGATTAAGCATGTAAGGAGTAATCACTTGGACCACTATACCTGCTATATTGTATAAATTCCTAGCAATAATGATTGTTTTTGTACGGAGACGGACTGATGGCAACTCAGTAACAATGCAATAGACAAGGGGGCCAAGGGAGGAGTTGTAGGTGAAAGCAAACACAATTAGAAGTGCCCCGATTGCCCAAGAAACATCTTTTTGCGAGGAACAACCAAGACCTCCAATAATAAGAAGAAGGACAGCCATGAAACAAAGACCATAAAAATAAATTTTTGAACGACCACAGTGGCTGGTAATAGTCCAAGACAATAGAGTTCCCAAGATGCCAATCACATACATAATGATGGTAAATGTGAATGACATGTCTGTGGACATACCAGCTTGGATAAAAAAATATGATGCATACCCCATAAGCGAAGTACCACATATGTTCTGAATAATCCAAACAATGCAAGCGACCCTTGTACGGCGAAAATCTACTCCTTTAAAGCATTCCCAGTAAGAAGGATTTTCGGTTTTTCCCAGTTCCTCGTTGATAGTCATTTGAATCTTGTGGAGTATCGCTTTGGAAAGGACGCCTCGAGATGGAACGTTCTTGTTTTCACTTATTAATCTACCAATTGAGACTTCCGCTTGCTGGATCTTGTCTTTCTTAGCTAACCACCAAGGAGACTCAGGTGCTAAAAATATTCCTACTATTATTGGTATTGGCCATACCCACTGAATAGCAAATGGTACACGGTAGGAAAGAGATGTTTCATTGGATACAAACCCTCGAAGGACACCTGATGCAATTAATTGACCAATACTCCAACAAATATTCACGTAAGTTGTTAAATAAGGTCGTAATACTAGCGGACACACTTCCGAAGAGTAGGAAATGGAAAGGGTCTGGAAAGCACCCCAAGGGACACCAAGTAATATCTCCCCTGCAAGAAGCATTTCAATATCTTTAGCGAAAAAAGGAATAAATATGAAACCTATTACTAACACCAAAGAACCGATTAAAGTATACCTGTACCCTATCCTGTCTGCAATAATACCAGCCATGAAAAGGCCAATTATTTCACCAACGTTAATCGATACTTGAAGACCAGTCTGCCATCGAGTAGGAATTTCATAACTTCCATTTGAGTACTTTCCATACTTTTCTTTGAAGGCTGGAAATCCAAAGAAGGAGGCAATCAAGGTGGTATCGTACCCCTCCATAATAATGCTAGAGGAAAGGACAATAGACCAAGCGGCGGCTTTCGGAAAAGTCTTCAATCCTTCAAGCAAGGACATACTTTTTTCCTCTTTATCATTTTTTTTGGCATCGTTAGATATATCCAAAAACGTACCTATATAATCATCAATATCACGATCATCAACAGATTCAGTATCTTTTTCAATGGCTTCTTTTACCTTAACTACTTCCCTCGGTTTGTTCGTATTTTCAATGAACGTTGTAGGCATCTCAATTGTGTTTCAAGTCCATTTCCTATCTTAAAGACAGTGATAAATCGTTTTTATATATCACTACGGATCATTTTTTTTCTCCCCAATATTTCTCCCCAATATTACCCCACGTTTACTCGAATGCGTCTTACGTTGGTAGCCAAAATTTTTCCGAGCGACCATCGAAGCGACTAATGTGGCGAATGAATATTGAACTCATGTATTACGTAATTAATAAATGTCACACGAGATACATTAAGTTCATCAGAATTGATCACGAACGGTTGATAATTTTTCGTTTCATTTAGCCTCGCATTGTCATATATATCTAGAATCTCTGCAGTATAATGCTCAAATTTCTGCTTTCCTACTACAGAGTATATATTTTTTAAAGCTTTGCAACATAATCAATCCTGGCTTATCGACTCCTTCTAAAAAATAGTTAATAAAATTGATTTTCTTCGTCCTTTTTCCACACATTATTTTAATTATCAGTTATATCTTTCGGGAAAGGTAACACAAAGCTCTCATCTAACCTTTAAAAGTGGGTCCAAGGAATAGTTGAGTCGAATTAGAAGAGACAATGATTTGTATCTTGCTAAGGACAACAGACAAAGCAAAACATCATCCTTTAGTACGGTGACTTCTGGTCGTTCGTAGAAAATATTACCGACAATGTTCGCAATGAAGTGATGTCGTTCTAGTGATTGAATGATTTTGAGCGGTAACATTTGTTAAATATAGAGCAAAAGAGATTCCTATTGCTTCCATGATCATATTATGTAGTAACCACAGTAATAGCATACATGTAATGAAAATCAAAGATAGAAGATATATTATCTCTGAATGCTTTTTCTGTATCGAATTATTTGACGACCTAGAAAGTTACTTTTTGCATTCAATGTGGAACGAACAACTTTGTCGGGAATAAATAACACAAACAGTAGTAGTCTTTATATAAACCCATACTTTCCTTGAAGTATTGTATTTGATTATTGCTCTCTTTTTGCTCACAAAACTCTACCCGTATCCTGCTCCGCTGAGATACAGAGCCATACTATAGCAAAAATAATGATTCCATCTTTTTTCACTAGTATCTTTAAGACTGTAATTGATGATTTTGGTATACATGTATTATATATGCATCAGTCTTATAGTAATGGAAAATAAAATAGATCATGGGCTCTATCCTTTTAACAAATTTACGTTCTTAGTTTTTATACAGAGCTTACTTATTCTGCCTAATCGATTGATATGATGCCCTAGAATATTCTCTTCTATGGCTTTGGGTTAATTAACCAGCTAAATCGTTTTCGTTTACCTTATCAGGAAAACCTAAATAATCACCATCCCCCCCCCTTCCCCTAAGAAATAGGCTTACTAATGTGGGGATAATAAAGACAGAAAAAAGGTAGTGATTCAGCGATAAATTGAGCGAAAGATATCAACAAAATTTGAAATACATGGAGAAAACGAAAGATTATAAATACTGAGTATGCAACTAATATAAATGTGAATATTTTATTTATGATGAATCAAAAAAAGCCGTAGCTATCCAGTATGACACTTCAGGAATTAAATAAATCTTTGGAGCCTGCGTGGTGGAAGGAAACCACAGTATACCAAATTTACCCCTCCTCCTTTCAAGATTCTAATGGAGATGGTATCGGTGATCTTCCAGGTATTATTTCTCGCTTGGATTATATCAAGGCACTTGGTGTAGATGCAATTTGGTTAAGTCCTTGTTTTGACTCCCCTCAAGTTGACATGGGCTATGATATTTCAGATTACAAGAAAATATATCCAGTTTATGGTAACATGGAAGATGCAGAAAAACTCATAAAGAATGCACATGAACGCGGTTTGAAAGTTTTAATGGATCTTGTTGTTAACCACTCCTCAGACCAACATCCATGGTTTCAAGAATCTCGCTCAAGCATTAACAATTCGTACCGTGATTGGTATATTTGGCGTAAACCGAAATATGACTTGCAGGGTAATAGACAGCCACCAAATAATTGGTCTGCTGCTTTTGGAGGAAGCGCGTGGACCTTTGATGAAACAACTCAAGAATATTACTTGCATCTTTTTGCAGTTGAACAACCAGATTTGAATTGGGAGAATGAGAAGGTTCGTGCAGCTGTCCATGATATAATGAGATTTTGGTTGAATAAGGGGGCTGATGGATTCCGTATGGATGTTATTAACTTTATTTCCAAAGACCAAAGATTTCCAGATGCTGAAGTTAAACTTCCAAATGCTAAATATCAGGATGGTTCCATCTATTATGCCTGTGGACCTAGATTACATGAATACTTGAAGGAAATTGGTCAAATCCTTATCGAATACGATGCTTTTAGCGTGGGAGAAATGCCATGTTGTAATGATGCCAATGAAATCATCAAAGCTGTTAATATCGATCGTGAAGAATTGAATATGATCTTTAATTTTGAATTAGTTGATATTGATCATGGTAAGGGAGGAAAATTCACAAAAGGCAGCTGGGAACTTGGAGAGATTTACAAAATTGTCAATAAATGGCAAACGTTTATGCAAGCAAATGGTGGATGGAATGCCATTTACTTGGAAAATCATGATCAGCCTCGTTCTGTTTCTCGCTTTGGTTCGGACTCGCCAGAATTCAGAAATGTCAGTGCGAAGATGGTAGCTACGTTTTTGGCATTCCAACAGGGCACCTTATTTGTTTATCAAGGGCAGGAACTCGGACTAAAAAATGTGCCCGCATCGTGGGATATTTCCAAGTACAGAGATGTGGAAATACTCAACCATTACCATGAATTAAAAGAAGACGGTGCATCTCCCGAAACTCTTAGGGCTGCAATGGTTGAGTATCAAAAGAAATCAAGAGATAACGCCCGTTACCCTATTCAATGGGATTCTTCAGCTAATGCAGGCTTTAGTTCATCTACCCCATGGATGGATATTAATGAGGACTACTTGGAATGGAACGTAGCTGATGAAGAAAAGGACATTGAATCTGTTTTAAATTATTGGAAGAGTATTTTAAGGATTAGGAAGGAATGGAAAGATATTTTTATATATGGAAAGTTTGAAATGGTTACGTGTATGGACGATGATAGTGTGTTGGCCTTCAAACGTACTAATAGTAAGAGTTCTCTTGTTGTCTGTAACTTTTCTAGAAATGTTACCCTGTGGAGTATTCCTGAAGAATTTGAAAATAGCAAAGTTTTATTATCTAATTATAACAGATCAAAGGTTCCCAGGACAAATTTTGAATTGCAGCCCTACGAAGCATTGGTTTTACTTTAAGAACTTCACAAGGAGCCTATTACTCATGAAGGAAAAAACCTAAAATATTGTATGTGCAGTTTTACAATCACGTAATAGTTTCATAAGCATCGAGAAATACTTTATTTCGCATTAGTTTAGACTTACGTTATAATCATGGAAAAAAAAGGTTCAGCATTGACTCTAGCCATGTAACCCTCAAAGATTTCTTTGATGCCACAGAGGATGGTCATCCATTTAGTGGACTATAGCGATGAAAAAATGGCGAAAACGATTACGATAATAATTGTAGTTTTCTATATGCTCCGCTGTACATTTCAATTATGAACGCTTGAATTCAATAATACCAATATGGCCTCGACATTATTGGAATTAAACAAGCTTGGCGGAAAGACGTATCCATTTATACAACTCTTTCCGCTCTTACCAAGATTAAAACATAGTTGGAGATTAAAGGGTATAATCTCACATTTGCACTATGCAAATCATCGCAAAAGCAGAGAGAAAAGACACTAAAAGAGCAGAACTACTGAATAGTAATCAAGAAAGAAAAGGAGGGTTAATAGTGACGAAGAAATAGATGATAAATAGTTTTAATGGATATTGTAGATAACGGTTAAACACCTCTGTTTTCTTTGTGTTTCTATTTCTAGTGCGAGTCGAAGTACGAGGCTCGATAATCAAATGAGTCTAATAAAATTGATATGAAACAAATAGTCAACTATCCATTGGTCTTCCAGGAAAGTTGGTTGAAGGATTTCGTCATAGAATGTATTGGACATCATATTTATACTAGCAGCTTGTATATCAAAAAAGGTTTCACAAAGAATGATGTGAAAGTAATGCCAATACTAAGGATCTTTAAATTCTTAAATTCCACGAGCTCATTAGGTATTACAGCTATATTGGCCGACTCAAAGCATAAAATTCTTGCTTATTTTCCATTTCGTCCCACAATTGTCAAGTTTGAAACGTTTTATAAGCAGCGTTTGACTTTTCACACAGCCAATTGTTTAATCACGGTTCAGCAGGCAAATCTCAAATTTATCAACAAAACAGAACTTCACAATGATTACTGCGTAGATTTCAGTAACGACATAGATATAGCGATTTTGGAAATCATTGACTTTAAGATTTTTCAGCGGGACCAAGTTCTGTTGCACAACAGTATTGAAAACTCTTTGTCTTTCCTCTATGATGATGGTGACTACAAATCACTGTGCAGAAGAACAACAGGTGGTTTGTTTCTTTCTTCAAGTGCCATGGCCGAAGATGATGATGTAGTCTCCAGTTAGAGTGCGATTTTTCTACACTTTAGCCTCAAAAGAATTCAATACTTAAATGATTTTCTATATATAAGTAGCCCAAATGTCCTATTTTATAGAGAAATAAATCCATTAACTTGTAATTGCTTCTAATCGCTTCTAACTTCTCGTATAAGACCACTTGTATTTCTTAACAATGATTTGCTACAATGTAGAGTCTTAACAAATAGTCATTTTCTAGTAGAAATGTAAATCGTTATAGGTATTTTTTCATTATTGCCCGATTCTGCAACATTTTATTTATTTTCTAAGTTATCAACATTTGTTGCAAAATTTGGCGGCTAAAACTTTAAAGCTAGTAAATATTAAAGAGAGACGTTTTGACTATCAAGTTAAACGTTCAGTTTATTTGAAGATCTAAAGAACTCTCAAAATGTCCACATTGCCTGGCCCATCCGAAAATACGCTGTCTTCGCAGCTAAATGAAACTCCAAATGAAGGTAAGCTGTCTTACAAAGAATCGTTAAAAAAGGCAGAAACGAATAAAGAAGACGAAAGCTTAAAAATAAAAACACCAATCCCTCAAATGCAGTTACCAGATGAATCCAATGACACATTACCTGATCTGACTTCGTCTGGCAAAAGTGCTATAGATTATGTTCGTTCTTGGGGTACTCCAACGGAGGAAAGAGTGCCTCTATTACCAATACATAGGTCCCCCCAGAGTCCTCCATCGGATTCTCCTGATATACCACAAGATTCAACAATCTTGGATTCAATCTTGACCTTTATATGGAAATATATCTTGACAGATAACATGAGAGCATTTATCACATCACACAAATGGTTTTTCATTTTGTTGGCAGCTGCCGTATTAATTGCCATTGGAGTATTGCTATACACAACTGGGAACTTGGGTCTTCTCTTAATCTATGCTAAAGGAATACTATGTTCCTTCGCCGGGCTTCTAGACGCGCCAGCATTTGTCTTCTGTCACCATTAGTGATAGCGCGTGAATGAAAGTTGTAATTCTTATTTACTATGTATACGAATGATATATATGTTAAATTTATATTTACAGTTGTGAGGTACTGGTGTGATAAAATCAACGTCTGGGTCTATCCTTAACCTTCATTTTATTCACATTCTTGAATTTTCTAGTCTTTGCAAACTTCTTAAGACCCCACATCGATTGTGAAACCTTATTTGACTTTGATTTACCTCTACCACCACCATGAGGATGATCAAAAGCATTCATAGCAACACCTCTCACCATTGGTCTTCTTCCCCTATGACGGCTTCTTCCAGCCTTACCCCAGGATATGGCTTGGTATTCTTTATTGGAAACGACACCGAGAGTGGCATGACAATTTATATTAATATACCTATGTTCTCCAGAACTGAGTCTGACGACCACCTTATTCGATTCCGGATGCTTAGATAATAATCTACCAAACGTACCAGCTGCTCTCACAAGTTGACCTTTTCCGCCAGGACGCAAACCAATGTTGTGAATAATGGAACCTACTGGTAACATACTTAAGGGCAAACAGTTACCTCTTTGCATGATCCTAGCGTTCAACAATGCTTCGTCGATTTCTCCATTATTAGTTTCATTCATCTCTTGAAGAAAGTCCTCAGGTAACCCTCCTCTGAAAGATTCCACCACGTCTCCAGCTCTTAGACCGGAGGCTGCTAATATATATGACAACTTACCGCTTTCATTGTGTTTCAATAATGCAATATGTCCAGATCTATTTGGATCATACTCAATTCTTACGACAGACTGTTTTCCACCTAATAATCTGTGAGAGTCAACGAATCTGTAGCGTTGCTTATGACCACCACCTCTCCCTCTTATAGTGATATGACCAGTATGATTCCTTCCTGCCGTCTTTCTCTTTGAAAGAGTTAGCTCTCTCACAGGTCCACCTTTGTGGAGATGATCATGTATGGGCTTTTTAAAGTGAGTGGAACCTGGCTGCAAATGTCCATTTGCATAAGATTTTATTTTAACATGCGCTAAAGCTAATTTTCTCTGCCTTCTGTATACTTCGTCTCTTCTCTCCAAGTCTGTCATTGTGTCTGTTTCTGGGAAGACTGAAGTTTCTGGTGTTCCATTATTACTAGCACTAGTCGTTTGGAAACGAACAAACCTGAACAACTTTGCAGTGGAAGTATAAGATCCACCACAAATCTTCTTCCAACCGATCATAAGCCCCTATTACTTTGACACTTCGTTTTTGAATTCTTAATGCGTTGAGCAAAGGTTTATTCACATAATTTGTTGAAAAATTGAGAAAATTAATCCCAGTACATATATTACGCGTATACAAAATGTTTGGCACCAAATACTGCGTAGTTTTCAGAATCGAGTTCAACCAATAATTTTACACCACTGTCGGAATCCGAATGAAAATTGATCATATTTACCGTAGAATAGTTTGTTACTTGAAAAAATAATTGACAAGTCTTAGACTATTGAATTCATTTTTGACATATCAACACAAGGAATCGATAAAAATGGCATCCCGTGTGTTTCTTCGTTCGTTGGCTTCAAGTGCCAAGTCAATTAAGCCACCAGTTGAATTATTTGGATTGGACGGTACCTACGCAAATGCATTGTACGCAGCATCTGTGCAAGATTCATCAGTCCCGAAGGCATTTGAAGGATTGAGCAAGATCAATAACCTTTTGGATACTGACGTTAAGGTTGGTGGTATTATTCTGAACCCATCCTTATCCAAAGAAGACAGAGCCGAAGTAGTCAAAATCATCTCTTCTAATTTGAAACTTGACAAGACGGTTACTAATTTCTTGAGTGTACTTTCCGACAACAATAGATTAAGTAACTTTAAATCAATTTACCAAAAGTTTGGTTTATTGAATGACGCAGAGCAAGGTGTTGTCGAAGCTAAGGTCACATCTGCCAAACCATTAGATTCAAAGATTTTGAAGAGATTACAAACTGCCATCGGTAAATCACACTTTGTTGGTGATGGCAAGTCCTTAAAATTGACCAACGATGTCGATGAAGAGCTTTTGGGTGGATTAGTTGTTGAAGTTGGTGATAGAACTGTTGATTTGTCAATTTCATCTAGGATTGCGAAATTAAACCAATCATTAACCGAATCATTGTAAGCTCTCTGTTTCATGTTCGGGGCGTGCGGGTTTTATTATATTATCATTCTGCTTCAGGCTATTTATGTCTGATGTGAAATATTATCGAATAGATATTTTCTATACTTTTCATGGTACTTATGTATACGCAATATAAAAAATATTGAAATTTATTGATATTGAAACTGATTGAGCCTTTTGGACACCGATGCGACAAACTGAAAGATCTAATTAGAGTGGCAAGAAGAGTATCGTAGAATTTTAGCAGCCGTCATATACTTTCTAAACACTCCACTCTCTATTTGACTTTCTAGTATTATATTTTACAAGCAGTCCAGAGATCCTGAAGAGATAAGCATCGCACATGAAACACCTCTTATCTTATTCAACTAAAGACCCAAGACTCGTGTCAATACAATGCGGGTTCAGAATATCTTGTCCTTACTCTATATCCGTGTGTTTTCAGAAACAGTCTTGGCTTGGCTCACGCAAAAACTCCAATATAGCATTCTTATCTTATTACGTTTACCGAACCTTACTCTGCTTCGCATTGAAAGAGAAGAATTTATCTACTACGTACAGCTTGTATCTCGATGACAGTTTGAAATTACTGTAGATAAAACTGCTCTGTGGTTTAACTAGTTACATTTGCGCAAATGTTCGTATCCTTCGGCAACATGCGTTTCTCTAGCAAAATGGTATCATAGGATGCGCACTATCATTGAAAGATTTCAACAAGATCAGATTCATTTTTGTACTGATCCCTAGATTCAGTAGATTCATAGATACAGAAACAAAGACCCCAGCGGTAGCTAAATCTGTTTATTTCTGGATTCGACAATAAGGATACTCTTCGTGAATTATAGTTAGGCGTTGCAAGACAGAACATTCTCCATCTTCGGGCCGTTGCAATCACACGGGGCATTAGCGCACCGGCACAAATTTCCGATTTGAGAAAGAGCCTCGAATATATGTTCCATATACAAGAAAACCTTCTTCTTATCAATAAAGAGAAATCAAATTTTATCTTGCAAAGAATCTGATCTGATAAAGGATGAGCTGCAGGACTAATATAAAGGAGAAGTGATTTGCTCTTTGTTAAGCAATATGGTTAGGCAAGACGGCAAGCAATATCCAAGATGGAAAAGGTAGGCCCTGAGGAAGAGAAAGATAATGTTCCAGGGACAATACACTTAGTGGACGTTGAGGGATTCTTGAATGTGGAGAAGAAAGAGGGCTCTGGTAACAATATTATATTACATCCAAAACCAAGTAGTAATCCAAATGATCCTTTAAGATGGCCAAAAGTTAAAAAGAACTTTCAATTTGTTTTGTTGATTACCTGGGCTTTTATGCAATCGGTGTCCACAGTGTGGATGGGCCCTGTGTACGACATCTGGACTGTTGAGTTTGACTGTACTTACCTGCAACTTAACAATTCGGCTGGTATTCTCTTTGCATGTATTGCCATTGGGTGTGTAACATTGCAGCCCTTGGCATTAAAGTTCGGTAAAAGGATCGTATATTTGATATGCACCTTACTTGAAATAGTAGGTAATGCGTTATATCTTCATGGTACTATTGGTTCTCTTTATGGAGCTTCTGCTATTGTGGGCTTTGCCTCTTCGCCGATGTTTTCGTTAATTGAGATTTCTAGTATAGACATATTTTTCCAACACGAGAGGGCAGACAAAGTGTCATACGTCGTTTTTGCGCTTTACGGAGGTGTCGCTCTTGGACCGCTTGCAGCTGGATTTATCACTGAAGGTGCTGGTTGGAAATGGTCACCGTATATTTTGATTATTATTTTTGGAACATTATTTTTCCTTCAGCTTTTCTTAATGGAAGATACAACATTTGAAAGAGATGACGAGAGCGAAGAGCTAGAGACAAACATTTTACATCAAATCAAATCTCATGAAACCTTGATGTCGGGAAATATACAAGAGGAGAAGAGCAAAATAACGAAGGACCAGGTCGCATTAAAGGTGATGAAGTCTGTGGATTCAAGTATCCCAGAGAGAACATATATGCAAAGAATGCATTTGATTGAAACTGAATACAGTGATAAGAGAGGCTGGGCTATTGTATTTTTTAAGCCATTTTTACTCTGTAGTTTGCCAGCAGTGGTCTGGTGTGGTATACTTCAGTCCATTCAACAAATGTGGTTGACGTTCCTTTTGAATACACAATCATTGTTCTTTGCGCTGCCTCCCTATAATTTCAGCACAGGTATGGTTGGAGTGACGAATCTAGCAACCTTTGTGGGCACAATATTAGGAATGTTTTATGGCGGAAGTCTAGTTGACATAATGACGATTTTCTTAGCAAAAAGAAACAATGGTATTTTGGAGCCAGAGTTCCGTTTGTGGAACACATTTATTCCATTGCTCATCAACGGAGGTGGGTTACTTGCTTACGGCTTAGGTATATCATATGGGGCTCCTTGGGGTATACCCGTATGTATTGGTCAAGGTTGTTTAGGCTTTTCTATGGCATCTATGACAGGAATTGCGTATACATACTGTTCCGACTGCTATCCAAACTTAGTCGATGAAAGTGTTGTTATGATTTCCTTCATTAATAATGGTCTTGCAACTGTTTTCACCTTTTTCATATCCGAATGGATGGACAGAGATGGTATCAATTTAATGACGTATTTAATGTTCATGATTAGTCTTGTCTTGAATGGAAGTTGTTTTATTTTCATTTTTTTCGGAAAGAAGTTTAGACGCCTTACAAAAAATAATTATTATAGAATAAGTGATTTGGGTAAAGTCACGAAGTGAGGCGAAGAGGACAATTTCATTTCTTAACTGTTCATCGAGCTGTGTCAGCTCAATTTATTTTACAGTACTTGATTAGATATAATAAAGTAGTTTCTTTGATTATCAGAGAGGAGTAAACAACACTTCTTTACAATAAAGAGAGCGCATTCAATAAGTTCTGACAAAGAATAATGTAAGATGGCCACTCATTTATAATCTGGGCTGTTGGGTAGCTTTCTTCTACATCTGTAATTGATGGTCTCACCAAGATCCTAATTTGTACAACCAGTATTAAACTCTTTATCCTTCAAATTACAATCGTTTAAGGTCAACTGATGTTCCTGCTATGTGCTCACGAGATTTCAAACATTTATCACAGCGTATATCTTTGTTTACTAAATAAAGTATTAGAAGAAGCTATGCTCTGTTCTCTGCCTCTACTTACCAAGGAAAGTATATCGATCAGCTTCTATATTTCATTTCACGTAGCAAGACAGAAGAAAGTGGAATACACCTAAGAGCAATTATGCGAGAGCTTCTCCATATTAGAGTACCCTTAGATTTGATGTAATGTTCTTTTGTTTCGAGCGAACTGATATCGAGCAATTTATATCAATATTTCGTGAGTTTTGACAGCACAAAACAAACCAAAAAAAGGAAAAGAAAATTCTAAGGGCAGAGGTTTGTTAAATAGCTCAATGAAAAGGAAACAGATAACCGTCTTCAAGTGGGTTGTGACTTCTGCTGCAATCATCTTAAATTTGTTCATATATTTTTATCCTGATATTCTAAATTCGACTCAGCAATGTGCATGGCATAAGTTTGAAGATTCAACGAGACTTAAAAGCAGATACCAATGGATTAACAGATTGCCGGAGAATATTAGTGACAAATTATTATTAAATATTCCTTCACTTTTGGATAATGATGAGAAATACAGTAAATCGGCATATCAAGAAAATGGACACATCAAGGACATCCAAATGTTAACTTTTGGAGACCCGCAGATAAATGGGAACTGGCCACTGACTCCATATATTAAACGTTTGGACAACTACGGAAATGATTATTATCTTGGTCATATATATAACGTGATGAGCAAAAGAATGAGACCAAGTCATGTTGCGGTAATGGGTGATTTGTTTTCATCTCAGTGGATCTTGGATTCAGAATTCTTCAACAGAACTTACAGATATGTCGAAAGGTTGTTTCCCAGACCTCTAGAGTATAAAAAAAATGTTGTAGATACTTTCCTCAAGCACGAGAATTACGATTGGCAACGTTTTTTGAGAGAAGAAAACGAAATGGATCCTGATGTCAGATTTGAATCTCGAGTGAATTATGATGTCTATGATTGGCTTCATGAAAATGTATCAATCCCAAATTTTGAAGTGCCCCTCTTTATTAATTTGACAGGAAATCATGACATCGGTTATAGCGGTGATGCAACATGGCAACATATGTGTCGATTTCATCAGCTATTTGGTCAAAATAACTACGTGATTAATTATAATAAAGGAAAACCAGAAGAGTGGAGGCTAGTGGTTTTGGATTCGCTTACATTAGAGGGGCCTGCTCTTCAGTCTGAGTTTATTAATTTCACTTGGTCTTTCTTGGAAAAGTTGCAGGAAAAACAGAACCCCAATTTCAAAGGCGCAACCGTTTTACTAACCCATATTCCGTTTTATAAAGAGGAAGGGTTATGTAAAGATGGACCTGAACACAAATATTACATAACAAATGAGAGGGAACCATATAAAGTTGGTAAGTTAAGGTCACAAAACCATTTGTCAAACGAAACGACTCAGAAAGTACTTGATATCTTGTTCCCTAACAAAGACCAGCCTGGAGTCATTTTAACTGGTCATGACCACGAAGGCTGCAATAGCTGGTACAACTATCAAGATGGTGAATGGCTTGCCGCAAAACAAAAGCTATCTTCTGAAAGACAACCTGTGAGAGAGATAGTTGTCAGATCGATGATGGGAGATTTTGGTGGCCAAACTGGCATCTTCACTGGGCACTACGACTATCATAAGAAACATTGGATGTTCGACTTCTCTTATTGTTCATTTGTGGTTCAACATTGGTGGTGGGCCGCAAAAATAGTTTCAGCAGTAGCAATCTTACTTCAATCGATAGGATATATATTTGAGTGGTGAAGTCTTTGCATCTTATTTTCAAATTACGTACATAAATCGTCTAGAATATCTAAATTTATTTTTGGATCTGCATAATTAGTTAATCCTAACTCTTGTCCTTCTTGGAATCTTCTGCAATAAACTTTTCAATGTCTGACTTGGCGGTATCAATGCTGTCTTCTGGTCCAATTTGAATTTTTTTAACTTTAAGTTTTCCATCGACAAATATCCAATGAGATCTTTTGATCCCCAGCGGAGACTTTTTAGCACCTAATACAGTGATCAATTTTCTTTCAGGGTCACTCAACAAGGGATACTTAAGCCCCTGTTTATTGGCAAAATTCTTTTGAGATTTTGGTTTATCGGCACTCAAACCAAATACGGTAACATCAGATTTATGGAAAAAGTCATAATTCTTTTGAAAACCGCAAGCTTGCCTCGTGCAACCAGGTGTAGAAGCTTTAGGATAAGCAAAAATCACTAAATATTTAGTCTTTTGAGCCGCTTCCTTTAAGCTCACTTCATTCTCATCCTCATCCAATAAATTTAAATCAGGAATTGAGTCTCCTAGTTGAATTTCTTTTGGGCTAGGTTCTTTTTTAATCTTTTCTTCCTTCAAGGGTGTGGAGGTAGCCAGTTTAGATTTCTTTCGTGGTGGCTCAGAACTGCCATTTGAGTTTGATTTCTGCTTGGAAGCGAGCCTTGAGGAAGATCTTAATTCAGGCATTAGAAGATTGATGAGGGATAGAAATTTCTCTTATTTTAATAACGGCGAAGTATAATACGTTACCCCCCGCCGCTAGATTTAAAAAGAAGAGCACCACCTTACAATTTGCAATATTGATATCAGTTCACGTGAGAGGAAAATAACAAAAATTCATTTGCCCTTTAATGCTCTTATAGCCTATAATTGCAAGTAACATGTCTAATAAAGGTTACTTGTCTGAATGTGACAGATCTACTTGGAATATTGAATTTACTAAAATACCAAAAAAAAATAAAAGTGCCTTAATAACAGAAATGTCAGGGTTTGGTTTGGTTCAAGTCTGAGACATCTCGAGAAACACGACAGTCCTGGAATAAGTTAAATTTCTTCTCCATTTACTGGCACATGCAAATTATTTCAAAGACATTATATGCATAAAGAAATACACAGTTACGGTAACAGCTAAAAGACAAGAAGGATCTTATAGAGTTTCTTACAAAGAGCCAGGATGTGGGGCTTCTTTAATTTCAAGTATAAGTAGTTTGACTACAGCCATTTTTTTAATTTTATTCCTATGACAACTTCTCTATCTTTTGTTTTGCTTTGTAGCCTGATGATTGAATATCTTCGATTACTATTAGTTAACAAGAGCCGTCGACTTGGTACTCTTTTAGACAAGCCCCAAATATATCGCACAATCAAACTTTTACCTCACTTGTATTAAAAAAAATCAAAACGTTAAATTTAGGACTTAGCTGGAAAGGAACGGATACTAATCTAATGAAGAATGCCCCATGAAGAATGCTCCAAAAGAGTCCCTTCCTCAATAAAATGTTATCTAGAGCTTACTAATAACAATCATAACGATATACTACGTTTTAGACAGTAAGCTATGTTAGCAAATTAATAGTTTGGTGACAGCCCTGAATGACCATAACAAATTCCCTGCAATCTAACCTTTAATATTTTATCTCTTTCCCCAGCTTTCTCATCTCATGGAGTATCAGCCGTACAGATAATTTCAGATTGATATATCGCGATCTCGAATTTTACTCGCATCTATTAAGTACAATTTATTAGGAGGGATATTTGGAATTCTTGAAAGATAGAGATAAGAAAAGAAGGAAAATAGTCTATGTCGAGCCAAATATTAAGTATATAAAATGAGAAAATTGTTCAAATTAAGGAGATTGCGATCTAATTCAGAAACCGCAAGCAACGATAGAGCAACTTCTAACGATCGAAGATTGAGTTTACCTTTAGGTGTTCATGATGCAGAGAACGAGAGGTCACCTAGTAATATAGTTAATAATGGTACTGATGCGCGCTCTGAGTCGACTCTGTTAAATGATTCAGTAGCACTTTCAGATGCAGATACACTCTTGTTTGATAGGAAGCAAAGGTTAGAACTACAAGACACTTACAATGAAAATTATACTTCTTATTTACCTTTTATATTACGTCAAATGAGGTTGGGAACACTCTCAGACAGGAATGAAGATAGTAGTTATAGTAATGGAGAATTAAGGGGCAATAACCGACTTACGAATAATTTGAATATTCCATCTTACGTTAATGATGTTAGCAGCCTTTATGATGACCAACCCACCATTACGAATGACTCACTTATTGCGAATGAGGCTACAAACTCAATGATCATTATGAATCGATCGTCTTCAAGTTACGACTTACGTCGAAGGTATGTCCTTGTGGATGAGTTTATTAGAAATAATACCTATATGTTTGCTGATGAAGAAGCTTTCAAATTATTCAAACAATTGAAATCAAAGAAAAAAGTAAAAACCACGCTACCGCAGAGCACAGTCGATGGAGACGGAAGCCCCTCTGACTATATGATTGCAAACCGTATTGGGGCCAATAGGTCGGATTTAATACCTCTAACATATAGGTTGAAAGGTATGGGATTACCAATTTTTAAAATTGTCACGCCTTACATGTCAACATTTAGAAAGAACTCTCCTTTCATGGTGTTCAAAAGATATAAAGAAGCTCCTTCGCCTTCAAAAAATCACAATTCAAGCAATCCCGAAGTGGAAACCGATATTGGGACCTACGACTTTTGTACGGTCAATACTAAGCATTTCAGTATGTTCAAAAGAATAATATTAACTTTCAATCCACCAGAAGAGCTGGAATTTAAAGTCTTGTTATTCCAATGCAACAATCAACCTTTTGCCGATTTTATCTATAAAAGCACCAGGTTTAGGGTCTTTGGAACATCCATATTAAACATGAGTATGATATCCTACAATGATAACTTGAAACTTTTAATAATAGATGATGATAAGCCATCAATGTGTGATTCAATAATAAATAAAAAACCTGGGTTTGAGATATCGTCACTAATAAAAAAGCGCAAGAATTCACTTGATGAAAACGGTTCTAATAAGAACAAATCTACTGAAGACATAAGTTACGATCAGAACGATCCTACTACATTTCCGAATCCAGTCCCTGATCCATCAAATGTTTTACTTCAAGACCCATTTTCAGAGTCAGTTCCATCAATGAAAAGTTTTATCAGCGATAGGAGTCCTCCGTTCGGAGATTTGAAAGACTCATCCGCATATATCAACGAAACGAACTTGCTTCCGCGAAGATATTCGGAAATCGGAAGATTTGATGTGTATCAAGATAGCAGGACTCTTAATGGTAAGAATCCAAGCAGCACATTATCTCTTGATGTCGACAGTTTGGTTTTGACTTGCATAGTGTTGACTTTGAGAGAGATTGCCTTGAGAAATTCTCCCAGATCAACAAATTTTTCAGTAGGTTTTGCTAACAGACTTGGAGCACTTTCAATGCCTCCTGTTCAATATGCTCTGTTATTATGAAAAGATAAAATTCATTCAATTTAAGACGACGTTTATTCTGTAATACTTTTCTGAGACTATGTAAGCTATGTAGTACTTACTTGCGTTCAGGTGATCTTGACCTGTCTCTTTCAGGTGACCTTGACGAAGATCTATGGCGTGGAGTTTCTTCATTTAAGCTCGGATTACCTTCATGCTGGATCCCTTCTCTTTGATACTTACCATCATCGAATGATTTAGTTTTATAATCTCTTGGAGGTGGGCGCAGTCCCCGATCAGATCTATATTCTCGGTCATAATACCCTCCACGGGAATAGCCACCACGGTAATAACGTCCTCTTGAAGTATACCCATAATTATTTCGAGGTGGATAATTATAATCATAATCATAGTCATATCTTCTTCGGCCGTAACCATAACCACTTTCTGGGTATTCATAAGCATTTGCACCACCTCCGTAACCGTAATCGCTATATCTTGAATAGTATCCTGAATAACTGCCTCTGCCGCCTCTTGGATAGTCATAACGACCTCTTCCTCTATAGCTACCTCGACTGACAGGGTAAGGATCGGACCTAGCTATCTGAACTACCAACCCATCTTCTAAAGAAAAAGGTAGCACCTTGCCATTCAATGCTAGAGCCCTTTCACAATCTTCAAAAGTTTTGTATTCTACAAATGCATACTTTTCGCCATCATCAGTTCTTGGAGGAGGTATATCTAATCTTATCAAATCGCCGAATCTATCATTGTGTTAGTGGACTGGTCAATCGCTTCGGATCATTTATTTTCTCTTTGTTTTCTTATTCTGATTATCATGATTAATAGGAAAAAGCAGGAGACGTAATGAAATGAATGCTTTGAGTTAGGAAAATTGGATTTGGTGGAACAAAATGAGGTTAAAAATGAAATTCAATGAAAATAGGACCATATGTTCAAATAAATCAATAATTCGCCATTTCTTCTCAATGATTCAATTCGATGGTGCTTGCTAGAGACGTTAAAAAGAGAGAAGTGAAGGATGGATGAGAACGATGGTCCTCAAAAGCTGACAGACCCCAAGTTTAAGAAAAATTAAAAAACAAAGGGATAACTCTCATCTATACTTACTTTTCGAAGTCCGGCGCCAAATCCACAGCCTTCGTGTCCCTTGTGAATCCTGTGACGTATAGTGTATTCTTAGGCATGGTAAGGTCTAGTCACATAATCAGAAGAATAGGTAAATCGTTTTTTCGTATTATGGTAGCCAATTGTGCATATAATATTAACGTGCAAGATAAATCTTTCGAAGGATTAGATCTCGAACCGGATTTATTTGCACCCTATCTAGCTCCTTCGGTCATGTTCCACTTCGAGATGGCAACAGTTTTATACTCAGTGCGAGATTAGCAATGCATAAGTCATAGATCAATTGAGACGATCAGCGGTGGATTTCTGACACTAAAGTACTCTTTAACAAAGAACTGCGCTAGTGTTTGTGTATCGTGACCTTATTGGAAGTAGGTGCAGGGCACTTAAAGATCGGGGTGTGCTGCAGACAGGCTCGAAAGGGAGACCAAGCTCGCCAGCCAGTACATACTCGCGTACTCCCCCGCCTTTCTTTTCATCGCGGTGCCCAACAAAATTTCGTCACCAACATTTGACCACGGCCACACCGCCAACCTGCACATACTATACCAGAAAAAGGCACACATCGCAGAGTTTTACAACACAATTAAATCGTTAAAGGCGCAGAGAACTACTTATTGCTCTGTTGTTAAATACTTTAAGAAAGGGGCAAGAGCAAAAATAAATAAAAATATTGTATTATAGATAAAGCTTACCTTAGGAGCATTATAATTTGAGTAAAAGTTTACTTTTAAATAATATTGGTGATTAAGGGAGACTTAATAATACTAGTACCGATTTAAACGGACTAACTGGCTGTTAAGGCACAGAAAACAGACTTCAAATCACAGTAGAAGTTACACAGAGATGTCAATAGCAGAAGAAAATAATATCATTGACCACGAGCTCATGAGTTCACTTCCGCAAGAAGATCATGATATATTGGATGAGTTCTTGGATCAAAGAGTTTACGACTCAGTTTCCACCGCAAATCAAGATTTGGTAGATCTGTTCTATCTGAATCAACATGGACATGGCATTAACTCCCTGCAACCACGCTTTCAAGATGTGGATATATCTCCAACATTTCAAGGTCCATCTACCATGCAAACACCAACCAATGAATCTTATATGTATATGGATGGAGGAAATTTCAAGAACAGCGAGTACACAACACCTCTTGAATACAGAACGAGTTTTAGAAGTCCTAACACAAACTTCAATAGCCCAAGCAGTAATGAAAAAAGAGATAGTCAATTATCAGACTACGAGGAAATAAGGGACGAGCTATCCAAGCTCAAGTTCGGAAATCAAAATATGAACCCATGTCCTCCTTCGGTTGATGTACCAGATCCCTCCTATTTAGATTTTTCTCAGGAAGCAATGTCGAAAATGCCATTTAACTTGCATTTATCAAGTTTACCCAGCTACTCAAGAGTAGAAACTCAGGTGAAATTAAAGTTTTCTTTAAGTCCACCGCCACCACAACTGTTATTGCACATACCTCAAGATCTCGTATCGAAAAACAAGTTTTGCCTTAATGAAAACGTTGAAGATTTGTCGCCAAAAGTGAAGCAAAATTTATTGTATTTGGATACTTATGTTTTGACTTCTAATTTTGAAAAATCTTGCAATATATGTCCAAGATGTATAAAGAGAGAACAAAAGAGGGCATCAAGAAGGAAGGTAGGCAACAGTGGTAATGAATCAGAAAATAATGGAAATGAAAATTATTCCCCGATGAGCGGAAGTGCAAAAAATAATGCAAATTCATGGGCAGATGAAAAGATGATGAAAAAGGCTATCATTTTTAATTGTAAAGAAATAGTATCTTTTCCGTCCCCAAATGGCTTGAATAGTGATTTGAGCAAGTCTTTGGAGCTTTCCGCAAGGATTATATGTTATTGTAGGCATCATAATGAGTCAGAAGGGTTCAAATTATTATTCGTTATTACTAATTCCGAAGGAAAAGTTGTTGCAAAGCAAATATCGTCAACAATCATGATTATGGATAGGAAAAAGAATACTGCATCAGTGCCGTCAAATAATGTCAATAATAACCTCGGTCAAGTGCTAAAGAAAGATAATACAACAAGGAAAACACTTGATGCATCAGCATCGAGCATTACAAACGAGAATGAAATAATGTCACAACTTCAGCCTTTATCACCAAACTCAATCGACGAATCCATGTCTGAAAACCAAGTGAATACTGATACAGATGGCAGAGGGTTCAAAAGAAAGAAGCTATCAGTCGATGATTCATTAAATTCGTCCACAAATCCAATGTTTAATGGTAGTGTTAATGGATTCTCACCTTTAAGTAATAGCGACACCAATACATCCGCTGCAACAAACATACTATCTAAGCCTTTGAATAATCATTTGGGAATTTCTCCCCTTGCATCTCAAATTCAAGGACAGCATCAACAATCTCCGACTATACAAAGAATAATTCCTGCGCAAGGACCCTTGAGAGGTGGTATTGAAGTAACGTTATTAGGTTTTAATTTTCAGCCTGGTTTGCAGGTTAAATTTGGCGCCAACCTAGCCCTATCCACACACTGCTGGTCAGACTCTACAATAGTAACATATCTACCCCCGGCTTCTCAACCGGGTCAAGTTTTGGTGAGTTTGGAAAATCATGAAGCAATTCTTACGAATGTCCAGCAGCAACAAATCTTCACCTACACTGATGATACAGACAAGCAATTAATTGAACTAGCACTACAAATTGTCGGACTTAAGATGAATGGTAAATTAGAAGAGGCTAAAAATATCGCTAGAAGGATAGTAGGAACTGACGCAAGTGGCCAGTCTGGTTCTTCTCCAAATAGCTCTGTCTCTAATGCTCCTACTGATTCTCCAACAAAGCAAGCTGAGATTGAAGGTAACATTGAATGGTTTAATAGTGCACATAAAGCAGTCGAACAATTAACTAGCGCAACTTTGGCAACTGAGGAAATATTAATAAACTTCCTTTCCCTTGTTGATTTGCCTAATTGTCCAATTATAATACCCAATTGGCAATTATGTAATGAACAAGGCCAAACTTTATTTCACTTGGCTACTTTGAAGAACTATAAACATTTAATTGGATTTTTAATCACGCATGGTAGCAAAATTGATGTCAAAGATAACCAAGGTATTACACCGTTATTTTTAGCATCTATGTGTGGTCATCGTGAATTGATTAGAACGTTTATTGAATGCAGGTCTAACTGGAATTTGAAACTTTCAAATGATAAGCATTTGAAGGACTATTGTGATTTAAATGTATTGGATATGTTTAATAATTTGGAAGAAATGTCTGTTGAAAGTGAACCTTCTTCGAATAAATCAAATGACGAAGTTGACGACCAATTAAATAAGTCAAGAAGCTTGGATTCTTTGAATTCATTATTTACTTTGAGTTACGGTCGCCGTATTTCTAAAATGGTATTTCAAGATAAAATTGAAATAGTGAATGATACAAATGCTGAATGTGTTGATTCATCTTACTACAGTGACAATAATTCCGAATTTGCAGACTCTGAATATGATTCAAATGATGAGGATGATGCTTCATTGGGACCTGACCAAGATGAAACCGAATCTACTTCTAAGTTTGAAATTGAACCCGACAGAAGAGAAGTTCTTGATAAATCTTTGATTTCAGAATCCCCAGCACCTGATGACACGCATGATTTAGATCCTAATAGCAGTAGCTTGTGGTCGAAGGTTAAAAGAGCTTTCAATAATGATGATGATGACAGTCAGCTACCCTCTTATGATGATTTGTTTCCATTTGGACCATCTGCTTTTCATTCAAAACCTAAGACTCACATTGAAAGAACACTCAATGATCATAGCAAGCAAAGCGGAAATGTTTTGAGAGCTTCTTCAAGCACCGCTACTGAGCTACAAGAAGATGCTGGGATAGCATCTGATTCTTCAGATGATGTTGTCATGTATATCAATCGTCCACGTAAAAATGTGGAGCATGATAAAATGCTCCTTTTCTTTTGGTTCCCAGCACTTGTCTGCGTTGCTAGCTTATTCATCTATATTACAATCATGGGCTACAAAGTGCAATTTGTTGAGGACTTCAAGAATTTCCTGAGATCGACTCTTGGAAATTTGATGGTTGGTAATGATAGACTTGCAAGGGTATTCAAGAAGAAACCTAATGTGGATAAAGTGATACGCGCGACCCAGAAGATGATAAGCTAATGACATTCACTTGATTCTTTAATTCACCATTTCTTTTCTCTGGCATATTGCTTAATTAAGCAGTTTTATCGATCCTTTTATAATTTAATTTGGTTTAGTCATTTAGATTTTTAATATATCGCGATTATCACGAACTTTTCTCAAACACTAATTACAAATTTTTTTTATAGTATGAATGAACTGTAATGACCAAATTTGTTATTTTACTAAAAAATAAGACGATCCCAGATGATCCGTATGAACTTAAATTTGAAAAAGAAGGTTATTCAACAAAATTCATTCCCTTATTGAAGCATTCTCATTCTGATAAAGATGCAACTAAAAAGTATCTATGTAGTGAGGAGTTCATGCAAACACCTATCTTCATAATAACGAGTCAGAGAGCGGTTGAAATACTTAACGAATGTATCTCCGAGCTTCAAGACGAAGCGATTAAACAGCGCATTTTTACAAAGATAGGATATACAGTGGGCCCCGCTACGGACCAAGCTTTGAAAGATGCCGGATTTCATAATATAAGAGGCGGTAAGAGAGCTGGAAATGGCTCTATATTGTCCAACATCATCATAGATGAAATACAAAATGATCAGAAGATAGTTTTTATAACAGGAGAAATTAGAAAAGATATTATTCCTAGGAAACTTAAAGATAATGGGTTCCAGCTCTCTGAACGAGTGATATACAAAACAAAACCAAGAACTGACATAATTAATAACTTTAAGCGGGAGTGGGAAAATGCTCCACAGAACCCATGGCTAGTGTTTTTCAGTCCTCAAGGAACGGAGGAAATTGTAAGTCATATTGTCAATACAGGAGCTACTGTAAAGATTGCATCAATTGGTCCAACAACGAAAGAGTACTTAGACAAAAAATCATTAACGCCACACATTGTTTCCAAAAAGCCAGAGGCAGGATCACTTTATGAATCAGTTTTTGATTTCGACGGGTAATGATTCCAAAGTATTTCATTGTATATTTCATAAAAACAGAATAAATGAAAATAGAATTAAATATTGACTAAACGTGAGTCACAAGATATAAAAAAGTTGCTTTGAAAATGATAGAATATTGTCTAACGATGCGCTTTGACCACGTCGATGATATTTTGAACAACAGCGGGATTAGATAATGTAGAAATGTCTCCTAATTGGTCCTCTTCTCCTGCCAAAACTTTCCTCAAAATTCTCCTCATTATCTTTCCAGATCTAGTTTTGGGCAAATCATCGATCAATAAAATTAACTTCGGTGCAGCAAATGGGCCAATCTCTTTTCTAACAGTTAAAACGAGTTCTTTTTTAACTGCATCAACATCATCAACATTAGCACTAGATTTAAGTGATACGTATGCTGCAACAGCTTGACCTGTCAATTCGTCAGCATAACCGACAACAGCGCTCTCGGCTACCAAATCATGTTCAATTAAAGCTGCTTCTATTTCTGCCGTAGAGAGTCTATGACCAGAAACATTGACAACATCATCGACTCTTCCTAAAATCCAGAAAAACCCATCTTTATCTCTCGCAGCACCATCACCAGAAAAATAATAGTTCTTGTATGGCTTCAAGTAAGTATCAATGAATCTTCCATAGTCATTATAAATACCTCTTGTAATTGAAGGCCAAGAAGATTTTATGGCAAGAACCCCTTCACTACCAAGTTCATTAATTTCCTCACCAGTGACAGCATCTAAAATCCTAGCGTCAATTCCAAAGAAGGGTAAAGATGCTGAACCAGGCTTTGTTGGAGTTATACCTGCCAATGGAGTTAACAAGTGAGAACCGGACTCTGTTTGCCAATACGTGTCCACGATGTGAGCCTTGTGCCTACCTATATTGTCATTATACCAGTGCCAAACCTCAGCTGCAATAGGTTCGCCAACTGATCCTAAAACTCTAAGAGAGCTGAGGTCATAATTCTCAACGTACTTAGTTCCAGCCCTTTTCAAAAGCCTTAAAGCTGTCGGAGCGACATAGAATTGATCAACTTTGTACTTGTCAACAATCTCCCAGTATCTTGAATAATTAGGATACGCAGGGGTTCCTTCAAAAACAACACTGGTAGCACCATTAAGTAATGGACCATAAACAACATAAGTATGACCTGTAATCCAACCGATATCACCAGCCGTAAATAAAATATCATCTTCATGAACATCGAAAGTGTATTTCGTAGTCAAGAGAGCGCCCAATAAATAACCTGCAGTTGTGTGGACGACACCCTTTGGTTTACCAGTGGAACCTGATGTATACAATAAGAATAATGGATCTTCAGAATTTACAGGTACAGGTGGCACATATGGTCCACTTTTATCTAATTCTTCATGCCACCATAAATCTCTTTTAGTATTAAACGGAACATGTGAATTACCAGTTCTCTTGAAAACAAGGACGTTTCTTACATCAGGACAGTCTTTTAATGCATCGTCAACGATCTTTTTAGTTTCAATAGTTTTTCCTCCTCTTTTGGATTCATCTGCAGTGATAACAATTCTAGAGTCAGCATCCAAAATACGATCTTTCAAAGACGTTGAGCTAAAGCCCGCGAACACTACTGAATGAATGGCACCGATACGTACAATCGCTAAAAGAGTGACAATAGCTTCTGGTATCATTGGTAAATATACAGCCACCGTGTCTCCTTTTCTGACGCCTAATCTAGTAAGTGTCTGAGCGAGCTTGCTGACTTCCTTCAACAATTCTCCATACGAGATAATTCTCCCTTCATTTACTTCGTCGGCTTCATAAATAATAGCAGGCTTATCTGGATTCTTTATTGCCCATCTGTCTACTGCATTATATGAAGCATTAAGTTGGCCATTGACAAACCAGGCAGGAATGTCACCATTTTTGAAGTCATTATCCGGTACTCTAGGGCTACGAGTATAATCAAAAGTTCTTATCCAACTCAATAGGTCGCGGGCCTTATCACCAAAGAACTTCTCAGGATTTTCAATTGACTCTTTATACCACTTCTGATATGTCTCGAAGTCTGGTAAATTTGGTTTGGATTTGGATCTCTCCTTAAAGCCAGCCGGTGGCATCGCCATCTTTTCATGATCTAAAGTAAATTGTGTTGCTTCAACCATTTCCTAGATCTATTTATTATGATAGGCAAGAATAAATGTTGTAATTATAGTCAATCCAGAGTTTTCCGTTTAGAGAATAGGATTGTTAATTTGTTCAGCTGTGCGCTCGTGTATTGAATGCGCGTGGTGCTAAATAATTATAATTGATATCTGATTAGCTCTTGACTTTTAACTGTCTTTGCACTCATCAAAAACATTTTCGATTAAACAAGGGAGGACATAATCTTTAAATACCCGTAATGATTCCGGCGTTTAATGTCCCCACCGCTGTGGTAATTTTCGATCGCTGGCAGTCTTCCGGTCACAGGTGTTGAGCAGCTACGAAATCTGGGGTAGCTCGGAGTTTGCGGGGGGTCCAACCGCCTTTCGCCGGTTTTCGTTATAAAATTTGACGGAACTAAGTTTTCTCCACATGACAACGATAGTTTTATACTCTGCTCGTATGTAAGATAGAAGTATCACATCGACGATAGCAATCAATGGCTCTATGATATGATAATCTCTCTTATTCTATCTTACAATGGAAGCTCTGTCGAAGACCTCGATTTCTGCGGTGGGGTGACAAAGCATGACGACCACAAAACGGGGAAGGAGGAGAAACTTCCTTAGTATTTCTAGTACGTATATTAATTGAGCGAGAATCTTGGCTACCGGAATCGATAATTAAAAAGGTCGGAGTGTACCGGTTGAGGCAGCAAGCGGTTGCTTGTCATAAACCGGTAAAAAAAATCAAAGATGTGGCAGCCAAAGCTGTTCATATTATGTTGGGAGGTGGGGAAGGTAGTGGTAAAATACACGACAACGATTGAAAGGTTTAGTGTGGGTGATAATTAAACAAGAATTGAAATATAGTTTGCGAGCATGATTTAAACTCCTTAAGTAGCTTGGCGATGCCTCGTGTAGTCGGAGTAGTCAGACATAGTTTACGAAAACTCTTTGCCCATTCAGCCTTTTTTATTCTTAGTATTGCCTGAAGATCTATTATTACACAAAATGGATATATTATAATATATGGGTGTCTTCTATGAATGAAACACTATGCGATAGATGGACTATAAAATTTGAATTAATCAGCAGGCGAAGGCTTGTCAACCATAATGGGATCTCAAGGGATCTGAACAATTCATCATCACTTACAATAAATCTTCCTCTTCTTCCCCGATATCTATTTTTCCCTTACCTGCAAGTCTGGTAGCTGCCAACTCTCTTGTTGCCATTTGTTTCTTGACACGTTCCGTCATTTTTGTTATAGCTGCATCAGGATCCTCCGATTCTTGTTCAGCGAAATTCATCACAAGCTTACGACCAAGAAGATGGACTCCTTGTAAGCGATCTATAGCAGTTTCGGCTTCTCTTGAAGTCGAAAACTCAACGAATGCGAATCCTCTAGCTGATCTGTCGAACTTTTTAGGTACCCTTACTGACTTCAATTGGCCAAACGCACTGAAAAGCTCTAGAACGTCCTTCCTTGTAGCTTCGAAGGGTAAATTCTTGACAATGAGTTTGTTAGACCTGACCAAATTTTTATTTGAATTCTTACTTTGAGTAGTCTGGCGATGTGATAATTTCAATTGCAAGCGGTGGCCATCAAATATTTGTCCATCTAACGTTCTTATGGCTATTTCTGCTTGTTCTTTTGTCCTAAATTCAACAAATCCAAAACCCATGCTTTGTACCTTTGATTTATCATGAGGATCAGGTTTGGTTTTAACGAGGGCAACAACGAACCCCAGAAAAGACTTGAATAAATCACTTAATTTATCGGAATTAGTTTCAAAGTTGAGATTTTTAACAAACACAGATACCGTCGGCCCCTCTAAGTTTTCATCGTCATTGTGATCAAACAAAAGATCATTCGCATTGACCTTTGCTTCAATGGCTTTTGGTATTGAGTCCTTCGGTAAATTCGTTTCATCTTTGGGATCGGCATCTTTTAAAAATAAACCTTTTGGACCCTTCTCCAAATATAGAATGCTCTTGTTGAAACGTCTATATGATAACTTTGCAAAAGCTGCCCTAGCACTTGGTAGATCTCTAAACTCCACAATTGCAATCGTGCCTGAAGGAGGCATGAGTATTCTATTAAGTTGCCCGTACTGCGAAAACATTTCCCCTATGTCTTCATTCGTTGTCCCGAAAGGAAAATTTTTAACTAATATAATTTTATCTTCCCTTTCCTTTTTATTGAAAGCGGTGAGATCGACACCTCTATCTTCAAAGTATTTACGAACATCACCAATAACATGAGCCTCAGCTAGCGCTTGCTTCACTGCAGAACTTGAGTTTTGCGGATCAATCAAATCTGACTTTGCGACACCCATTTGGCTGGCAACAGATTCCAAAACTGCATCTGTATTCATGTATAACGAATTCCAGCTAAATTGGCTCTTTGATGCCTGTTGCTTCTTCTTCAATTCCCTTTGTTTTTTCAAAGGCAAATTCTTCATATCAAATTCATCCAATCTGTGGTCTTTCTTTTCGTCTGCGGCCAAAATGTGCAACAATCTACCTTGGAAAATCTGCTTATCCATTTCCTGATAGGCAGTGACAGCATTTTGATTGTCAAGAAATTGCACATAAACAAATCCTTTTGATTTTCCTGTTCTAGTATCTATAGCTATATGAACTTCTTCTAGGGGCCCAAAAGTTTCAAATAAATCACGAAAATCATCCTCTGTCGAGCTGTACAAGATGTTTCTCACAAATAGCCTTCCTGTTTGAGAAATCTTCTGAACTGTTGCATCCTCCGAAGATTTAATTATAGGAATCTCTTCTGCGTTTCTGAATTCCTGCTTGAGATTATTAGAAGCGTCTTCATCTATGCTCTCAATCTGTGTCTTCGAATCTTCCTCAATGTTGGGATTGTTCTCCTTCATTCTATGTCTCCGTAACTTCAACCAATCAAGATCTGAAATGTTTTCATCAGCTGCTATATTAAGATCCTCAGAGGTACCAGTATGTGGCGTATTTTTTTCAATTTCTTTTATGTCTTTTTCTTCGTCATCTTCAGATTCTAATTTTCCATACTTAAGCTCCTCGTATTCTTCATCACTATCATTCTCAGGAATCATAGTTACATCTTTCCTTATATTTACATTCGTTGGATTAAATGACGAACTTGCTTCGTTAGTCTGGTTTGCCGAAGGCTCACGCGTTGGCATGATATCATCACTAGCAGTAGTTCTTTGCAAATGAGAAGGTTTCATAACCTCCATGAACTCCTTCAAGCGAGGATTCTGTTCAATTTCCTCATCCAAAGTTGAACATGTAGTTTTTCGTTTTTTATTTCGCTTCTCCTGTTCTTCTTCTATTCTTAATAACCTTTCTTCATGTTCTTGAAGCCTCTCTTCTTTCCTCTTTTTTTGTTCCTTCATAGGTAATGGAACATCTGAGGCTGAAAATGACTTCGCTGATTCCACATCAATACGAGCGGTGTCTATGAATGATTTGTTGAAATATTTTATTGCCTCTGCTGCATCCTCTGCTGACTTGTATCCTATAAATGCAAACCTTCGTGATTCTCCATTTCTCTTTTTCATTAATTTCACATCGGTAACTTGACCCTTCTGACTAAAATGAGATTCAAGTTTACCTTCCGTAAGATATTTAGGGAGGCCCTTCACAATAATCCTTGACATGTTAATACTTCTTACTCAGGGATCTTCTTAAGACTATCTCTGCCAGTCTCATCGTAAGAATACCAGAAAATTAATTGTCTGTCTGAGCCGCATTTAAATTTTTTTTTTTTTTTTTTTTTTTGGTGCTGTTCTGCTTTTTGCAATCATATATGTGTACATTGTCGCGGCAGTCCTGGCGGCAGATATATTTTAACGTTACTCTTTTGATATTCTTATATCTTTCAGCCAATTTATTTGAAGGGGAACAGGGATGGAACTCCTACGTCACATTGGTATCTTGTTTGAAAATGACATAACCTTATCAGACACTATACTTAAACTCAGAGGGTTGTTTATTTTATATATTCTTTTTGTTGTAATTACAGGTTATAATATTTTATCGATAGCATGTTCTATCTGTTTCTGTTTATTTTGCGAAAGTACAAATAGTTTAAAGAGAGCAGCAGCAGCACTGTTTTGGGATCTATGTCTCTACTTCATGGTACGTATAAATGAGCATATGTAAACTTAACTTTAAATATAGAATATTAACAATATAGAAATTGAACAATGTTAAAATCAATATTACAGGCGATGAAATAGATACCGATTCAGCTATTGTTATAAGTAATCATCAGTCGCTAGCGGACTATATAGTTATGGCACAACTAGCAAAGTATTCAAACTCGGGCAAGCAAGGAATGGCTACCATCCCAAAGAAAAACGATAGGCTTACGTTACCAAGGATTAATTTTTTTTCTTGGTTTCTAATATGGAGTGTTCCAAAAATCAAGATTTTATTTAATCTTGCCAAATGCGATGAGAATTGGGAGTTAGATAAACCTCTTACAGAGCTTGTCTTTGATAATTTATTTAAAAGCAAAAGACCAGAATGGATAATTCTTTTTCCAGAAGTAAATATCTGGACAGAAGAGGCATCGGCATTACAAAGAAGACAGAGCGAGAAATTTTATCTCCCCGTCCTTCACAATATTTTGTATCCTAGATTCTCAGGTTTTCAGAATGTCATATCCGCTATTAATGCCAAGTACAATTTCAAATTTACAAAACTTTACGACGTTACTTTGAATTACTACAGAGCACCAAAAAACTCTTGCACTTTAGATTGTCTCCAACCGGTCAACGATAGGCCTCGATGTCCGATCTCTTTAATAGAAGCTTTTGCTAGTAATTCAGATATAACCATAACAGTCAATGTGAAGACTAGAGCCGTTGCAAGGATCCCAAACAAAAGAAATAAATTGGAAAAGTGGTTGGAGAATGTTTGGATCGACAAGGATAAGCTAGTAACTCGCATGATTCAAGCAGATCGTGAAATTGATAATTGCAAACAAATCAAAACAAAATCTATAGTTAGTCCATCTACTGAAGTTCTTTTTCACGAACTCACGGATGACTTAGTACCCGGTGAGAAGGGTATAATCATTTCAAACAGTCAAGGCTATTAAGATGCTGAGATAGACCAAATGTCAACCTTCTCTTATTTTGCTAATCGGGAGGCGGTAAATGGTTGACCTTTGATTTTCATCTCTTTGGACTCTATAGAAGTGTTCTGCAAATTGATCTCCATTAATATGACTTAAAAATTTCTCGTCATGAGTAATAACAATAAGTTGAAAATTTCTTTGAATCTTTCTGAACGAGACAATTTGATTTAACGCTTGAGCTAAAGATTCGGCATTATCATCATCCAAGTTAGTAGTCGGCTCATCCAAAGCTATCATTCCACAATTTATTCCAAAGCATTCTGCTAGCGCGAGTCGAATCAAAATGCTACTCAAGACTTTTTGTCCCGCCGAGCAACGTCCTCTCATGTCTAATTCAGCATTTGATTTGTACATGACGACACGATAATTATAAGATCTATTCCCTTTTGCTTGAATATTTACGTCACTCTTAATTGCAATCGTATCTATATCTGTCCCTTTATAGGTCTGAGACCATAATTCATTCAACGTTTTATTAATATTCTCCATTTTTGAACTATGGTATTTCATTATTGCATTATCTAATGCTTTTGAGTAGGTTTGGATATCGTTAGAAATTAAGAGATTTGCTTGCAACTTTATCCATTCTTCATGGTAAAATTTGTCAACATCCTTGTATTCAGATTCTAGTTCTTTCCTTATGGATTCAGTCTGATCTTTTAGTTGTTTAATTTCACCTGATTTACTCGAATATTCAGAGTTGAGTTGGATTAATTCTTCTCTTATAGAACTGGATAAAGTGTGATATTCTTCACGCTTTGAAGTAGCGTCATCGATTTGTAAATTTGAAATTTGTTGCTCAATCTTATTTTTTTCCAGCTTGAGATCTTCATAATCAATATTTGCAATAATATTATGCTCTAGTTTAGAAGACTGAGCGACATCATTCTCAAGTTTCTTCATATCATTCTCTATGCTTGAGACTTGTAGCTTGCTTTCTTCGATCTCAATTTTAATCTTTTCGATTCTCTCATCATTTTGAATGATGTTTGGCTTATCACGATTAATGAACTGCATTATCCGATTGAAAACACTAGTGTAGTTTGATAATAAGCTTTCAATTACCTTCAATTTATCAGCGGTTTCACCTTCTTTCTTATTATTTAAATTCAGGAGGGTTTCTAATTCACTCTCTTCTTTCATTTTCTGTTCTTTCAAGTTAGCTAAAGTATCTTCGACATTCGATTTCTCAAGTTTAACAGCTATAAGAGATTCATTAGTCTCCAGAATATTTTCAATCACGCTCTTTCTTTCAGATAAAGATTTTTCTAAGTGACTGATCGCCAATTTAGAGTCTTTGATCTTGTTCTCGAGTCTAGAAAGATCTCGCTGCACTTCGTATTTTGCTTCAGTATTATCGGCAATTAAGTGCCTCAATGTCTTAATTTCAATATTCTTTTTCTGTTGCTCTTCTTGCAAATCCGAGATGGAATGTGAAGATGCTCCATAAGTTTCAAGCTCATTATTGAAAATATTAATCTGCTCGCCAATTTGATTAACTTCATTATAATATCTTCTTATTTCTTCTACTTTTCCTTTTAAAGATGCTAGCACTTGGTTCTTTAACTCGAGGTCTTCAAATGTACCTTCTATTTCGTCAAGCTTTTTGGTCACAGACTCAAACTTATTCTTATTTTCTTCCATTGATTTTATTAATTCTTTTTTATCTTTTGAAGCACTTCTGAAGGATAATACATCGTTACTAATGAGTCTTAAACTTTCTAAATCTTTTTTAGCATTCTCAAAATCACTCTCGAACTTTTTAGTAACTTCATCTTCAAGGCTGTTTTTTAAAAGGTTAATAAAGGCTTTTAAACCAGGCTCATCAAATGGACGTTGACACAATTGGCAATGTTTTTCACGTTCAGAAACTTCAATCGCTTTGATTTTAAACTGTCTGGAGACTTCAGCAGTATTTAAATTCTCGTACGTAGTGTTGTAATCATCCTCGGCTTCCAGTAAGATTTGTTCAAAGGACGGAATCTCATTAATTGAAATCATCTTGACAATCTCTATTTCTGACAGTCCCAAGTGTTCTTCAGTCTTTCTTAGATTTAGTTCATCAAGTTCGATAGTAGTCTTAAGTGCACTGGATTGCTTTCGAATCATCTCACTTTCACTTTTAACATCTTTTACTTGATCATGTGTCTTTTCAAGATTATTATCGATGATGCTCTTACCGCTTTCTACGGCGAACTTTTGGCCAGTAAATTTCTCGAAGTCTTTTTGGATACTTGCAATTAGCTTCTCCAAAAAGCTTCTTTTGGCTTTCAGGGAATCTTTCAAAAATGAAAGCCTCGCTCTAGTATCGGATTGCTTGTTTGACAAATTAATTTTTTTATTTAGAATTTCCATATCATTCTCAAGGACACCCAATCTTTCTTTATCTTTATTTATCTTTTCATTTATTTTACTAAGCTCATTGAGTTCTTTAGTCTCTGTATATTTTTGAGTATTAGATTCGAGTTCAAGTTGCTTACTATCGAGCTCATCTTCGTGACTTTTTAAACTCTCCAATCTCTTTTCAAAATTGGAGATCTTTGAAAGGCTCTTGGAAATGCTTTCTTCATAGTAAGCTTTGCGTTGATTTTCTCTTGCAAAGGAATCTAACGTAATCTGCAATTTGTTTTGCAGTAATTTCTCAGACTGCCTATTTTTCTTGATCATATCAGTGGATTCTTTCCGAAGTCTCTGTACATAAGAGGTTGAATGATCCATGAAATTTTTATATAAAGTGAGCTTCTCATTAATGTCTTGATCACGATTAATTTTTTGGTCAAACTTGAATAGCCCATTGTTTTCGACAATAGTACTTTCCAAATTGATTAGATCTTGCTGGAAGTCCTTTTCTTTTGACTTCAATGAACCATCTAATCTATTTAACTCATTGAACTCTTGAATCAAGGAATTACAGTTATTCTCATGCTTAAATTTCGTTCTTTTCAATTCCTCAATGCTATGTTCCATATCTTTTATTGTATTCTCGAAGTTTATCTTCTTACTCACCAAATTTTCGTAGGAATCATCTAATATATCAATTGTGGTCTCTAGCCGTTCAATCTGTTGACAAATTAGCTTTCTAGAATGATTGAGCTGATCAAATTGTGCTAAAGTTTGTTGATATTCTTGATGCGTTTGGAACAAAACCTCTGCTTCCTTGTCCTTTTCTTCAATCTTTAACTTTACATCAGCTACATCATTGTTTAAAATTTCCAGCAAGTTTACAATCTCATTCAAACGACCTTGGATCTTCTTGGCTCTCTCTTTATCAATTTTCAAATGGTTAACACTTTGTTCGATTAATTTTATATCAATCGTCATGTCCTTTTTGATGGTTTTTAAATTATCGAGAACTTTAGTAAACTTGGAGGCTTCAAATATTTCGTCGAACCTCTTCTTCAATACAGATGCTTCACTCAAGGGCCACAAGTTGTCGTCTTGATGACAAAATATAACATAATCTAAAACTGCCCTCGAAGCACCAAGGTGGATTGGGATTCTTGCATCTAACTCGGCATTCTTTGTTGAAAGTGTTTGCTTGTTGCCCTTTTCAATGATAGCCAACTGCCCTTCAAGGGTCTTGAAAGTATTAGAGCTCGCTTTACCATTGGATTTTTTTTTTGTTAGCTGCATTGATCTAGTAGTGATCATTGATCTACCCATGACATCTTTAAAAGCTAATTTTACTTGAGCAGTAACGTTGTTTCGCCCGACAATCTCAGTGTCTATAACGAATGCTCCTCCTTTAGAGTTTGGCGGTAAGTCTCCAGTAGTTGCATACTTCAAACACTCGATAATCGTAGTTTTACCACACCCATTCTGCCCGCAAATGAGTGTTAACGGAAATCCAAATTGGATGGTTTCCGACCTCTCACTATCGAACGACCTGATACCTTGTATCGATAGCTTGAACAAGCTTGACATCAGACACCAAAATGACCTATCACTATCATTGGTTTTAACATCGCGAAAATAATTCAGTAGCATGAAAATACTTCTACAATGGTAATAATAATAACTAAAATTGTAATGGATTAATATAAATACTTTAATTAATATGAGCTTTAGCCAATTCATTAGCTATCTGGTCGACATCTTTGTCTGGTCTCTCTGCTTTGCCAATCAAGTCTTCTTCTAATTGATCCAAGTCAGCATCATTCTCTAACACATCTTCTTCAGCATCCTCCTCTTCCTCCTCTTCCTCTTCACTATCGCACTCTTCTAACTCATCTAGCTCGTCTATCTCACCAAAGCCCCTATCTTCAAATATGGAAATTATCTTTTTGATCTCATCACAATCTTCTTCGAATCTGTTGCCATTCAATTCTAATAGTTGTAGGTTTGGCAAATTATCCTTAATAGCAAAAGTTAAAGCCTCCAAACTATCTTGTTCAAGCTCGTTAAATTGTAGTTTTAGGATTTTTAGTGTTTCCTTGGGTTTCTCGTTAAGAGCATTAACAAGAACTAATGAACCCTTAGGGTTCAACAAAGAGTCATTGAGGTTTAATTCGGATAACTTATCCCATTTGCTCAATGATTGAGCTATAGCTTCAGCTCCACTGAGAGTAATGGTATTGTCTTGAAGATCTAAGATTTTAAGAACTTTACTGTGTGATAAACCTTGCGATACCAATTTTGAAATGCCAGCCGGACGAATACCATTCTGGTACAATTTCACAGTACTCAAGTCCTTATGGTTTCTTAAGCCAATGCTCAAATAATTAATAGATCCATTCTCCAACCTATTTCTACCACAGATAAAAGTCTTCAACGAAGATTTGTTTGCTTCCTTTTTAGCAACGTAGAGCTTAAATAAGGAACTACCTATTCTTGAGCCAGCAAATGGTCCCATACCATTATTTGATAAAATCAAATGTTCGATCGAGATTGCTTTCGATATAAAATCTTCAATAGGATCAATTGTTTGCAATCCGAAGGCATTATCACTTAAGTTAATTAATTTCAAGTTTGGTAACTTTAACAATGCTGGTAAAAGGAATCCCAATGACTTTGGAATCTCAGTGTTCAATCTTCCTGTATATATGTCAGAGAAATCAACTTCAACTAGAGTATCCTTGTGTTGTAATATTGTCTCACTCAAAGCTTTAGATGCTTCGATACCTAATGTGTTGCCTGAGAAATCAAGCTTCTTTAATTCTTTACGATTACCAAGATCTTCTAAATATGGTTTAATATCATCTTCTGCATTGAATTTTAATTGCTTTCCAGCAATGGAGTACGTATTGCTAGAGTTAACACCCAAATCAACATCGACTGTAGCCATTTTTGTTTTCTTTCTATTCTGAATGTCTAAATGGAACTAAATTGAGACATATTAGACTCAAATTAAAAATAAAGCTGATAACACGTGACTTGAGGTTTCGTCCACATTTAAGACAGAGATATGAAGATGCTTCAAGAGGTTGCAGGTAGTATAAAGGAACAACAATGGAACTGAAAGCCATATGAGTTACGCCTTCTATCCTAGTAGAGAAAAATGGTATAGTACGTTCCATTATTTTGGGGAACTTAGTCAGAAAAGATAGCAAGTGGGATCTCTCTCAGAGAGAAAGCTGAAGGCCATTTAATTGGGAGGCTACATTTCAATGCACATCCAGTTGTATCATTCTAACTAGGATTTTGTTGGGTCCTCTTCAATATCATATATTGACAATAATAAAACGAAAAGCAGTTTTATCTTTCTCGTAGCGTGCTCAGGTGACTTTTAATTTGAAGTGAATTTTTAAAAAATTTCTTCGTAGAAATAGCAAACGAAAGACTAGAAGAGCAGATAAAATTGAAATTAAATATGTCAGGTAGAGGTGCAGCACAACCACAGGAATCTTCAGCATTTGAAAAATTTAGAGCATCCCCGGCTTTCACTGTTGGTTTGAACGTTGTTTTGTTTGCCGCAGGTGTTGCATTGATTCAATCGCCAGTGATGGATATGTTGGTTCCGCAATTATAAGGCAAGAGTTGCCAGTATGACTCCTTTTTATCTATAGCTGTGTGATGTGGATTTCACAAGATTCCCCTCAAACAGTTTACTTTTCCTATGGGAGTTTTCTGAAGAACTCTGAGGAACCTTCTGAAGATTGGTTTAATAAGTGTATATACGTTCCCAAAAATCTTATACGTCAAAATGTATGTTATTTTAAAGAATAAGAGACAAGCCCTCTGGTATGTTACTGTAGATCGCCGGCTATCTAAAGCAACTGATGAGCCTATTACTCGACTCGACTATGTCATTACCAAATATTAGATAACTCTTATATTTTCATATCGGGAATGAACTTTGAATTTCTGAGTTTAGCTACATAGTGTGTTGAATGTGGGAGAGAGATATCCAAGTAAATATTAAAATGTTTTGGTCCGTCGACAAAGATGGGAATCCAGTAATAAATAACACGGCAAAATGCTATGCGACGAGAAAGTTCAGTATAATTAATGTCGTGAACAATGTTGCTCACAAGAAAACCCGATTTACGTTGATTCCTTTAACAAAGTCTCAAAATCTCAACTCAGACATGGTTCTCTGATCATATATCCAGCTTTTCCAATAACTTGAGTATATATTCCCAATGCATACATAAGACAAATCAAGACGTGGTCATCAGCTTTTGTGAGCCGATACATACGCCACGCTATATCTTGTTACATGTCGTTTTATGTCAGCTAGTTTTTCTTCGTGGTGGGGATCCTCGGTAAAGTTTTACCTCGGCAAGAGAATGATTTGTGGAGTATGAAAAAAGATAGCATATAAGAAATGCGGCCCCTGCCATCATTGAACTATCGCATCATAAACGAAGACGATTAAGAAGTTATATTTCAAGATGTCTGCTTATAATACTGTTAATTCTGCTCCAGCACCAGATCCCAAGAATTTGATTCAGGTTGAGAGGGAAGCTTCCAAATGGCAACCTCTTGATATGCATAGCTTTTTAGAGGGCGGCAAAGAGCAGTCTGAAGAATTCAGATCAATTGTTCAGCAGTTGGAGAGGGATCCTGTTTTGGCAGTTACTCCAAAATCTTATGATATGACTAAGGCACAACAAAGAGAAGATACGGCTAGAAGGATTGCGAAGTTGGCTAAATATCTCGAGCTCGAAGGGCCAAAGGCATTTAATAGAAGATTAAACATTCTTCAGTTATTGGATCCACAAACAGGTACCAGGGCTGGGATTAATTTAGGTTTATTTTTGCATTGTGTGAGAGGTAATGGAACTGCTGAGCAGATCAAGTATTGGACTTACACCAAGGAGACTGCGTACCTCAAAGGTATCTATGGCTGTTTTGGTATGACTGAATTGGCTCATGGCTCGAATGTTGCAGGTTTGGAGACTACTGCAACATTCGACAAATCCACTGATGAATTTATTATAAACACGCCCCACATTGGTGCAACAAAATGGTGGATCGGAGGCGCTGCACATTCATCAACTCACTCTGCGGTATATGCTAGGTTGATCGTTGATGGTGAAGATTACGGTGTAAAGACCTTTGTCGTTCCTTTAAGAGATTCCAATCATGACTTGATGCCAGGTGTCACTGTGGGTGATATTGGTGCTAAGATGGGTAGAGATGGTATTGATAATGGATGGATTCAATTTTCCAGCGTTAGAGTCCCAAGATACTTTATGTTACAAAAGTTTTGTAAAGTTTCCCGGGAAGGAGAAGTTGTATTACCTCCCTTAGAGCAGTTATCTTATTCTGCATTATTGGGTGGCAGAGTTACCATGGTTCTTGATTCCTTTAGAATGACTGCAAAGTTTGCCACTATTGCATTAAGATATGCTATTGGCAGGAGACAATTCAAATCATCTTTACAATCTGACGGAGAAACACAATTATTGAATTATCCATTGCACCAAAAGAGGGTACTCCCCTCTTTGGCCTTCGCTTACTGCACGTCTCAAGCTGCCTGGAAGTTGGGTAATACCATCGAATCAACTCTTGATGAGTTAGATCTCGCTGTGGAAAAAAACGACATGCGTGCTGTGATGAAATCAATCGAAGCTATGAAGTCATTATTCATTGATTCTGCTGCTTTGAAATCCACTTGTACCTGGTATACGGCTGATGTGATTGATCAAACGAGACAAGCATGTGGTGGCCATGGATACTCATCCTACAATGGTTTCGGTAAAGCATATAATGACTGGGTTGTTCAATGTACCTGGGAAGGGGACAATAGTGTTTTGGCTATGTCCGTTGGTAAGCCACTTATAAAGAGTGTCCAAGGTATCTTGAAAGGAAAGCAGGAAAGAGGATCTTTATCATTCTTGAATAATATTAAAGAATACTTGAATGACAAGCCAGTTTTCACTTCTATTGAAGATGTCAATGATATTAAAAATGTATTGAAAGCTATTGAAGTATTGATCATGAGATTAACGTACCAAGCCTCAGAAACCGTTAAGGAACTGAATGGAAATTTTGATACGGTTGGTGCTGATTCAATTATTCTTTCAAAATTAACTGCTCACCATTACATCTTGAATGAGTATTTAAAGAAGGTTGGAGAATTCGAAAACAAAGATTTGCAGCCTTATTTATTATCATTAGGAAGGTTATATGGGTCGATAATTGTTTTGGAGACCTTCTCTGGTGAATTTTTAACCTATGGAGTGTTACCACCAAAGTTGTTCTCTCAATTAACTTCCAAGTACATTCCCGCCTTATTGGAGGAGATAAGACCAAATGTCATTGCTTACACTGATTCTTTCCAACTCACTGATATGGTTCTTAACTCGGCCATTGGTAATTATGATGGTAACATTTACGAAAACTACTTTTCTATCGTTAAGGCACAAAATCCATCTGATCCGAATTGCAAGGCTCCCTATTCGAAAGAATTTGAAGATTTCTTGAACAGGCCTTCTAAGGATGTGAGAGAAAGATTTGAAAAGTCTCCAGAGACGGAAAAAGTCTTATCAAAGTAATACCAAATCTATGAATTGTACGCACTTTGTTCATATTATTTTACTGAAAATATTTAAAATTATGTTTAGAATTTTGACTAAATGAGTTCTTGTAGTACTTCAAGCATGTATTATTTTATTTCAAGTACATATATAACGTAACCGTATTGTGATTTCGAAAGATAGTTATCCTTATGAATTAATTACCCGCTTGTTAAATTTATACTGCCGACTCCGCTCTTTTTTGTTTATAAGCGAGACATTCTTAAGAGCACTGAGAGGAGAAAGGCCCGATGTTGCAGCATGTGGTTTTACCCCACAAATTGTAGATTATATATCAGAATATGTGGCACTAATACTTCTAATCATTCATGTACTAGGAAGATAATCAATTACTTTGAAGAATCCTTTCTAATCTGTGTCATCTAGTTAAAAAATCAATTTCTGCAATGGTTATTCCTGACTCTTCACTGCTTATTGCTAATGAACGCAAGAATGGAAATTTTGACCCAAGATCAATGCATGAATTTATTGAAGGATCAAAGGAAAAATCTAGGCAAATTCTTGAAATTTACCAATCATTAGAGAGAGATCCTGATTTGGCTTCTAGGTGTGGCGAATATGACGACTCTAATGAAGAAGAGAGAGAAAAGGTTGCGAAAAGAATAATTAAAATGTCAAAATACTTGGAATCAGAAGATACGGAAAAATTTTGGAGAAGATTGAATTTAGTCACAGTTTATGATCCCTCTTTAGGTATTAGAATCAGCGTCAACTTAGGTTTATTTTTAAATTGCGTTAAGGGAAACGGCACTGAATCGCAGTATAATTACTGGGCGAAATATAAAGAGGCAGGCATTATTAAGCAAATTTACGGTTGTTTTGGTATGACAGAACTTGCCCATGGCTCTAATGTTGCTGGATGCGAGACAACGGCTCATTTTGATGAAGTAACTGATGAATTTGTGATCAACACTCCACACATAGGTGCAACTAAATGGTGGATTGGTGGTGCTGCACACTCTTCGACTCACTGTTCTGTTTATGCAAGATTAATTGTCGATGGAAAGGATTATGGAGTCAAGACCTTTATTGTTCCCTTAAGGGACTCTAATCATGATCTATTACCTGGTGTTGCTGTTGGGGATATTGGGGCTAAAATGGGGAGGCATGGTGTAGATAACGGTTGGATTCAATTCTCAAATGTCAGAATTCCCAGATTCTTCATGCTACAGAAATGGTGCAAGGTCTCGAGGGACGCTAAAGTGACGCTACCTCCATTAGAGCAATTGTCATATATTTCATTATTAGGAGGAAGGGTGTATATGGCCACAGATTCCTATAGAATTTGTGCTCGGTTCATCACAATTGCAACGAGATATGGTGTCGGAAGAAGACAATTTAAAATGGATGCGAAAGATTCTGTTGAGTGCCAATTAATGGATTATCCTCTTCACCAAAGAAGATTAATTCCATACCTAGCACTTACTTACGCGATGGCTATGGGCACAAATAAATTGGAGGCACAACACGGAAGGATTGTTAATGAGCTAGAGGATGGAATCAAGAGAAATGACAAAAAAGCGATTAATAAAGCTATAAGTGAAACGAAATCATTATTTGTTGACAGTGGGTCTTTAAAATCAACCCTTACAACGCTAGCTGCAAACTGCATCGATGACACTAGACAAGCATGCGGTGGACATGGTTTTTCGAATTACAATGGCTTCGGAAAAACTTATGACGATTGGGTGGTCCAATGTACGTGGGAAGGAGATAACAATGTTTTAGCAATGTCAGCAGGGAGAGCTGTGATCAAGGATTTAAAAAATGCAGTTGAACAAAAGCCAATTAACATAAAGTTTTTGGATAAGGATTTCTCTTCCAATGACTTGATCTTGTCGGATCTCACGCCGAAGAATATTTTGGATGCTCTCGAATTTTGCATGGTTCGGTTGGGAGCTTCACTATTAGAGACGTTGCATGAAAATGGATGGAGATTTGACTATGTCAGTACCGACTCTGTGATTCTCTCAAAGCTCAGGTGTCATCATTATGTCCTTGAGGCTTTTATTGAACAAGTCGATAGCATTAGTGATCCAAATATTGGAGAGCATTTGAGTAATATTTTAAGATTATATGCTCTAACTAGTGTTGTGGAACAATTTAGTAGTATATTCATGGTTTACAACATCATGGATGCTCGCACCAAGAAGTTAGCAAGTCGCAAGTTAGTCCCAGAGCTCTTGGGAAGAATTAGACCTTTTGTAATCCCTTTGACAGACTCCTTTCAACAATCTGATAATTTGTTGCACTCGGCAATAGGCAAGTACGACGGGGATATTTACGAAAACTACTTTAAAATCGTTAAAGATCAAAATCCATCGAATGCAAACTCCAAAGCTTCTTATTCGGAACAATTCGAAAGTTTTTTGAACAGACCTCTGAAAGATGTTAGAAATAGACTTGAAAGGACTTCAGAAGTTGCTGATATCCTTTCAAAATAGGTGGTGCATTATTTATCAATATATATTATAAATACATATTAGCAATTATCCTATTTATAATTTGGGGAGTATAATTTACAATTGAAATAATATTTACTTTGAAGTATTAAAGCAAAGTAACAATTAGACAAAAGCCATAAAAAAAAGTTGCGGAAAAACCTCCCGGTGGCCAAGCTGGCTAAGGCGCGAGACTGTAATGAGTTCTCCTCAAAGGAATCTTGAGATCGGGTGTTCGACTCACCCCCGGGAGAATATTTTCGCATTCTATTATTTTTTTTGTTCCAAGGACCACCACATGAGTGCCCATACCCCTATTGTACAGCGAATTAGCCCTTACAGACTTAGCAGGAGCCTTTTAAAGCATAACATATTTCTTTGAAGTAATTGTGTAATTAGAAGCCAAATCCGATAGCGTATATGTAAAATTTTTATTTTAGCGTGACATGTATCTTTTCCTTGTTTTCCGTGCTCCTTCACAACTTTAGACGGCAAAAGAATTATTCCAACACAAAAACATTAAATAAACCACTTTCGCTGTTTTGCACTAGAGGATAGTAAAATTATTAAAACAACAAATTTGATACTAAAATGAATTCTGAAAAAATAGTAGCTGTCATATTGGGTAAGTAGATTATCATAAGGGGAATATTTGGCATAAGAATTAGGACGACGCTGTGGGAGCGCTTGCGCATGAAATTTGGTTATTCAGACATCAATAGGGGCATTACATAGATGTGAAAAAGAGGAAAGAAAGAAATTGGATGAATTCGAAGAAGTAGGTAACAGTATTGGAACAATAAAGCCTTCAGCAATACTTCTGATGACTGATGACTGATGACTGATGAAAGTCCCCGAGATAACCGTACACTATTTCTATGCGATAACCATACGAGTATTTTTACTAACATCAGCAGCGCTTTTCTTACCGCCACTTGCGGTGTTCATGAAAGAGGGTCTCACCACGCCATTGTGGATTAATTTGATCTTATGTTTATTTGTCTGGTTTCCTGCTATTTTACATGCTTTGTATGTTGTTTTGAAAGATTAGATACTCTTAAATATACGTATTCCACCGAAAGCATTATTGAAAAATGTAGATTTCTCGAGTCATAGAGAGATAAATAAGATGCACCTCTCCTTTGGACACACCAAAGTATTTGGACATGCTAGGTATGCTTGAAAAGAGCGCGAGGCGTACCGAGGAGGTTTCGCCAAATTAAGCAGTCAAAGGATGAACCCGCAGGCGTAATTTTATTTTCTTCAATTCTTGTCCATATGTGGCGTCTAGACTTTTGTGATTGAAAAGAAGAGTGGACAAGGGTAGTAGGTAAATATCTAAAATGATGCTATACAATCCCTTATGAACTTCGTTACTATTCTCTGATTTGTCCCACGAGTATTTCCATGAACGTCCTCAAGTAACTAATTTATGTTCGACAAGCATATTAATGTCGCTCTATCGATGTCGTACAGAATGACATGCGAATTAGTGTCTTTTTCACTTCCAACTAGTAACTGGGCATTGGATCTCGCTATGCAAGTCGACGTTCGCTCGAGCTCAACACTATCGTCCGCGACAGCGATCACTATTTCGCAGCATAATTTTTCCATGCATCGAGTAGCGAAGGAGGGCTCTTCGCACTACTGTTCCAAGCCGCATCTTATCTATGGTTAATATCCCAGTGCGAGATCATATCCGCCAATAGAAATCATGAATTTGGTAACTGCAAGAAGATAAAAAATGTGCAAGGGGTCCTGTTTTCTCAAAGTAACAGCTAGTTCGACAATATATTCAAGATTGATCCCTCCTCGAGGGAACTGATCTCAAGAATAGATTCTTTTATACTACAACCCATTCAGCAAGGGTATAGTTTATAGGTACGAGATCCAGCAATTCAAAGGGGACGCTCCGAGGAAAGTTTGCAAGAAAAGTTTGAGATTTGGTGCCAAAGGAGCGTAGAGTACCGCAGGAATAATAGGATTTTTGAAGGAACGGCCGTGGATTTTCGAGAACTGAACAAGCACATAAAACGTTTAGAAAATTTGCATTGATGATGGCTGAGAATACTTCTGAACTTCCACCGTTTTCATTTAAGAAGAAACCGGTAAGTCAATACTCGTCTTATACGTCTACTCACTCACATATATCAGACATCCTCCCTTCTACTAGTTCTAATCGATCAGGTAGTGGAGACTCTAGTCATGCATCTTTAGCAGTATCAACTACTCAGCCATTAGATACTTGCAAAGAAGTGGACTATGATGAGCAAATAAGGGCGCCACGAATGAACAACGCAAGTTTCTTTAGTCTTGGAAAAAAAGGCGATGAGAGTATGGTTAGTGGTGGCTCGAATAAACGAAGCAACAGCGGGTCTTCGCTTTCGAATGAAGGTGATCTTGAGGTTGAGAAGAAGTCATCTCTCACTGATAACAAATACGAACCTGCTATTTTTGATCTTTCGAAACCTACAAGACGTTTTTCAGCACCGACAAGTTCAGTCAATGATTATTCGCAGGCAACTATTCTTGACTACACAAATGGTAATTATATTTATCAGAAAGATAACGACGAACACCGAGAGCTATCGAAAGCTCTTGATAATCTCATTAGTAACACATCCTCTCAAGAAAAGCTCAGAAGAGTTAAAAATGCGGTCTTTAAAGATAAAATACAGTTGAGCAATAATACATCTAGCATAAAGCAAGTTTATGAGCCTAAGAAGCCTTTGAGTACCCCTGCAGTGCTACGCCCTGCTAATGAAAATAAAGGTGAAATTGATAATGAACAAGGAACCATAATAGATGAGTCAAGCTCTATATCTATGCCAAATAGTGAAGTGCTCTTGGATTCTTTAGACGATTCCAAACAACTCAATAAAGTTCATTGGAAACCTAATAGCTTTACAGATCACTGTATGAGATGCTTCAAAAGCTTTGGCAACTTTTTTTCTCCCATGAAAAGACGAAGACATCATTGCAGATACTGTGGCTTTATCTTTTGCTCCGACTGCTTGATAGATAATGAACAGGATATCGTATTGTTGGATAATGATGCCAGATTCATGATCCCAATATATAAAAATTTATCTTCAATTAGTTTCCATGAATTGTTCTTGAAGAATTTCAAAAACGTAAAAATTTGCAAGAAGTGCTTTGAAACCTACTCCAAATTAATCAACACATTGAATTTAAAAAATTTGAAGCTACCATATGTTTTCATAGAGAATCCCTACGTCGTTAAGGCTGAGAAAGAGATCGAGAGGAGCAATGAAATCAATAAAGAATTTAAAGATGAGGACTTGATTAATGAGCCTCCAATTATTGTCGATTCAAAAAATAGAAAATCGTCTATTAACAACGTTCCAACAGATTGGGTTTGGAGCTCATTTTAATTTTACTTTGCACGCTATTCAAAAATGCATACATCTTCACACACAAAACTTCTATTCTTTACCTGCTCTTAAAATTTGGTCATATTCAATTTTTATTCATCTATTAGAATTAATTAATTTATTACTGATTATAGTTTTTTTATAAAACGGTGTACTTTTATTAGAATTGCTCAAAAATTCTTATACTGATTTAAAAAGTTTTCAAGTGTAAAGTACTTGGTTAATGATAAAACTGAAGACTTTACTAATACCTTCTCTATATTGCACATGACCATCAACACACTCGAATATATAATCTTCAATACAGTTATTATAAAACTGTACCCACTTCAATTTTGGTAAATATGATTTGAAATCCCTCGCCAAGTTATTAAAATGATAGAAGTTATCACTCTTGAGTGTGCTATTGAACTGTAATACTTCTGCATTTATCAAAGAATTTTCGGGAGATTTCGATTTATTCAATTTCGAATCATCTAGATTTAGCTTGAGACATTTCAATTCCTTCAATGGCTCCACAAGTTTGAACAAATTTGTGATCTGGTATTGATTTATTTGAAGGCTGAGATACGTCAATTTTTTGAAGTTTGACAACTTTCGTAATGCATCAATGTTATAATCGAAGGCTTTAAATTTCAATAAGCTATCGGGCAAATCTAGCTTTAAGTCTAAGAAAGTGAGTTTATTATTTGGTATACTTTCCAAAGTAATTGCTAAGTTTTGATTTATGTTCTCCGCCCTGTTGTATTGCAAGTAAAGGTTCAATCTTTGAAGATTCTTAAAACGACTCATAAAAGTCAAAGTTGGTATATTGAAGTTCAACTCATTAGTCATTTTAAGATTTAATGTCTCTAGGTACGGAAAGCTCAAATCAGATAGAAACGTATAATTAGGGGGTGTTCTCCTTATAACTTGATCGTCCTCAAAAAGCACTTCATGACAATTTATGAGAGATAAATCCTTTAACGTGGAAGAATTAATAGAGTTGATCAAAAGTTTAGAGTCCGAAGGACGCAAGTGAATATCCTTCAATGTAAGAGATTCAAGATTCAAAAGCAAAGAACCCTGAAATAATTTTGAAATACAATCAATATCATCTGGAGTTGTAGAGCTTGAGTGCTCAGGAATTTGAAGAAATTTGTTTGATGGCGATGGTGTCTTCGATATGACGAGAAACTTTAAATTCGGATAATGAGACAAATCAACATTTGAAAGATTTGATGTAGTTTTGAAATTCGAGATATTCAACAGCCTTATATTCGCAAATCTAGACTTTTCGTTCAAGTTAAAATTGCCATCTAATTCAACCAACAGCCCGTATCTTGGAACTTTTGTTATAATGCTCCAATCAATATTATAATTGCAGTTAAACCACGCGAAGGATTTTAACGCAATCATGTTCGGAATAATTTTATTCAAATATTGAATCAATTGAAATTCTCCAATATCCGGAATATGATGCTTGAAAACTATTTTTGTAATGTAACGAGCATAATGAGGGTTTTTAATAAGATTTTTCAAAAATAATTTCAAAGCATATATGTTGCTAATGCAAGAAGGATGAACTAATAATGAAGTGTTATCTATTGGTATAGTGAATGGATCCACAACCTCATTTGAATATATTTTTTTGCTTGCATCAATACTGATGGCCCTATACAACATGGGTATCATTATAATGCTGATATGTCTGCAAGTAGATGCAAAGTTTGAGCGTCCACTTTGATCAAGATGGAGCCCAATGTTCTCGATAAGTTCTGTTGGAAATTGATGTACCATAATGGCTTACTATCCCCTGCACTGTTAACCACATAATCTTCTTTCCTTTTTTCTTTATATATATAGTTCCCGTAGTACCGGCATCTGGGGTTAGAAAAAAAAAAAATTTCGATGAATCTCCGTATTTCGGTGCAGTCAGATGTGTTTTTGACGCGTTTATCTGATCGGATCTATATGTCCGGGATCAATAAAAGAGAGATCATGATTTATTATTTGCGAAAACGATCGACACCACAAAACAAATAGATGAATTGTAAATTGGATTTATTTTTGCTTGGATGAAGTTTAAGCTCATTTACTTCAAGAATATATATACAAGTACGGTCTTTTGGAGTTGACGCTGCCAAAATTCAAGATAGATGCATAAAGACAGCTCTTTTTCAGAACAAGGAATGTATTATACTCTAGATCGAGACTAAATGCAGTAAATGCTAAAACGACAATCAGAGCCACAATAGAATTACCATATATTTGATACCACCGTCATAGCATCTATGTAGCTAAAGCCAGTGATATAGTGAAACAATTTTACCCAGATAAAATCTCTGTTCATAGAACGTAAGATTTCGTAACTTTAAGAAAACCCCATGAACTATTACTATAAGTTCTTAGTGATTAAGGTAACCATGAGATGTGAGACAAAACTTCACGACATTGCGGCCCATTTTCTATCAAAACGATATACGACTTTTTCTATTAATCGCATTTGTGTTATTTTTGTATGCAGTCGGTGCATTGTTTGGCGCTGTGGTGTGTTTGGTCAAAACCCTCCGGAATAGGGATCTACCTCGGCACAGCTATGTTACGATATATCGCCTTTACCCGGTTGCTGACCTAATGCTACATTGTCGCTTAGCTAAAGTGTCGGCAGTCCGCACTCCAGATGCGGCGGCTTTTGCTTAGGTGTCAAAGCGGACGCCTAGACAAAATTCTTTGCGGTAACGGCTCACCGGCTATAAACGCCAGCGGGGCAATCGTATGTTGAACCGGTCACTATAGTCTAGCGACAAAAGTTCAAGTTGCAGCAATATGGCATCAGCTCTGAGCAAAAACATAAGCTCAAGATATAAATTATAAGCCAGTCTTGAAGCTCATATAACTATCTGTATTTTAAATGTAAACTTATGATTTCCCAGTATCAGGGAATTATTACGAAATACTTCGGTTTTCTAAGTCGAGTCAGAAAACGAAATTGGTCGTGTAGATGATCAATTGCTTGATATTAATAATTGTTCCCTATTACTCAAGATATTATCGCTAATTCCAGAGAAAGCACAGGTCATACCAGACGCCCATATCAACAAGTGGCGACGGAGCTGGAGGTAGTACTACATTAAGTTATAAGTAGAAAAGTTAGTGGATAGAGCCAAGCATATACATAGAAGATATAGAGGCAACGGCAAAAACTGATCGAGGGGCTCAGAGAAACAAATTGCTGGACGGATTGAGGGACAGACGATTGTTATAGAAGACATTGGAGCAGAAGACATTTAAAACATCATCTGTATAAATAGGCGCACCGTTTTTAAGAAAACGAGACGGCGACAGGCACATTGGACAGCGATAGGGAAACCACCGCCAGGGGCACGCAGGACGGGATGTTCAATACTCAGATCTTTGAGAACTCAAACTCTGCAAACACATCGGCCATCAACATACCTAACAGCCAGAATAGTGACAACCTTTCGATACCCCAGCCAATAGACATTACATATCAAAGGCAGCAATCACTCCTTAATAACTCAAGGTTCAGAAGAGAGTCACTTGCGCATTCGCAAGGTATGGGTGGCGTATCATGGGGGTCAGTCACAATAGGCTCTTGGCTCAAGGATGAAGTCATGATGTTTGGTGGATCTCAGGTGCAGGGAAATGGAAACAATAATAATAATAATAATAATAATAATAATAATAATAATAATGCTAATCTCAACTATGGTGCCAATTTGATAAATCCAAGAAGAGGTTCCTTCCGTTACAATAACCATCCAGGTATTTCCATGTCACCTCCTAACCAGACATCATATTTACCTGATTTGGAGGCAGATTATTGTAAAGATTACAGCTGTTGTGGCCAGCTTCTACCGACTTTGCATGATTTATTGAGACACTATGAAGAAGCACATATCAGTCCATCACCACCAATGGAGCAAAATGAAATGTTGGTAGCTAATAGAAACAAAAACAACCTCAATAATATGCATAACATAATGGAGACGGTTTCCACAAATGATGTGTTTTTGAACAACACACATAATAACAATCATCTAGCCGGTAACATTAATCAACGTTTAACCAATGATCAACATGGAAATGTTCAAAATAATTTAACTTTGCCCGTGAGCCAATTCAGTATTCAACAAGATTCTATCGACCGCCTATCAAACGAGAGCCAACATGGGAACTCTCATCAAAATATGAACTTGACGGGGAATCATTTCAATATTCAACAAGACACTGTTGGCCAGGCTTCAGTAATATCGAATTCGCAAAATCAAGATGACTTTCAGCTGCAACACCATCAACAACAACGTAATCTCCAACATCAGAAACAACAGCACACAAATCAACTTCATCAAACTCAAATACATCCCCACCAAGTCCACCATATTCATCAACAGCAACAGTCGCGTCCTCATACTCCATTGGATGATGAGGATGCAATGTACATAGATGATCCAGCGCGCCATTTGTATGTTATGGAAAATAATGAGCATAAACCCTACAAATGCCCGGTGATAGGATGCGAAAAAACTTATAAGAACCAAAACGGCTTGAAATATCATCGTTTACATGGACATCAGAATCAGACCTTAAAAGAAAATCCCGACGGAACTATATCTATAATTGATCCTGAATCAAATACTCCTTACTTGGATGGTGCTGGCATGGAAAAAGATAAGCCTTATAGGTGTGAAGTTTGTGGTAAGAGATATAAGAATCTCAATGGCTTGAAATATCACAGGGGTCATACCACTCATTGATTGTTGCATTATTTTAATTTCTGTTAATTAGTATATCTTCGTTTTAATTTCTTGTGTTTAAAAAGTTCTTTCATTTAGCTATATAGATAGTTCAACCTTAACTTTTGTTAAATGTTTGTGTAATATATTCAGGAGAAATATAGACACGTCTTTTATGAGTTACTAGCTACACCATATTGTGTTGATTGCAAAATGGTAACGCTAGGATTGTCTCTTCCGTTGTCTTTAACGAGGAAATGGCTCTACATCATTACGTATTTGTTCTCGGTATTTTGCATTCTATTACCAATATCAATTGCTGCCTTCGCATACTTTTACTCAATTCTCATACCTGATGCTGTTATAAAGGTACCATTAATATTTACACCGAAAGATGCGTTATCCAAGACCATATCCATGCCAATTGCCTGGGATAATTCCCTAATTGATGATATGGTGATATACGATGCAATTGTTGACTTAGCAATCATATGCGAAAGAGCAAAGCAAAGTGACAGTTTTAATGTTGATTACGAGATTTCGAAGCTTAGTATCACAGGCTCAACATTTTTGATATGTGATCCAAGAGTCACTCACAGTATTTCAAACTCATTTGTGCCTTTCAAATTGAGACCCTGGGTTCCACCTTTTCTCGTCAATTGGAATACGAGAGGTCACATTAAGTTTAAAATAGTAAACTTGAATAAAAAGGGTTTGAATGATCTAGTAAATAGCATCATTACCTTATGGGGATATTATATTGTTGATAATGATGCATCTCTATTGACTTTAAGTGTCCAATGGCAAGGCTTCAGGTTTTATCTTGTGCGTTATCATAAAACATCATTTGTGTTTGGTGTTGGGTTGTTTTGGATCGTTAGCTCTATAATGTGCCTAATAACGGCCATGTATATATGGTCAATTGATACAAAAGTGAAAGAAGAAAATATTCAAAAAGGTGTGAAAGTAGAATAGTGTATTAATACATGAGTCTAATAAATAAACTAACCAGCGTTCAAAAACTTTGCTTCGTTAAAATTATCAGCAGTCAAGAATGGAACAATTTTCTTAAAATAATTGAACTCATTGAAATCCTCTAGAGAATTTGATTCAATGTCAAGCTTGTCAAGATCGATTCTTCTTCGAAGATAAGTTTTATATTCTTCGATGATGGAGTTTAATTCATATAGTGATTTTCCAATATTCATCCACTTTACAGTATTAAGGCTTCCATAATCTTTGAAAACGCTCTGATCATAATCTAGATATTCAACGTCAGACTCTCCATATTCAACTTCACACTCTTCGCAGCTGATGTAGAGCTTATTAAAAGAGTCATTATTGATGAAGATGGATATTGAAGGAATTGAAGGTTTCTTCGGGATACCGTTGATTGAATCGTTAGTCTTCAAATTTTCACAAACCTGCCTGCTATAGTTACTGTTGTGGAATGCCCTAACATGGCTATTATTCGTAATTGCATACTTGTTGTATAGGACTTCATTATCAATCAAAACATCAAATTTATAAATTGGCCTGATTGGTTTTGGAGGCATTCTAAATAATTCAGGAGGTTGGTTTACTTCTGTCTCAGTTGACGAATCAGACTCTGAAGATGAAGTGTTCGAGAATTCAGTAAAAGATGTTGGAGTTGAGTTGAACGACATAATACTTGGACTTGAGCTTCTTGATTTAGTGGAATAAGTAGTTGAAAGCGAAGTCATCGAGTGAGACGATCTCCTGACAGTAGGAGCTTTCTCTGAAACAGCCTTGTTGTTTTCTGTTGAAATTATCTTGAAGATTTTTCCAATAGAATCAACTAGAGAGTGACTCAGTGATGACGAGCCTGTCGACTTAGAGTTAGCCGTGTCATCTGAAACAGCAGGTAATGAGGAACAAGTGTAAATGGCTTCATCAAATACTTCGAACGGATGAGTTTTTCTCAATTCACTGAATTTGAGGGTCGCAGGAACAGATGTAGATAAGTCTTGGTCACTATTCATTAACATGTAATCATCTTTCGTATTCACCGGGAGGATTCCAAATTTTCGATTTGCCATAGGGCTTTCTGGATGGCATCTCAATTTAGACCGGGAGGCATATTCTGCCAATTTCATATGTGACAGAGAAATCTTAGTCTCGATACGTCTAGTAATCATCATTGAAGAAGAAGATTCAAAATTATTAATTCCAACCATCCTCCAGACCAATAATCTCAAGTAATAAGATCTTACAATGGGATTCCAATGAGTCATGAACCTTTCAAAAGTTTCATTAGAAATCAACCAGTTAGTCAAATTCATCTTATAAGTCAAATTAACATCAGCAAACCAAGTCAAATGAGAACCCTCATTATTAGATATCGAAAATGTCTCTGGAATCATATTCCAAATGTTAAACAAAAATGCGAAGTTCTTCAACAAAATTTGAATATGATCTGTTTTACTTATCATCATATATGTGCAACTCAACCAAAATTCCCAGTTAATATTAGAGTCAACATGATTAATAAATTCATAAACTATGTTTAAAATTAAACTATTCTTGCTGTAATCATAAATGCTAATTTCCTTTGATATATTAATGAGTAAATTGTCAACTAGAGCAATAACACTTCCTCCAAACAAAATGTTGGGCGAAAAATTAATGTCTCTTAATATCTTGAATATCTTTATAATTGAATTATAATACACATCATTCTGTTGGGTATTTTGTGCTCTATTAGTATTGCTCCCGGCAATTTGTTGTAAAGGGCTTGTGGATTGGGAAACAAAGACCGGTTTTCCACGTGAATCATCTTGTTGAATGGCAGGCCCAGAAATTTCACCCGTGGGCTTGTTTGCTAAATTCAGTGAGATTCGATTGAATGATACTCCAAATACTTGATATATATGACTTAAAATGACGGAGAAACCTGGGCATTGGAGTAAGACATCAGATTCCACAGTTGAATTACCAAAAAGATGTTGTAAAATCGTAATATAATGCCTAAAAAAGGAATTGAAAATGTCGCTATCGCTACAACACCAGCGTCTAACCCATGCACCATTGGGGTCTTTGATTCCTTTCACTGGGTGCTGAGGTGGTGGGACGCAATTAATATGTAACTTCTGTCTTTTCGGTAGCTTCGAAATACCGTTAAAATTAATAAAATGATGAAGATGCTTAGGAAATATTGAGGCCAAGAACTCGACACTCTCTTTTGATGCATTAGGGGCCAGCAAACTTTTCATGTTTGATTCCAATACTGACTGTTTAACGTTAAGTAGAAATAACAACGCATTGCTCACTTGTGGCAAAATAAAGTAAGAATAAGCAAAAACCTTACCCACAAACGCAGACATTGCTAATGGAATAAATTTCAAAGTTTGAAGTTTAACGACGCAATAATCCATTGTAGATATCAACAAGCTCTTGTATGGTTCGAGTAAATCATTATCGACCTTAAACCATTCCTCTCTAGCAATTATCCTCGATATACATTCTAAGTAAGCATTTCTATTTGTGGAGGAAATTTGAGGCAGAGACTGATTCAAAGCAGATAATAAAGAACTCCACCACTTTATTAAGATTGATAACAACACGCTCAGTAAACTCCTATAAATCTTCGAGCTTATGCAGAAGTTTTCACTTAGAGATTTGTTCTGCCTCAAGAATACAAGTATAGTGGTACGGAGAATGTTGGTGTTTCTAATGCCATTTGCTTTAGAGTTAAATTTTGTGAGAGCCACCTCCAACTTTTTATATTGCTTCATGTACGACTTGATACGTCTGTCATCCTCATCAGAGTGTTTTGGAGAAATGGTGAGTGAACTTCTGCGCGAGCTTCCACTCCTTGCTAATGGTAGGCTTGAGGCACCTTGATGCCCAAGCGTTGACAACGAATTAGTCGACGAGCTTGAATGAGTGCTACGCATCGACTTTCTTCTGCTAATGTTAGCAGCCTTAGAAAGTACCTTAGACATACGGGGCCCTGAGTGTCGTGTTTCACAGTATTGAACGTTCCTGTGCACGTGTAGTCCAGCGAGTGACTAGTTTGAAGCGAGTGACTAGTATGGCTCTTCAAGATCGTCTCTATTAGGTGCTAGCAATATGTGAGCAAAGGAACTATAAATCCAACGCCAAACTATATCACAGTAATCTAACCCCTAGTTTTATTGCTATATTGCACCGATGCCTAGTCAGATATTTATTGTTTTCGTTCTTTTCAAAATTGATATTCCCTACTCGCTATTATCGGATATTATTTTCGGTGTCCCAGAGATAAGTCTACTACCCCAGTATAGGTCGCTCCACTGCCTTTTAAATCTAAATTACCACTTGTAGGGAGCTCAGTATTTAACTTAGTTACCTATTTTGACTTAACCTCTTTTGATGCTGACTTATCCCTGCTTCATAACGAGAATTTTCCTGAGCTATACAATAGCAACATATATACTAGTGAGAAAAAATGTGCTGCCAATTATAAAACACCCGTGGTGACAGGATCCATCACAATCCTGTTTGAAGGAGTCGATTAGAAAGGTGCTCGGAAACGGAAGAAAGCAAGATTCCACTTTAGGACGCAGCATTACTTCAAGTATCCAGGCGAAATGCTTATGCACAGGGCTGAAACAGGGGATAGTAAACACAAGAATGTAGAAAACCTAGCAAGCAATCTACAAAATGAGATAAAGGCTTGGAAAAATTGGGAGAAGAAATGATTAGAGAGGGTGAATATTCTAATATGCTTGCGCAGCAGTATCCTCCCGGAATCAAGGGAACTATAGAAAAGTGATGAAAGTGTCTTTATTGGTAATCGCAGGTATAGATGTTACGACCGTTGGTCAGATATCAGTGCGCATACTAGCTGAAGCCCCTTAAAATGTAATTTTGTAAGCCAGCCTTCTATTTTGTGGTATGGAAGGCTTCAAGTAAACAAGGCATAAAAGGAACTTGGGATTGTGTAAGTTTATAGAGGACCTGGAATGCGCTAAGTAATTCCTTTGAAAGCCATGCTAATTACCTAAAGCATGTGCATCCATATGAGGACAAGAAAGTCGATGTTCGAGGATGATGTCTTGGCCAAACTGTATTTTCTCAGCTAACACAATAATTACTATATTACATCATCCTTGGAAGTAGTACAGTGTCAAATTATCAAAAAATATTTTGGGTCGGAAGACAATTGAGGAAACTACAACGTGGATTTATGCCATATGTCTTCTTAAGATTTATTTCGTAAAAAGCATCCATAAGTGCTCTAAAGTGCTTCCATGTTAGCTTTTGAGATACAGAACTATATGGCTGTTGATAAACGCTAAATTCCTGTAGACTAACTTAGGGTCACATGAAGTCTTTTGAGTTTTTATTATATGCAGATCTTATAGATCACTTTCGATTAATGAAAAACAGTCGCTATTTAAACACTAAATATTAAGGTAAGATTAAACAAAAACATGGAGATTACGCCAAATATGTCGCAAAGATCAAGATCTAGATCAAGATCAAGGACACGTAACCTGAGCAATACTTCTAGGTCAACGAGCTCTACAAGAAGACCCTCATTTGGTTCAAGACGATCCTTGAGCTCGTCTTCACTAACCAAACTCCAAGTAACTCCGACTCCGTTTGAGCCTGATAGGTTCATTCCAACGGTGCAAGCTCATCTAGATAACTCTCTTCCTTCGGATTTTTTTAAGCAAGATATTTTAGGACTCGTCAAGGCTTTGAAGATTTCAAAATGGCACAAGCATGAATTAAATCCAGCTCATTTGTTGGCAACTAGAATATCAGGCGCTTTAACGAACTCGATATATAAATTGGAGTACCGGGATCTACAGCAAGACTTATCTTTACCTTCTCTTTTGTTAAGGGTATATGGAAAAAATGCAGGCTCTATCATCGACAGAGATCTGGAATTGAAAATCTTAATTAAACTTAATCAAAAGAAAATTGGGCCTCGTCTTTTAGGTATATTCACTAATGGGAGGTTTGAACAATTTTTAGAAGGATTCATAACCCTTAACAGAGATCAAATTAGAGATGAAGTGATCTCCCAAATGATCGCCAGAAGAATGAAAGACTTGCATTATCAGATCAAATTAAGCTCAGCAGATAAAGAATCTGAATTTCCTATGTCATGGAAACTAATTTATAAATGGTTGGACATTTTAGAGAGAGATTATATACCTGGCTTCAGAGAGCATGGCTTGAGGGAAGAAGATTTGTTTTTTGTTAATTTTCAGAAATTCAAACAATTAATAGAGCATTATAGGGAATGGCTATTTAATAAATATCAAGATGATATTTCAGGAAATTTTAAATTTTGTCACAATGATACTCAATATGGTAACTTGTTGTTACATGAGTCCTTTTCGCCGTCAGAAATCGTAGTTCAAAATCCACCTAAAGAGGAGGATAAGAATATTGTACTCAAAGCAACTTCCAATAAGAAGGATAACTATTTAGCGGTTATTGATTTTGAGTATTCAGGTCCTAATTTGCCAGCCTATGACTTAGTAAACCACTTTTCTGAATGGATGGCCGACTACCACGATCCAGAAAAATCGTACTATATTGATGAAAAACAGTATCCATCAATGGTCCAGCGGTTGAATTTCATCAAGAGCTACGTTGAATACGACTTCAGGTATCCTTCCTCCAATTTAAAAACTAAGGATTCTCCAGACGTTAGTTCGGCAAGCGCAAGTGAATTGATAGAATTCGAAATCAAGAAAATCTATAACGAGTGCATTTTATGGAGGCCCACTGTGCAACTTTTTTGGTGTCTCTGGGGTTTACTTCAAAATGGATCCACTCAGCCGACTTATGTCCCAGGGTCCGAACAAGGTGTCGATGGAACTTATAATATTACTACGGCAGTTGAAGGTTTAAACTTTAATGATAATGCCATTTTGGAAGAGATGACTTCCTCTGATGATGATTTTAATTATCTCAAATATGCTCAACAAAAAGCTGCCTTGATCATTGGTGACTTCATTAATTTTGGATTTGTAGAACAAGATGATACTGAAGAGAAGCTCCAAGACATTATCAAAAACTTGGATACTGAGCTCTACGAAATATGAACTACTTGCATATTAATAATTTTTCTTTTATAGATTTAGACTAGTTACTAAATGAAAATCAAGTCGCATGCTGCTCTTAGCTGTTGACTGTATACAATAAAATTGTCATTACAATTAACTCATTAACTGTAGATTCAGCAAAAGAAGTGACCTAAGATGCTTTCTTTCAGAACGACTGGCTACAACGGCTATGGCATTCAGTATTCGCCTTTCTTTGATAATAAAATAGCTGTTTCAACAGCGGCAAATTATGGATTGGTTGGAAATGGAAAATTATTCATTTTGAATATAGAACAAGATGGTAGCATTGTAAATCAAATAGCTTGGGAAACCCAAGATTGTTTATTTGATTTAGCATGGAGTGAAATACATGAGAATCAGGTGAGTGCTTGCAGTGGTGATGGTTCAATCAAGTTATTTGATTTAGCAGTACCACAATTTCCTGTGATGAATTGGCATGAACATACAAGAGAAGTGTTCTCTGTTAATTGGAACCAAGTAGATAAGAGTATGTTCGCTTCCTCGTCGTGGGATGGAACAATAAAGATTTGGTCCCCACAGAGACCTGAGTCCTTGCTCACTTTGTCATCCTCAACTGATCCTTCTGTTAGAGTTATGTCCCCTCAAAATATACCCCCTAAGTCTCATCAAATGAAGCATCAATCTCAGCAACCTGGTCAGTCTGACACAATTAATTGCATATATAATGCTACTTTCTCACCCCATTCGCCTTCTGTGATTTTGAGTGTAAGTGGCTCGTCGAACATCCAGATATGGGATATTAGGGCACCTGTTCCACTACAGCAAGAATTTGTAGCACATAGAGGATTAGAGTCCTTGGGATGCGACTGGAATAAGTATAGATCTACTGTGGTTGCATCGGCGGGGACTGATAAAGCTGTTAGGGTATGGGATTTGCGTCAAATAAAAACACAGTCTCAAAATTCTACCATTCCTGGCCCAGCATACCATCTTAGAGGACCAACGCCACTCAATGAACTCTTGGGTCATGAATACGCTGTCAGAAAAGTGCAATGGTCACCACACTCGGGTAAAGAGCTAATGAGCACATCATACGATATGACTTCTAAAATTTGGGTGGATGACTCAGGTGAAAGAACACGCTTCCATAATCATGGCGGATGCAGAGGAACTATGCGATTACACAAGGAGTTCGTGATTGGCTGTGACTATAGTTTATGGGGTGAGCCTGGCTGGGCTGCAACTACTGGCTGGGATGAGATGGTATATATTTGGGACTCTAAAAGAGTACATTAGATTTATTAGTAAATAGAGACTTCCTATAATAGCCTTATGATCCTTAAGTCACTAAGCGCTAATGTCCGGATAGCACCGCCAAGCTCCGAAAGTCATACTTTTGAGCTGATCCCCATAGCATAACAAGTTTCCTATCAAACTTCCCTTTTAGATAACTACACAATAAACCTTCATGCTCTAAGACTACTATGTTCGGTAGTGTAAACTTTGAGTCAAGATCGATTTTTGATTCCATATGCTCGATTACGAGATAATTTCCTATTCAAGTAATTAAAGCAACTCATCATAATGAAATATTTCCCAAAAGCCTCGAAATGTAAACATATCATAGGCTGATGTTCATTTAAATGTTCATATGCTGCAGCAGTTCACATTGAGATATTACCATAAACAACTATTTTATAGAAGGGGTTCTTCAAGGAAAACATATTAAAGCAAATCAATTCTACCCTTCTGACTTTATATCTAAAGGTTTGCTTCGTTTCTCCAACGGCATGCTTGACGGGTTGTGGATCTTATAGACTTATAATAATAAAATATGTTGCATACCATCGATCACAACTTAGTCGTTTTTACTTTAGATTATACCTTCTTACTTTTATTTGAGAATAGCAAATTTTTTAAATCAGAAAGCGGGTTATGGAGGAACTTCTTAACTAGTGATACCGTGGCTCAAAACTGCCTTTATCAACAATATCAGATCATAGACAATTTAAGACCTTTGCGAAAAGTCATAACTGAAATTAACTACAGCAGTGAGCCTGGGGATTTTGTCAACATCTTGGAACCTCAATTGGGTAACTCAATAATAACTTTTTCAGTGAATGGTTCTCTGCGGTTTATCACTTCTGCCAGAATCAAGATTTTGCAATCATATAACAAAGTGGGGTATAAGAAAATTGAATTAACTGAGAAGCAGTTCAGCAATCTTGATGAGCAGTTCTTCTCTAATTTGAAATTGATCGCAAAGCACTATAATGTTGAAATCTCGATAGACAACATTGATACAGATTTTAAATCGATCAATAGATCTTCGCCAGAGTATTTTATCTACATTTTAGGTAATATTGATAACATTGCAGTAGCTGAAATACAAACAAGAATTTTAATTGATTCAATGATCAACAAATTTCGTTTGCATTCTATAGAAATAGATTTATCGCTCATCCCCTTGATTGGAGGTACTGATTTATTTGATTTCAGTTTGGTTGCACAACAACTGAAATCTAACATTTATGTTCCTGACTTGCTTCCTGAACTTTTCAATTCCAAAGTCTTGCTGTCAAACTTCAAGCAAAAAATTTACATCACTGCTAAAGAAGCCACGCAGCTCTTATTAGCAGAAAAGTTAGTTTCAAATATAGTAGAGGAAACTAAGGATGCTTACATCACACAAACTATTGATCTAAGTAAAGTAAAGCTTGATTCATTTAGCTTGCACAATCAAAGTGATATTTTGAATATAATGCTTAAAAACGGGACCTTTATTCAATTGCCATCATTGGGGGAGCCGAATAACTTCCAAATCAAGGTACAAGGTAGAACTTTAGAATCTGTTGAAGAATCTGTGCATGAATTGACTTTACTTAGCTCCAAATATTATTCACTTTACATTTCTTTTAGAGATCCTGGGCTGTTTAATAGTGATCTAGAGTACCACATAATCTACTTGCTTCAATTGAAGAAAACTGTTGTGGTTACGTACAACCAAAACGGCATTGAAATAGTTGGCCACAAAAATGAAATCTTCGACGTTTTGTCTGGTTTAGAAAAAAGCAATTCATTCTGGGATAGTCTTTTAAAAAATTATGAAATTAGCATCAAAATTGAAATTGATAACCGTCAGAAAGAATTCATCAGTGGCAAGAAAAACGGAAAAATGGTCAAGATTTTGAACAACTTTGTTCAAAAGCCTTTTATTCAATTCAGTCCTTTCAATGAGTATAATTTTTTCATTAACGTAAAAGTTTTCAATGATATTGCCCTGTTGATCAAATGCATCCAGTTGATAGAATTAGAAATCCCTGCTGAAGTTCAATTTAATGTCCCTGAAGTATTCCACAAATCTATCATTGGAAACGGTGGTTCTATCATACAATCAATAATGAAAAAATATAACGTATTTATTAAGTTTTCGAGCAATACGAATAAAAATGGTACTTTTTATTCGTTTAAAAGATTGAACAATGTTTTAATTAAATGCCCGCAAAAGAATGCAAAAAATATCTCTTTCGTGAAAAGAGATATCGCTCAATTGGTACAGCAGTGTTGTATGAACTTACAGCCAGTAGCAAGTAACGTAGCTGTGTATCATAATTCGGAATTCAGGCTACTCAAGAGTCATTACTTGTTACTCATTAACAATTTCAAGTTGAAGCCAGTTATGGATTTGGAAGCTTCTTACAATTCATTCATTTCGCTTCCAAAATCTCTTGAAGATTTTGGTAGGAAAAATTATGTAATGGTCCCGATCAAGGGATCTGACGTAAAATCAAAGCAGGCTGCTTATAAGTTGAAAGATATCCTTCCTCATAATTTTGAGTTTAAGTTAGCTAATAACGCTGACAAATTTTGTAAATTGATTAACGAGGATAACGAAGAGTTCAACGAGAAAATAATTATGCCCTTAAGATTGGTCTTAGAGGTTGAATTATCTTTTAATGAAGTGCCTATTGATTCTGATCTGACAATGCTTCCACAAATAATCTTGAGTGGCTACAAGAAAGACCTTATGAAAATTGCTATTGAAGATCTTACTTTCTACTTAAGAGAAAAGAATTTTTTGATTTTAGAGAAACATGATTACAACTACAACCCAATAGTTGACAACACTATAGTTCATCCTCAACAGCAACTTCAATCTCAGTTGCATGCACCAGGTGTTAGACATTCATTTCAAACATTGCAGCCTATCACAAACAATGTAAGTGATAGGAAAAGTAAACCCAAATCGATTACAAGAAAAAAGCAATCGGTTGGAGTCACACCCACGGTCCCTTCTCTGAGTTATTACGCACCTACCTCGAATTTCTGGGGCCAACAAATTATAGTAAACTCTTCTCGTTGTGTACATTATATAAACTAAATAGTATCATACCGCATTTGATGAAATCTTAATTTGATGATTTATTCACTCAGAGCTTAGTAGCCGCAAATGGTAAATGGACGAATGATGGGAAGGTATTTGCAACCATCGTTGATCAAAGAGCAAGCATTATTGAACTTAAGCCATTAGTGGCTTGCTTCGGAATGCCGTTCTCGAGTCTCGGATCCCGAACCTTCTTCTTCTTGGCCCGCCGAATTGCCGAAACACTGGGACGTCACAACAAAATGCTTTTTCTCCAATCATGTTTCTCGGAAATTAGAGAGTGAAATTATTGGTCTGCAGTGTGTATTTGCTGACTATATTCAATCTCTACATAAGAAAGTCAAAGTCTAGCGAAGTGTACTTCGGGACATTACATTCTTTGTGATCCTTAGCACTAATCATTTGTGACCTCACGACCTGGAATAAGTACCGAGACAATTAAGGGTTTTGATACTTCCTTCCTAAGTAATTTTGGGTATAGTCTCACAAAAATTTAAGCCCAACAGACTAGGTAGAGCTGCTAACTGATTGGTAAGTACATATATAGCACGACAACTTTTTTTTTGGAATAGTAAAGTAAGATTATTGATTAAGGGATTTAATTGCGATCAGATATGACAGGATTTGTTAGTTTAGGGTTCCCAGGCACACATATTGTGAAGCCACCTAAATTTCTAGCACCCATGCCGCCAAGTCCTTTCAATTGCAGTTACTTGAGTCTGTTTTACGAAAAAACTATGAGCGTTGCATTTCCATTAACTGTTGCAACTGTATACTTCACTTCAGTTCACTATCTTAATACAGTGGTCAGAAGTAGGCAATTGAAAAAGGCCGGCAAAACTAAAGATACTTTGACAGAGGTCGAACTCAAGAAGTTACCTGCTGCACCACTTGCGTGCACTAAAACAGTTTTGTTTAAGCTCTTCGTAATGATCCACAACTTGTTTTTATGCTTATACTCAGTCTGGACATTGTTGGGAATGTGTTCTTCCATGCGCAGAACTATGAAAGAAATCTCACAAATTCTTCCGTCGAATGGTAAGGTAGGTACTTTCTTTGAGGCTGCTTGCGATTTGCAATATGGGTTTTTTGCAAAAAACTCTACATTTTACCGCTTACAGATGTATGGATGGTGGTTCTACGTCTCCAAGTTTTATGAGGTTGTCGACACTATAATCATTTTACTTAAAGGAAAACCTTCCAGTTTGTTGCAAAGTTACCACCATGCTGGTGCAATGATGTGCATGTGGGCAGGCGTAAGGTTCCAGTCTCCGCCGATCTGGATTTTTGTGGTGTTTAATTCCTTTATCCACTCATTAATGTACCTTTACTTCTTCTTATCTAGTCTCAAGATCAGAGTACCTAATTCTTTTAAAAGGACTTTAACATTGATGCAAATCACTCAATTTGTTGCAGGGGGTTCTCTTGCTGTGTTGCATGCATTTATATGGTATACCGACATTTCCACGAACAGCTCTGTCAATTGCCTTACAACTGCCGAACAAGCACTTCCATTATACATTAATGTTGCCTACCTAACACCTTTGACTGGTTTGTTTGCCGCATTCTATATTGACAGTTATCTTAAGAGAACTGCGCGTAAATGATCACATTTTTTTCTTGAGTTGAACTGGGGTTTCTACTTGGCAATTATCGCGCTGCAAAAGTGATCTCAGACGTAAAGCACTTAATATGATGACTACAGTGACCCAGTCTACCCTCTTACTTTAATTTATCATTACTTTTAAAACTTTGTCTTGGCTCCTAAATCTCTACCATTATAATTAGTTATTATCATAATACATATTTAATCATGTTACGACAAGTCAAAGAGGTAGCTTAGTTGATAGTCTAGTATTTTTTTGGCTACTCGGGTATTCTGGGTCCCATTTTAATATCCCAAGTTAGTCTTGCATAGAACACTATAGTCAAACATTCGCGCTTTTTTTAGTTAATAAGGCAAATGGCGTCATCTTTCAATAGATACATTAAGTTGGTCAAATAGTATTATTTATAGTGTTCCCAGCAAAGGTGATACTTGAAGAGAGGAATATACGTTAGTCTTTAGTAATTATTGTTTTCAATGACAAATAGAATAAATGATGTCATCTCATCTGCAAAATAATGGAAGCAATAATCCCTTTGATGATAGTAACATCATATTTAACCAACAAGAAGAGCAGCAACAGCTCTTGAATAATGGACTTGATTCTACGCATACGAGAAGTAATGTGTCGCTGCATAAGCCAATTAGCAATAAAAAGTTTGAAGCGTTAGCTTATGAGGACTTGGGTAATCTGAAAAGTGGGGACTCTTTCCATGAACATAAAATTAGCACTGATGAAGATGGGGATGACCCTGTTAGATTTGACTCCCCTAGTACTTTAGAAACATCATTCGCCCATAACATGGGTCCTTACACAGATAGTTATGGCAATAACTACGACCATGTGGATTTTGATTCAAAGAAGTATACTTCGAAATTAAAGTTTAAGGGCAACAGGTTAGTATATTTTACTTCTGCTTTTGTTTCCCTCTTTGTATCTTTGTTTGGATATGAGCAAGGCGTTTGCTCTGGTGTCTTAACATTCGAGACATTTATTAAGTTTTTCAATCATCCGTCGAGTACGGAAATTGGGTTAGTAATATCGATATTGGAAATTGGCGCAATGATCAGTTCGCTATTTGTTTCCAAAATTTCCGATAGATTCGGAAGAAAAATCACCATACTATTGGGAACGTTCGTTTTCATGATAGGTGGCACACTCCAGTCATTTGCTATCAACTTATATGTGTTTGCTGTCGGTAGGGTTTTGAGTGGTTTTGGCGTAGGTATTTTATCAACAATAGTGCCGTCTTATCAATGTGAAATATCACCTTCCGAAGAGAGAGGAAAACTTGTATGTGCTGAATTCACTGGTAATATTAGCGGATATGCCTTGAGTGTGTGGGTGGATTACTTTTGTTACTTCATACAAAATGTCCATGGAGCAAGAAAAAATCCACATTCCTTTGCCGCAAATTTGTCTTGGAGATTACCATTGTTCATTCAAGTGATAATTGCATTCGTATTATTTCTTGGTGGATTTTTTATTGTGGAATCTCCAAGATGGTTGTTGGATGAAGATTTAGACCAGCAAGGTTTCAATGTACTAGCTCTATTGTATGATTCTCACTTGGACGACGAGAAGCCAAGAGAGGAATTTTTTATGATCAAGAACTCGATATTAAGCGAAAGGATCGCAACACCAAAGTATGAAAGAACATGGAAGAACATGTTTAAGAATTACTTGACTAGAGTATTGATCGCATGCTCCGCGCTTGCTTTTGCGCAATTTAATGGTATTAATATCATTTCATACTACGCGCCTATGGTGTTCGAAGAGGCTGGCTTCAATGACTCTAATGCGTTGCTCATGACTGGTATTAATGCTATTGTTTATCTTTTAAGTACCATTCCACCTTGGTTCTTGGTCGATAGGTGGGGAAGGAAACCGATATTAATTAGTGGGGGCCTCTCAATGGCAATTTGTTTATTACTCATTTCTTGGGTTATGTTCCTCAACAAAGGCTTCACACCCTCGTTGGTCGCTTTGTTAGTTGTAATTTATAATGCATCGTTTGGTTACAGTTGGGGACCGATTGGTTTTTTAATTCCACCTGAGGTATATCCATTGGCAGTTAGATCGAAAGGTGTATCTTTATCGACTGCAACGAACTGGTTAGCGAATTACATAGTGGGTCAAGTAACCCCGATAGCCCAGGAGCTGATCAAATGGGCAATGTACATTTTTCCAGCTTCAAGTTGTATAATATCTGTGTTTGTTGTTTACTTCTTTTACCCAGAGACTAAAGGTGTTGAATTAGAAGATATGGATAAAGTCTTCAATTTATTTTATAATAAAGGTGCACCAAAAATGAATGAGTATAGCGTAGTCGATACAGATATGCCTGCGGATATTGATGACTACGAACTTGATCAACTTGAATATTCTGATAATGAAATATCTCCAGACTCACATCCCGGTCATCCAAACCATACATAAATTTTATTCTCCTATTGAGAGAGAAGACATTACTTGTTTATAGTATAGTTTAATATACTCGAATGAGTTTTCTGTTAAAAATACTTTATTACGTTGAATTGTAAAACTACATATATGTAATGTCATTAACCTCTGCTATTCTATTGGTGCCTAACAAATTAAAACTCTGAATATTGTAGTTATGTCTTGGGGATGTTCACTTACAGTACTGATCTGTTTTTTTTGTAACTCATCCCTATAGGAGACCTGCGATCTAAAAAGAAACTAGATGGTTTATTAATCTTAAAGTAAAATTGTACGTTTCTATAAGATAAGTTCAAAATTAGTTTGTGCTCTGTTTGGTAAAATTTCGCAGCTTTTCGCTTATTTAGTAGATTATAATAACCCTAATCTAAATTACAGAAGAGCAATTTTATAGAGCCAGTGAGTCCAACTTTGCCCAAAGCAATTTTCTTAGAAAAGCTATACTGGGATATGAATATTTTGTCCCTATAATGTAACAAATATAGGTTTTGCTCTTTGTAATCGAGTCCACTTTTTTCAACTCAAAATCAATAAAGTCAGGTTTTGTAAATACACAAAACAGTCTTTCTTTCAGAAACTCTAAGCAACTTTTTTTAGTTTTTTTCAGACCAGTCAGCGATGATTCCGTCCTCTCTGAAGCTCAAGAACTGCCTGTATTGAATTAGAACAAGAGTGTACTACATATGTGCAGGTTTAAAAAAGGTGTTCAGCCTTTTATTATCGAAAGCTTCGCTGTTGACAGGCGTATGCTCTCACAGCTATTGCCTTGTTATATTTTTCTTAAAACACATGATTTTACTTACAATGGTTGATTTTAACCTTTGCAACAGATGAAATGGTTTATGATCAAAGTTTGTCAGTTACACCTTCCTTAGGCTTGTTGCTCTGGCAATCTTATCTACTTTTATATCTGACCTTCAATAGAATAGGCAACAAATTGATTTGGTGCTTAACTACTATCTGTCTTACATACAATCAGCAATCTAAGGGGCAGATTACTCCTTGATGTCGGCAATCTGGTTCGTAAGAAGCCAGATTTGATTGGCGATTAGCCAAGATCAATCGAGCTCTGATTTCTGAGCCAAGAGATTCTCTTTATCTTATCATTCACGTGACATAACGCCTCACGTTTTATTAATATCGAAGTCATCTCTAGCATGAATTGAAACCTAGACCATATAACTCGACGCCTTTTACCTTCTTCAGAAATCTCAAACCGAACCAGAACATAAACCCTCTCCTCTCTATCAAAGAGAATTAGAGGAGAACTGAAGCACATTACCCCGATCATGCAACTATGAGAGAGTTACTACTCAAGTCTGCATACCTACTTTGAGCTCTCCACTTGCGCCTTTCAGGTATATAAAAGCGCTGTCGCATTCTAAAAATGGTTTCCTGTTCAGGAAACCATTGAGATAACACTAACCAAAAAGCGCGGTTATACCAAAAGGGCATTAAACGAAGTAAACTTTTTTCTTTTCATAAGATAAAGAAATAAGTTAGCAGAGATGTTTAAAATATAAAGACAACTAAATGGTTTATGAAAGATCCATAAATAAGAGAGCTATTTCCAAATACTCCTATTAATTCTTTAATGAGATCCGACAAGCATGTCCGAACAAAAAATTCTGAGTCCAAAACTTTCCTCTGATGCGGAGAAGAAACTTGATCCAATTGTATCCTCCATTTCGAGCATCAGAGAGGTTGAAGGAAATGTGGTAGGTTTTGATTTATTTGAGAAGGCCCAGGAGATAGAGAAAGAAGAAATCGAAAATGAATACAAGAAAATAAGAGCAAAGATAGATAGAAGAATTTTGCCTTTGCTCTGCGTTACGTACACACTACAATTTTTAGACAAGCTTTCGTTAAATTATGCTTCCGCTTATTCCTTGACAGAAGATTTAGATCTCGTTGGCCAAAGATACTCATGGGTTGCTGCTATATTCAATTTTGGTTATCTCTTTTGGGCGTTACCTTCAAATTACATTATTCAAAAAGTTCCAGTTGCAAAATATACTGGCATCATGCTTGCTATTTGGGCAGTGATTTTGATCGCGCATGTTGGTTGTCGTAATTATGCTGGAATGCTTGTTGTGAGATTCATTTTAGGTATGTTTGAAGCAGGGATATCGCCTTCGTGTATGATGATCTGTTCTATGTTCTATACCAGACAGGAGCAACCATTTAGAATGTGTACCTTTTTATCTTGCAATGGTATTGCAACTATGGTAGGAGCGTTGTTAGGTTATGGATTGGGGCATGCCACTAGTGCGTCAATTAAACCATGGAAGCTAATTTTCTTGGTTATTGGTTTATTGAACTTCGTATGGTCGTTTGTATTCTTCTTAATTTGTCCCGACTCTCCTTCAACTGCCAAGTTCCTAGATGAGAGAGAAAAAGCTATTTTAGTCGAAAGAATTTCGAAAAACAATATAGGAATCAAAGATAAAAAGTTCAAGAAAAGTCATTTAGTCGAGGCATCTTGTGATATTACTGTCTGGATGATAGCTCTCATTGGGCTTTGCTGTGGAATAATAAACGGTGGTGTATCAAACTTCTCCTCGTCGTTGATAAAAGGTTACGGATTTAGTGGTTTAACAGCAACAGCTTTACAGCTACCTACCGGTGCTATTGAATTTGTAGTTGTCTTTACCGCAGGTATAATTGCTATTTCAGTCAAAAATACTCGATGCATTATATTTGTTTTGCTCTGTGTTCCTGGTCTCGCAGGACTCATTGGGATACACGCCGGTAATTTGGACCATAAATGGGCCCTCGTTGGTTGCACCTGGTTGCAATTTATTATTGGAGGACCTGTCATATTATCTTGGATTTTTTTAACTGGTAACATTGGTGGGCATTCGAAGAGAACGATTGCGAATGGATTATGGTTTACTTTTTACGCAGCCGGTAACATTGTTGGTGCAAATATATTCTATGCAAGAGAAGCACCAAAATACAGAAGCGCTATGATAGGGTTAATGACATGCTACTGCGGTATGATGGCAATCGGTATCTTGTATAGACTTATCTTGATGAGAAGAAACCTGAACAGAGATAAGGAACAAGGAGGGTACTCTGAAGAAATAGCGCAGCAGGCCGTTATTGACGGGTTTAAAGATTGCACTGATTTTGAGAATAGAGGTTTTAGATACGCTCTTTAGTCATAACTAGTTTGAATTAATAATATTGTAATTTCATATCTTAAGGAACCAAGTTCCATGTATTTAAAAAAGTTGGAGCTGGTAATAGACCTTGATGAATGAAAAGTTCAATAGAATAGTTACAAGTTCCTTTTAATTTTTCTACGATCAAAAAGTGTAATATTTAAAAACATGAATTAGCATATTATTATACAAGTGACCTAACTCATCGGAAAATATTTCTAAACTTTCTTCTCAGCTCTCATCTCATCATATTTCAAAATGGTGCTCAATAATACCTTGAAGCCGTTTTCAACTTCTTCAGGTGAAGAGTACTCCTCAGGATTATGTGAAATTCCATTCTTGGAAGGAATGAAGATCATTGAAGTTGGAACCCTAACACTTGTGCTACATGAATCATGACCAGCTCCGCTAACAATTTCTCTGATCTCATCTTCAGGAAAATGCTCCAAAGCACTTTCCTTGACGACCTTAATATTAGTCTCATTGAAGTGAACAGCAGGAGAGGTATAAATGTGTGAAAATTCAACCTCTAAAGGTTTCGTAAATGGAGTGCCATTACTTTTCTCTGCAATTGATTTAAATCTACTCTTGATTTCATCAATTATATTTTTCAACTTTTCGTCGTATACGTGTCTCGCATCGAGAGTAAATGTTACTTTATCCGGGATAACATTAACCAGGGCAGGCTCCAACGTAAGAGTACCAATAGTTGCCAACCCGTCATGCTTCTCTGCTATCTCTATTCCTTCTAGTATCATTTTTGATGCAATTTGTAGAGCATCGGATCTAGTTTTCATTGGAGTTGTACCAGCATGGGAGGACCTGCCTTTTACCGTGACAGTATACCAAGCATAAGCTTGAACTCCGGTTACAATCCCTATTTTTTTTTGTTCCGTTTCTAACACTGGTCCCTGTTCAATGTGAATCTCAAAGTGAGCAGCCAATGGGTTTGATTTGTAAGATGCTTCATATTTACCAGAATACCCAATCCTTTTTAATTCCTCTCCAATTGTAACTGGAACATTATCAGTGATCGATTTCAATCCCAATGCATCTTCTTTTTCGATAAGATCGGCCCATAATCCAGATGCGACGATGGATCTAGGAAATCTTGCTCCTTCTTCATTCGTCCAGTCAATAACGGCGATAGGGTAATTGGGAACATATTTATTATCGTGAAGTGTTCTTATGACCTCTAATCCTGAAAGAACGCCGTATATACCATCATATCTACCTCCATTAGGTTGCGTGTCAAGATGTGAACCAATACCTATTGGGGGACCTTCTTTCTTTCCTGGATAGATAGCAAATATGTTACCAATTTCATCTACTTTGATTTTACAACCAAGTGACTTAGTTTCTTCAATGAACCAGTCCCTGACCTGTTTATCATAATCACTTAATGCTAAACGGCATACCCCAGTTTCTGTAGGTTCAGGGCCCCACACACCCTTAGCTCCAAATTTGGATGCAGTATCATGGATGGTGGTAAGAAGCCTTCCGCTTTGAAATGATAAAGAGTCAAATGTCATGTCACAACTAGAGTTAGGATTATGAGACAAAAGTTTGAGTCTTTCTGAAGTCATATATATTTTCACATAGTGAATACTTTTTGTCGGCTGTCGCTGTCAAATTACCAAATCAAGAATCAGGCGAGATAGGAGTGCGGCTACAGTTCCTGATAGTTATCGGTGACTTGAGACTTGAACACAAAGGGAAAGGAATGATCTTAATATTCCACCTATGATGACACTAAGATCAGTTCCATAATTGGGCCAAGAGTTATAGCATCTTTACTCTAAATATGTCATTCAATAATGAGTAAAATAGTGGTCTTACCAAATATGGTTCTAAAGTCAGACACGACAGCCACGACACGACATAACTGTCTTTGCTACGGAGGAGTCGGCCGATTAGACTATTTTTTGTCGTAACTTATTATCTGGTATCATAAACTGAAACGACATTTTGATTCTTAATCGGCGAAATTAGCCGCGATACCTAAATAGGCAACATTTTCCTTTGAAATGGGTGCAGCGCTTCCACAGCAATCTGGCGTCAAACTTTATCAAAAACCATTGATACGTCAGATTTCAAAGTAGGGGCCAGATGTGGCCCTACTGTGCCTATTATCTGCCTTAGAGGTCACCCACTTCTGCCGTCCCAAAATTTTGTGGACCTTTTACGATAGATGTGGGTAACATTTGAAGCAGCTTCGCGACGCTACTTTAGTCCGATTACACGACTATGCGAAGCGGCATACTGTAACCTAAGCGGGAAAAGGAGATACCGTCTTATGAACGAAACCTAGCCAGCAATTGGATGTATCTCCAATGCCTTTTAGCTTAACGATTATCATCTATACTATTATTTGCTTGTCATCGTCAATGATCAGTTGTTCTTTATTGTCATACTATGTGACCCGCAATTTCCGGCATGCCGTTTGTTAATTACAATTTCTGCAAAAAACGCTCGCACCGCTTCTTGAAATAACACAGGTCGGCTATTATTTACCTATTTGGATGTTACATTTATTCTGCCGCAATCTAGGTCTATACTACACCGCAGGGGTGGATGGGCCCACCCGCTAAAGCTGCAGTCGCAAGGTGATCCTTTCTCAACAATTCGACCACAGTCGGAGTGTGTTACGGTGAGTGTTACTTCTATAGTTCTTGTAGGCAAAAATCACACAATCTCTTTAGCTGCAGTGCCGGCGCAATTTGATAAGTGCCGTGGAGATACCGCATTACGCAAAGTAGAAAGATATTACAGCCTTAGTAATATCTCCAACAATTCTCTATTAATTTCTTTTTGTATCTATTGTAACGGAGCTATAGTAGTCGTTAATTTAATTAGTTATATGTTTGAGATAAAGTCTTTGTGTGTATAGGATATGCCTAGCGGAATCACCCAAATTTAAAAAGAAAAGATAGCAGAATATTTCAACACACGTCAAGTATCAAATAACTGAATTTGGAACTTGAATTAATAAAGTCAAGGTTAGGGAGAGTAGTTGAAGACGTTAGCAGGTGACTGGACCAAGGTTCCTCAAAATACCAGGAAGTCAAACAATTATGACTGTGGAAGGCAACAGAGAACTGGACATGAGTGAGACAACACCAATTCCCATTCCAGAAACCAGGTTGACCAGGGGGCAAAGACAGAAAGGTATAAAGACGTCTATAAGCATCAACAATATTAAAAATCAAAAACAGAAGAAAAGAAATGCTAGAGTTCGTGGTGCTACAACAAGACGAGAAGTAACCACTGGGCTGTTGCGATCTGGTTGGTATTCTGAATATAATACGGCTAGCCTGCTTCGAAAATACAAGCACCCATTATGTGAGGGCTCAGAAGATGAATGCTGCTGTGAGTTTGAGCAACTAGATATAGATTCTGATAGATCTGATGACTCGGAAGTATCTGACGATTTATCTTTCAGCTCATGTTCTACCCAAAATACTAGCTTTTCATCACCAACAACATGGTGCAGTTCTCCTTCCGGATCTAGTGATAACATATTTTCAATTCCTAAGAAGTCTTCATCTAATTCAAAAATTTCTACTTTCAATACTCCAAGCTTCTTTACAAACAACAGGTTGAAAAATTATCAGTCATCAGAATCATTGAGTAAGCTCCTTAATGAATCAAAAGTGCAGACTACCTCCGCCTTCAAATCGAACTTATCCAACTCCTTTAAGAGCATAACGAACGCAATTAAAAAATCGGCCATAGATTTACTGTTTTATTCCCAAAATCCAAGGTCAACGGATGACGCTATTCCTACCAAGGCTCCTCAAAGTCTTTCATGGAAGACAAAAGATCCGGCACCATTGCAGGAACTTACTACATTCAAGGATTCTTCTACTGAGGAGGTTCCTCCGCTAATAAAGCCACCATCCTATAAATGTTTTAAAAATAGAGAACAGAGAATCAATTCTAGCTTTTTACGATTATACGCCTATGATTATAATGCTCGAATAACGGGGTATCTCCCAAATAGCTGCGGTCAGGAAGAAGTCAAGACACTTATCAAGGAAAGACCATGTCTTAAAGAATTCGATAGAAGGTATAATTTTCATAAAGTGTCTGATCTTTCAAGAGATAAGCTTTGGAATAGTATTATCCTTCCTCCCAGAACTGATCCTTCTCCTGGAAGCTCGATTGATCTGTCAGACTACATTTATGTCGGATATGAAGATTCTCTGTCTCATTCCATTAGGAAGCACTCAACAATTATAACGGCATACGGCAATTACTTGCCTTGGTCCAATAATAAGCATAGTCTTAAACCAGCTGGCATACTCCAGAAGTCAAAGACCCATGAAAACGGCGTAACACCGAGCTCAGGTATAACTAGAACTCAGTTCACTTCAAAAAATTGGTGCAACCCTCGTTGGATGGACTGCAGTCAAGAGGAAAGCTTATGACGAATAAGTTATAATTTCTTTTCAGGTGTATGCTACACCTGAAAATAACTTGCATTTCACTTCTTCTATGTAATTTGCTAATATTTAAAATGTACGCGATGGCTATTGCTATTGAATTATGTCTGTGGGCCAGATAAACCTGTAGATAATCAAAGATATAATTGACGTTAAGTTCGCGATTAAACTCGTGTAAGGAGAGCCTGAAATCTAGCAGTCACGCAGTCACGTGCCTTTGAGGAAGTAGCATTCTCAAAAAGCTAGTTACACAAACACTGTCCTGATGGATAAATTTTACTTTTGAAAAATTGTGAAGCTCGAAAAAGAGAAGTCTAATAAAGATAGAAAGGAAAACAGTCAAAATGGCCCCAAAAGGAAAGAAGGTAGCTCCAGCACCATTGGCATCTAAGTCTGTAAAGACTGCCACACCAAAAAATCCATTAATCGACTCTACACCAAGAAACTTTGGAATTGGTCAAGCCATTCAACCAAAGAGAAATTTGGCTAGATTTGTCAAATGGCCAGAATACGTCAGATTGCAAAGGCAAAGAAAAATTTTGTCTTTGAGGTTGAAAGTTCCACCTGCAATTTCCCAGTTCCAAAGTGTCTTAGACAAGAACACTGCTGCTGAAACTTTCAAGTTGTTCAACAAGTACAGACCAGAAACTGCAGCTGAGAAAAAGGAAAGATTGACTAAAGAGGCAGCAGCCATTTCTGAAGGTAAATCTGCTAAGGACGCTTCGCCAAAGCCAGTTGTTGTCAAATATGGTTTGAATCACGTTGTCTCCTTAGTTGAAAACAAGAAAGCCAAATTAGTTTTGATCGCTAACGATGTTGATCCTATCGAGTTAGTTGTTTTCCTTCCAGCTTTGTGCAGAAAGATGGGTGTTCCATATGCCATCGTGAAGGGTAAAGCTAGATTGGGAACTTTAGTTCATAAGAAAACCTCATCCGTTGCTGCTTTGACTGAGGTCAACTCCGCTGATGAGTCCGAATTATCAAAGTTGGTTTCTACAATCAACGCTAACTTCATTGAGAAGTACGAAGATTCCAGAAGACACTGGGGTGGTGGTATCATGGGTTCTAAAGCCAATGACAAGAAAGCTAAGTTGACTAAAAAGGTTGACGAGAACGTCAAAAGCACTGCTTAATGTAATTATATACTGAATTCACACTACTGGTACACTTCTGATTATTTGCGACCTTGTAGCTTGATGAAATATCTACAGACGAAAGAAGGTAGGAACTCGCTTCGCATTTGGCTGATGTATATTTCTATATAGTTCTTTCACTGATAATTACTCTAAGGATATTCCTGGTATCCAGGCTTTCTATCTAGATCAGTATAATCATGCTAGAATAGAATGTATTTATGAAATCAAGTGATTCATTCCGGGTAAATTCTGCGAAATTAGCCAATTAAAAAAATGATTTTTCAACTTAATATTGAAAAGCAGCTTAAGTCGAGATATAATTAGCTGACGAAGTGAAATTTTAAATACCAAAAACTTTAGACTGTTAAGTTAGTTTAATTGGTATAAGTCGACTTATAATAAAAAGAAAACTCACCATGTCAATTTTGAGAGATTTAATAGAATCTGTTGTCCCAGTGGCATACGCGGACGAAGTAAGTATCCAAGTTAGAGGTTAGAGTGTGGAACATGTTGACTACGAAAGAACGAGAGGTGTCCATGCCACCTCATAAGCGTTACGTAGAGACCTAATGGCTATACATAGTCTTAATTGGATAGGTATAAACTTCCTCTTGTGAGAAATACTGTTATCTCACTATTAGAACAAATTTACTTCTAATCTACGTACCTGGTCTTATATATGTCTACGTTCAACTAATACTGGGTTAAATACTAACATTCTTTTAGCCTGAAGAAGAACCAGTTGAAGAGTCAACAGAAGATTCCGCGGATGACTCTGAAAAAGAGGGCGATGATGAAGAAGAAAAAGGTGATGATGAGGAAGACGAGGAAGATGAAGAAGAAGATGACGAAGATGACGAAGAAGAAGAGTCTGAAGATCCATTGGACGGAATGCGTGCAGAATGTGCTTCGATCCCTGCTTGTAAACCATTCGGTCATCATTACGAAGAGTGCGTTGAGAGAGTTACCAAAGAACAACAAGAAGAGGGTTATGAACATAAAGCTTACAAAGAAGATTGTGTGGAGGAGTTTTTCCATTTACAACACTGCATCAATGACTGTGTTGCTCCTAAGCTTTTCTACAAATTAAAATAAATTAGTTAAAAAAAGAGACCATCATGCTCAATGACATAGAAAATAGAAGTGGTATGAAGTGCAAAGAGAATTCGGCTCCCGTTCACACATTGCACATATTTGACTTCAAAAATTTTAACAGAAATGCCCGACTCTTCTCTGTCGTTCCATCTCTTTTCTACATTCATGTCGTTAATCTTCAGTGCATTTAGTAATTTAGATATATAAAATTATCTTATTTGAATTCCAATGTAGAGTTTGTTGTACATCGATATTCGACAATACAGCAGTCATAGTAGTAAAATTCTTCAGAGCCTGGAGAGGTCCAACTATAAATGGATGCGATGTGTTAGTGTACTGTTTCGAAAGTTTAGCTGAAGTGGTAGGCTCAATTGCTTTCTCGAATATTCCTCGCCCTATTTTATGAACAAGCGTGGAAATTTGTGATAAAAAAATTAAATCTCAATGAGAAGGTATTCAATAAAGGAGTTGTCAGGACTATGTGAACTCATTACTTCATTTCCTTGAATAGGTGTCATTGCTTGTAGAGAATTTGTTTTTAACTGTAAAAACCCTGAACCTTTAGTCTTCTTGTATTGTAGCCCTGGCCATTTCAATTCTCGATGATTGACCACAGTGATGGTAAACTAAGAACTACATGCTTTGCCATCATATATTCGACAGAAGACAACTAAGAGAAGATCTTGAAAAGATTTTAACAACAATAAAAAAGAAGCATAAAATCACGAGTTAAGTCAATTGCTGAATCTAGTTTGGATATATCGCTTAAAAACTTTATATTGTGAGTACTAGTGAATTGTCATAAAATAAACCTAGTATAGTGATTGAATATTTAGCAAAATGTCTACAGAAAAAGAAATCATCGAGCAAAGAATATTCATAGGAAACGTGGACTATAGGGCCACCGAGGATGAGTTAAAAGATTTCTTCGAAGGCTACAATGTGTAAGTATTCTGAAGGGTACCATATTTTCTAATTCTTACTAACAAAGATATAGAACCGATGTTGATATTCCGAGTAAAAGCGTTCACCGTGGGAAGAAAGTCCAAAAGAGGCATTTGGGCTTTGCCTTCGTCGAATTCGAATCTAAAGATGAGGCTGACAGAGCGATTGAGGAGTTCAACAATAAAGCCTTCAAAGACAGAAACATTTACGTGAAAAGAGCCGTTCCTCCTCCAACTGATGAAGAGAAGCAGAAAAGGGCAGAAGAGTTTAGAGCCAAGAAGGCTGAACAAAAAGCTTCGAAACCTGTTGAAGTAGATGAAAAGGAAAATGGCAAATTTTCTGAATCTAAACAGAAAACTTCAAAGGCAAAAAAGAAAGTTAAGAATGAACTTTCAGATAAGAGTGGAAGAGCTGATAACCCTGAAGTCTTGGAACATTCGAGATCCAAAGTTCAAAGTGATGATGTTTCAACTAAGATACCCGAAGGTAAAAAGTCTGAGGATACTATCTTCATCACTAACTTAGATTATAAGGTTGATGTTAAAACTTTGAGTAACCTTTTTAAAGACTTGAAGCCTAAGTGGATTCATGTACCGACAAGAAGAGTTCCTTATCACGTTCTTAATAGACAGAGAAAGAAGGGCAGATCAATTTTCAACAAAGGGATTGCATTTGTGAAATTCTCTTCTCCGGACATTCAAAAACAAGCGTTTGAAGAGTTCAATGGCAGGGAGTTGAATGGCAGAAATATCATTGTTGACATTGCAGTCGACGCTAGGATTCCCAAAGAGGATGACGCAAAGGAAAATGAATCCACTGACCAATCTGATTTGACTGAGTCAGATGGGGTAAAAGAGGATGGCAAAAACTAAAAGAATATATCCAATCTGAGAAGTAGGCAGACAGCTCTAGTTGCTCCATTAGTTTGAGCTGGCTCTAACTTCTTTTCCATTAGATCAGATGTGTTTAATACATGGCATAAGTGATTTGTAATTGGGATAGCACGCCGTAGGATCCATAATCTATTTCTCAGTAAAACATACCTTTTATTCTTATACACGAAGCCCTACTAAATCTCACCTGATACATGATGCTTAGAAGTCATGTGATGAGATGTTTTTCACCTTTCGCATTAAAATTTTACAGACGTTTGGTCGATACATAGATCTTAAAGAGAGCCTTCCTTTCATAGTATTTCGAAATGGGTATGTAATATCAAGGTAGAATTTTGTCTAGAAATATATCAGGTCTTGAGACTATGCTGTCCATAGTGACCTCTGAAATATGCTGAATTTAACGACTCTCACAAGTTTAACGATCGTATGATGAAGTAATGATTCTTTTCCAACTTGAGCTTTAGTTGAGAGTACCTCGAAGATTGATTTCTAAATGAAATATCGAAATGAAACTTTGTACTAACTTTATATAGGTAGAGTTATTCGTAACCAAAGAAAAGGTGCTGGTTCAATATTTACCTCTCACACTAGGTTGAGAAAGGGTGCTGCAAAGTTGAGAACTTTAGACTACGCCGAACGTCATGGATATATTCGTGGTATTGTCAAGCAAATCATTCACGATCCAGGTAGAGGTGCACCGTTAGCTAAAGTGGCTTTTCGCGATCCTTATAAGTACAAGTTGAGAGAAGAGACTTTTATCGCTAACGAGGGAGTTTATACCGGCCAATTCGTGTATGCTGGTAAAAAAGCTTCTTTGAATGTAGGTAATATTTTGCCTTTAGGGGCTTGTCCGGAAGGTACTATAGTCTCCAACGTCGAGGAAAAAGTTGGTGACAGAGGCACGTTAGGTAGAACATCTGGTAACTACGTTATTATCATTGGTCACAATCCTGATGAAGGGAAGACTAGAGTCAAATTGCCTTCGGGTGCTAAAAAAATTCTTTCATCTGATGCCAGAGGTGTTATTGGTGTAGTTGCTGGCGGTGGAAGAATTGATAAACCATTGTTGAAAGCAGGAAGAGCATTCCACAAGTACAAAGTCAAGAGAAACTCATGGCCAAAGACCAGAGGTGTTGCTATGAATCCAGTCGATCATCCTCATGGTGGTGGTAACCACCAGCACATCGGTAAAGCATCGACTATCAAGAGAGGTGCCGTTCCTGGTCAAAAAGCAGGTTTGATTGCTGCCAGAAGAACCGGGTTGTTACGTGGTACCCAGAAGACTCAAGATTAAGCTCGGATTTCATATGATATATCAAAGCTTAAAGACTAAATCTTTAAATCTCATATTTACTTATTTGTGCATTTAATAAATCACTAGATTTAACCACAACGTAGACAAACTTAAAATTTGTAAAACTTCAAGTTCCATTCTATGTTATGAAGAGGATTTTTCGTATAGCTTTGCTAATATTTGACAGCATCCTCTGGACCAATTCTTTGCCGTGATAAATGTACACTATCAATAATTCTTTATCAAAGTGCGAACGTTAAGATTATGGGTAGCTTTTCTTTGAAAAGATCTCAAATCTTCAATGTTGACCTAAGAACATGGGTGCTACCTCAGTCACATTATGTTCTCAGCTCTTCACTTGTTAGCCCCATCCTAACGAGGTGACTATTTCACGTAAGGCTTCACACGGCTCTTTTCTTTGGCGCGCACTGGTACACTAAAACAATCCCTTCACCTATATATTAACCAAAAATTATCTTTTTTTTCTTAATACGTCAGAAACTAGCTTTACAGTCAAGCATTATGTCTCAAGATGACTTAAATTACTTAATGGCGTCAGGGAAAGGTTCTAACTGTTCTTTCTGGAAGTATGACGATATAACGCGATGTACCCGAGACAGACTAGATTCAGTTTACCCACTGGTTCTTGGCATAGTGTCAATAGCTATTTTGGTGGTCAAAAGTATTCTGTCGTGGAGGCGTCACAAAAAAAACAAAAGCATTGAGTTGAAAGGTGAAAACAGACCCTTATTGGCAGTATCTGATGTTTATGGCTCAATTAATCTGGAGAATGGGCTGATCAATAAAAGTGGGGGATTGCAGGAGTCTATTAAGGATAGACATTTTGACTTAAAAAGATTGTCCGACACTAATGAAGACGGTACCCCATATGGCATTGTTCAGGAGGTATACAAGAGTATGGGTGACCGGGTGAGGGTAGTTTTTGAATTTTTATTGGTATTAGTTGAATTTGGAATGGCTGTATCTGCTTGGTTCATCAAAAGTTTTCAAAAAGAATATTCTCATACTCCTATTCTATTGATAAGGACCGTTTTTTGGGGGTATTTACTTTTTCTTGTCTCATCCAGGTTAATCAATTTGACAAAGGTTAAGATTCGTTTACCTAGTTTGTGGGTTCATTCAACTTTCCTTTATTTTTTTAACTTTTTTCCTGCATTATTGACATTTAGGTCAACTTTAATTGACCATGTTCCAAACGAAACTATCAGGTTATTTTACCAAATCCATTTTGCTATCTCCCTTACTTTATTGTTGCTAAATTTTACTGCTAAAGTTGGAGACAAACCTTCAAAGTTATATGTAACGAGCGATGGGGCGACTCCATCACCTGAAAATATATCCAGTATTCTTTCATTCATTACGTATTCTTGGATAGATAAAATGGTGAGGAAAGCCTACAAAGCACCTTTGACAAAAGATGATATTTGGGGTTTACGCCAAGACGATTATGCCTTATCCATCTTGAAATCTTTTGAAGCTGGGAAGAGTGCCTCAAAATTCACGTTTAGATTGTTTTCACATTTCAAGTATTTGCTTGCCATTCAAGCTTTTTGGGCTGCTTTAGATTCGTGTTTGGTTTTCGCTCCGAGCTTGCTACTTAAGAAGATTTTAGAGTTTGTTGAAAATCCTAATTCAATCCCTGTGAATTTAGCTTGGACCCTAGTTATTATGATGCCTATGTTTAAATTAGTCGACTCGATTTCTTCTGGTTGTTCCTTATTTATTGGTAGAAGAGTTTGTATCAGGATGAAAGCCATTATCATCGGTGAAGTGTATGCAAAAGCATTGAGAAGAAAAGTGACGACTCAATCAGATGACAAGCCGGAGGAAGATGAAGAATATGAGGGTAAAGTTATAAGTGAGAATAAAGAAGAACCGAAGCATGAGTCAAAAGAATTAGGTGCAATTATCAATTTGATGGCAATCGATGCATTCAAAGTTTCAGAGATTTGTGGTTACTTGCATTACTTTGTGAGCTCATTCTTGATGATTTTTATTTGTATTGTTTTGCTATATAAGTTATTGGGTATTAGTGCCATCATTGGTGCTATTGCAATTGTGCTTTTGTTTCCAATTAATTTCAAACTTGCGAACTTGATATCTCATTTTCAGAAAGACATGCTTGCTGTCACTGATAAAAGAATTCAAAAATTAAACGAAACGTTCCAAAGCATTAGAATCATCAAATTTTTTGCTTGGGAGGAAAAATTCCTTGAAATCATAATGAAAATTAGGAATGATGAGTTATACATTTTGAAGCTTTCTACTTTGGTCTGGTGTTGTGCAGCGTTTGTCTGGTTTATAACACCCACTTTAATCACTTTGATTTCGTTCTATTACTTTACAATAGTTGAAGGACACACGTTGACTGCTCCAATTGCTTTTACTGCTCTTTCTTTGTTTACTTTGTTGAGAGCACCATTGGATCAGTTGTCTGATATGACTTCCTTCGTCATACAATCAAAAGTCTCTTTGGATAGAATTGGTGAATTCTTAGATGAAGATGAAACTTACAAATATGATCAATTGAGTGGGCCACGCGATGCAAACTCGCCTTATATTGGATTCGAGGGTGCCTCATTCTCTTGGAATTCAAAATCCAGCAATGACTTCAAATTGAGAGATTTGAATGTAGAATTCAAATCTGGTAAGTTGAATGTTATCATTGGCGCCACTGGCTCAGGTAAAACATCATTATTGATGGCGTTGTTAGGTGAAATGGAATTATTGGAAGGAAAGGTTTTCTTGCCTGGTATAATTCCAAGAGATGAGTTGGTAATTGATCCCCAGACTGGACTTACGGAATCCGTTGCATATTGCTCACAAACGCCTTGGTTGTTAAATGACACTATCAGAAACAACATATTGTTTTTCTCTCCATTTAATCAAGAACGATACGATAAGGTTGTGGAAGCTTGTGCTCTACTGCGTGATTTCGAAATCTTGAGCGGCGGTGATTCCACTGAGATTGGTGAAAAGGGCATCACTTTATCAGGAGGTCAAAAACAGAGAGTTTCATTAGCCAGAGCAATTTACTCTAATTCCAAACATGTTTTATTGGATGACTGTTTGTCAGCAGTTGATTCTCATACTGCTTCGTGGATTTACGAGAATTGTATTAGCGCGCCTATAATGCAAGGCAGGACATGTATTTTGGTCTCTCACAATGTTGCTTTGACAGTCCAAAGTGCTGAGTGGGTAATTTCGATGCACAATGGTAGAATTAAGAACCAAGGAACTCCGGAGGATCTTTTGAAAGCTGGTGATTTGGGAGATGATGATTTAGTAAAGTCCTCTGTCATCAATTCTCGTACGCAATCGTCTTCTAACTTGGAATCTTTAGATAACAAAAATGCTGATCTCAAAGCTAAGGCAGCTGTCATTGATGCAAAATTGAAGGCCATTAAAGATAATGCTGAATCTAATGATCCAGAACCGATTATCAAAACTGACGGTAAATTAGTCGAGGAAGAGGGAAAAGCAAGTGGCGTTGTGGGTAAAAAGGTGTACCTTGGATATGCTAAGGATCTTGGTGGTGTCTGGGCTTTAATAGGTATAATATTTGCATGTTGCGTTGCTCAGTTCGTTTTCATGTTCCAGTCATGGTGGTTGAGATATTGGACTTTGCAGAATGAAAAGTTGGTTGAACGTTATGTATCCCAAAACTTCATAAATACTTTATCGAATATTTATGATGGGACTAACATTAAACAGTTGCCTATAACAAGAATGTTTACCGGTGCTTCTAATTTGATATCATTTAGTATTGATTATATTGGAGAGGCAAAGAGTAAACATACTACGTTGTACTACATAATAATTTATGCTCTCATCGGATTTGGATTTGCTATTCTTGCTTGCCTTAGGCATTTTATCACTTTTCTTGCAGGCTTAAGGGCATCCAATATCATTTTCAGACGAGTTTTGAAGAATGTTTTAGGTGCGAAATTGAGGTTTTTTGATAAGACTCCACAGGGCCGTATAATGAATAGATTTTCGAAAGATATCGAGTCTGTGGATCAAGAGCTTACTCCATTTGCAAGTGGCGTTTCCGATTGTGTAATCCAGTGTATTTCAATTTTAATTTTGATTGCTGCAATTACACCAGGCTTCTTGTTTTTCGCTTTTATAATTGCGTTTATGTACTACTTTGTTGGTATATACTACCTTTCGCTTTCGAGAGAGTTAAAGAGGTATGAATCAATCACCAAGTCACCTATCCATCAACATTTTTCGGAGTCATTACATGGTGTATCTACAATTCGTGCATATGGTGTCGAATCTAGGTTTATGAGACAGAATCTAACTGCCATCAACAACAATAATCGTCCTTTCTTTTACTTATGGGTATCGAATAGATGGTTATCGTTCCGTGTAGATGCTGTTGGTTCTTTGGTGATGTTTTTTGCTGGTATATTTGTTTTGCTCTCAGTTGGAAAGATAGATGCTGGTTTGGCAGGGCTTTCGTTGTCATATGCGATAGCATTCTCAGAGGCTGCGTTATGGATTGTGCGTCTTTATGCAAACGTAGAAATGAACATGAACTCTGTGGAAAGGTTACAGGAGTATTTCGAGATTGAGCAAGAACCTCCATATGAAATACCAGAAACTAAACCTCGAGCTTCCTGGCCCGACAGAGGCGAAATTATTGTTAAAGACGTTTCTTTGCGCTACTCACCAGAATTACCAAGAGTTATTAAGAATGTATCTTTTGACGTGGAACCAAATAATAAGATCGGAATTGTGGGACGTACGGGTGCTGGTAAGTCTACTATCATCACCGCGTTCTTTAGGTTTTTGGACCCAGAGACTGGATCAATTTTGATTGATGGGGTTGATATCACCAAGATTGGTTTAAGAGACTTGCGTCAAGGTATTACTATTATCCCTCAAGATCCAACCTTGTTTCTGGGAACAATTAGGTCGAATCTTGATCCCTTTGGACAATACAACGACGAGCAGATGTTCAAAGCCTTAAGGAGGGTCAATTTGATTAATGATGATCAAATCGAAGAAGGTGAAAATCAAAATGTCTTTATGAATCTTGATTCAAAAATAGCCGAGGGTGGAGGAAACTTGTCACAAGGTGAAAGGCAGTTGGTATGTTTGAGTCGCTCTCTACTTAAGAACCCAAAGGTGATGTTACTTGATGAGGCAACTAGTTCAATTGACTATAAGTCGGACTCTATAATTCAGCAAACAATCAGAGAGGAGTTTTCTAATTCTACTATTTTAACGATCGCTCACAGATTAAGGACTATCATTGATTATGACAAGATTTTGGTCATGGATGCTGGAAGAGTAGTTGAATATGATAATCCTTACGTATTAATTTCGGACAAAAAGTCATTATTCTACAGCATGTGTGTAAACAGCGGAGAATTGGATTCATTGGTTAAGTTGGCGAAAGAGGCCTTCGTCAAAAAGAAAAACCAAAAGAGTTGAGCTTTATTTAAAATGGGCCTTTTATTTAACTTTAATTGTTATCAGGTAGGTCTATATCAGTCAGACTTATTTTTTCTTTTTTTTTTTATAAATTATTAATACTATTCTTTAGTACTTTAGTAGCTGTGGTTGAATGTAAATATTTATTTAAGTAGACTATGCAACCGAAATCACGACATTGATAATCGGGAAATGTCGCATTATTATTCGGGATTATCTCTTATCGCAACTCTCCTGTGGTTTTTATCTACACGCTATACTGTGGCACAATAATTTTAAATGTGAAACTATTTATTTCATTAATAAGATTACATTAGTAATAAGAAAGGCTATTAATCTTTTTGTTTTTTAGGTCCATTTATTCCGCGTAGGCTCTGATAGTTTTGAGAAAGACAAAAACAAACAGAATAATACATGGAGAGTACGACACCCAGCAGATCGTATTCTAAATTGTCGAATGCTGTCGTCAGTGACATCGAATTAGATTCAAACAGTTCCACTTCTAACCTATTACCATCAGAGGAACTACATTTTGAAGACTTGAATGGACACGTCTCATATTTATTAGATTTAAAGGAGTTGCCCCAGGGACGGCATCTTGGTTTGTATTCCACCATAGTCTTGTTTGTATCCAGAATTTTGGGATCAGGAATATTTTCCATTTCATCTGGTATCTATCAAGATTGCGGTCATTCGGGAGTCTTATTTTTTTCGGCATGGATCATAGGTGCTGTTGCATCTTTTAGTGGTTTGTATGTGTTTATGGAGCTAGGGTCAATATTACCCAGAAATGGTGGAACTAAGGTTTTTCTCGAATTCATATATGAGAAACCCAAGTATTTGGCTAGCGTTGCGTTTCTGCTTTATTCGCTCATTTTTGGATTCACGATATCAAACTGCTTAGTCTTTGGCGAATATTTTTTACATTCCCTTGGAATTGAAACAAGCGATAAAAGAAGTAGGTATACAGGTTTGGTATTTCTCTACATTGCTGCTTCAATTCATGGATTAAGTGTAGGTCATGGAATTCACGTTCAAAACATTATGGGAGGATTAAAGTTGTTATTACTGTTAGTAATGGTGGCTACTGGGATCTATTTAATCGTTTTTCCTTCTACTGTTACCGGTATTGAGTCTAACATTCATTTCGATGACTTTTTTAAAGTGAAAAAAGACGCATCTGTATCAACGTTTGCTAGCGCAATTATAAAATCAAGTTTTGCATTTGGTGGATGGAACTCTGTTCACACAGTCTCCAGTGAAATTAAAGATCCTATCAGAACTTTGAAAATTGCTGGTCCCGTATCTTTAGCTATAATTACTGTGACATACTTGATTACGAACTGGGCATATTTGCTTGTTATTCCTGAAAAAGAATTGGCTAACAGTGGCAAACTTGTCGGATCAATATTTTTTGAAAAAGTGTTTGGGTATAGAATTGGTAAACAGTTCTTGACATTCGCAGTCGCAATATGTGCTGGGGGTAATATATTTGTTGTAATATACACAATATCAAGAGTTAGTCAAGAAGTATTCCGTGAAGGATATTTCCCATTCTCGCGCTTCATGGCATCAAATTGGCCATTTGATGCACCATTACCTGTGCTAATTTTGAGCTGCTTACTTACCACTGTTGTTATTATATTTACTCCGGGTGGAGACATATACAATTATGTCATAGCTCTAGAGGGATATCCACTTCAATTTTTCATATGTTTAACTGCGGCAGGAATCTTTATTATCAGAAAAAGATATCCAGAATATAGAGCTCCGATTAGAACTACTTTAACAGGAGCTGCTTTGGTCATTTTAATTGGGCTCTATCTATTGATTTCACCTCTCATAACTAGCAGCAGCCCCAATCCTAAGGGAACCGAAAGCTGGCCATCTTACGCAATAATTGCAATCATCTGTTTAGCATTTTGTGTTCTTTATTGGGTTGTAATGTTTAAACTTTTCCCATGGTTACTTGGATACAGTCTCAAACCAGAGGAAGACCAGCTTAGCGATGGATTAAGAATGAGAAAATGGGTTAAAGTATATAACAATCTGCCTCATTTAGATGTCTCATGAATAATTCCATCGAGTCGTATGACAAAATCAACGAATTCTTTATCTTTTAATTTTTCTATAACTAGTTCCCTTAGTTTTTCATCTTTCAAATCTTGCAACGAAAAGAAAGGAATCGATGAATCTCTTATTGAGGTCAATTCATTAGATTTATTTAAAGTCTGTAAACTCTTCAGCATCGTTTGGCTCGCATAGTAGTTATCTGGTTGAGTAAGGGTGGTGTAATGAGAATTAGGTAATTGATCTCCAATGAATAGAGAACTCTCATCGATATTAGGAGATATGTTGTGAGCCAATGATATCTGCTTTAGAGGATCGATGTAAGGCACTGTTGCGTTGAATGGTGGCTGTGATTGTCCTTGCTGATAGTAGTTTTGGTACAGAAGCAAGGAGCGAGAGAGATCTTCGATTTGAGAAGCGGAAGTATCGTTCAACGAATATTCCATTTCTGGAAAAGTGGGATCAGTGTGAGCCTGTCGATTGGTTTCAATTCGAGAGGCTGCTTGGGATTGGGCAATGTTTTGATTAATACTGTACTGATTGGTTTTAGGTAGCATGTACAACTGATTGAGAGGCGAAGGCGTATCAAAGGCTTTGCTAAATTTTTTAGGGACCTGGCTACTTTCTTGAGTAAGCATATTAGCTAAATTATCGGTTGGAGTTTCTCTCATAGTTAAGGGTAGGTGTAACTTTCCTCTGATAGTAGAACAACATTGATCAAAATCATCTTTGCTGCCAAAGCTTACCTGGAACCTCTGCTTAAGTTTTCCTCCTTTATCGGATAATTTGAAACCAACGGACGGATACCTGGCAACCCAGGAAATTATATCTTGATTTGTAGGATCGATCGTTATCCTATCCTGAAATCGCGTTAGTAGATGTGGAGAATAATGATAGATAATGGTACCATCAGAAACTCACCATTGTAGATCCCTTCCAGAATATAGTTACCACCGTCATGCTTGTCTTAGGAAAGTAAATAAAGTTAATCGATAGGTCTGATCTTTGAGGGTAGTGATACCAATGCTCAGACACCTGCGACATTGATTGAGTGCTATTGTTAAGATCATTCAAGATGTCATCCATTCTAAGAACAGAGTACTTCCTAAACGTGAAAGTATAGGTCTCCATCAGTTTGCTCATGATTGCTTTTATATTCAAATGTATCCAATTATATTCTTTTTTGACTTTATAGAGCGTTCAGAAAAGTTTACATTTGCAGCATTTTGAGAAAAATATACAAAGTAGCACAAGAGCATTTAAATATTGCAAACAAAATTGTAATCTATACTTTGTCAAGTACTCTTCTTAATAGTTTTTAAAGATGCAAATGTTTGAATTGATACGGAAAGATTTCAAGATATCAAATTCCAAGTCGACAGCAACAGTATTTCAAGAGGAAACTAAGAGAAAATAGAAAAGAAGTGAGGGAAGAACTAAAGAAGGAAGACATAGCAGCTTGATCATTCTAAATAGCTTTTTCTTATTGGCCTAGTTCCAGACTTATAGCACCTCGGTGACACATCCTCTTAGCAAGGAGCTAACGTCTTCCTTCTTTTTGAAACTTCAGTTACTTCTGAATGGTCTTATAGGAGTGTATCTTGACTCGTTCCAAGCCTCGTATAATTCAAAAAATATCAGCTCACCTCCAATACGAGAGGTGACCGAATCCGACTTTTGTATTTGCGATCGAAATGAATTTTGAATAGTAAGACTCACTTCAAACCCAACTGAACGTATGGAAATGGAACTTCCTCAGAGCTTATGGACAAGATATGACACATTCATGGTGAACTATTTGGCGTCGGGAGCTTTTACCGGCAACTTAGTTAATAATCCGGTATCTAAGTACATTACCGAAGTATTAGCATTTGCATTTCTCGTTGTCTTAAGTTACGAAATAATATACTGGTGCGGGATATATCTTAGTTTATGGGAATACCATGCTAAAGATATCTTCACTGAAGTTCCAATACACTGTGCTCACGTCTTCATCAGGTTAAATGTGGCACCGGAAGATAGTATTACGACAGTACGGGAATATTATGAGACAAAAAGAAAGAATAAATATCTTCCTTGGAACTCCTCGACTAAATTGTATTCGAAGGCATTTAAATTAAACACTTTCATCAAGTATTACTTTGAATTTAGTCCAGAGGACTTTAAAGGGAGCAAGGAACCAGAATTTGGTTCTACCATAGAACATTTACGATTGAAAGTTTTGGATTTGTTTCAAAATTCTGATATTTATGCAGAGTATCATAAAGAAACGCCTTTGACGAAAGAAAACGTTTTAATATTTAACAATAGATTAGAGGAGATCAAAGAGGTGGACAATTTGAACTATTTGAGTAAAGTGCGAATTGAAACTGGCAATGCAGTCGACTGCGTAGTCATATATTAATTTATAAATTCTCATCATTTAATTGAAACCTTTTTTCTTTAATAATCTTCAAATCTATTAGCCTTTGTTCTGTCACTGTCCATAACTTTACAGCTCTCTCCAATTTAGATTCTAATGACAAATTTTGCAACTTGGCTATATCATCTACTTTGTCATTATCCTTTGGAAAATTATCTTGCGATTGCACAATCAGTGTTAACTGATGAGTATATTTGCCTTCTTCGTTTAACTTATCAATTTCGTAGTCTTCACCATCAAGCATATCAATTTCTATATTTCCTAAACTGTCCATATTATTGGACTGGTTCATTTTGCGAAAGTCAAATTCGATAAATCCAAAGCCCCTGTATATTTTTTGCTTCCCGAAGCCACCATTTATCACTTCATCGTCATCCAAATCTAAAATGGCCCTATTAACAAGTCTGTAGCATTGGTGCCTGAGAGATAAGTCGAAAAGAGAACGCAATTCATCCGGCAAATCTTTTTGTTCTTCGATTTTCTTGACTGTGGGGTCAAAGTTGAAGCAGAGCAAGCTCATAGTTATTTCTAACTCCTTAAGCAACTTATAGCTATTTGTTACTTTATTTATCAAGTTTTCCCTTACAAAGGACAAAGTACAATTCAAAAAGTTTCTTTCATTTTCATTATCATTACTGGCAGTCAATTTATGATTTCGAATCATTTCAATCAAATTCAATTTTAATAGTTTGAAATGAAGTAAGTTATTCGAATCTAATACCGTAGGAAAATGCTCACTTATTTTTTGAATAGCCAGAGTTATTTCACCCTTCAATATTAGTACTTTTATTTCTGTTCTTTGATTAATTGTGGAATACCCAGCAGTTACATTTGAATTCTGACTTTCCTGTTTAGGAAGATATTTCAAATTCTCCTGATCTGCCAAGTCTTCAGCAGCTCCATAGAATTCTTCATCAGGACTAGAACTTAAACGTGATAATTGGTTTAAGAAAGAACTATTTTTTGACCCTGATATAATATTGTTCTGGACTAAATTAATATTTGCTTCTTTTGCAAAACTAATCGCGGCCTCTTGGAATCCTTCTTGAATAAAATAATTGAATATAAGATGATCTATCTTCTCCTTAGGTACACCTGACATTATGGTCTTACAATTAAGAGAAAATGAATAGATTAAGTATTATAAATTTGATAGCTCCACAATTTTTTTATATTGATAATATCACGACAAAACATACAGGTCTTATCTCAAGGAAAGAATAAATATGCGTATACATATAATCAAGTGGACAATATAATTAATAAGTATGTACTAGGTATTCCATTTACCATCCCTACTGGTGAACTCTTTCACCCTATCCATATCAATGCCTATTTTGCTCTATTTGGTCAGTACTGATAAATATCATGATAATAGTAAAATGTACTTGTACTTACGATTAAAGAATCAAAATCCTCGACTCCTTCTTGAACCAACCCTAAAAAGTTTTTGAACTTGGGATGTTAGAAACAAACAAGCTTAGGATAATTGGTGTCTAAGAATATACTTACAAGTTTTTTTCTTTCGCTAAAGAGTTTCTGAAGCTTCAGTCTTTGCACACAGAGAGCCTCTATATCGCTTTTTGAAAGTTGGGGTCTCTGATTATCACTATTATTCTTAACTTTGGCTTCCATATCGATGATTTCATGCTCTAGTTTTTTGAAATAGACATCTGCTTCCTCGTTAGATGGAGTACTGACTAGCAGTTGCAACTCTTCAATTGTTAATAAAAGTGCTCTGGATATCTCAAAGTTGAAATAAAAATAAAAGTAAGGGATAAATAATTACCTTTCTTGAGCTCTTGAATTTCAACATCAATAGCTTGATATTGTTGTTTTAACTTTTCAATGGCGGAAATGTCATATTTGTTAAGAAAGTCATCTTGAATTTCTTCTTCCTTGCAAACGTAATATACCAGTTTCCCATAGGTCTTCGACATTATGTCTCCTTTCTTTTCTAAGCACTCAAGTATATCTAGCATTGCTGCCTTGTTTATTTTTTTGTGCATATTCAAAATTAGGTCCAGAATTGAATACGGTCTGTAGTTCTCTTTTAAATACAGACGAACAGCTTCTTCGGCTTCTTTACCCCTTATTTGTTTTACTGCTTCTGTCTTTTTTGGGGGCATGGTTCAATGCAAAGATGTTGTCAATATATATACTTTAGTATGTGTATTAGAGGTTATATAATGTATTTTATGGAGAGCGATGTAAATGTTGCAAATTTAAGTGTTCCGGCATACACATAATTAGCACTACCAAGGAGGACCAGCCTAAGAAATTTTTAGCCCCCTTTGGTGAACCAGTCTCATCGTCATATTGCTCCCATACGAAACCTGTTGCTTTCCATTGTTTGAAGATGTTATCGACCAAGTTTTGACGTAATAGTTTATATGCATTTTCCATCTTTGACTTAAGTGGGTCTGTCATATATTGCGACGACGCTGCGTAGTAATGTTTTAAACCATCGAGGACAAGATAATTAATATTAATCCAGATAGGAGATCTCCAATAGTTTTCACCTGTTCTATAGTATTTATCTGACTTTGATAACGATCTGATACCAAAATCAGACCAGAGACCATTCGGATCTAAAATCAAATCCACAATCAGTTCAATTTTGCTAGTATCTTGAGCTGGTATTAGCTTTGTCAAAAAAGGAAATAACGAAATATAACCTTTATGGCATACATGAACGTTCTCATCGTTGTCGTCTACCGACATGTCACAATAGGATCCTTCCTCGTTCGACCAATGCATGTTCAAGCCTTTAATCAAGTCAGTCTCCATCTTCAGATACATTTTCACATCTTCTTTATATCCCAAGATGCCAGAAATCAATTTCATAGATCTTGTCATGATCCCTATCCAGGACACTAAATCCACGTTTAACTCAGCTATATCAGCCGGCAAAGCTCTAGGGTAGTCATCTAGTCCACTAGCAAGACAGTGTGTCAAAGTCCGACCCCTCCAGCGATATCCTTCTTTACTATCACCCCTATCAAACTCCTCTATATAGCCTTGTTGACTTGCACGGAATCGGTTGAAATATTGTTTCAACTTCGGGTAAATCAGTTGAGTGTAGTTAGCTAATAAATCAGGTGTTTGAAGAATAACCAGGCCCAAGTCTTTGTGGGGGTTAAAGCTTCCATAGTCACTCTCCACGATTGGTTCATTGACACCTCCAAAGTTTTCTTTTGTACTATCTAAAAGGTATGTAAGAACAAGCATTAATGTAGGGGGGTTAACTATTTCGGGACTCTGGATTTGGAATTCCGCTGGAACTCTAGATCTCAGCTCGGGTCCAAGAATTTGCTCACGCGCAACCCAGCCTTCGTCGTCGATTAAACTGAACCAAGATTGCAAAATTTCGAATACTAAGTCTGAATCGTATTCTAATAGCGGCAACAAGTGAAAGCCTTCATCCCATAAAAATCCCCTTGGAAAGAAGGGTCGTGAAGGAACTAAGCTGAATAATTCGTGTGGACCCTCTAGCGAACCTTTGAGCTCATAAGACTCAAACAGCTCTTCATCAAAGACAGTCTCTCTGTCGACAATATGATCTCCGTAGAAATATGATAACCCTCCAAGTAAGCCCGAGATAATTTCTTGAGCAAAGTCAGTATATTGTTCGTCATTCGAATATGGAGGTTCAATTTGGAAATGCTTATTGAATTTTGATTTCAATTTCACGATAGTATTATTTATTCTCAGTTCAATGGTTTCTGCAGTTATGTGGTCAGACTTAGGAGTAAAACCATTGTTATATAAAATATCAAATTGACACTCACCTTCGTATACTTTTTGGACAAAATGTAAGTTACCTTCGAAATCTTGTAGATCTCTAATAATAAGAGCTTGTTCTGAAGGAATATTTTCCAATCCAGAATACTTTTCAACAAGTTGCTGAATAGACTCTTGAAGCATGGTCATGAAAATGTCCTTTGCTTTCCAGACATTGTCATTGGGTACAACTAAACTGAAATGATGAGATTTAGCTGGATCAAGTTCAGGGTCGATAAGCTTCAGTTTAGGATGACGGTTTTTTATGGGTCCATCAGTAATAGTCATTTCAAATATCCCTAATTCTTCGGAAAAACCTTCGAGAGTTACGTTAGAGTCATGACCGAGGACGTTCTTTTTATTCTTGAGACGAAAATGGCCCGATTTGCTAACTTCACCATCTTCGATTTTTTCTTCACTTTCCAATCCAGAGTACCAAATAAAAGATATTTTAATATTTTCATAACCAGGGTGCGGTGTAGAATGTATTCTTACGCCCCACGAATATCCATCATCGCTTTTAACAAAATCTGTCACAATGTCTATATGGTTATCATTGTCTGATAAGATCTGCCTTCCCCCCGTTCTCGGATCGTAAGTAATCCAGTTGGCTCTTTTCATATTATCATCTTGATTGTAAAAATGACGTAAATTGCCAATTCCCCCATAATTATCAACTTGAAACCACATTAAACCCGACAACAATGAACGTGGTATCCTTGGCCTTATACCGAAGTAGAGAGAAGATCTATAGGGTCCCCAGAGGAGGGACGAGTCGGACGCTCTCTTGAATCTTGAACTTAATGTTTGTGCTTCTATACCATCTTGTGAATCGAAATCGAAACTAAATTGCTCAGATATAACAAATCCAAGGACAAGGTTTATAAGTAGAAGAAACTCTAATGTCAATTGCCTCATTTTCTTATCTATTTTTAAGTCAAACGCATTGATCAATTACTTCTCGATCATAAAGACAGTTCAAATTCAGACTGCATAGTTGATATTCAGACGAAATATGAACCAAAAGATTTACCCAGTAGTACAGTGAAAAGTTTATACAAACGAAAGACGGTGTATTAGGCGATTGGCTGTTAGAAGGTTATATGGTGGTATATGTGGCCATGCAAAAGTGGGCTTGGAAACATCCTAGGATATGGAGTTAAAGGGAATGGAATAGTTGCATCTGAGAAGTCTGTCGATGATGAGCATAATAATGCAACAACAATTAAGGTCGAATTCCCGAGGAAGCTGGACGATGCTTCATCGATTAAAGAGATAGAGGGTTCAAAGTCAGACCTAGTAGGATCACAGGTGCCAATATTTACTTTGAATTCACGAATATATAATAAATTTGAACTAGCAGTCTCATCTTCATATACGGAACGGAGTGAAAAGCTGATGTATAATGACCCAAAAATGTACATACCGAGGGACATTTTAAAATCATATCTCGTCGAGTCGAATTCTTTAACGTCAACAATAGCGTACGATCCTACTTTTGGTAGGCTCTTTTCGTTATCTGAGATACGGACAAGGAATGGAAATTATTCGGCCAAGATAATGGCTTATGTTACTGGCGAGACTGGAAATATATTTAATATTTCAACAGTGGACTATAGGAGAATAGAAATTCGCAACAAAAGTAGTCAAACTTCTGAGATATATACACCAGAAATTTTGAAGCCTTTTCAAGTTGCATTTTCAGAACCAATCAAGCAAATTGAATTTTCTCTGAAATCATTCGGTTTTATACCATCATTCGTACTCATCCGTTCTGCATCAAAGATCTACATTGTCAGTTGCTATAAATCAGGAAGGACGAGAGACTTGCAGAGGTCAAAGGTAGAGATGGACCTTGTTAGTGAATTAGGTACGAACGATCTTAGTCGGAATGAATTCGCAGATGTTGCCTTCAATCCTTGGGATTATACCCAATTTTCTGCTGTTGATGTGAAGGGAAATTTTGGTGTCTGGAATATACGACGTGAGCGTCCTAATTGTTTGAAGAGGGTTAATTTTAATATTGATTATGAAGTTGGAGAGCAAAATACGACTTCGGTACCTAAATGTTCTCCATCTATATCTGATTCAGAGGAATTGTCCAATTGGAAAAGGATAATTTGGGGAGGCAGCGAAGGCTCGCTTATTGTCATCAGTAGGTCTTCCGCGACACAGTTCACTATTATACCCAAACTAACTTCTTTCGAATTAATCAGTGCTAAGACCTGGTCCAAAATTCAAGATGTTTTTAGAAATGAAAGGTATGCATTTTTATTGACTTCTAAAGAATTAATATGGTTGAGCATTTCACCAGAAACTAAAAGAATACTCTCCTGGAAGCATTTTTTAGACGACCAAGATCCTTCGTTGAAGCTACATGTATGCAAAAAGCAAGGCCACAACTACATCTGCTTGATCTATTCCCAAATGCATCCCTTAATTTTTGTATACACCTTTGGCTTTAGGGATGAAAAGCCTTGTAGCTTGAGAGATCCGTATTTTATACGGCGAGCTAAAGATATGAGAGGCGTTCAACAGGTTCACCTTGCCACCTTAAATCGTAATTTTTTTACGCTGCTGAATGACCTCGTTCAGGAGGAAGATCTAGTCAGTGAAAGTGATCTAGAATCTGACTTTCAAAGTGAGGCGCTTGGCCTCTTCGAATTGACAACTGATCTTGATCTATCTATCAATTTATTTTCTGAGGTAGATGGCTTGACGACAATTGACGAGAAAGAAGAGTGGAATCCCCAAGAATTAAATAAAAAGAAGACAAAAGTTGCCATTGGAAGATATCACTTGTTCAAAAAATTTTCGAAAAAACTGTTTTCCTACGTCTATAGTGACATTGCCAAAGTGAATAAAAAGATGCACCTGGATGACGAGATAAAAAGAATACAGGATTATGCCTTCAAATTGGGAGAGGGTAGCGCTGTGGTGCATAAAGAAGACTTTACTTATCACTCATTAATGGATATATCGTCTACGATGCCTCCCTTAGTTGCGAATATTTCGGAATTTGACTCCATGATTGAACAACTATCCAAATATTATAAAGAAAAATCAATTGACATTTCAAATATAGAGCATGCGTTCTATAAACATTCTACCCTTTTTTCTTCATTCACAAGAGCATCACGTAAAAATAACATTCTTAACCTTTTTGGTGCCTTAAATGAGGTATATACAAATGAAAAATTGAAACAATTCAATTCAATAGAAAATGTCCGCTTGACAGCAATATTGATTGGAACAAGTTTATTGAAAGCCAGTTCTACTAATTTGGAACGCAATCATGCTGATCAATTCTCCGACGAAATAAAAATATCAGCGGACCATGTAAAAGCTATAGTAGAGGAATGGGATCATGACGAATTAGAGATCTTTGACGATTTTGACTCAAAGGAGGATAAATTTCAATCCCAAGTTTCGATCCCCCAAATATCATCTTCAATACCATCAATTAACATAACAACGCAAGAGAAGAACACCAGAAAAGTAAACTCGAAAAGAAGGATACTTAAAACTTTCGCGCGGAGACAGAAACCATCGAGCTCCCAGAACTCTATTGTGAGCGCAAGCCAAAGTCAAGAACCTTTCGAACCAGGGCACCTTCTAAGTTCCCAGATGAAAGGAGCCTCATCGCAAGAAAGTTTACTAAATTCCCAGAACATAAATACGAGCTCTAGGCGCTTCATTGCTTCACAAAATAGATTCTCAACTTCACAAAGTAACTCTCAGAAGAAAGCTAAGAAACGGAAAGGAGGGTTTCAATAATTTTCATCTTATTTATCTTTTCAGATATATAATATATTTCAAGGTATCACTGACCTTGTCTCGTCTTGTATCTTGAGAATTGCTGTAGCCAAACTTTGTGGATCAATACCTTGATCGATTAATTTGAAACATAATTGAAGGGTTGTTTTATCAATACCCTGAACGTTGAAAATACCGATCAAATCATTTGTTAAAGTGTAGGGATAATTGGACCCAGAACTTTGGTCGCTCCACAATTTATCTGGTTCGTCCATTGTTTTAGTTGAAGGCTTCAGCTTCATGAATGCATTAAATAACAAAAACTAAATCCTTTATAAAATAACATTACCTGCATATAACCAAAACACCTTAAGTTTTAGATTTATCATGTATTTACAGATGAGTTTGAAAAGAATCACATATGTATATAGTTAAAGACTTAAAATAGCTACCTAGATGGATCTTCTTCGAATCTCAAATCCCATCCTATCTGCTCACCTAGTTTGGGCAAGACTTCTGCAACACTTTGCACGTCTTTGTCTCCCCTGCCCGAAACGTTTATTACAATATGCTGGTCGGAGGGTAATGTTTTGGCGAGCTCGACAGCTCCAAAGATAGCATGAGAAGATTCCAAAGCTGGTATGATACCTTCTAACTGCGACAACAATTTAAATCCTTGCAATGCTTGGGCGTCCGTCGCAGCAATGAATGTCGCTCTTCCAGTACTCTTCCAGTAGGCCAATTCAGGACCAACTCCAGGATAATCCAAACCAGCCGATACTGAATGTGTGTCATGGACTTGCCCATCACTGTCTTGTAAGACGTAAGTTCTGACACCGTGAAATACACCAGGAATACCAGCTGTTAAAGTGGCTGAATGACGTTCAGTATCTAAACCATCACCTCCCGCTTCAACACCTAAGAACTTCACCTCCTTATCGTTTTCAAATGGGGAGAACATTCCAGTTGAGTTGGAGCCACCACCAACACAAGCTACAACAACATTCGGAAGTTTTCCATCATTCAATTCTTTGAATTGTTGCTTTGTCTCTTGACCTATGACGCTTTGAAAGGTTCTAACCAAAGTTGGATATGGATGTGGTCCAATTGCCGAACCTACGACGTAATGGGTAGTTTCCAAATTGGAAACCCAGAATCTGAACGCCTCGGACGTTGCATCCCTCAAAGTTTGAGTACCATTCTTGACCGCAACTACTTTTGCACCCAAGATTCTCATTCTGAAAACATTTAGAGCCTGGCGCCTAACATCTTCTGCTCCCATAAAGACGGTGCATTGAAGACCGAACTTAGCACAGGCAGTAGCAGTAGCGACACCATGCTGACCTGCACCCGTTTCTGCAATGATTTCCTTCTTTCCAAGTCTTCTTGCTAAAAGAACTTGAGCCAACGCATTATTAATTTTATGTGAACCCGTATGATTCAAGTCTTCTCTCTTCAACCAAATTTGAGCCCCGCCAGCATATTCAGTTAATCTATCTGCCTTATGAAGAGAAGATGGTCTACCAATGTAAGAGTAAAGTGCTCTGAATTCTTTCCAAAACTCTGGATCAGCAACTGCACTTTCAAACCCTCTTTCCAATTCTGCTAAACATGTGTGCAAAGCTTCTGGAACGTATTGACCCCCAAAATCACCAAATCTGGGAGCAAACTTATGAATTTCTTTGAACTCAGGCTCTGAATCCTTAGCAGCTATCTTATACGAATTATCGAAAAATTTAGGTGCATCAACTTTAAAACCATCACCCAATATAGACTTGACATATTTATAGGCAGTTTCTCCTCTTTCGCCAGGACTAGATTCTCCAATTAATGTAATGATTTTAGATCCAATAACCACACCATCTGCAGCCTCTCCTACAGTTAAGAAATGTTCTCTAGTGGATACACCAAATCCAACTGCAATAGGTGTATCACCGGCAAACTTTCTAACTCTCGCACATAAATCAGAAATACCCTTTGATACTGTTCGAGACGCACCAGTGGTTCCCATTCTTGAAACAACGTAAATAAACGAGTCCGCAATACTACCTAAAATCTTTAATCTCTCATCAGTCGTAGCAGGAGCTACCAATGGAACATAAGACATTCCATTCTTTGTACACAAGGATCTAAATTTAACTGCCTCTTCTGGTGGCAAGTCAACAACTATATATCCGTTAGCACCTGCTTTTGCAGAGTCCTCGATCATCTTTTGTTCACCATACTTCAAGATTGGGTTATAGTATCCCATTAGAATAATAGGTACAGTCACACCTTCAGATCTGGCTTGAGCCACCAATTTCAAACATTTAGAAACAGTGATTCCATTTGCCAAAGCAACATTATTAGCTGCTTGGATAGTTGGACCGTCTGCAATAGGATCTGAAAATGGAATACCCAATTCAATAATGTCAACTCCTCCCCTTTGCATCCCTTTCAAAATTGGTAAGGTATCTTCCATAGTTGGGTAGCCAGCTGTGATGAAATTCACTAAGGCATTACGTCCCTCTTTTTTGCATTTTGCAAAAGTTTCTCTTAACAAAGCAGACATCTTTACCGCTACCTAATGTCCTATTTACAAACTGATTTATGTTCAATTCAAGAGTAAATCCCATCTTTTATAACCGAATTTTTCAGTACTAAAAACGTTACTTATGAGTCAGTTCAGGGTAACCCATCTTGAGATCAGATAGTTGTTGAAGACATGTAAGTCAAAATTACAGATGAGTTAGAAAATGATCACACAGTGTAAATGAATCATTACAGCCGTAGTACCTTTATATATTACTTACATATTATATATCTGTTTCTCTTCACTTCGCCAAAGAGAAGCGTTTTCATTAAAATTACTTTCTCTGTCCTCATTTTATCTTCTTATCAGAGACCAGTTTACCATTCTCTTCTTCCAGCGATATCTTGTTCAACCCTGAGGCATTGGATTCATTAGAAAGCCTCATAGATTGCGAATTGGGAGCCACCTCAACTTCATTACCCAACTTTATTTGTGCCAAATTGATAATTGGTAATAGCTTATTGTATTGATCACAGTAATCTTTAATACTTGCTTTAAGTGCATCAAGTCTCTCACTTACCACTTTGTAATATCCCAACTGAGACTGGTTTGGAGGTATTGTCGCTAAGGCTTTAAGAAATAGTGACATATCATTTCTTAGTATATTAATTTCTACTTTTAGCCTTTCCAACTCATCATATATTTGGTTAGGGTGCACCTTTCCTGACGTTATATCATCAATCTTAATCAGATCCGAAAGCCTTGACTCACTAGCTGAGACCATCCAGAAAGATTAACTTATTAATACTTCCTTCAAGATCGCTTAGAATAATAACTACTCATAAATTCATTTTCGCATTTTCCATTCTATATATAATAATCCTATTTCCGATCTCTAAAAATGATCACAGAAGCCTCTTTTCTCCACGCTAAATTGTAATTTTCAACTAGGTTGTCAAAGGTGACATTATTAGGTAATAATGAATTTTCGAAGTCTTTAAATCCCATTGAATAGTATGACTTGGAGACACAAGATGTCATGGTCTGAAGAACAATCGGGAGCCCAAGTTTCATGACAGAGGCCCTGCAGCTGTCTATTTCAGAGTTATATAGTCTGATCCAAGTATAATAATCATTCATTATCCAGCTTCTTAAAACCATTAACGTTCGTTGGTCGTCGTACTCTTTCAAGTACCTAAAATAATATCGAAGAGCTTTTGAGTTATCCTGATTAAAGTGTGAAATGTACAATACTAGCAACGTCGATATTTCTTGAAGTTCAAGCTCCGACAACAAATTGTAGTTTTGAAACTGAAGTAAATGCATAATGCTCGGCACAAAAGTTTGAAAGTATCCCATACTTGAAGAAAGTCTTACTGAAAATAAAAACACTTTTTTGGTAAATTCATTTGGTTTCAGAGATATTAAAGCCTCCCGTAACTTTCTTAAAGATTCAAGTATTGAAGCAATTGAAACTTCCTGACTTTCTACATTGCCTATCATAATATTCTCTTCTTCAACAAAATTTCGTAAATCATCATGAAGTTCAGATGACGTATTAGCATTACAGTAGTTAACAAATGAAAAGAGAATTGATTTAAAAAACAATTCCTGCTCTTTTGGGCTTCTTTGTAATCTGAAATCCTCACCTCTGCTAACATAGCCATAATCGTTCCTGTCTTTGGAGGTGGTTTCTTCATTTTTAAATCTTTGAGCTCGCCTTTCAAGTTTGTCATCCAAAGAAAGGTCTTTCAAATCATCAGCAATAGAATTATCGGCATATTTTTTTGTCCTATCCGAAATATCTGAAGATTTCTGATCCGACATGTTTGATTGCAATTTAATTGCATCTTGTACTTTTGAATTTTTCTTCCATTTTTTGCTTTTTCTAGAGGTCAAACGACTTTTATTCTGATTCTTGGATTTATCATTACACATTAGATTGGTTTTGGTCATGAGCAAGCCATTCTCACTCATTATTTTTAATAAAAGACGCTCAGAAGTATATGTAGTTACTTAAACTAACGCTCCACAAATGCGAAGTTATATTATCACGAGATTCAATTAATTGAGGAAAGTGACAAGTCAAATACTTGTTAATAATAAAAGTTCTAAGTGGTATATTACTATCTCTATAAATGCAATTGGTATCTTTCACTACAGGCTGAGCTTTCTGTGCTCAGAATATTTTGATCGTTTAACGATTAGATTTCCGAAATTAAGCACAGAAATTATTAGTAGCGTGAAAATTGTAATGACAATTGTGAGCTTGAAAATGGCACTGTAGCATAAATTACCTAGAACACAAAGTTTAAAACGAGAATTACTATATGGCTCAGTATGAGAGTCATAAATCTGACCGAATAAACTTGTGAAAAAAAAGCTAGGGAATATAGGTGCTAGTCCAACAATGCCCCAATTTGACGAGAAATTTTCCATTCCAAAAGAATCCCCCACAATGATTGGCATGATACAAAATGTAAAACCATACGAAAAGCCAGTTAGAAGAGAGTCAGCAGATAATCCTCCATATTCGTTTATCAGTAAACTCATGACTTGAGCGACCATCATTCCAATGCAAGGTACATACAAGAGCAACGATCTAGGTTTATTGAAAGATTGGACCACATCACCTAACACCCCAGATGAAATTCTACCAACGCAATTAGCAATTGATAGGAGTCCGACTTGAAGTTGTTGATCTTTTTGAATAAGCTGCTCGATTTTTGTTAAAGCACCATCTGAATGTTCGATCTCTTTAAGTAGCAGGTTCGTAACTAGGGCCTTTACCATATATCCCACTGAGTATATATACATTTGTCCTAACGCAGCCAATGAGCCTGTGATAATAAATATACCCCAAAATTTCCACGACCTCGCTAAATGAGTTCCACTAATGTCCACATCTGGAACTCCAAAGGGCCTATTTCTTACCGAAGTTCGAGGGCTAAGGTTTAACAGCGGAGTGCGCGACATCGAAGGTCTCATAGTAGACAACTCAATAGAATCGAGACTCATATGTTTGTTCTGCACTGTCTTTCTCAACTTATGTTCCCAATCACAAACTATCACACTCGGAGCACATATTACAAATATAACCACTGTAGAATAAGCAAGGAAACCCAAGAACATCGACGTATCACCAGGAAAGAAAACTGAAGCGATTACAGAAAAGAATAATGCACTTAAACCGTAGAGTGCCAAAGGCAACGACGTGGCCACACCTCTAATACTTGGGAAACTTACAGCACAGCATTTCAAACACGCCAGATTGATGAAAGTAGATCCACAGCCAACAAAGAATATACACGTAGCTGACAAAGACACATTTGAGTAAATATGATCAAACTGTTTCTTCATTGCCAAGTACCCCACAACAATTAATAATCCTCCAATGACTAAAGATACAGAGTAGCCTTTCTTGTCAACAACTAGCCCCGCTAGTGGGCCCGATACCGCTATTCCAATAGTGCCCATTAATGCAATCCTTGAGGCATCTGTAGCTGTATAATTGAGTTGTTTAGCAAATTGAGGACTGTAGGATGAATAAAGATACAATGTTCCGCAGATTAGGCCGAGAAAAGTACATGACAACAAAACAAACACCTTTCGAACTGATGGTGATATTATTGGCACTTCCATCATCTTATGTATTCGTCTCACTGATATTTTTCTTAGAAGAGTCCAAGTTTGCCATATGAGAACGATTTAATGCCATTGAAGAGATTTTGACGGGATCTTTATCTGTTTCCATCAACTAAAAGTAAACACGACACGAACGCACTCACATGATTCAGGCACCAGGAACAGCCATTTAAATCAAAATTCTAAATAACAAGCCTCCCAAGGTCAGCAAAGAATTTAAGAGAGGAGAATAATTAGACATATGAAGTCTCAAATATGAAATCATCCTTTAGAGCTTTTAATGAAGCTGCATTGAAGCCGTTGAAAATCGCATTCTTTGGCAGTGATCGCTTCAGTGTCATCGCATTAGATCGGTTGACTAAGTATTCGAAGACGAATCCTCGTAAGATAAGCTCTGTTGATGTCATAACAAGAAAAAGTAAAAGGACTGGCAGAGGATTAAAGAAATATAATGATCTACCTATTGAAAGCTACTGTGAGCAGAATAGTATCAATCTTGCAAGGGCAGATTCTGGAGATGACATAGTCAGTTTATTGAGCGGTAATCAATTTGACCTTAGCATTGCGGTATCATATGGATCACTCATACCGGCAAAATTTTTACAAAGCTGTAACTACGGGGGACTTAATTTACATCCCTCTCTTCTACCACGATATTCTGGATCATCTCCCATCCAATACGCCTTAATGAATGACGATAGGGTCACTGGCGTCACCGTCCAGACTTTGCATCCTTCAAAATTTGATGCTGGAGAAATAATACTACAATCTGATGAAGTTCGTATAAAAGAAGAAGACAACTACAGATCTCTCGTCGAAAGGCTAGGCAAACTTGGTAGCGACTTGCTTGTGAAAGTAATTGACGGGGACCTATTTATTAAGCACCAACCTATTGAGAGGCATCACAGTTACTCATTAGCATCTAAAATCAAGTCGGCAAGAAAAATAATAGATTGGAATTCTACCTCAAAACAGATCAAGAGATTGAATGATGCTCTAGGACCGTTAACGACCTACACGCGAGTTCATATACGTAAGAAAAAAAAGGACATTGACAGCCTATATGTTACCATTCTAGACGACATAAAAATAGTGGGAGGGGAAAGGAGCTGGAACATCAAAGCTCCAGGTCTGTTTGAATTAGATGAGATGAACAATCTTTTAGTTCTTAAGACTAAAGATGGGTATATCTCCGCGGGGAAGTTGAAGTTCCAGTATTGCAAAGAGGAGGACCCAAAACAATTTTTGGCACATTTAAGAAAGAGATCAGGATCTGATAAACAAATCTTTGAGAGTAAAATTAAAATTTAGATTCTGACTATATATTTCTATATGAATTTGTTGTCATAGGAATACTCTCATATAACAACTTGACAATGCTTGTTGAATTCTTCAACTGCTATTTTAATCCGACCGTATAAGAATGTTCGACTTTGCTTCTCTGGAATTGGTATAAATGGACCTTCTCTCTTCTTCAAACCTACTGTAATACCTGTTGAATCGATTGAGATTGCTTTGATCTGATCATATGAAATCACCCAAACACTGACCAAGGTATTTATGTCAAACAATAGTATCTTCTTAAAAGTCACTATAATGGCTTTTTCCTCTCCAGGCAATACTAAATGAGCGAGATAAGTCTCATTGAAGTAAACACCACCATCAATAGACATGAGCCAAAACTGACCTTGTGATTCTCTTTGAGAGTATGGCCTGATAACATGATCATAAGATATGTAACGAGGCAATCTTACTTTATCTAACCCTTCAGCATCAAATACGGTAGTGGTATTACGGATACCTTCACTAACGTTTGATGCCAAATCAAAGAAACCAATGGCAGTTTTTGTAGGTAGCCCGACGACGCCCTTTCCGATTCCACGGAAAAAACCAGATGCTCCACCCTTGTTGGCACCTTCAATAGGTGCTGTTGCGATACCTGTAACTCCTGATGAAATGGATTCGAAGAAGGAATTGGCTCCGGATGCGAATCCATAGAGTGCATGCTTTGGTTTATTGCGGTGCTGATTTAGACGACGACGTTCTTGGAACTTTGTGTCAAGCGTAGCAACCGACAATCCTTTTGCAAGAGAGCCTGTGACTTTTGCAAAAGAATCTGAAAACCCAAAAATGGATTTCTTCAAGAAACTCAATCCTCCTTTAGCAATGCCAATACCCAATTCTTGGGGCCTATCGTTCATGACAAATCCTTGGTAAGGTTCATAAAAGATATCTAAAACACCAGATGATATTTGATTAAATAATCCAACTGGGTTACCGAGAAAATCTGCAGAGCCCAAAATCTTGTGAACTTGATAGAAAAAGGACTGTCCATAGTGAGTCTTGATTGATTCTATCAAAATAGGTATAGGAACTCTAATGTTTTCAATAAATAAGGCATTTAGCTTTATTGGTGCGTCGTTAATATTTCCAATAGCCATCGTTAATACATTGAAGAAGAACATGAGAGTGTTTTGGGAAGACGCTACCCTGTTCTCTGCATTCACTCTTTCCGTCCTAACAAAAGACAAATTAGTCAAAGTGGGTTGCAAGTGCAAGGCTTCAAAATAGATATCACTTCTCTCAGATAAAGACTTTGGTTCAGGTAATTCTAAATGATAGTCACAAAGAACGTCAACTTGTTCATTGTTCCAGCTTGCACCTGGAATCTTCGAGAATTCTATCAATGCAAATAAGAAGTCTTCATCAATCTCTATCGTCATTTCTTGCAACAAGATGGTGGCATACTTGATAAACAAAACTCCATGTGAGTCATCCTTTACTCTTGAGACGGATCCCGAAAAAGATGGATGATTGTTCATCTCCTTGCCGGACTTTGGAACAACAGTAGGATACAAAACGATTGGGAAGATTCCACCATATAACTGATTGTCAATCTGAATCCATTTTAGTTTAATACTCAAGTTCTGATACAAATCTGACTCATTATAACGAACCTCTAAACCTCTTAACGTCACATAACATAATTCTTGGTTTCGGGCGTTAATCAATGAAATACCAAATCCTTCAAACTTAGTCAACAATCTCGTATGATAATTTTCATCCTCTTCTGTTGCTTCAAATTGCTGGGAAACAGTTGCAGTTGAATTAGATTTGCTTTGAAGCTTATACAAGCTAACTGATGGATCGTAGTTAGTGATGATTAAAGATTGTGTTGGACCGTCAGCAACTACATTCAAATCAACAATTTCCTGATCAGCATTGTCTGTAGGGGGTAATCTAAATGGCTTCAAATTTCCGATTTCTGCTAAATTCACAGATCTTTCCCTTCCATGCGATCTAATAACGAGCTCTTTGACAACGGCATTTGGATAGTCATAAGCATAAGGCATAACACTCTTTGGTGGAATTTTATAGTAGATTGGCTTATAGTCAATGTCACTTTTAACAACTTCTCCATTTGCGTTAACATTTGGGTTGTTTTGATAAATATAAAATTCTGATTCACTGAAATTACGAATGGAAAATGGCCAACTATTATTGGCATTTTCAACTTGAATGAATATTGTAGCATTTTCAATCAAGATATTAACCTTTAGAAGTACTTGCCCGATGTCTTCTTTATATACTTTAATAAAAAGTTGCCCAATATCATCAAGGGCGAAGGGAGAAGACCAAGTTTTTGAAGAATGCGAAAATTTTAACATCATGCTCTTCTTCTCTGTCCGAAGTAAGCCATACAACGGAACCAACTTGTTTGGCTCCAATTCGGTTTGTCTTGTTGAACCATTCTCGACTATCTGAATGGCTTCATCTAGGGTGTTCCGTATAACATATCTGGGTGCAATAGTAACCACTTTTGTTAAATTATACTTACCCTCACCCTCCAAAACTGTTATTCCCACATTTATTTCGGCCTGTTTACCTGATACTTGAGCTTTGGTTTCAATGGACTGCCCAATGGCGTCAAAACTTAATGGCGGAGTCCACGTCGAATCATTTATCTTCAATAAAGCTCTATTTCTTCTATCTCCATGCCTATCAAAAGAAAATAAGCTTGGAGTGACTGGATTAAAAGAAGATTTTCCAATCGAAATCATTTGATTACCCCTCTCACTAGCGGTTATATTTTGGCCCGTTCTATTAAGAATAACATAAGGAGAATAAACAATTACTTTTATTCCAGCACTCTCTTGAGTATTCTTTGGATAATGAATCCTTAGCTTTAAAAGTTGACCGTCTTTATTCCTGAGTGTCAAAATATTTTCCCTCTTGAATTCACTACTGCTAGGAGCATTAATAATTGCAAAATCAGATTTTCCAAAGTTGCATCCTTTTGGTGTGACGCTTAGCAAAAGAAGGCTCTTTAAGCTGACAACATGAATATAGCTATTAATTCCTTTTTCAATGGTCCCACTCCAGTCTTTCTTGGAGCTTTTATCATATAAACGGTAAGATATATCGAAAGGAAGCAAATTTTCAACCTGCAATGGTGCCGATATGATTAATTTAAGATGTGGATAAATTCGAGCCAAGGGCTCATTTTTATCGTAAACCGTCTCTGCATGATAAAAATATGACGTCTTATCACCAGGATCCAAAGAAGCGCATCTCAAGGGAGCATCCTCCGGCAGGTTTCTCAAAAATAATTTCTCATCAGACCAGGCGTAAGCTGTCTCTATATGTGGCTTTATTCTAATTGATCCACTGTAAACAGCATCAATTGGAAGAGCTCTTGTCTTATCAGCATCGATAACCATTTCCACAGAGTTCGTTTGATCGTCATGTTCAAGACTAACAGCAATAGCATAATTTGCATCATTTTGTATTTTTACTGTCGATTTCAACCAAATAGTTTTAACTTTATCGTCCCCTAACGTGATCTCACAAGATAGCCTACTATGCACCCCCTTAATTGGCGGAGACAACATAAAGATCTCTTCCCCTTCTCCCATCGCAGATATTCCGCCAACATCTTCAAATGGAGAGTCTTTCAAACGAATACCAAAGATACCATCTTCATTGTCTGTGTCGAGATTTTTACGCACCTCAGTCCAAGATTCAAAAGCCCAAGGTGCTACTTCGTTAGGTTTAATGACACGCGATTTGCTTCCACTACCTTGATCTGTCCATATTTCAATCTCATATCCAGTTTCATTGACGACTTTATATGGACTATCTTCACCTCGAGGCTTCAACTTCTGTTCCGTTGTGATCAATGAGAAGACTTGAGACATCAAAGCTATAGAACGAGAAGATATTGTTATCTCAGCTGATTGTCTAGATACCACATCAATAACCACACTTTGAGTTGGCGGTAATGTTTTCGATGCATACACTGAGATCGGCCACGGTTCAACCAAAGGCTCCCAGGTAGAACATGAATAATTATATATATTAACAAATGACTCAACGTGCAATTCGGCACTTAAATCAGTGGACCAATTAACTGCTCTTATATCAAATGGATTTACCCTCATATCAAGGACAGGCAACTCGTGGACGTCTCCTATCAAGACAAACCTTAGTCCACCAATAGAAGCATTAAATTCTTCACCTTTGACAACAACTTCTGTCTCTGAAAGACTCGAAGTCAGGTCATGCCTACTCTTTGATGGTTCTTCTGTAAAGGTCGTCAAGATTGAAGGGGCATAATGGGCCAATCTTTTCTTGAACTCTTCTGTGAAATTATATTCGTTATCATCATCTTCTTTAGAGAGACCCTGGGAAACTTTATAGTAATCCGTTGCTTTATTAAATATCATTAGGGCGAGCCTAATATCTCTTAAGGAAACTCTCAACAATAATGGGTCAACAGAAGCTTGAACATTAGTAAGAAGTTTAGTAGGAGTTGAATTTCTTGAGTCATGGGCGAGGGAGATTGAGAAATCATCGATTATTCTATAGTTCATATTATCAAAGTCATTCATTGTGCACAAAAACATACCAATATTGCTTGCGGCTAGAGATAAAATATTCTGGCTTGTTAGTTGTATTTGTTCCACCTTGAATACAATTGCTTCAGTTTTTTCGTCACATGGATCTGCCAAAATAGTTACGGAAGGTTCCTTTATGTCAACTGAAAATCCGATATTCGGAGCAGTCGTATCATTAGGTTTAGTGTTAGCCTCAACAGAGCTCCTACGAGACGAAACCATATCCAAATTGCGAGCATCTTCGTTAGGATGTGATTTGGGGGATGCATTAGATGCGAAACTTTTATCAAAAAATCCTTGCAACTCAATTAACCAATCAATAGCAAGAATAGTCCTTGGGCTATCTACAGCTGCACTGATAGTAATAGATTTCGCTTTAGCAGAACCACTTGAAGACGACGAGACCACGAACTGATCCTTTCCATTATTAGTCAGTGGAATAATTTCTCTAAACTTATTACTCGTTCCCTTCCTAATATCCCTGACAGTTAATGAGTTAACTGTAACATCAGAAGTAAAATTGCCACATTCTTCCATACAGAAAGAAGCTTTCAAGCCTCCTAAGTTCATTTCAGAGAGAGACTGAGAATTGAAGTCGGCCAAACCAAATGTTTTGTTAAAAAGAGACACCGAGAGCATTGGAAGCTCAAATGAAAGGTCTACCTTTGTATGGTCGTCTGGAATCTTATCATCTTTTGTTTCCTGTTGTGGGCTATTAGAAATGGTTTCACTACTCTGAACTCCTGAGACGTTATGTCTGACAACTGCGTTAGCATTGATTGCATCGGCTTCAATATCGGTCATTACTTCTTCTGGGTCAAACGTGAATACCCGAGTGATTGATTCAGAAAGAGACTTAAGGTAGTTTACTTGCAATTCTGTTAAGCTCAAGCTGATTTCAGGCATTTTACCTACTACCTTTATCGTAGGCTCATTTTTGACATATTCCTCTGCATAGTCTATTTTGAATGAAACATCCAAATCGTGGAGAATTTCAGACGATTGAATAGCGTCTTTAAAATAAAATTCTGAGAGAACGCTAACTTTGCGAATACCAGTCGTAATGATGTTCTTGTGGTGTGAAGAATCGACCTTAAACTCATTAGAAGCATAAAGCTCGCCCAAAGAGACAGTTATTTCATCATATTTATTGTCTGCATCTGTATTCAATTTTGGGAAAACTATTGTAGGAGCATGAATAGAAACATCAAACTTTATATTATTAGCTCCCTCTATTTGGCTGGCCTGATTTATAGCTGCCTCTCTTGCACTGTCATATATGGCTTTCATCCGCTGGAACTGATTTAAATAGTTTAAAATCTTATTTAAGGAATCTTCAACGAAGTTGATAATAAGAGAACCGGTCTTGAACTCAACTAAAGCTGTATAGGGATCCGAATTAGTTTCTTTATCGAACGTTTTATATCTAAATTCTGCCAAATTATCCCCTTCCATTGCTATTAAATTTTTCAATAAAGAATTGTCCGGGGTTCCTTGGTTAGTCTCATCATGTAACGATAAGGCTCCGAGTTTTCCCCAAACTTCCAACAGTTCTGGAACTATGAATGTTTTTATATTAGCTGTACTTAATTCCAAAGTTGCCAACTTTATACCGTCATCGTTGAGAACCATGATAATACTGTCCAATTTAATATCAACATTTATTTTTTGGGGAGCCTCCTCATCATTCGTCGAATCATTATGCTTGAGTTCATCAGCTGGAGTTGGTTCGGCATTCGGATCAGTAAATGTATTCAAGATAAAATTCAATATACTCAACAAGGACTTACGTGATATGACAAATTTCACTGTAGCAAGATCAATGGTTATATCTTGATCAAAGATTTCAATTTCATTAGAGTTGAAATCTACCACTCTTTGGCTCCTTTTATAATTAAGTTTGAATAAGTCCTTTTCTTTTCTTTCTTCATCATCAATAAAATTATTGGATGATATCAACTTTTCAAATTCAGGGACTCCAGATTTTTCTATATGATCTAAAAGATTTATGTCTTTTACTGTCATCTCAAGGTTCATCTGCGTCGCAGTATTATAAAAGTTCAAATCTAATGAATCTCCAATCAAATCCACCAATGGTTCAGCCTCCAACGTCACACCATCAACACATCTTGAAAGTGACATTCGAACTAGCGTCACAATAAAATTGAACTCAAAGATATGTTGCTGATTAGATAGATCATTTTGTTTTGAGCTCTTATTTTCAAAAAGGGATCTCTCATCGCTGTCTGAGTCAATGGAGTCAATGGATGCTCCATGTTGATTTCCAAAAGCATTGAATATACTGCTGTCATCTGATTCTATATCTTCAAATTTGGGGATTGCGACATCGATAATCAGCATTATTGTCTTGTACTGAAAATCATTCAATGCCAAACTGATCTCAGGTACTTCTCCACCTACTTTGAATTTTGCTAAATGATATGCATCTGGCAAAATAGAAATCCCAAGCATTAACTTTATGTTTAATTTGTTCAACACTAACGACGGCTTATCTCCATTCTCGTCATGTAATTGTTCCATTGTAGTTTTAATCTTGGGGCCAACAAAAAACTGGGCATCTTGGAGTCTAAGACTAAATTGATCATACATTAACGTATTTAATTCCTTCCAGTCGTCAGCACTATAGCTCTGTTTAGACTTAATCTGATCAATCTTTGACTGCTCAACTAAGCTACTAGTAACACTTATATGACCAGCATCCAAGATAGCCACAGATGACTCAAAAGAAGTCGGGTCTAAGGGTAGAATTATTAATGGAGCCTGCAAGTCTAACTTTGCATTTATTGTCTTATGTTCCTCTAAAGCGTATTGTAAACCAATTCTAGTTTGCTCTGTAATTCCTTCTACAGTTGCCTCAGCCGCATTCATAATCGCCCCAACAGTATCTAAGTGAGCTTTCGGAGGAGTGAAAAATTTCACAACTTCTTCTATGAATACTGGATTGTAGAATATTGTCATGGATCTAAGCTTAGCAAGGAGAGCGGAATTAGCACTATTATCAAGCGGGTTCTGCTCATACGAAACTTGGAAAAATGGATCGTCATGGTCTTTGGGCTCCTCTTCCTCATGAAAATTTGAATGCAAATGTTTCACACTTACTATGTGCTTGTAAATCGTCTTTTTAGTACCATCCTCAACTCTGAATTCTTGTAATTGGAAATTTGCAAGAAATGAATCTGGTCTCTGATAATAAGTAGCATTGCAGCCCTCGAAAATGATCTCAGCCAAGTTATCTTCATGCTTTTTGGGCCTAATAGATAAGCCACCACGCTCTAAGGAAGCAAGTACTTCAAATTTGACACGATCTCTAGGTAGACTTATTGAGTCTACCAACTCTTGCTTGTCATCATAATCAATTGCATCGTATAAAGCCTTGCGTTGCTCATCGCTGAGTTTTAAGTCCAGATTGTCATTTTCAGCATCGTGATTCTGATCTTTATTATTTCCATTACCCCACCAATATGAATATGATAGCCAACCGCCACCATCACTTGCTTTATTGGATTGAATATTTCCGGAATTCTGAGTAGAAGCTGATGTGGCAGCAGACAAGGAAGTTTCTTTACGTATTTCATTCTTCGTTAACGATCTGTAAAACTTAATGTCTTCAAAAGGTAATTCTTCTTCCAAATTTTCGAGCTCAGCTTGCTGAGAAGTTGAAAGAGGTTTTTTACGAATTTTGAGCTTCCATAGAGCAATATAAGCCTTTCTTTGGTCTCTTCTTTTGGCGAAATATTCCCAGCTCCATTTGTAGTTTTTCTCATGTATTTCATTTAAAATAGAATTGGCAGCATATCTGAACCATCCCTTTGGATCTTGTTGGGCTGGGACTGTTGGCCTAAATTTACGAAACTTTTGTGTTTTCATGTACCAATGAAATTTCGAAGCCGTCCACAATATATCACGATACTGCTGAGAGTCTAGCTCCACTCCAAATTCCTTGAAAAAAAGCTCCGCTTTAATATGAGGTACTGTTTCAGTTGAGCCTGTCTTATGAATTGTTAACTTTCCAGTTCCTGAAACGGGTTTCAAAAGAAATTGCAGATCCTGAAGATTATTTTCTGTGACTATGAATTCTTTAAATATAGCGAGTAATTTTGCCTGATCTTCGGTATAAATACTAGAGGATTCTGTATTCATATAACAGCTCAAATTTTTCAATGTAAGCAACTTTCTTAAAAATACTTGTGTTATTGATATGAAACTTGGCAGCCATGATTCGTCTGTAGAAACTGCAGACAACTCATTAAGCGTGAGACCGATAGCATAAGGGGTTTCGGTATATACTGAATCATCCTCATATCTGACATGAATATCTTTTATCGTAACTTGGAGGTTGTCAATAATTTTTGTAATTAAGGATTCAGTGAAGGATTCATTCTTATTCATGTCGTCAGCAAGGCTCTCATTTTGTGCAGCTGCTTGCTCTATAGTCTCCAAGTCCTTTAATCGTTCTCTTTTCAACTGTTGCTCCCTAGCGTTTTCTTCATTTAAATCGTAGTTTTGCAGTATAATTGGCGATGCCAATACGTAAACATCTTCTATTATTACTTTTGCTGGTTTGGATTTCAAATTTGACCAAGGAATCTGTAAAGTGAGTTCACCAATATAGCCGCATTTGACATCTACTGGCAATTTAAATTTGTCAAGAGATTCTTTCTTTAGCTTCAAGTTTCTTAACTTTACATCTCCACTCCATATTCCAATGTTCAACTGTTTTGAGTCGAAATTTTCAACATAAGACCCTAAAAATCTATTCAAGAGATTAGCAACTAAAGATTCAAACATCACTCAGGTTCTTATCTTCCCTTTGGCGTCTCAAGTAGAAAATCTATATTATAGAAACTTAAAAATTCGACGAAAGAGATCAATTGGACGTCTTCTATGTTTCAATCACTAATTTGTTTACCGCTGCTTTCAAAAAGATACCTTAACACTTGGGCCCTTTGACCTCAGCCAACGTTAATCGCAATCGTTGTAGTATGCAGGATTGATATTCTAAACACGTTATGTGTAGGAACGACATTAAATGTTATGTCGTGAGTGCGCTTTACATTGAGTTCACAAAAAAGTCGCCACCGATGTATGCCTTCTCCCCTACCCCCCCTATCGAATTACGCGCTTTAATTGTTGAGGTCACAAATTATCACTAAGTAGTGACAACTTGGCACGACTAATGTCACGAGAGCTCACTATCTGTTTAGCATAAAACGCTGAATGTCTTTCGCCCCCCATTGCAACGGTTCAAACTGCGGCTTTTATCTTATCTCCCCGTAATTGATTCACACTTTTTGATAATCCTACAGCAACACGTTAAGAAGCCAACAAACACGTAGTAGTGAACTAATTGGATTTCTTGTAACTCGATATAGGCAATACATAAAGCTGGTGATTCATTAATTTTTGGTCAGTTTAGTTTTGCTTACACAACTCCGAAACGGGATATAAGTAACAGATAAAGGAGGTGAGTCACTAATCAATAGCTAGCAAAAAGGATTTGTAAAAGACCCCTTAATTAGAGGTATCGGAGGTCCTGGTACATAAAGGATAGCATAAAGAGCAGAATACATTAGGAACGAGAAAAAGCACTACTACGATTTTGAGGGAACGAGTACGTGAAACACCAATTATAAAGTAAAAGTCACAGCCTACGTGTCGTGAACTGTGAAGTATGTCTACTACATTAACGACCAGTTCCTCTAAGGATGGGAACAGACCAGCAAAGAAAATCGGTGTTTATACGATAGGGCAAGAGATTGGAAAGGGTTCCTTCGCCACTGTCTACAAATGTGTAAATAATGTAAGTATCATAGAAATTATGGAGCAATATCAGTGCACAGAAGAAACAGCTTTACTAACATGTCTCAAGCAAACTCATGAATCGGTTGCGATTAAATCAGTGGTGAGATCAAAGTTGAAATCAAAAAAATTGATGGAGAATCTAGAAGTTGAAATCTCAATCTTAAAATCAATGAAGCATCCACATATAGTTGGGCTCTTAGATTATCACCAAACAACATCGCATTTTCATTTAGTTATGGATTACTGTTCTATGGGAGATTTATCTTACTTCATCAGGAAAAGGAATCAATTGGTAAAGACTCACCCCGTAATAACGTCTTTATTGGAACGATATCCCTCCCCAGAGGGATCACATGGGTTGAATGAGATTTTGGTGATTCATTTTTTAAAGCAATTGGCATCGGCTCTTGAATTTCTAAGAGACAAAAGTTTAGTTCACAGAGATATAAAGCCACAAAATTTGTTGTTATGCCCCCCGATACATTCTAAAAAGGAGTTCGAGGAAGCCAATTTTGTTGGCTTATGGGAGCTACCTATAGTTAAGATAGCAGATTTTGGCTTCGCTAGATTCTTGCCGTCAACTTCGATGGCAGAGACTCTATGTGGATCGCCATTGTATATGGCTCCAGAAATTTTGAGATACGAGAAATATAACGCTAAAGCTGATTTATGGTCTGTTGGTGCTGTTTTGTATGAAATGACCGTTGGGAAACCTCCATTTAAGGCTGCTAATCATATTGAACTTCTAAAAAATATTGAAAAGTCGAATGATAAAATCAAATTTCCTTCTGCAGCACAAGTTCCAGAATCTTTAAAAAGGCTCATCAAATCTTTATTAAAGTATAATCCCACGGAACGTATCTCATTTCATGAATTTTTTAATGATCCCTTAATTACTTGCGACTTGGAAGGAAATGATGAACCTTTGGAAACTTCAGAAATGGATGAGAATCTATTCATAAGCGAATACATATCACCGCTTAAACCCAACCAACAATCACAGTATATTCAACCAATAACCGAAATGTCACCTAAGTCAAAGACTTCGGAATCGCAAATGAAGACTGTTATAGTTGCCAAAGGTAATCGTTCCGAAAGAGATGAGGAAATAAAGAGCATAATTGATAAGAATAGTCCTGATCCTGAAGGGCCAAATCACTTGAGTAACTCACATAACAATAGGTCCCTGGTCATGAAGAATAGGGATGATATAATACTAGAGAAAGATTATGTTGTAGTAGAGAAAAGAGCAGTTGAGGTTAATGCAATAGCTGACGAACTTGCTCATGCAGGTAGTGGTGCTTTGGCCATTAACAGATCACGGCAGTCGACTGATTTTCATTTGAGCAACGAAGCGGCGAAGTCAACTAACGAACGCTTTAGAGCAGGCTCATCTGGGAGTCAAAGGAGGCCAAGTATAACGGATAGAATTTCGATTTCAATTTCTCCGACTAGTGCTTTAAGCAAAGCGATAGGTCTTGCTTCGAATAGACTATTTGGCACAGCAGCAAATAATTTGGCAGACGATGCTAATTTCAAGCTAGTTTCAGATAATTCAGGTTTTCCAAACCCTTCAAATGCTACACTTTCAACAGTCATATCAAGTCCTAATTTTGCAAGTAATCTTTTACTACAAAAAGTAACTTTACCTTCTTCGTCGACCATGAATGCAAATGCTCAGCAGCAGCAGAAAAGAGTATTGGGCCCAGATGAAGAAGTTTTGATGAAATTGGAATCTTTAGCTACGAAAGCACATGCCATTGATTTATTTGCGGATGTCAAGTTTAGTCAATTGATTCCTAGTCCTCCCTCTTCTGATGACTTGGACGATAATATTTTGCACCAAAATGATTCATTACCTCCAAAAGTGATAAAATCTATAAGTGAAGAAGGTGTTGTCCTTTATGTTAAGACATTATCACTTTTAGCTAAAGGAATGTCGACCGCAAGTGAATGGTGGTACAAGAATTTTGATAAAGAAGAAACAAGTAACATAGAAGATCAGAAATCGTTGAATCTAAAATCTAATTCAGACCAGATTCAAATTTCTGTTCGTATCAATGAACTCGTGCAATGGATCAGAGAAAAATTCAATGAGAGCTTGGAGAAGGCCGAATTTATTAGATTGAGATTGCAAGAAGCAAATACTGTACTTGCAAAGGAGCTTAACGAAACTGGGGACTCAGTTTCGTTCTCGGATAATACGAATAGGGTTATCGCTGAAAAGTTGATATTTGATCGTGCTTTAGAGATGTCTAGGAATGCAGCAGTTAATGAATTAGTGAAAGAGGATTTAAGGGGTTGCGAGTTGGCGTATAGCACAGCTATATGGATGTTAGAGGCTCTCATCGAGGATGAACCAAATGAGAGCGATGAGAGGCTTGACGAAGATGATAAAGCTATGGTCGAAAAGTTTATTATCAGCATTGGAAATAGGTTGTCAGTCTTGAAGAAAAAGCTCGAATTGGTGTAAAAGCTCTGCATCAAAATTTTCATATTTTTGTTTTATAATTATATTTCTGGAAGTTTCGTTCATACTATGGTTATATATGGGTTTATTTAGGTTTATTTTTGAATAAGGGAGAGCACAATTTGGGTTCGTTCTAACATTGTTGAATGTAATGTTATCGTTTTAATAAATGCGTTGTTTCGCGAGGTTGTAGGAGGAAGTACCTAGTATTTTAAGCTTTCGAATTCCAATACATATTCTACAGTTTAAGATTAAGTATACATGTCCGAATAATACTATGCATATTAAACATTAAATTAAGATATATGTTCATCATCATCATCGAGTTTTGAGTACTGCAAAACTCCTATAGCTACAGAATTTGATCTGAAATGATTTCGTCCAAGACGTATATCATCCTTGCTTGTTGCCTTGGATGTGCTTTCTTTATCGTTATCCAAATGAATAGATTTAGGGAAAGGACTGCTAATCGGATCTTTCATATAATGATTATTAAATCGATCGCGTAAACTCTGACCAGGTGAATGACCTAAAACCTGCAGCAAAGCTGATTTTTTTTTAGCCAGCTTACCATATAAAGCTTTCCCAGAAGTATTTTCTTCATTAAATGTAAAAGTTGTCTTTAAATTTTTCTCATTTCTAGTGGCGCCACTATTTGAAAAGTTAGTGTTCCTTTCAGAATGACCAGATTTGGTCTTTACGGAGCCCCTTCCATGCGTTGCCGCAGCAGCAGGATTAACTTTTAGGGAAGCAGAGCTCGTACTAGAAACGCTTGGTATAAGACTTTCAGGAATGTCTTCAAATTCTGGTGCATCATTTTGAAAAATGACTGGATATGAATGTGAAGTACTATTTCTTCGAAGAGGTAAATGAGAATCATGGGATTTGGCTCTGCTTCCCATTGAAAGAAAATGAGGGCGAGATGGAGGAGCAATCTTAGAAGAAAATGCCAATGTTAAATTTCCCTCTTCATCATCACTTTCATCTTCGCTGCCATCTGAAGACGATGAAGAAGATGACCAAGAAGAATATGATGATCTGTCATCTTCAATTGAACCTGCTTTAGGTTCAATACCCTCATGTTCATTTGAACGAGATATTTTCAGTTTAGCATTGGAACCTTTTTTATTCATCAGATTATTCAAGTCAAATTTACTGAATTTTTCGTTTATATTCTCGATTGCAGAAGAAGATTTCACTCCATTCTTATACGTGTCCTCCTGCCCCTCCGTAGTACCTTGCAGGTTTTTAAATTTTCGATACTTGAAAGTTAAGTATTCATCACTAAAACTGTCTAAAGACGCGAAACTCTCATTTATTGGCAACGATATGACCGAAGAGGGCCTTTTCCCCTCCGGAATATCTAGAGGAGAACTTTTTAAATGCATTGATGTATCCTTATTGCCATTGAGTGGAACGGGTGCAGCAATAGGGTGGTGCGGTCGAGGTGATTCTACTGCATTTGCCATATGTGACGTTATTGAAACGCCACTAGATCTTCTTCTTTTGTCATCCTGTTCTTGAATACCCTTAAAAGTGTCAACAATTGACTGATTCTTTAGATATAAGTCTCCGCCAACATTTCTTTTTGTTTCAATCTGAGGAGCTTCAACGGGACCTGAAGCACTTCCCTTTCGGCTTGGTGAAGATGTTTGAGGCTCGAACATATCATAATAAAAAGCATTAGAATGCCTACCAGGAGCTCCAGGTGTTGAATAAGATCCTGTCCTATTCGCGTTCGTTAGATGGTTGGATAAATTTGAGGAGGTATGAGGTGCAGTGCTGAATGGGTCTAAGTGATTCATCGGTGGTCTGTTGAATATCGATGATGATGTCTGAGGAGGTGTAGATATCTGTAGAGCTTCTGATAAAATGACAGAATGGTTTTCTGAAGTTCCGTCCAGAAAAGAATTCTGATATGAATTTCCTGAAGAAGAATCAGCACCTGAGCTTAGTACTTCAAGATTTTTGCCCGTATTAAAGCGCTTATATTTATTATCACCCTCCATCATTCCTCTTGCAATATTTTTTCTCATTTTACTGCCGATTCCCACCACAGCTTCATTTTCTTCCTCCTTCGAAACATCCAAAGTAGACATGTCATCAGTATATGTCATCGAACCACCTTCATTATTTTCATTCAGGAGTAACAGATCTTGGATAAGATTGTCGTCTTCCTGTAAGTCCATTAAAACAAAAGGATGTTTCTTGATATCTTTGATATCAATTCTCTTGGAGCTGTCCTTCTCCAATAGCTTGCTAAGCAAGTCCTTAGCTAATTCAAATTCTTCTTCCGACACATCTGTAGGAGAATTAAATGAAAACCTGTCTTTTGGAAATTCCAATGGCTGGTTGACTATAACTTGGAACAATTCGAATTCTGAATCTGCATTAAATGGTACCCTTCCAAATAAAATAGCATAGAGGGTAACACCCAAGGCCCATATATCAATCTTGTGATCAATCCTGGGAAGTATCTTTGTAAGACTTAGGCCCTCGTTCTTCAATATCTCTAATGAAGAAGCTGATTCTGATGCAGAACCATTGCCTGAGGAGAAATTAGTTTGACATAGTTCCGGAGCAAAAAATGCAGGAGTACCTGCAGTTTTCGCCAATTCAAGGTCACTACTAACACCTTCATTATGAGCATTGTTAAATGACGAAGCAAAAGAGACGCCGAAATCGCTGATTTTAACGATGTTATCGGAACTAACGAGTAAGTTCGCAGGCTTAATATCCCTATGAACAATTCCTTGATGATGTAAATATTCAAGACCCAGAAGGACATCTCGGAATATTTTTCTGGCCTGTTTGAATGTTAAATTAGGTAAAAACTCATTCGACAAAAGGTCCATTTCTTCTTGTTGGATTGATGAGTTTCTTCTCCGTTGTCCACAGCAAGGAATTTCTCCTTCGTTACATTCATCAATATTAGTCTTTTCGTATTTCGGTCTTTTCCACTTGATTTCACCTTTCTCTAAGTATTCCAAAACCAAGTAAATCTTATGAGAATTGATATCATCGAGGACTTCCTTTAGTTTTACTACATTCTTATGATGTAGCTTTTTCATTATTGCGATCTCCCTTTTAATTTTCAGATCATAATCTCCGAACTGTTGTTGAGTGGTAGATAATCGGCGACGGAGAGAATGCCTGTCTTTCTTTGATTTTCTATCAACGATCTTGATTGCAACAAGCTCATTGCTTTCAAGATCTCTTGCTAGTTTAACTTTTCCATGTTCTCCTCTTCCAATTTCCCTTAAAATTTCATAAGTATTAAGCACTTTGCGCTTACTTATTGGGTCATATTCTAAAAAGACTCTATTAGTTTCCTTTACAGATAGCACGGGCTCTGATTTATATGCTGATTCATAAAATGCCCCATGGTTCACTTTAGGTTCAATTCCATCTTCGCCTGAAGGTCTTCCCAAAGAGGTGAGCGAATTTCCGCGGGACCTTGATAAAGATTTGAATAAGAGACCAGATACCTTACCCAACACGTCATGTTTCAGACGCTTATCAGTTCCAGCAGTGATGGCGTCTCTATCAGGGCCAATTTCCATCTCATTAGTTGAAGATATAGTGGGTGATATATCATTATTTGTAGATACATCAATTTTTGCCGGAGCAGCCTTATTTAAAAAAAGATTCTTCGATGTACCACCACCTGTAGCTTGCCCAGTGGATCCTATGTCCTTGCTAGTATTATTCCTGTAATTATTGGACATATCTTTCTTCAAAAGTTCATCCAATTATGCTTTCTAATTTCAATTTAGTCATATATCTTATCATTTGGTAGTTGTGTATCGTGAAATGAATTTCAAGAGCGTTGAACCGCCTAATATAGCCCAACAGAATTCAAAACGACTAGTAGTTATTCCTACTCTAATACCTTAACAAAATGTATATTTGAATACAATAGATTGAGTTTCCTGTGTGTTTTTAGGTATCTTCAATGTATCGATCAACGTCTGTTACAGCGGCTAACAATTTTTGATACAAAATCCTTCTCAACCTCAAGAAGGGAGCAGAACATTTTATCAAATGTCACATGACCGTTAGAATTCTAAGAATTCTGAAGAACACAAGTTACAAGTAAGATTAAGCACTACCTATATACTTTCGAAGCTCACTTTTTGAAGCTCCGCTTTTCGTGGAACACAGAACGATCTGGAAGAACATCAACGTTAACAAAGGAGAAGATATGACGAAACCCTTGGTTTATGCCGATATAATTTTATAAGCTTTGTGGATGCGTCAATAGCAAGCGAACCACGGTTTCAGAGATAATAGAGTTGTGAAATTAAGACGCGAGACTTGAATCTATGACTTCAAGTTACCTCTTTTATGAAAAATAAGATCAGTGTTGCTTCCATTGTCAATTAAGAATTAGTTCATAGTCGTGTATTGCGATACTATGTTATATAAATTGGACCAAGCACGTTAATTATAATCATTCCTAACAGAAAATAGGTATAACATAGCAGCCAATTTTTTGATTATGGGGAGTAATGATCCAGTTCTGTTGGAACAACTTAACAGCAAGGTGGCTGAGCTTACTGCTTTTATGGAGAAGCAGTCGCAATTGATTGCAAAGACTGGCCACCAGGTAATGGAGATAAAGATAAAGGACATGAAAGATAAGATGGAGCAAATGGATGCGGGAAACCCTGTTGCAACCAATGTGGACATGACTGATTATGTGACAAATGATGATATTGTTCAATTGGTGGGAGAATTACAGGGTCAATTAGATCACTTGGAAAATAGGACCATTAGAAGAGTATTTAATGCACAGCTCGATGAACATGAAAACCAAAGTATTATAGCTCCCCTCACCAATAAAGATGGGGATTTACCTCCTGATGATATCTTTCCAAGAACTATTTTTGATTTCAAAGGTTTAAATCGTGCCGGTATTATTCGTTTGTGTGTGTTTTATGAATTAATAATAACAGATAATGAAAATGAAGCCTTAAAAGAGTTTTTAGATGGAAGTCACACTGTCCAAGAAAGCCAAAAATTACTCTTCAATCCTAGCATAGAAGACGGTGTTGAAAAAAGAATCAAATCTTACACGGATAAGCAAATTGATGACTTATTTGATGAGTTGGCAAAATATCTAGGCATTAAGCTCAGGAGAAATAAAGGTACATGGTGATGATTTCAGAATTAATTACCTGAGTATTTTAACTTAGCTTACGGATTATACTAATATATACATAAGACAAGATTATGAATAAAAAATAATTTATTGTAGTAATGTTAACTACTATGCCCTTCCTCTGTAAAACAAGAAGATATAATATTTCATCACGATCTACACACTACTTTTTTTTGGGAACACCTGAACTCAAATTCGACATCTAGTCTTGCAACAGAGTGACTGAAGAGACAAGTAAAGTACACTAGACGAGGTCAATATGGATAATGATACAAATGAGACCCAGGAGCAAATCAAAATCTCCGTCTTTACACCAATAATATATGTGGGGGTTATGTTGACGGCCTTCATATTCTTTACAATTGTTTACAGAAGAAGGAAGATTTCCCACCTTACCCAGGTAGAACCTATTTTCAAAGAGAATCATCCAGCAGCATTGTACAACTTCTTGAAGGAACAGTACAAGAGTCCGGATGTAGGCAAAGACTCAAAACCTCATGAAAAAGTGATGAAAGCTGCATTATTAAGAAGAGCAGTGGAATCAGTTCGAAGATCGTTAAAATTGAAAGAAAATGAACCTGTTTTTACTAAACTATATCTGGAAGGGCTAATAGGTGATGACATTTTCAAACAATTTGAGATTGAAGCTAAGCTTCAGGAATATGAACTTAAAGATATTGCACAGGAATGTGAAACATATAAGAAAGGTTGGGCACCTCAATTCTTTCCCGTTGCACAAGAAATATGTTTCAATGAAGCATTAAGAAGAAGATTAAATGCTGTAGATGACAGAGAAAAGTGTTTTGCTGAACTCTGGGAATATTACGTCGATAAATCAGAAAACGATTCCAAAACTTCTACCGAAAACCTGACCCAGAATGCTAATTCAAAATCCAAAGAATATTCACCAGAAGGATTATCCCACGAAGAAGAAGGCGCAAAATTAAATGGAGGTAAAAAAAAGACAAGCAAAAACAAGAAGAAATGATTTTATAAGGAACATGACACATTGCAGATACGTATGAAATATTTAATATTTTGTATTTTAGTATATATTAAGGGCCATCCAAACAAATCACCTCTTTGGATGAATATTTTATTATATAATTCATAAAATTTATATACTCTCCAAGAAGATTCATACCGTGGAATTTTATTGCGATTTCATTGAAAACAAAAAAAGAAAACAATACATAATAAATCTCGCAGGTCTCAATAATAGATATCGCAAGTTATTGTGCTCTGGGAATCTCTTCATCTCCAGAAGCCAGAACAAGAAGTCTATCGATACATAGTGAACAAAATTTATAATCTCGGCTAGATATAATGTATCCAAGAGGACTACATCAATCACAGCAACGACCGACGAATGTTTCTAATTCTAGAATGCCTGGGGCAAGACCAATGGTACCAAACCAAAGGATGCCAATGTCAGGAGGAACTTTTGATCAAAACAAAATACGGTCTCCTGCGTTAGGAGGACCACCAGGAGTTGATCAACGACATAAGATGGCAGACAAATTGATCGCCGATTGTTACTCAAAGATCATTATCGATAAAAATGGTAAAAAGTTCACGGATACATCATATCAAACTCACGTATCAATCAAAGAATACTCATCTTTTCCCTCACACCCACCTCCAGATAACTTACCTCCACAAGAGATCGGCAGCATAAAAGATCGTATTCTCGTAATATGCGTGAAGCATTCAGGCAGAGTACTTATTCAAAAGGGTAAATTCAATAGCACAAAGAATGTTTTTCAGATAGGACGTACGTGGGATATGGATGAGCTTAAAACAATCACAAAAGTGGGCGATAATGGCATAATTCTATCGTTGAACAAGGATTACTATTGGAAAATAGAGGAAGGTCTAGAAAGAGTCTGGAAATTTGCTCGCTTCCTTACAAGCTCATATGGAGGTTTTATGGGTAGATATCCATCATTGCGTGGGTTTACGCTCCAAGATTTCAAGTTACCACCTGTCCCGGCTAAGAAGGAGGGATCACTAGCCAATCGAAGCCAAACTGCAAGTGCCAATACAAATCCAAGTACAAATGGAAACCACGCTTCTCCACAGATTGGTGCAAACGAATTTTATAAAGGATTCGATTTTACCTCAAACGGCAAGTTACCAATGAAACCAATGAAAGTGATGCAAAGTGACCGACCATCTAATAGCGACTTGAACAGGGCTTCTCATGATTCAGCCAGCAGAAACTCCGATGAACTGAGAGCGGGAAGTCGTAAAAGAAGCTCCTCTATTGGAAGTAAGCATTCTACTACAGATTCTCAGAGTTTTGTATTCAAAACTAAGGACAGCTATCTGCCGGAGAGAATTCATGAATATAACGAGATAAACGAAGAAAAATCAGAATCATCCCAAAAAGATTATCATGAAATGTATAGGAAGGGCTCAAGTTTTCACAAAGAAAATTTCGAAACTTTAGAATCATCTCCAGCTTTAGGGATCTCTGAGGACAAGCAATCGAGCAATCGAGAAGAGGGAAAAAGAAAAAGCTTTAAAAGTTCGATATCTGGGATACAAGATTTGAACCAGGAGCTTGGAATAGAGGAAGTCAGTGACGATAGCGAGCAAAATGAGAAAAGTACTCATTTGCGACCGTTGAGTGGTGAACTGCGATCGGAGACCGAAGTCATAGAAGAGTCTACGAAGCTCAGCGTGGATGAAAGTTTTGAGGAACAAGAGTCGCGGTCTACTAATAATGGTGGTAGGCTAGATAATATTGATTCTTCCATCCAAGAAATAGAAGACTTTATGGATTCGCAGCTTTATTTTGGGAACTCCCATAGTAGAAAAGGTTCTGTTTTATCTAAAAAAGCATCTTTCCCTGAATCAATAGATAGCGTACCTAGCTTAAGACCTTCGAAAAGCGCCAATACAGATGAGACTTTCGACAGTTTTGACAACAAATCCCTTGTTAAAGGTAATGCTCCTTTAGAAGCAAATTTTATGGCCAATAATGATGTCATTGGTGCTTCCAAAGATCCTGAGCTCGAAGAATTTTTGGATGATGTTGGCTGGACTTTATCAGACGATAGCTCTTCATTGCTCAAGAAATTACTGAAAGAAAGAAATAAAGTGAAGCATCAAAACATAAGAGAACTCATCAACTTGGATTTCAGGGAAGAGTCAGAATCAAACGATTTTGCTATTTCATTAAGTGAAGTTGAAAGTTTAGGTCATATTTTTAAGAAAATGGAAATAGACTTCAGGCTTTTGTCTTCCGATGTCAACCTAATCGAGAATAATTCAAAAGGATTGCAGGTTAAATCTGTAAATAAAAAATTGCTATATAATGACTTGAAAAATATCCTAGGCAAAGTGAGCATTGGATCTGAAGATTTGCATTCTATAGAATCATTTAATGAGTTTGATAGGCTCGGAAAATTGGAAGGCTTAGAACAAAAGCTCGTGGAGCTATTTAATGCGCTAAGTACCATTCAAGAGGATTCATTAGAACCTGATGATGACTTGAGTTCAATGAGTGCCTTGAAGCAGTATTGTATTAAATACGAGAATGTTGCAAGGAGATTTGTTCGTCATTTCGTGTCTTTTTTCACATCACAGTTTGATTTATTGATTAAAGAGTTCTCTGAAGATGTCGATAAATTTTATCCCTCTGCCGCCTTTCGTGAACTAAACAACTTATTGATCTATTCATCGTTTACATACTTCATGAAAGGAGTATCTGCGGACGAGTTTCAGTCTTTAAGCTCGCATGTCAATAAGCTGATAAGTATATTTTTGGAAAGTCTTATCAAGCATAAAGTTAAAAATATAAATTCTACATTGCATCTGCTGGCTTCTTTTGTCAGCCAAAAAGTTGAAAACTCGCTTCATGAGCGGTCTCGTTCTTTGAGATTCAGCAGGCGGGAGAAGCATCTCGGAAGAGCAACATCTAGTGGTAGTGAACGTGGCAAAAGCAATAATGAAACTTCCTCAGGAAGTCAACTCTATAAAAGTTCAAATATCGATGATCCTAGGATAGTGGTTTCATTGGTTGAAGATACGAAAAATCTAATCTGGCTTTTTCAGTACTTTATTGGAAGCTTCTTTCACTTTAACACCACAACCTTGGATTTTATCGATTATTTAGAGCTTTATTCGTTTCTGGAAAGAAGAAAAATACTTGACATCCCTTCGGTTGATAAAGTCGATCAAAAATCTTACTCAGAAAATATGATCACTACTATGAACCTGGTCTTTGGATCATATATTAATATTTTCATGAAGAAAGTAACACCAGCTGAAACTAATATTCCATCATTATTGGTATATTTAGATGATCTCGTTGAAAAGTATCAAAATTCAAACCAAGAATTCTTAGTTTTCAACTTTTTGAAAAAAGTCATCGAGAAATTCAAGACACTCTGGCAAAAGTTTATGGACTCTCAAATAGATATCTTGAACAAGTCAACAATAATTGCAAAATGCGGAATTTTGCCAGGCGTTAAAAATATAAGTCAATTGCTTTTGGCAACAGAATCGTCTTTGGAAAAGGTGACTGTGAATGAGGATGTGAATGTATTAATGAGAAAATCATATCAGGAAATCTCAATTGCCGCTTCCCATTTGTTCATGCGAGATGATCCTCTATTAAAGAGTCACGATTTCGATGATAAAGAAAGAGAGCACAGAAATGTAAGTGTAATTCAAAATGTCTTCTTTCTTTTAGAGCAACTCAGTGTGACAAATAATGACAATACAAGTGAATTACAAACAAAATTAGAGCAAATTTTCCAAAAGTTTAAAGAAAGCTATTTTCAAAGGTTATTACACAAGAACATAGGGAAGATGGTTGAATTTGTTGACAATTATGAGGCTCTTGACAAATTAAATAGTGGAAAACCGAAGAAATATAATAAAAAATACGTCAAGACTTTATTAGCAAATTATTCCCAGAAGGATATTTCTTTGAAAGCACTGGAAATTTACAAGAAGCTTGAAAAGCATTATATTAATGGTAACGATATGTTTGAAAAAGATTTACTTGATAGTTTATGGTCTGATATGGAACAACAGTTTATCAGCTATTTTACTAGATTGAACAACATCCTTCGAAGCAACTTTGACAAAGATATTGATATTAATATTTCGTCATCTGAGATTCACACAATATTCAAGTCGATACATTAAGCAAGTCTTAAATATATATATATATATATATGTGGTAGTTTTGTTAGAACCGCTAGGGCTAATTATAATCGTTAATGTACATTACTTAAAATTACAGACTTTATTACTCAGGCCCTTAAAAGAATTAGATTCAATAATATGTCCCTCTTCCCGGATAGCATTTCAAATCTTCATTCAAGTCCAGATTTATCGATGGTTCGTAAGTGGTAACTTCGCTCATAGGTATTTTTGATCCCATGGGCCATTTTAAGTCCGTCGCAATATCTTTATATGGCTCCACAGTTTGAAAACTTAAATTGTCGTTCTCCTTTGAAAATTTTAAGTGCAATCTAACTAGTTGGTCAAATAAATACGATAAGTCCTTCAAAACAACCCCCGAACTTTCTTTAAATGCCGAACTTTCAATCTTCATCGAAGTATTTGATTTCAATGTCTTAATAAAATCTTCATTTTTCTTTTCCAAGAACTTATTTTTGAATCTCCCGACCACTTTCAATCCCTTGAGATTTAATTCCGAAATTTGCTTACTTTGTAACGAAAGCAAACTAAAGTTAACTAAACCAATTGCTTTTCCTAACTCGTTTCTCTGATATGATTCGATCGAGAGAAATAATCCAGCATATGCTGCTATATACTTCTCAATTAAATTCAAGTATTCGGTCCACAATTTATAGTTTAATCCCAAGGAATTTTGAGCATCTTCTAGCTCATTTAGAAGACACCTTGATGACTTTAACTCACTCAATATATATATAGCGACTCGAGCCAATGTCCCATTATTTCCTGATTTAAAGTTTTCAGATTCATTATAAGAGTATCTATTAAAAGCAGAACATTTGCACAATATTGAAATTTGGATGCAAATTTCACTAATTTTTTCAAAATAAAGGAAGACGATGGGATTCATTGGCGTTCCGCCACCTGGTTTCTCGCACAAGCTTCGACCAAATTTGCAAAAGGAGATTGCCTTTTTGTAACTCTCCACAACCTTTTTCCAGCCTTCTTCAACTTGTTCTCGGGTAGTAACCTCATTTACTTCGATAAGATCGTTTATCATATTTGACCCAAGCCTAATATATATCGAAACAATTGCTAACACAATTGCTTGCAATTCATTTGCCAACGACCAGTCAATTTTATCCTTTGGAGTACTACGAGACTTTAACACCTTATTTAATGTTCGTGATTCTGTGTTCACATCATAAAAAAGTATATCAATCCACGGGATCTCATTTGTTTCACAAATTATTTGCTGACATGCCACCTGAATGCCGTCGTCAGTGCTAGATATCAAGTTTTTTTTTTTTATGTATGTAAAGATTTTGTCAAGATATTGCTCTAGTTTATCAACGTAATCTAATAAGCCACCACGAGATGGTTCTGCGAACTGGGTCAAACTAGACCTTTCTGATAGCAATTCAGGACTTAGTTGAAAAGAATTGCCCGAAAAGTTTCTAGGATATGGGGGTAGATTTGGCAAACAAATCATTAAAGAATTAATTCAATCTGAAGATTAATATGGTGTGTCTAATGACGTCTATATTTTCGTATTGCGAATCTGAGGTGGATCGCGAGATGTCATAAACTATGATGAGTGCTAATATCAAATAAATATCGAAACTAAATTTAGCTGCTCGAATGACATGAGACTACCGATAAAAAGCTCTAGTCAAAGGTATGGGATCGTTGTTGATTCAGGGTCCTCTGGCTCTAGAATTCAAGTGTATAAGTGGGAAGATCAGGATATTTTGAAAGAAAACACGAAAGACGGCAAGATTTTAAGGTCACCTCCCATAATTAAACAAGAGCCAGGATGGACACACAAAATCTCACCTGGTATATCAACGTATGATGGAGACAAAGTCAACAAAATATGGAAGGATCATTTCTCGAAGTTGATGAAATTTGCTGAAGGCATTATTCCCAAAAGTCAATATCATGAAACCCCTGTATTTGTATTAGCGACAGCTGGAATGCGTTTGTTGGATAAGGTGCAACAGAAGAAAATACTTGAAGAAATATGTGTATCGCTACAGACTCATACCTCTTTTTATGTGCCTAGTAATTTTATTGAAGTTATTCCTGGGAAAACTGAAGGGATATATGGTTGGCTCGCACTTAATTATCTAATGGGGAAGTTTAATAACTATGATATAACTAAAAACACACATGAGTCTATCGGGTTCATGGATATGGGAGGCGCTTCAACTCAGATCGCATTTGTACCGTCATCGCAAGATGAGATCAAGAAGCATCATGATGACTTGTCCAAGGTGACTCTAAGAAGCATAAATGGAGAAACCCAAGAATGGGATTTGTTCGTAGAAACATGGTTGGGATTTGGAGCTAATGAAGCTCGTAAGAGATACTTGGCTCAACTAATCAGTTTGAGTCTTTTGAATCCAAGTGCTCACAACTTGATTAACGATCCTTGTCTTCCAAAAGGAGCTGAGTTAAGTTATCAACTTGAAGGAAATGACTATCGTGTTCTTGGGATAGGGAATTACGAGATGTGTTTAAAAACAATCTATCCATTATTATTAAAGAATATTCAATGTAAAGAAGAGCCCTGTTTGTTTAACGGTATCCATGCTCCAAAACTTAACTTTTTGAAGGACAAATTTGTCGGGGTATCGGAGTACTGGTATACTGCGAATGACATATTTCAAAGTGGTGGAGAATATAATTTCAAGAGCTTTAATGAAAAGGTACGTGGCTTTTGTGAAAGCGAATGGGCGCAGATTTTAAGTAATTCTGAAAAAGGACAGTATTCAAATTTAGATCCTGATAAATTTTTAAAGGATGCATGTTTCAAAGCTAGTTGGGTAATTAATGTATTGCATGAGGGCCTTGAGCTTCCTAGGCTTGGCTTGGAGGTATCTAAAGATGAAGGCGATGAAGAGAATAAAGTTGCAGAGAAACTAGACAAAGTACATATCCCTTTTAAATCTGCAAGTTCTGTCAATGGAGAAGAATTGTCCTGGACTCTAGGCAGGATACTATTATATGCTTCATCTCAAATTGATTCTAATCGAGATACGGACTTGGAAATAGGAATCTATCCTAGTGAAATTTCGGAAATGCCCTTCATTTCGGGAGGCTCTCATTTTACCAATTATCTTCTGAGCTCTGATGAGGAATATAATGCAATGGTTGGAATATTTTTACCTGTATTTCTGTTTTTTCTTATCCTTGTCTTTTTTTACAATTTCTCAAAAGGAAACGTCGGCAAATGGATTAAGACAGGCTCTCAATCTCCCTTTTTCCTTTCACCAAGACGTCAAATAACTACGATGGTATCAAAAATTCCCATATTGAATCATATATCAAACAAAGATGACGGCTTCAAGGTTCCTTCGAGCGTCAACCTTGAAGGAGTCAAATTGGAAGAAGGCTTGACCTCAACAATGACTAATAATCATTCAATGCCGCATGCATCTGTCTTAAGAACCAGGTCAGCTTTGAACTTAGTAGAAGGTGAGGACTCTAGCGATACGTACCATCACAATCCTCAAAAACAAGTGTCAAGAAATCAAGAAAACTTTTTGAATCGCCCTTTCGTCCTCCCCAAAAGAAATTCGTCCGCAATTTATCCAATGCTTGGGGATAATAGAAGTAGGGATTCATTACATTCGAGCAATAGTAATATCTCAGCTCAGAAACTGAAAAGTTTCGATAAGTTATGAGACATGTATTTGAGAGTGAATAATATATTTTTGCTGAATATATTTCCTTAGATTGGATTAGATTCATTCTTGATTCAACGGCACATATTCTCAAGATACCACTGGTTATCATCGCCGTTTTATTTTATGTACTTTTCATACCTTTCTGCTCCTTTACAACTCATTGAAAAGACAGAGCTAATCATACAAAGACGAGTTTTATAATCTAATTGATGGGAGGTACAGAAAAGTTCATTTAATCGAGAAAATGGTACCTATTTCATGACTAAAAAGTTCATGTTCAGAAGATTTGAAACATCATGTCGATTTCCTAAGAATAGAATGTATATTCTCATTTATTTATGCAGTTACCTCACGGAGGGTATAATAGCTACCCTTGTATCTAATTACCAGTTTAAAAAATGCTTAACAAGTAGAGGCACCTTCTTTTTCAAATGAAAATGGGGTCATTAACGTTTCAAAAATTAGAGCAATATATATATATATATAATTCGTAACATAATAAAGAGTTCATTATTATGTTTGTATTAATGAGGTTTACTATCTCATCGCCTATTGTCTATATACAGGATATACATTATTGCGATGAATTCATAATTTTTTTTTTTTTAGATGCACTTTTGATACAACTTCCTTCTTCAAGCTTAGGTATCATATATCAATTTACAAATAGATAGATAGAATGAGGGTGAAAAAGCCAAAGTCAAAAAGAACAACCACTCGTATGAGAGAAGGTATCAAGAAGAAAGCGGCAGCTCAACTGAGAAAAAATAAGAAACTATCAAAAAAAGATCCTACCTGGAGATCGAAAAATAAAGATCCTGGTATTCCTTCCAGTTTCCCATATAAAGATAAGATTATCAGCGATCTCGAAGAATCTCGGCGAGTAGAGAAAGAGAAGAAAGAAATTTTGAAGAGAGAGAGGCAATTAGAAAGAGAGGCAGCCATCTCAAAAGATGGTGTGCAAGATATTATGATGGAAGAAGATGACGATGAAGAAGATAATAGCGCAGGTGATCTTAATGCTTTGATGGAGTCTGCTCAAAAAGCTGCTCAAGACTACAATGGTGAATTTAGCCATGATGAAGAAGCTATTGAGGATGACGATATAGAATACGAAATTAGCGAGTCCGAGGATGAAAATTCTAAGACTGATGTAGAGAAGTCTCGAAAGACATATGATAAGATTTTCAAGGCTGTTGTTGAAGCATCAGATGTGATATTATATGTGTTAGATGCCAGAGACCCTGTTTCGACGAGATCTAGGAAAGTAGAACAAGCTGTTTTACTGAAACCCGGTAAAAGGTTAATTTTAATCCTAAATAAAGTTGATTTAGTTCCGCCAAACGTCCTAAGCCAGTGGCTCAATTACTTAAAAGCATCGTTTCCCACTATTCCCGTCAGGGCTGCTCAGGGATCTGTTAATTCAAACTCATTTAACAAAGGTTTGACGTCATCAGTGACCGCTAAATCTTTATTGCAAGCTTTGAAAAGCTACGAGTCAAAGAAGAATTTAAAAAGGTCAATTATCGTTGGTGTTATAGGATATCCTAATGTTGGAAAATCTTCAATAATCAATGCTTTAACTAATAGACATTCACACCACAGCAATGCATGTCCTGTTGGAAATCAAGCAGGTGTTACTACTTCATTGAGGGAAGTTAAAATCGATGGTAAGCTCAAAATTTTGGATTCTCCAGGAATAGTTTTTCCAGAAGAACTCGATGGCCAGAAGAAATCTGTATCGCATCAAAGAGCTAAACTAGCTTTATTGTCAGCTTTACCTCCAAAGGAAATCAAGGATCCTATTTCAGCTGTCTCATTGCTCTTGAAGAAGTTTTCAAAGAATGAGGATATGTCAAATGGGCTCAAGAAATATTACAACTTACCCCCTCTTCTCTCAATGGACCTTTCCGAATTTACAAAGCAATTTTTAATCCACATTGCAAGAACTAAAGGCAGGTTGGGAAAAGGTGGCGTACCGAATTTGGATTCAGCTGCAATGTCAGTGTTAAATGATTGGAGAGATGGAAGGATTGTTGGGTGGACCTTACCTAAGGCATCCAAAGAGGCTGTCTCTGCTGAAATTAATCACTCTAAGTCATCCTTAAGAGGAGACAAAGAACCTCCAAAAGTTGAGCAAACAACAATTGTCAGCTCGTGGGCCGATGAATTTGATCTAGATGGCTTGTTAGGAGACAATTTTGGCTTAGATACTTCTAAATAAAGAACATAGTTAAATTTTTATAAAATATTGATATGGTTTTGTAAGTCGCGTTCACAATTGTTTATACTGATATTGATGTAATTCATGTTTCAGTTATATGACAGAATATCAACTTTAGATGGTGATAGAGGTACTGTGAAGTATGTTGGCCCCATTGATACGTGGGGCCCTGATGTTGAAGCTTTAGGAATTGAATGGGATAATCCAAAGAGAGGTAAAAATTCTGGCACAATTGATGGAAAGACTTATTTTGCTACAAATATCAAAGGGGCTGGTTCATTTCTTAAGTCGAGTAACAAAAAACTCTTAAGAAAGAATGTGAGCTTCATAGATGCTCTTCTTTGTCAATATGTTGATGGGTCAATATTTAATGAGGATATCGCGTTCGGTAATAAAAAGGTTGAAAGCTATGGCTTTGAAAAGTTGAACAAATTACAAGCAAATCTTTCGAACTTATTATCTATATCATTAGACAAAAAGTATATCAATAGCTCATGCATTTCCCACAGTCATTTTCAGGATATTTTCAATAATTTGAAAAAGTTAGAGCATTTAGATTTGAGTTTTAATTTATTTAAAGATTTTATTGCCATTTCAGACATAGTTAGCCAAATTCCTAGTTTGGAATCACTCAACTTGAATGGAAACAGAATTATTGGGCTCAATCCATCTGCTGTAAAGTTTCAGCATCAAAATCTAAAAATTATAAAGTTAGCTTCAACATACATCGACATTGACATAATCATACAGGTACTTGATGGGCTACCTAATTTAAGAGAACTTATTTTAGCTGGTAATAATTACACAGATAATGACTTAGAGAGCTTAGAAGTTTTAGGAAGTCGCGTCAAGTGTTTGGACCTTTCTTATAACAGTCTAACGGTCGTTCCAAAATGCATATCCTCAATCACTTCCTTAAACCTATCTAATAATTACATACTGACTTTTCCAAGTTTCGTGGATAATGATTTATCGATTTTAGATATTCGATTTAATACTATAGATCTGTGGGAAACTATAGACGGACTTCAACACACGTTCCAAAATTTAGAGCTGCTTAGAATTAACGGAAACCCTTTATTTGAACGATTATCTATTGATGAAATGACCCTTAACTTGATAGGTAGACTTGAATTTAAAAGTGATGGTAATAAGAGTAAATTAGAGAAACTAAACGGAAGCGTGATACTGAACACAGAAGTTATAAACGGCGAGCTTTATTTCATATCCAAAGTGAAAAAGGGTGAATATACGTACGATACTACAAGCCAAAGATGGGAGCAGTTGATGCAAAAGTATAACTTCAATCCTATTGTCGAAAGTATTCCGAAAAAAAGCAATTTATCTTTGAAAAAACTATCTCTTACGATAATATCAGGTTCTAAAAAAATGCACAAAGTTTTTTTGAAGGATACTACTGTTTTGAGATTAAAAGGTAGTATCTCGAAAGAACTTAATGAGTCGATCTTTCGCTTCAAAGTTTACTACTTCATCAATGAATTTGATGAATTGAACCACAGAGAGAAGCAATTTTTGGATAATGACATGGCAACTCTTGATTTATTTGGAATAGTTACAGGTCAAACATTATATGTAGTATAAATCCTTAAAATTATGAAAGGCACGTCTGTGATTACGGAGAAAAGTTCCATAACCCATCTCCCAAGTAATGTATTAATTCGATTCCAATTCCCTTATTTATGGACTTTATATCATCAGTACTCATCGTTAATTTGCCCACGGCCAATGCATTTTCTTTACCCTCAGCATAAATTGTAACAATGGTGTCCTTTTCCAACGACTCATCGGGTAATTTAGCTCCAGGGGAGGTTAATCCAGGACACATGATGTTAGCGCCAGACATCACAAACTTGATGGCTCCTCTATCCACTTGCACTGAAGGGAAGCAATTCGGATATTTATGAACAACTTTCAAAGTGGGAACTAGATCGTCAAATCTTTGAAAAAGAACTACTTCGTTGTCCACAGAGTATAGCTGTACTTTGTCTTCACATTTAATTACCACTGCTTGAGACTTCTTTGGTATGACATTATCAATAGCAGGTTCCAAGTCTTTGAACTGAGAAACAAATTTAGCTTTTAAACCCCTTTGAACAGAGGACTTAATGTTTGAACTAGAGTGAACTTCCTCTTTAGTAAACTTCTTAAACATATCTTAGTAGCGTTTACTTTTAATGTATCACGAAAGCTCGGAGGTCTAAAATTTTCATGCATTGCGAGTAGATTTTAATATTCGATAATTTCGATATTCGTGCTTACACCGCTATTGTTAATATGTATGGTAAAGAAATGGGCATCTTAGTCTACCTTGATGATATATATCTACAATGGATATGAAGGAGAGGATATATAACACAGGATTAGCCATTAGTAAACTTGTTGATATATTGCAATACTCTCCCAACAATTGTTAGCATGTTGATCTCTTGATTAATTTTCAGTGCCGTCTTTATATTTCTGATAATTCAGATGACTTCAATCCTGAATTCCTAAAATAAACTTTATCTACATAATGTGAAGACTTATAATTACAATGCCGCCATCTAACGATTATCGACGCCATCGCACTCAAAAATTGTCCACAACTCGATGTAGCCTCTTACATTGAACCTAATTGGAAATCAATATATCCAGCTCAAGATTTAATCAAAGAAGTTAAACCGAGCGAGGCACAAGGCAGCAAGAGATAAAACATTGATCACAAGACCTTTGTAAACTCTCCTTTAACTAAGCATCAATGGCCACATTTACATGTCAAGTTAAAAGAGTGAATCTTGATCTTCAACGAAGTATCAAGAGTAATTGTCAAAGGCTTCGACAATATAGAATTGATCCAAAAATTCCTCAGACATCGTCGACACATGGCCGCAACATCTAAGAGTTGTCAGGTTATAGTTTTCAACCAGCAAAAACATGATCTCGGACGAATCCTCACTGATACACGTAATGCCCCTGCATAAAGATGAAGTTTTAAAAACCTCTTCTTTTAATTGAAGGCGATCTCTGTGCTTTTATATTAACGATTTCACTCCGGGTAACACATGAATGTTATTATATCAATTGCCTTAACTTCGGCTGCAACAATACAGGATAAATTACTCTTTTATTATTTTCAATAATATTTAAAGTCCACTAAGTGATCATATATTATTGTCTATAGTAGCATCAGGAACCACGATTTCACCCAACGGGATTACCTTTTTGTTCGATCGATTTATTTTAGAATACATATCGGTCAATTTCATCGCTTCATTATTTGACACTGAACACATAAATTTTGCAGTCTTAATCAATGACTCTGCGACTTTACCAAATGCCAATCGCCCCTTGTAATTTATCGTTGCCTTTTTATCTTTTATCTCGAGAGGATCATAAAACTCTACTTTTTCAGTTGGATCCAAAGTTGCAAAATAACAGGAGTAGAGCTCCATGAGCTGTTCATCGTTTAGAAATCCACTACGAGGATCATTTGAAGGCTCAAATAGAATGTCATCCAGATTTAAAAATCGATCAGCATTGGATATTCTAGAAGTTTTCGATAATACAGCGCGAGAAAGCTCCTCATCAAGTCCGTCATTAAAAACGTTATCATCTTCTAGCATCTCCGGGGATTTGCTGTTATCAAAATCAGACTTAGGTAATGGATCCACTTCACTGTTATAGATTGACTCTACCTTGAGCACCTTCAGCTGTTTTGTTTCTTGTTTAATTGGTCGTTTTCTGGTTCCTAAAGTTGCACCATGTCGATTGTGAGTAACATCATATTCTTTGGGAGAATTCAAAGAAGGCACAACCTTTGACTCAGTATAAGAGCATTTAATATCTTCTTCAACGTCTGAAGCTTGTTGTGACAGTTTCTCCGGTGTCATATATCGACTACAGTATCCTGAATTTTCAATGGCATTTTTCACCTCCAAAGGTAAAGATGCTTCCTTCGATTTGGGGGGTGTCGTCTCACAAATATATGAGTTAGCTCCCTTGAATTTATTTGATTGACTTGAAGAGTCGTCACGTTCCACTGATGTTCTTTGTTTATTATTCAACGTTTTTGAAGCCCTAAGATCAGTATCCTGTTTGAGTTGAGGGGCCAGATCTGAGTGTGTTTTACTTATATCATCATCCTCGTCTCCTGAGACACAATTTACAATATGGCTTAAGATGTCATCATCATCTTCTTCATATACTTTTTTAAGTTGGTTTTCACTGCATTCCTTTATCATTGCAGAAACACTCCGAAACCCTGTTTCTACGCCTTTTGGCATGAAAAATTTCTTTTCCCGCTTTTTAGCTTTAGTAGTTTGTCTAGGTTTTCCCTGTGTCATGTAAGACGCAGTAATTTTAATAATTTCGTCAGTATCATCAACAGATCTTATTTCCACATTCTCATCTGGAATATCAATGAACCTCATGTCTACAACTGGGGTTATATTTTTAGGTACAATTCTATTCCTTTCATGAAGAGAAATAAGATTTCCATTCATAATATGCTGTTGTATGTATTCGTAGCCACCCATGGCTTTATCAAATTTTGACTCCTCGTTACTTGAAAATAGTAGTAACACTTTTCCATCTCTTTTCCTTCCTGTACGGCCCATTCTTTGAACATTCTTTATAGGAGAACTTGTAGAGTCATAACAGACAACCATATCAACTTCACCTATGTCTAGCCCTTCTTCTCCAATAGATGTTGCGACTAAGACATTGAAAATACCATTTTTAAACTTCTTTATGATTTCCTTTTGAAGTTTCTGATTCATTCCCTTAGCCTGAGCATCTTCTGAACTGGTTCTAACAGTCGACCTCAATTTATCATTATGTTTTTTCTCGTTTGAAGCTGCCTTTGACTTCTTTTTCTTTTTTAAGTATTTACTCTCGTCAAATTTATCTTTCTCCTTTGCTTGGCCGATAAAGATATGTGGCTTTAAAGGGCCACCAATAGATTCAATTGCACTTACGATTTCTAAAGCCGAATCTCTAAATTCTGTGAAAATTATAACTCTGGAATCTATCTGCTGTGAATTAAGGAAAAATGACTGAAGTTCATTGATTAAAAGCCCTGTCTTAGGATGGCCCCAAGAGTTAAGCTCTTGTGAATCTTTCTCAGCGAGTACAAGAAGTTTCTTAATGGGCTCACTATAGTAGAATTGTGCATTTAGCTTGTTCGTTGATTTTTTATTCTCATATTTTGTTGTGAACTCTACGTACTTTTCTTTAAAGTAGTTGTAAAATGATTTTGAGCCATAAATATTTAATCTTCTAAAACATTGGCCCACAACCCCTAGCAACTGCAAGATAAAGTAGTTTGACCACTTAAGACCCTCTGGGATGGTAGGATTTTTGATAATTTTTTGTGAGGCCTCCATACATTGAAAAGCGTTAATTTTCAGAGCATCCTTCAAATCATATATCTTCCTCTCATTTGCAATTTTCAAAATTGGAACTATAGCAGCACATAGTAATTCAACATATTCTTTGATCTTGTCAGATGGTTCAACATTAACTCTTGTGACTTTCTTATGCTTTAAATGCTTAATAATATCTATACTATTTTCTGTCCTAACTTCTACCTTCGAAATTAGAAGGTTATCGATGACCTCTTGAACGCCCTCAACATCTGAAGCAGGAGTAGCTGTTAGAGCAAGTACCCTAAAAGATGTATTAAACCGCAAAATGAATTTAACCACGTTGCTGTACGCGTAATTTCCTTTCGATCTATGAGCTTCATCGATAACCACTAAAGCAATGGACATAGGGTCAACCGCCCCTGAAGCGAGATCATTTTCTACCACTTGTGGTGTCGTGAAAAATACGCTCTTAGATTCCCATATCTCTTCCCTATTTTTCCTGGTTTTGTCAAGTAAAATTGCAACTTTAGAACTTGAAATACCAGTTATTTCGCAACATGCTTTAATTTGTTGTGCTACTAATGGTTTTGTTGGTGCCATAAAAATAATCTTTGATCTAGGAAACCACCGTGAAAAGTTCAACATTACTGTAGATGCTATGAAGGTTTTACCCAATCCTGTTGGTAATGCTACTAATAAATTGTCATAAAACGACCGTTGAACAATGTTGTACTGATAGTCTCTAATTTCAAAATTAGTAGGATAAATGTAAGTCTTCAAAGCGCTGTAGTCTATGAAATGGTGTGTATGCTGTGGGAGACTCTTCTTCTTCAAATTCTGGATGTTTGCATCCTCACCTAAGGGCGCTACATTGCCTTCTAAATCATGTTGTACGCGTCCCCTCAGCTTATCGTTAGTTTTTAATAAACACTCGATAGCAGTGTCTGTTATCTCATCATCAAAGACTGAATCATCAGATTCCATGATATTTCATCAAATTTCTGAGAAAGAAGAAATCAAAATTAATGGAGGTCAATCCAATTTTTTTGGTCGTAGCATTTTATCTTTGTAAACATTTAATTTTTCGAATCGCTCGATAATATTAAATGAGATCACAACACTAAATACTAAACAAAAGATCAAAAACTATGTCGAACGAAGATCCATATCATTTGCTTACAAAATCCATAAGGACACTTAATGCTCCTCTTACCACTTTATTGAGAAATCACGATGAACTTGTATTGCAAAGCGTATCTTTAATGGAAAATATTTCGTCAATCCTGAGGTTTAAAAACACGTTGGAAAACGGCATAACTAAGAATGATTTTGACAATAAGTCATCATATAAACCTAATTGAGAGAGCTTAGAGAAACAAGGGGATTTTCAAAGTTGTGGGAATGTTTAAGTGGCCCTAAGATTACAAGCAATACGAAAAGATGTGTAAAACGGAATAACGTTTCGGTAACACGGAACCTCAAGCATATCCCATTGCTTCATCTTTCGGACTTTGCGTGTTGCTTTAATAAAGCAAAGGAAAGAAGTAGGATCAGCTAGGCGATTAGATCCCTACAGTATTGTGACTGGTTTGGCTCAATTCTTCGACCGACTGAGTCCAGTTATCTAGACAAAATATGAGCTTCTTTGCTGGTTTCTTACCGAGGCTTGCAGCACATTAAATTTACAGTTAAATCATATTATTACATGAGTCAGGGCCATAGCAATCTAGATTTCATGAGAGAAGATTTTTTGTGAAATGTTTCCACCTTGTACGCCGCATCCACTTACTTCATAATCTCGTGTTGATGGAAGGGACCCAATGCCCGGCGATAAGATGAACAATTAAACAATAAAAGGCATATGCACAATATAGTAGATAGGAAACTATCTCTACTCGCACTGATGGATCTAACAAAATAAGGCTCAAGAATTGAACATGCTAATATTTAGAAATGCTAAGTAAGTATACATAATTAAAAAACTGTAAAAAACATGCGCTGCAAAATCATACAATGGAGTTTCTGTTCACGAAGCGGAACTTCATAAAGTAAAAAAACAATTAGTTTCTTAAAGACAGTCACCGTCTAAAAAGTGATAATCGAAGTGCATGCTGTTAATTATTTCTCTGGAGTTTATTATATAGTTAAATTTAACTGACTTGTTCTTTTTCATAGAAGAAGATTTTTTTAATGCAGATCTGACTCCTGAATGGAATAAAAAATTCTCTACTGTTCCAGTAGAGCTACTAGTCGAAACTTCGTAAGTTATTGAGGATCTCCCTGAATCAATAGAAGAACTCAAGGTAAAATTTTCTATATCCTCATTTCCTGACGAACAGCTCAGTTTAGGAATGCTTATACCTTCTCTCTTAGAAACCACTTCACTTCTTTCTTTATTGGTTTCAATCTCAAAATCCTCACTTCCTTCATACTTTGGGCCATATAGCCATGTAATGTCCTGGTCCTTGCACCAGTTGATATGTGCTGGCGATATTTCGCTCAAGTTACAAAGATTTTTAAACCATCTTCTCCAACACACGTTCTCCAAACGTTTAGAAACGGTCGACGGTATTATGAAACTGATATCGTCATTGCTTGATTTTATGGAAACAGAGTTGTTTTGTTTCCAGCACTGATACAAATGAAGATTATTTAAAGCAAGGCCATTTGACATGTAGTCTATGTTTTCATTGAAAGATGTTTGCGTCTTATTAGGTATAAATGTGTCATCTAGACTTATTGGAAGTGTCATTTTAGTACTTTATGTCTGAATATTGGTGCTCTTTTGCAATCCGTATCAGACCCTAATAAAACTCAGTTAACAATACCCGTACAATAAGAAAAGATATGCTTCTTATATTCTCCAAATATCTCCACATAAAAATTGGGCCATTTTATCCCCATCGCCTTTGGATTTTAACCTTCCACTTTCCGGGGATGGCTATATGTGGAGAGAGCCTCGCTTGTTTGACTTTATCTTTTTTAGGTGCGAAATTACTGGAGTAAGGTCAACCGAACGATGCTCATATGCTTTTCTAGGGAGTTACGCTGAGTGGATAAAAGGAAACTGAAAGAAAAGCAAAGAGCAACTGAAAGGCTTTCGGATTTTACAAGTACGCTGTTCTTTACACCTTTCAGCACTTGCTACGAAGTCTATTTGCTTCAGCCTCAGAGTCTAATCGGTCTTCGTCTCCTCTATAGCTTGTTGACTCCTCATTCTCAAACGAGCGTCGGGGAACATGAAATTGAAGTGGCACAAGGGTCTGACACGGTGCGCCGCCACAATATACCGCACAATTTTCCGGGTACGGAGAAGAACGGCTAGGTTTAGCTTCGGGAGTAGTGGCAATCGGTAGAGCTCGGAAACTCAAGTGAGTGGGGGGGATTAGGAAAACACATATTACTAAGGCCGAGGGGGGATAAAGAAACGCCCATATAGACATACAGCGACACGAGACGACATTCTTTCGATGCCTCAGTAGTCATTATCATTATCACGTGATAAGTGGCATCAAGATTTCCCACAAGCAGCTTATGGCATTTTGTTCATGGCCGTACTACTTAATGAGAAAGAGCCAAGGTAATCAGGTCGCGAAGTAAACTGAGGTTAATCTTTTGACACATGCCGCCTGATTCGGATAAGTCAATAAAAGCAGATGTTTCTGAGGCTGCATCTAGTGCTTCCAGCGCAGACCAAGGTCATTTATCAGCCGTTAAAACAATAGTGGACTCACCAACGGCTCAATCTACATCATCGGGACAAGATGGTAGAAGCTATCAGGGGCAAATTTCTAATTTAAATAGTGGCGGTAAGGAAATTGACCTCAAGGCAGTTGGGAAGCACTTGGTTAATCATGATGAAGCCTTGAAATTACAAGGTGGTGACATTACCAGATCTCTTTACCACCAAATGGAAAATTCTTCTGCCACACCACCAGATAGAAGAAGAACAAGAAGCTCTTCTTTTTCTACTTACTTATCAAATACGAGAAGAGAGTCTACGGCTAGTGACATCAATGTACCTGGTGGCTTTAGAAGAGAATTTCTAATTAATAAATCGTTACAGCAGAACAAAAATCCTCCAAATTTTTTGACCCAAAATTTCATGGAATTCTTGAGTATCTATGGCCATTTTGCCGGTGAAGATTTTACCGATGATGACGAAAATAATAGCAGGTATGAAGAAGTGTTCGACGAAGAGTCGCACTTGCTAGGCAACGAAAGAATTCCCTCTAGAAATAAAAAAAAGACATCAAAGGGCACGGCTTCGACAGCGAAAACATATTTCTTGTTATTCAAAGCTCTTGTTGGATCTGGTGTTCTTTTTCTTCCCCGAGCCTTCCTCAATGGTGGGTTATTGTTTTCTATTGTCACTTTGTCAACTTTTGGAGCATTGACTTTTTTTTGCTATATAGTATTGATCGAGTCTAAGAAAACTTTTAAGAAACCCTCTTTCGGTGAATTAGGGTATACATCTTATGGAAAAATTTTGAAGCTTTGCATTTTGGTGTCAATTTTGCTCTCTCAAATCGGATTTGTTGCAACATACATATTATTCACGGCAGAAAATATGATGTCTTTTTTGACCGGCTTTTTAGGGTTCCATTCGATCACTGCTTTTAATGTTGTTCTAGTGCAATGTGTATTGTTGATTCCATTGTCCCTCATAAGGAATTTGACCCAGTTGTCGTTGATATCTCTTGTTTCTTCCGTATTCATTGTGATTGGCTTACTCATCATTTTTTATTATTCTGGAATTAAACTCATGCAAGAGGGATTAGGCCCACATATTGAGCTTTTTAACTCAAAGAGCTGGTCTATGTTGATTGGTGTTGCAGTGACATCTTTTGAAGGAATTGGTTTGATATTACCAATTGAATCGTCCATGGCTCACCCTGAACAATTCCCTAAAGTTCTTTTAATTTCAATGCTTATCATCACCTCACTATTTGTGGCAATTGGAACAGTGGGATATTCTGCTTTTGGAGATAAGGTCAAGTCCATTATTATATTGAATCTTCCCCAAAAAAACGTTTCCGTTCAACTTATAGTGTGTCTTTATTCGTTAGCTGTATTCTTAACAGCTCCTTTACAGTTGCTACCGGCTATTAAGATTGGAGAATCAACTGTATTTAACTCCTCACTTTTCAATCATGGATCGAGAAAGAAAGATGAAGATGGTAGACTTTATAAAAGCTCAGGTAAATACAACCCCCATATTAAGTGGCTCAAAAACACCAGCAGGGCTATTGTTGTAATACTTATTTGCTCCATTGCATACTTGAATGCAAACAATATCGATAAATTTGTTTCCTTCAATGGTTGCTTTGCATGTATTCCTTTGGTGTATATCTATCCACCATTAATTCATTTAAAGACTTTTAAACTTAAGTCATCACTAACGGCAAAAGATAAATTTTTCAAAATCACGGATTACACTTTGATTATTGTTGGTATAGCTGTAGTGATCTATTCCACTTATCAAATAGTCTTCCTTAATTAATTTATTATTTATTTCAAATATACATTCATATATATATATTGACTATATTGATTTTGTGAAATATATCATACGACCGTTGAAAATGTTGAAAATTAAACTTCCTTGTTGCAGCAGCCTTAAGTTGTCATTACTTCGTTAATGTCTGATAAGAAGAGAAGACAAGAGGAATCAACCAGTGGTGAGAAAACAAATGGAAAATCCCCATTAATTAAACTATTAAGTTGCCAGAGATGCCGATCTAGAAAGGTAAAATGTAACTTTGAGTACCCTTGTTCGAACTGTCTTAAGGTAGGCGCAGCTTGCGTTCAGGTCACTAATGATAAAAGAAAGAGACGACCGCCAGCAAACTATGTTTCCAGCTTGGAGAAGAAAGTTCAAAAATTTGCTGAGTTTTTCGAAAAGTTCAAGAGTTTAAACTCAATTGATGAAAAACAACAGTTATTAGAAAGAACAGATCTAATAGATGATCACTATCCTCATATCAGGAATGAAGTGTTCAATGCCCTGTCTGAAGATCACCTGGGTGACAGGGCTGTTTATGGCCCAACCAGTGTATACGATGACAGCTTGATTCCTCACAGTTCTAAAATATGGCGAAATGATGAAGCAGCCATAAATCTTTTGAATAAGGATCCAGACATATTAGAGTCTTTACAATTATTTTTTAAATGGCAATATCCGGATCATAACATGTTTCTTTTCAGAGAATCATTCTTGACCGACTTTTTCAGTCCTAAATCAGATAGCCTTTACTGTTCGAGGGTCTTGGTCTTGAGCGTATGTGCCTTAGGCTCAAGAATGTCATCCAAAGAAAAGGTTTACGAAAAATCATTGCAATATTACAGTGAGGCTAAGAACTCATTGCTTGGGCAGCTCAATCAACCCTCAATAACGTCATTACAAGGTTTTTTGTTATTAGCATTTTACGATATCTGTCAGGGGTTTAATTCCAGCGCGTGGATGTTATCAGGAAATGCGATGAGAATGGGCTTTGATTTGGGTTTTCAATTGAATCCAAAGGTATGGTTTTTTAAATCAAAAGATAATTTGACCCAGTTAGACATAGCAATAAGAAGTCGGATTTACTGGGGTTGTTATGTGGCAGATCACTTTTTAAGTTTACTTCTAGGAAGACCGTCTTCTTTGAAGATGTCGGATGCAACAATTCCAGAGACAAAGAACTTACCTGATTTAGAATGGATAAAAGAATACACGTATTCGAGGACTGAAGACACTATCGACACAGCGAACATTTCGAATCCCTTGAGAAAAATTATCAATTTGATTAATATATCTGATAATATTTTAAATGACATATTCACTAAATCTGAGTTCGAAAGCAAGCCTTCCAATAATGAAGATTTGAATCTAGTTTCGAGGCTAAAAAAGCTAGATGAATATAATACACAAATTATGAGTTGGAAAAGATCTCTCCCAGATGATTTACAATGGGATAGAGAAAGCTTGAAGAAGACTGCGCATATTCCTACCTTAGGGTGCATCAGATATTATTATTATATTTTAATATTATGTCTTAATCGCCCATTCATTGGAATAACAAAGAGGGCTGCTGACGATGATGAGTTGATCCCATCGGTTATATGTTCAAATGCAATTGAAGATTTGTATGGCGCGATTGATCGTTTTCAGTCCATCCATGGATTACGAAGAGCATCTATATTTATTGTTTACTGTTCAATTTTATCAATCTCGATTATTCTATTAAACAGTAGTAGTGATGAATTATTGAAAGAAAGAAATAAGCTCCAATTTTTTATGGATATCTTGAAGGGTTGTTCAAAAACATGGAAGTTAGCTGAGAAGTCGTATAAAATCATTGACATTAAACTTAAATCAAAGCTCGCTACTGCTCAAGAGAAACATAATATTAGCTCTACTGAAACATTGTTGCCTTCTCAAGAAGGAAATGAGACTATTAACCATGATCCGACTTCCAAACAAAATGGAATGCCATCTTTACATCAATCCGAAATTCTTTTTAAGGAAAATGGTGTAGCTTCAATGTTGAATGAAAAAAGTTCATTGAAAAACGTTGAGCATATTTATAACTTCGAAGAAACCGCCTTGAAACCCAAGAATAATCGCTCGTCGCCGAAGCCGGACAACTATTTCAAGTCGTTAAATGAACAGAACACTGATTTATTGTTCGATGAAAACTTGGAATTTTTTGGAGGTCCTCCAGTTTTAATGACGTCTGATTTATTTAATCAAGATTGGGAATCTTTATTTCCTGACTCTGTTTTCAAAACCTGATAAGCCTACTACATTTGGTATTTTTAATGTTCATAGTGATTCATATTTAAGTAATTGGAATGCCAATGCTCGAACTAGCATCTATTTAATTACCTTTATTTATACTGGCCAGTAAGTCTGCTTGTTTGATCAAATTTTCTGGCGAATCAAATTCGCCTAGCATGATTTCAATTAATCTTGTTTTGTTATTCTTGGCAAACTTCTCGTCGTCGAATATTTTATTAAGGTCATTTACGGTTGAAACTCTTAAAGTTTCGTAGTTTTCACCCTTGAAGGTTTCCAAGAGTTTTAAGTGATCCCATGGTTGAATATCATTATATTCTGCAGTCCTGCCATGAATCAACCTTTCGATAGTATAACCACTATTGTTAAGAACAAATACATATATATTGTTTTTATGTCTTAACATTGACGAGATCTCTTGAACAGTTAATTGTAAAGAACCATCACCGACAAATAAAATGACTCTTCTATTTGGATCCAACTCTTCAGCAGCAGTCACAGCACCAAATGCTGCACCTACTGAGTATCCAATTGAGCCCCACAATACTTGATTAATTCCAATTGTATTTTTAGGAAATTTCGTTTGAATTATACCGAAAGATGAAGTTCCAGTTTCACTAAGAACAACATCACCCTCTCTCAACCATGAAGAAAGTCTTGTCCACAACCATTTTTGAGTGATGGGCCCACTGCTTACTTGTTTTTCTTCTACGAATGGATCCTTGAGTACTTTCTCTGGCTTGAAATCTTTCAAAGCGCTTTTCAATTTAGGCGACTTGATAAGCCCTCTCAATGCCTCCTTCATTCTCACCTCAGGATAGTTAGCCAATTTGATCTTTGTATAATCAGAGTGAAATTCAATAACATTCTTAGTTTGGAAAGAATAACTAAAGGAGCCGGTGTTAAAATCGGAAAGCATTGCACCTAATGAAATAATCAAGTCAGATTCTTCAACTGAACTCTTGACATGAGGATATGATAATGAGCCAACATAAACACCCGTGTATCTTTCATGTTCTTCATCTATAAACTTTACTCCCTTCGCCATAGGAGTAATTGCAAACTTGAACTTTGTGAGGTTGATCAAGTCAATTGCCTCCTGAGTTGCATTGTGCCTAGCACAACAAGCATCGATTATGATAGTTGGGTTCTTAGCTTTAGCTATCATACTTGTAACTCTATCAAGAACCTCCTCCTCGGCATCTTTGTCATTTGAAGGAACTTCTAAGTCAAGAGGAGTATCCAACAACTCTGCTGGGACTTGAACGTCGACCATGTTTGCTGGAAAAGCTAAATATGTAGGCCTCTGATTAATGTAAGCAGCTCTGATACAACGGTCAATCTCTGCAGTGGCATTGGCAGCATCTCTGATAACACCAGTAGTATAAGTAATCATGGCGGACATTCTTGCGAAAACAGTGAAATCGCCATTACCTAATGTGTGGTGCAACATCAATTGCTTTTGTTGTGAAGCGACTGAAGGAATACCAACTACATGTAACAATCCCACATGCTCCGCATAACTTCCTGCAATTCCGTTGAGAGCAGATAATTCACCAACACCAAAAGTTGTGATCAAAGTAGCAAATCCCCCTGTTTCTGCTTCAAAACCAGATTTAACTCTACTGTAACCATCAGCAGAGTAAGCAGCATTCAATTCGTTAGCATTTCCCTTCCAAGTGAGCCCATCAACCTCATCAATTTTGTCCAATAAGGTAAGATTAAAGTCACCAGGAACACCAAACACAGAACGAGTAGAGAGCGGATCTTGACGTATTCTCTCGAATAAGTATCTTCCTAAGCTAATCGTTTTTGTCATTTTATATTATTGTTACTCAATTATTTTGTATTAGTGTATGAGTAGTAAAAGTACTGATTCATATTTGTTAAGGAGCAAGTTTGCTTCCTTTTAAGTTTGCTTCACTAATTGTGCGCAGGAACTTCTTTACTGCAAGATTTATCCGGAGCCGGTATTTTCCACACCCTTGGAGACTTCCTTTATTGCACTCTGCTATAGGCGAGCAAGGCTCTCTTCATGACCTTGTATTGATCGGAGTTTAAGTTCCTCTATAATGATATCGGAATAGGGTCAACAAAGATAATAAATGAACTCTGGGAGACAGTACTCCGTCTGCATAGAACTCACTATCGAAATTGATCACATATCGTGTTACACTCTAAGATAGATTACAGAACCAAAACAATATAATCTGAGTCTAAGACATATATTAGTATTTTCTAATGCTATACTCTAACGTCAATGCTATCGTACTGAAGTTATTTAGTTTAAGAGAGTTTATTGGGTGCAAATGCCCTGCAAATGGTTTCGGAAATCTGTGCACCTAAGTACGAGACAACAAAAAAGGGCTCGGAGTATAAGATTTTTAGAGAAAATTATGACCTATCAGCGTCTCAACTCCAAATAATTCTGACCTAAGTTCAGTTCTTTTTTCTGTTTTAAGAGTTAATTCGGACGGCTAGCTTCATCTGTCCAAATTGACTCATTAACGAAATATAACCAACTAAAGCCGTTCCAACTGCTAATTATTCCTATGCCGCAATAAACACTGTAAAATATTAGTTTTAAAAACAGATATCTGGTCAATATTTCAAACTTTCCCTCGAATAGATCAAAGAGACTCGTAATTGCAATTAAAGGAATCAAGCCCAATATGTAACCATTAGTGACTCTATCCAAAATTATTTCCCCTTGTCCAAGAAAATGCTTGGAAAGTCTCACAATTCGACGAAAGTTGAAGTAATATATAATATACCACAAGGCTGTATAAACTACCTTAACTACCCATTCTTCAGGATTAATTATCAATGGGAAAAGCGATACATAAGCGCAACTCACTAATAGATTAAATGGGCCAAGAAGAGTCTTGTCGTTAGAAACAATAAAACTCATGGGGAAGATAACTAATAAAATTGCCTTCTCATGAACATGCCATCCGAAAAGGAATGATGCAAACCCGCATAATGTCAATGCACCTACGAATCTGTTGAAATTAGGTTGCAAAAATAGCGGTATTAATGACATGACTTGATAGAAAGCGGTCAAAAAAAAAGTTAATTGTGGTGTAATGGTTGGTAAGATCGAAAATTCTGTGTCCCCAACGATCCCTCTAGTCAAAGACAGAAGGGATCTCGTATCTGATAGTGCACTTGGGTTGACTTTAAAAACACCTTCCAAAAACAACTGTGACAAAGGAACTCTGTGATAAACTTGAATCAACAATCGATCACAGAATGAATAAATCGCCCAAATGTTTGGGGCCCAATATGCATGTGTCAACCCTCTGTTAAATGGGAAAAGTCTTCCCATGAGTTCAGGGATAACCCAATTCACTACGAAGGGAAGAAATGCAACCAAAAATACACTTATTACAACAGATCCCAACTTAAGAAGATTCCTCCATCTAACTAGCCCAAGTATTTTGTTCACTAAGTTCATGTCTCCAGAGACAGTGAGATTCAAGCAATAACCTCTCAATAAGAATACAAATACTGCTGGAGCAAGGTACAAGTAAATATGCTTGAAACAGAGCAATAAAGAGAACCAAAATCCACACATCAAGTACTTTTCTAGTCTAGCACAATTTATCATTAGTACAAGAAGCCCGAATAGCATTCCATTATATTGGAAATGCATGTGATCAATAATTAATAAACCTGGTGAAAATACCAAACTGGATGCCGTCACATAGGCTCTTCTAGTTGCGTTTCCTGGAGGCGAAGTATCGATATACCATTGTAATGCAGCAAATAAAACAACCTCACTAAGAATCACTGTAGCCCTCTGATAAAAAATTGTTGGAAGTCCATAAGCACCATCCTTTACGAGATCTAAACAGCCATCATCTTTGACAATCTGAGGCACCATGTGTGAAAGAATCCATTCAAAATATGCAAAAAAAGGAGGATAATCGAGAGTCCACTGTGATTTGTTCTCTATATACCATTTAGCTAGTGGCAAATTATATGTTATAGCTAACCAATTCCTGTGTACCTCAAAGTCCGTGGAATGATATCCTACTGTAAGAAGCACTTTTAAGCATAAGGTGATTACCCAAATATTCCAAAGAGAGTATCGCCTGGTTCCTGTATATTCTTCTGGACCTTCTGAAACTGCCTTCTTTTTCGCTTTTGTCATGTCACGTTGTAACGATAACAAATTCCTGTTGAATATCAAATAGAATTAAGATGCCTCGCTATGAAATTTGACCTGCTGACTCTTTTCCAAACTCAATATTTTTTCTTTAAAGACTTATTTATGATGTCTGTTTAAAGTAATAGCCAAATATTGTCTTTAAGAGCTATTTGGATTCGACATGAATGTCAATGCTGATAAGCAGTTTGCTTATTCCCAGGTAAAGTCATCTATGCTCACTATAAATGATAATTGAGTTATATACAGGTAGCTGTAACACATTTGCTTTCGTTGACCGTAAGGGCCACTTTTTCATAGCATTCGCGAGTTCGACTTTCACTAGTGGTATTTGATTTGTATTTTTTCCGTCGTCTTTTTTCGAGTATTAAAGTATTCTTTAATTACTCTTAACTACTCCAACTTTATAATAGATCTTCACATCAAGATGTCAAGTGACGAAAAAAGTGTTGATAAAGATGCAGCAGAACTCCTTTCGTCTTTATCCTTACAGAAGGAAAAGAAAGAGACCGATAGTATGAATGAATCAGGCAAATCAGACCTTGCAGAAGAACGCAAAGGCGAAGAAAAAGATGACATAAAGTCTACTTCGGAGAAGCTGTCTCAAGCTGTCAACGGTGACTCTGAGGAAGACAAATCAAATCTAATCAAATCGAGCTATGAAGTGCAAGTTAAATTGGCTGATTTGCAAGCTGATCCAAATTCTCCGTTGTACTCAGTCAAGTCATTTGAAGAACTAGGATTATCGCCGGAATTATTGAAAGGTCTCTATGCTATGAAGTTTAACAAGCCATCTAAGATTCAAGAAAAAGCTTTACCATTGTTGCTTTCTAATCCCCCAAGAAATATGATAGGACAATCACAGTCAGGAACGGGTAAAACAGCTGCTTTCTCATTAACCATGTTATCAAGAGTAGATGAAAATGAGCCAATGACTCAAAGTTTATGCTTGGCTCCAACAAGAGAATTAGCAAGACAAACCTTAGAGGTCATAAGCACTATGGGGAAATTTACTAAAGTTACAACACAGTTGGTTGTGCCTGAATCTGTTGCAAGAGGGAAATCTGTTAATGCACAAATAATAGTAGGTACACCAGGTATCGTCATGGATTTGATTAGAAAAAAGAGTATAAACGTGTCAAAAGTAAAGGTTTTTGTTCTTGATGAAGCTGATAATATGTTGGATGCTCAAGGACTAGGTGATCAATGTTTAAGAGTGAAAAGAACTTTACCAAAGACAACGCAATTGGTTTTGTTTTCTGCTACGTTTCCAGAAAAAGTACGGGAATATGCTGAAAAGTTTGTTCCAAACGCAAACTCTTTGGAATTAAAACAGGAAGAATTAAACGTCGAAGGAATTAAGCAACTTTATATGGACTGTGATTCTGAGAGTCATAAATTTGAGGTGTTATGTGAATTGTATGGATTATTGACAATCGGATCTTCTATCATTTTTGTCGAGAGAAAAGAAACCGCTAATCAGTTGTATGCAAAAATGAAGAAAGAAGGACATACGTGTTCTATTTTACATGGTGGCCTCGAGGCCTCAGAGAGAGACAGATTGATTGATGATTTTAGAGAAGGGAGATCCAAGGTTCTTATTACCACTAATGTTTTGGCCAGAGGTATTGATATTGCTTCTGTCTCAATGGTGGTTAATTACGACTTGCCGGTCGATAAAAATGGTAATCCAGATCCTTCTACTTACTTGCATAGAATAGGCAGAACTGGTAGGTTTGGCAGAGTGGGTGTTTCAATATCGTTTGTTCACGATCAGAAATCATATCAAACTTTGATGAAAATAAGAGACTACTTTGGGGGTATCGAAATGACAAGGGTCCCAACAGACGATTGGGATGAGGTCGAGAAGATTGTTAAAAAAGTGATTAAAA